GCGCTCCAGATTTTCCTTCTGGTGTTTGGAGGTGCGGACTTTGTGCATTTCAGCGAGTGCTAGCACAACGGAGCCTGTCTCACCGAGAATCGAGACTTCTTGGAGACCGGAGTTGATTGTGTTAGAAAGATCGGCAATTTGTTTGAGCTACATAAGAAATTAGCGAAGCTCAGTTGAGTCCATCTCATTCGGGATTTGAGATAGAAGTAAAGCTACACATACCAAGTCATTTGTCTGCCGAATCTCATCCGGCGTCTTTTCCAGTCGGCGCTGCGCAGTGTCGATTCGGCGGTCACAGTCGTCAATGTACTTCTGCATGTCGCGCAAGTAATCAAACTCGAATCCCCATTTCGCCTTCTCCGAGGAAGGTGCAGTGTCATATTCGGTCTTCAGGCCTTCACTATGAACCTTGGGGCAAGGTCCGAGGTCTTGCTTGGTGTTGGTGAACAGGTCATGCGGGCAAGTGCCAACAATGTAGGAACGACAAACTTTGTTGTCTGTGATTGAGAGCTGAGAATTACGACCCTGTGCGCCAGTTCCAATGAGCTGATCAGCTATAGACAGAAGCAATGTTAGCTTAATTTGGAGACTTGTCGGGGTGGGCTTGAGCTTGGAGATTTTGAGAGTTACAAAATGAGCAACATACCTCCCATGAGCTGCTCAAGCAGCTTTCTCTGTTCTGCTGCCATCCTTATGGTGTATCCAATAAGCTGGAAAGTAAAGAAAAAGACGAAATTGTGTCAACGGGCTGATTGGCGGCAAACGACGAAGTCAGTCTTGCCTTTTTTGATGCTTTTGCCAAGGAAGGCGGTGAGGCTCCCCAGTCAACAGACCAGATGGGTGTCCCACGGATTTTGGAGTTTGGCTTGATTCTTTCTTTCGATGCGGAGCTTTTCTGTTGATTCAGTGATTATCTAGGTCTCACTTTTCTGGGGCCACAGCCAAAATAGGCCCATCGTCGCCGACACCCCCTACCAATTGACCGGTGACAACCGCATGGACGAAGACCGAGCTCCGGCAAGCATGAAGTCATGAGGGTCCTTTCACTATTCTCATTTCCTTTCGTCGCACTTATTCTCTCATTATGGAGCTTATCTGCCTTCGCGTCGTCCGACTATCATGAGCACCTCCTGCTACAACCTCTCCCGCAGTCCTCCTTATTAGCTTCTTTTAACTTCCGAAGCAATACATCACAACAATCATTCGACCAACAACATTTTAGATATTTGCCTCGTGCTCTTGGCCAAATCCTTCAACACGCTCATACAAAAGAATTACACCTCCGATTCACCACGGGAAGGTGGGACGCTGAAAGCTGGGGCCCACGGCCATGGAACGGTAGTAAAGAAGGAGGCACTGGTGTCGAGCTTTGGGCGTGGATTGATGCGCCAGGTGATGAAGAGTATGCTCCTCACTCGGAATATGTCATGGGAGCCACGCAATGCTGACTTACTCAGGGCTTTTGCCAAATGGATCACTTTGACGCAGTCCCTCTCTGGTTTGTTCTGCGCCTCGCTGAACTTCGTAGACTCCACCCGGAGCACTCGTCCTGTGGTTTCTTTTGAACCAGCTGGGGATCACTCAGCTGCTGATCAACTGCACCTTTTGCATGGAACACTTCCCGGAGAGGTAGTTTGCACAGAGAATTTGACCCCTTTCTTGAAGCTGCTTCCTTGCAAAGGCAAGGCTGGAATCTCCTCACTATTTGACGGGCACAAATTGTTTGATGCTGCATGGCAGAGTATGTCAGTGGATATCCAGCCGGTTTGTTCTGCAGACGGAGAATGTGTGGTTCAGATCGAGCAAACAGTGGACATGGTCTTGGATATTGACCGGTCCAAGCGCTCTCGTTGTGCGTATTCTTTGCCGGCATACTCTCTCTCAAGATTGCTAACAGAGATATAGCGAACCCAATTCCTCGACCTGTGCCTAATGAGCAGCTGGTTTGTGACACATCCAAGCCTTATAATTCAGATGATACCTGTTACCCGCTGGAGAAGACAAGCGACAAGGCGTGGAGTCTTACGGAAGTTTTTGGGCGAACCCTGAATGGCGTTTGTCCTCTTACAGATTTTGATGGGTCGAGGGACCAGAGTGTTTGCCTTCGGGTGCCACACGAACGTGGCGTCGTCATATCCGAGGAGGCCTATGAGATCAAGAAAGATGATGGATTTACTCGCTGTTTCAAATTGGCGCCATCGGTTCCCTTTGATCTTTCGATTCCGCAACAGCCAGTGACCACTGAAGTCCCGTTAGACGAGCCTGTTTTGCACGCAGAGCGAACTATCGTTGGGCACGGCCAGGAGCGCGGTGGAATGCGCATTATCTTTGGCAACCCATCCAATACCAGCGCAGTCGATTTCATCTACTTCGAGTCTCTTCCGTGGTTCTTACGGCCATATATACATACATTGCACGCAACAATCACAGGACACGATGGAGTCCTGCGCGAGGTCCCAGCCTCTGAAATCGTCAAAGAGACGTACTATCGGCCCGCCATTGATCGCGAGCGTGGAACACAATTAGAATTGGCGTTGTCAGTCCCCGCCGCATCAACTGTCACGTTGACTTATGATTTCGAGAAAGCCATTCTTCGGTACACCGAGTACCCACCAGATGCTAATCGAGGGTTCAACGTCGCACCTGCAGTAATTCGAGTCTTGGATACGGCCCACAATGCGCCGATCTACATCCGTTCCACAAGTCTACTGCTTCAACTCCCTACCCCGGATTTCAGCATGCCATACAATGTGATCATTCTCACTAGTACCGTGATTGCACTTGCATTCGGGACTATCTTCAACATCCTAGTTCGACGAGTTGTCTCTCTGGATGAGGCCACCGCTCTTGGAACACAGACTTTGAAAGGCCGGATACTGGGGAAATTGGTGGCTATTCGTGATCGACTCGGTGCCAAGGGTACTAAAGTCGAGTAGTTTACACTGAATATAATAATTACAATTGCAATATTTATCATTTTCTAGGCCCCGTATGAGACTTGTAATGAGTCCAGCTTCAGTTCTCTATTGCCCATTTCCACATACAACACGAGGCCAAAAATGACCGCTGTCACAATCTGCTTTACTGGCTGGACCAGTTATCCCAAGAGGCCGACCAACGCTTGAACCCGTCGCGAACGCTTGTCGGACATGCTCTTCCAAATGAAACACATTATCAATCCCCTTCTAAAATATAGAGTCAATGCGCAGAAGACCAAGGTGGAGGCAAGGCAGAACATCAGCCTTCAGGCGCATCTCCCGGCGCACTTTGTGTAAACAAGTCACCCATTTATCCGCCTCGCTCCTATCAATGGAGCTGACAGCCATGTGAAGGATATTTATAACCTGAATCTAGCAAACAAACAATCATCACCCCTATAATAAACGAATCAATTCCCAGCTCATGCCCACCTGGCCAGGCTGTGGCCGTGACTAATAATACGCATAAAATTTTAGGGTTATCGTGCCGATAACCTTGTCCCCGCATCGGGGCCGAACTCGGGAAGTAAAAGAGTTTGGCATAAATGTTACTTGTGAACCCTTTCCTTGAATCAAAGACAAATAGCGGTGTATGGATGACAAAGTACAGAGTCACAAAATTGGGACTTTCTACATGTAGTGAATACGTAGGATATTGCAAAAACTTAGCACGAAATAAAAATAAAGGTTAGATTTGCTGAACAATATATCCTGGCATCCCGTCAATGTAAACTCAGGGGAAATTAAAGCTTTGAGCAAAAAGATTTTTTTTCGCTCCGTCTATTTTTCGTACATACTCCCCATTACTCTTCTTTCTTCCCAAAGTGCACCTGCCGAAGGATTCAATATATACAAAGCTCTGCGAGAGTCCCCTTTCAGGGTGATTGAAGTGCCCCGAATGCATGTGGTACGCCAGGGTATCTCTTCATTGTGACCTCGTTTCCGGCCCTTTGCATGAGCTGACCATAATACTCCCCTTCATCTCTCTCAAGACCAGACTCTGCTGTGATGATGTGCGCCTTCACAAGGTTTTTGAATGAAAGGAGCAAGTACAGGTGTTGAGATCCACTCTTTTGTCAATATTCTTTCTTGGGTAGCTGGAAAAGCATCAGTATATGCGTGAAAGGAATCATAAGAGGGGACTAGAAAAAGCAAAGACTTACCGTCATCCTCACCGAGCCAATACTTTAGGAACCATTGCTCTCTACCTAGTGGCCCCCAAGGGGCACCATGGTATAGCAGTACACTTTCGTATGGACAGGTGGTTTTATTAAGCTGCCGGGTTCTTAGACAATAGCGGATATCTGTTGCTGGAACTATAATCAACTGAAGTTTCAGATCAAAGACCTGATCACGGACAAAATGCGACATTACTGCAGACCCCCAATAGAAACACTCAATGGATCGATATTGATACTAGAAGCATTGTTACAACCTGCCCCTGAACTGGTGAGCTACTATTGTAGAATCTAATCAGGATTGTATGAGAAAACAATAATGATGGATTCAGAATATTGGAATTGGACGGAGGAGAAGAAAGAGAGAAGGAGAGAGAGAACTATCTACATGGGTGGATCTGTCTCATTGTGGGTCCATGGGTGCCTCAGGCACCAAGGCACCCAACAGTTACACACTAGGCCAAAAGACCATTATATCTGGGCATTATGCTCAGAGAGACTAGGTTCCGATATATATAGTGTATGACATGACAAGCATTGGCGATTGTCTAAAATGTCTTGCGTTAGTTATATAAGCCTTGAATGGCATTGGGGTTTTGTACTCACTTCTCTAGGACGAATTTCCTGGGGCTGGTGTAAAATTGGTTGGTATAAGATGAGAAGTACTTATTTATGTACTACATCACAATTTCGCACGGTAAATTGATTTTCGATTCACAACTAACATAGAGATTTAAGAAGTAACGGCATATTAAGTCCATGCTTCATCTCTCATCCCCTAAAAAATATTGGATTTAGCCAGAACCAATCAAGTTATACATCGTTTAGGAGCCGAAGAGGGAACTCACAAGCCGAAAATGTTCTTAAATGTACTCCATCCAGGATAGGTATCCGGGTCACCAGCCTTACGGGTCATAAAACTATGATCTTCAGTGGCACAGGTTGGCTCTCCTGTGGCGTTCATAGGTTTAACATTGGTATCAACCAAGTTCTCACGCTGAATGAACTTATTTTGCCCGCTTGTCTTTTGCTCTTGCAAAGAAAGGAAGTCACCCATTGTTGATTTGGGATTGGTAGCCTGCGATATGAGAATTAGAACTCGTTAACGTATGGTTATGAAGCTGTCCTGTCGGCAATGAACCACATACCACTGCGTGACCCACACCTTCTTCTTTGCCACCTAACCAGAGCCTGTCGCCCCATCCTTCTCCACCGCCCACGTTGTTGGCGGGGGTGGGTTGGGCACTGCTGCCTCCGGCGACCGCAGTCGTTGGGCGATTGAAGCTAGGATCGCGGCCCATTTTGATGTTGTGGTTAGTTTGGCCTGGATAAGAGGTTATTAGCATAATAATTGGTATTGGGACCAAGAAGACGCTCCACATCATATATTTATGAAAGAAGTGAATGTCAAAAGTCGGCATTGTGATAAGGAGGTTGTATACTCACGATTTATTTATTGAGGAATTCAGTTCGCTGGTTTGCAGCTCTTCTGATTCAATTTGTACAGGTAGTGAGTATTTAAGCTGAAGTCGAATCCGTTTACTTCGTTTATGTCCTTTACGTCGTTTACTTGGATTTATATATGGTCTTGACCTAATACTTGCCACCAAACCCGGATGAAGTCATGATGAGTATATATATCAAGTATATATCGCTCCCTGTGATTGGTTCACTATCGAAGTAGTAACCTGGAAAGTACAGCCCTGGTAGACTCGTGTTTACTGTGTGTAGTGGTATTTATGTATCTAATACTGGTTTGTGTAGGTCTCTCGCGGCCTACAATAGCAATCGTTTTACGGCCTACTTCCTGACTATATAACGACTACCTTTTAATAAGTATTCTTGTTGATATTCTTGTTGATATTATTTTTGATATTATTTTTTTGGGTATTCCCCCTCGTTATTGGTGTCGGAACAAACATAGTACGCTGAGTTTTCAACTATCATAACATGCGACGAGGGTATGTATTACTTTAGAATTTGATGCATATTTACTTGTGTCGATCCAGAAAGGCAAACCTGCCTCTTCAGATTCCAATAAGCTGCTCACTTTTTGCGAGGGTGCTCTAGATCATACCGAACCACTCTGTAAGTTGGCCAAATCTGCAACAAAACAGCGCCAACCATCATGCACCCCGCAAAGACCTGAGCATGCAGAAACTCTGCAGTGTCAAGATTTACCAAAGCACCTGCAATGGGAGTTCCAGCGAGCGCGCCAAAAGACGATATCCCCCACATCATGCCCAAACGAGTCCCTAAAAAGCTCGAATCTTGACAAAAGATCGGATGTGCCACAATTGAAGTGGGTGCCGTAACCAAAACACCACTGAGAGCTCCCCAGTAGCATGCCCAGACAATAAACCCAGCCATACCGGTAGCCGCAATCCAAGTGAACATAGCAATGGCCGACGCAGTCACAGAGAATATCAAGATCCCAATGGGCTTGATATATGCAACAAGTAGATATGGAACGACTCGACCAATGACCGATGTCCCGTTGACAATAGCAACCATATAAAAGCTAAAATCGGTAGTGGTATGCACCACCGTGCGGGCATAGGAGGCGATATAGAAAATCGGCACGTAGTATGCGAGCATGACACATGTGAGAGACAGCGAAAACATCATAAACGACGGCTCGCGGAAGGCTCTCCAGTCGATAAGACTCCTTGCATGGGCCCTTTGGCCTGGTTGTCGACACAAGATTAGACATGCTACAATTGCAAGAAAGAGACTGATGAAGCCGATGCAGCGCACTGCCCATGGAAACCCGATCCTGGGCTGCAGTTGGCGGAACATGATAGGGAAAATGACGGCCCCAACGCTAGACCCAATTGATGCACACCCGATGGCGATTGGGCGTTTTGTGGTGAAACTCGTGGAGATGACCACGAGGGCTGGGATGTAGGAAATGCCGCCCCCCATTCCGACGCAAAATCCTTGCGCGAGCAATACCTGTTCCTGTCAGAAAATTTGTTCCTCCAATTTTGTACTTCTAGACTTACCTGATAGTACGAAGTGGCGAGACTCGTCATCATCATGCCAAATACAGTCAAGAAACTTCCGGATATGATTAGAGGCCGCAAGTATCCAATATCGACTAATGGCCCCGTAGCAAGACCAACCATTGGGATCAAAGTGGCTTGGATACTACCCACCCATGAGATTGTAGATGGTGTCTCATTTGGTAGAAGCTCTGTCTGGTAATACTCTTGAAAAGCGCCATAAGTCGTTAGCAGGCCCCTAAAACAAAGATTAGCTTGATCTATGTATAATACGACTATAATTTTAAACCAACCAAGAGTTTACAAAAACACAGAAACCCGCAAGGACATTTAGCCATGCATCAAGGCCTCCATTGACTCTTTTTTGGGGTTGTTCGTGTTCACCATCATTTTCGGGCGCCAAGTTTCCCGATGCGGGTGGTAAATGTGCTTGGGCGCCATGTATCTTCTCCGTTGAACGCATTTTGATATATTGCTGCCATGATGTATCATAGAAGAACAGGTACGAAATATAACAGTTATAAAGAAGAGAACCATTTTCCACTCCCCCCAACACTCCACTGTGGGGAAAAACTGGGGTCTCTATTAGTCACGGACTTCTTCGGTTCGACCGGCACTGGGTAACCGAGTTCTACCGATTTGGTTGTTATGGATGGATGATTTATGTTGTATATGTCGCTACTCCAAATGGGACGGGGGACTCCGATATTCCGAATGGCGAGCCTCGTTTTCACTATATCTACTTGGGAGCATTGCATATCCTTCCGCTTCCGGAATACATATCGCATCATCCTTGTCTGGGGTTCGCTTGGGCGTTGAACTTTGCCCATCTACATATTGTATTATAAGATGCTCGCTTTCGTATTTCGACCACAGTGTAAATATTTATCCGGTATAATATATGTACCGGATAATGCCTAGTACTTGAAACTAGACCTCCGCAAAGCCCATAAATGGGCCCGGGCCCCGGGCCCAAAGCTTGGGCCTACCTTCAGTGGGCTATAGGCCTAACCTTTGAAGCCCATTACTACGCATAGCTACGGTCTTAGCATACATAAAATAGCTGATTAATGACTGTTTTTTTATGTGTGTTCCGGCCTATACTCCGTATATACTGATGCTAGGGATCTCGGGGGCCTAAGGCCGTTAAAATAGACGAACGTAGCAAACAATTACTGAATGACTTTATTATATGCCGTGATCTTGGTAATCTTAGCCACGTGTGATCTCTGTGACCTACAATTTGAGGCTTGATTAGTAATTAAAATACCCAAGATTACTAGCAAAATCTGTTTTACTTACGCAGCTGCGACGAATTGGCATATTTGTATTGTTTGGCGCCGATTGGGCCCGATTGGGCCCCTATTCTGGGCTTAGTGGGCTCTCACCCCGGGCTCATAGCTCAGCCCATTTGCGGGTTGGGTTGGGTTGGGCTTTGTGGATAGTGTAATTCTGGATGGCTGCTCGCAAATCTTAGAATGGCCGATTCTGCCATTCAGCCTTATATGCAAGCATCATCATCAGTCTGCCTTAGACTTTCCCAGCTCGTACGCCTCGTCTGGATTGGCTGTTGGCGCTGGCAAAGAAGCCAAGGTTAAATCCACATCCTTTCCATTCCGGCCAATTGCATTCAGAGCCCGAACTAGGTTCAGAGTCTTAGGGATAGGCTTATCTTTCAGATTGACAAGGAAGGAAAGGGGTCTAGGGGCGGTCACAGACCGTTCTTCTTCCAAGCATAAGCGCGACTCGGGTAACATTAGAGGGTCCGAGGATTTAGAAACTCTATTGCTATAATATCTAACTGATATATCGATGACTCTATAAACCACCCTTATTCTAAGACCGAAAGGCAACTCCTCTTCGCAAATAGCTTCGTCGGCCGCGGTAGTTATAGTTACTTTTTCCTTTATAGTAGTTAACCTAATACTAAAAACTATAGATATAGGGCTAGTTCGCCTTTTATCTACTCCCGTCGCTAGTAGGGGCTAAAAGAGGTATATAAGCGTAGTGTGATTATATAGGAATAAGAGAACGTCCTACTAAGTAAGCGTATCTAAGAGAGGGTAATAAGCTTTCTTAGCTATCTAGATTAAGTAAAGGACTGTCTAGTCGTTAGCTATACTAAATTGCGGTTATAATCTACTCCTAAGTAGGCAAACTTTAAAAGGGACTTTACGTAGGGTTAGATCTAATAGAAAGTTATACCGATATCAAACTTACCGAGCTAAAGAAGATAGGGCACGGTGCTAGCTTAAAGATATTATAGTCTACGTACTATATAATACTAGGTAGAGGGATGGTTTTAGACGGGGGTTTACGAGATTTTCTAAGCGTATTAGTGTATCGCGCCTATAGACTTAGCGAATAGTAGTAGGTCGGAGGAAGATATAACCTAGTTGACTTAGGAGTTAGGCGAGTTAAAGGAGCCTAGAGGAAGGTGGTATTTGAGAAAGCGGAGGCCCAACAACCCCGACATGCCCGACAAGCATCCTGACTAGTGCTTAAAGGCGCCTTACTGGGAAGATGTGGGGGTCACTTGCTTATTCTCCAAGCAAACCTCGATCTTCATTATTTATCAACGTACCTAGGGATCTCAATATCAACCTAGCTACAACACAAAAGCTCACCCCTTTAGATGACGAGAAGGAGCTGGCTTAGACTCATTCAGGGCCACGTAGGACCTCACCAAGTCAAACATGCCCGAAGTTGAAAGAAAACTATGGTATCGGTGGGACCTCGAAAGGTCTAAACAACCCTCCGCCCCTCAACGTCGTTTTCTCTATGCGGATTGGCCATCTTACTCTGCTTATGTTGCACTGCTAGGGCTTAATATGAAGGTGGCAGAGACTTTCTCCACGGAATAGAATTGAAGTAAGTCTCGGACGTCTTGTTGTGTGAAGAGGAAATATAAGTGGCCGACTATGCTTGTTCTGAAATCAACAAGAAGGAAAAATATATCCAATGTCTTAATTCCAGAAAGCATCGGTCGCTATGACCGGCGATATACGTATATGTATGTAATGCTGGCGGGATTTTACATCTGAGCCACCAATCAAGGCTTCAAAACAGGCGGGATATCAAATTACAAATGAGGGAAACAGGAGTCTGTTCATGTCCTGAATGCAGAAAGAAAATCGTAAAAACCAATGATAACAATAACCGCCCCCAAAAAACTCATTTTCCAAATGACACATTTCATCACTCGTCCTCAAACTGGTCTGCCCAAGTTCCAGTAATGGGTGAAAACGTAGAGTCCAATTTGTCCATTGCCGATTGTGGCTTGGAAGCCGCAGGAGCGCTTTCGGTTTCAGTTTTGGGCTCGGGTTTAGTCTCAGTCTTAACCTTAGTCTCCGGCGTGGAAGCAGGTTTAGTCTCAGTCTTCTTCGTCTCAGCCTTCTTGGGTGCCTCAGGCAAATCCGGGAAGGCACTCTTATCATCCAGCCCTGGCGCAGCAGGGCTCTCTGTTGCAAATATACTGTCAGCTAAGCCCTTGCGTGGCCGATCCCCCTGTGGGGTACGCGGAGATCCACGGCCACGCCCACCTCGACCACCGCGTCCACGACCACGGTTACCACCAGGGTGATCCGCAGCCTCATCTGGGCGGGCCTCTTCAGAGTCTCGTCGCACGGCGCCAGACACGCCACCATGCATACCGCGTCGGAATTGACTGCCTCCACCGCGGGGGTCATAATCTTCCTCACGTTTCTCCGAGTCCCATTCACGGCCCGTCTGAGCCTTGAGTTTCCGCTGTCTATTTCTCTCACGTTCACTATCCATCTGACGGCGGTGCGCGAGTTCCTCGCGACGTTTCTTCGCTGCCTCCTGCTCGCGCTCCACGAACGACGCCTGATCAGCTTCGGCGCGAGCGTGAGCAGCAGCCTTCTTTACGGCGTTCTCTTTGGCTGCAGCAATGCGTTTGGATAGTTCTTCTTCAGTGAGTTTAGGCTGGAAGTAAAAAGTCAGCTTCGTGCTTTGGATATCTTGGTAAGAGAAGAACTACACACCTTTCTCAGGCCACCAGTGGCACTCCGATCACCACGAACAGCTGGCACACGCTGGGAATCAGCGCCATCCACAGCCTGGTCTTCACCATTTCCCTCTTCTACCGGACCGGTCTTCTCCTTAGGCTCTTTATGCTCAACGGGTTTGTCGGTCTTGTCGGTCTTGTCGGTCTTCTCGGGCTTTGACTTCGAAACACCAGCCTCGCGCGCATCGGCAGCAGGCGCATTAAGAGGAGTCTTTTTGCGCGGGGAGCTTTCTGACCGTTTTTGCTCTGACTCCCGTCCACCGCGCCCTCCTTTACCCCGACCCCGTCGTCCCCGGCCTCGTTCACCGCCACGGCCCCGCTGCGGAGTCTCCCCACGTGGAACTGGCTGCTCGGGAGCTGGCTTCTCAGGTACCTGTACCTCCTGTGACTCTGGCTCTGGCTCGGGCGTAATGAGATCTGTCTGCGCCTGCTGTTCTTCCGTGGAGATCGGGATAATCTCATCGTCAAATAGGTCGTCGGCGCCTCGAGTTTGTGCGAACTGGTCCATCTCAGGGTCTGCCATTGCGGTTGGAAGTGAAGAAGTGTACTTGGAGGTCGGACAGGTCAAGGGTAGGTTGTGAAATCGAAACCCGAGAGTGCGCGGGATTCTCACTGCTATATACGCGATCCGAGGGGTAGCTTCGACGGGGGTGCCTCAAATGGTGATCCGTGCGCAGTATAGTGGGGGTAGGAATATATTGTCTGCTATCAAAATTTGCAATAATTCATATAAAAGCCATGTATAAGGGAGAACTGATTAACGGAATTATAGAGGTCACACAGCTCAACTGATCTGCAATCCAGCCGGGGCAGGCTGCTAGGCGGTCTGCCATTGCTCCGGAGCGCATTGTTTTTGCCGTTGAATTCCGTCTATTTTCTGCCGACATGATGTCCCTACAAGGTTGTTTACATCCTCTTTGTAAATGAGCGGAACGGGATTGATCAAATCTAACAATAGTTGGATGGAATTTATAGGTGGACTGAATGAGTCCTATACACAAAAAGTGGCAACCCAGCCTAAACACACTGCCAAGCGTTCTCATCGGTGTAGTTTCCAGGACCCTGGAACACATTGCGACGAGGCCAGCGGCAGTGCTTGCGCCTGTATTCGACCTTAGAGCCAGGTCCGTTGGAGAACTTAGCACCACGAACAGTCTCGGGTGCCTTGCCTTCCTCAACCCACTGGACCATAGCCATAAGAACATTGTCCTCGGGATTGGTCCCATCGTAAGTATCGATTCCCTGGCCAATACCATAGGCACCGTCACCTCCACGGCAATGGCCCATACCGCTAATTTGGAAGAAGCGGTAGAATTCATCCAACTTATTGGGCGGTAATTTCATGGTGTTTGACACGTGAGAGTAGTACATCTTGGAGTCTTCGGAGCTAATCAGCTGGTCTTGGAGGCCATGGTAGTGCAGGATTTTGCCACCGGTCTTTTTGAATGGAGATAGATCGCCTTCCCACGTTTGGATGTTGTACGGGTTCTGAGCGAGAGCTACAGCGGCATCTTTCAATGTGAAGTTGGCCCCGCTCCAGGACGGGTTGTTGTAGACGACATAACGGTACCAGTCTTCGCTGTATGGGAACGGTGTGCCGCTGTACATTATGGGCGCAGCAAGGACCTCCGAGCCAGGCTGCATGCGGGGGTATAGCAGGGTGCCATTAATTCCATACAATGGCGATAGCACTTGCTGGGCGGTGTTCACTTGGGCGCTTGTAAGACAGCTTGTTTTCTTTGAGGCACTGGGGTCACAAGTCAATGTTTCCAGGACAGGGCGGCAGAGATCTGGATCTTCAATAATTCCATCTTCGGCACCATCAATAGTATCACATTGGCGGAGGATCTCTTGGTGGACAATCTCCCATTCATCTGTAGACAGGAATGTGTCTGAAGTTGGCGAGCCAGTGATAGTATAGAAACGTGCGCTCCATGAAAACAAGTTGATTAGGTTTATGGCGGGGTGACCAGCGACCACCCCATCAAAGTCGTTAGGGTATTTTTGAACAGACTTCCAACCTTGGCGGCCACCAGTCGAGCATCCGAGGTAGTAGCTCTTCTTGAAGCCCTCATCGTAAAATTGGTTGGTGAGCTCCTTGCCAATTACAACTCCGGTGTGAATGGAACGGTATGCATAATCTTTGACTACCTCAGGTTTGCGGTAGAAAGGCTTCCCTGAGGTACCATTGTGTCCGTTGTTGGCTCCGACCGTGGCAAACCCTAGTTGTGCGGTGTATGCGAGGTCATGGTATTGGATGCCTGCGTTGAGATTAGCTTGTCTCAAGATGCTAGGTTTGGAAACAACACTTACACCCGGAGATACCACCATTTCCGGTACTCAAAAAACGACCCTTATATTCACGAGGGAACCAAGCCTCTAGCGTGATCTCGCTGCTGTTCGAGGTTGACACGGCCATGGCGACTCGGCACAGGTCTACCGAGACGGCCTGGTTCGATCCACTACAGCTAGGCGGATTGTCTACCAAGGATAGGTTGCTGCCTCCCTGTACAAACTCGACGAAGTTGACATTGACATTGGGAATGTGGATTTGATCACCAAAATTGATACATTTTGATTGAAAGGCATCTTGACTAGCCAGGGCAAGCGAGCCCATGACCGCCAACAAAGGCAATGCATAAAGACGAGTCATATTGGGGAGAGACCGTGGAAAATGGTTCAGGCCGCAATATTTGCAGACCAGCGGCCTTTAATAGCATGCCATTTGTTCCGAGGTATGTTTTCCTGCTCTTATTGCAGTGGTATCATCGCGTATCATATACAGACTTTGAGACGGCAAATATTAGGACTAGAAATTCCCGAAGGGCTTGACTTGCAGATCCATGACGAAAAGGCTGAAACGTCCGAAGTTGGGCCGAGCACCTAGTAAGTGGGTATTAGAGGCATGAGCGAATGAGCAAGTGCTGTTATGCGGAGATGATAGTAAAGAACACGGCTAATTGAGCACCGAAAGGGCAAAATAGTCGAAACAGGGGGTTGATGATAAAGGAAAATCCGAGAATGGCAAACGGAATTCCTATTTCCTGAAGTCGGATAATCCGGGGATCTCCACAAATGCGGAGAACACCCCTATTTCGGTTCAAGGCTGTTGGAATCGGCACTTCTGAGTACATGTATCTCATGACGTACCTACATACATGTAGTTAGATATTAATTCAAGGTCTTGTAATGGTGACTAACCTTGGAGGCTCCTTTGATTTGGATTGTAAACAACGGACTTGTGAGTTGCCATTTCAAGTTAGTTTCGCCTTTTTAGGTTTAGCGCTCTAATTAACCGACACGTGACCTCTGCTCCGACATAAAAGGCCATTCTCGAAATCATCTTGACCGATTAACATTTGATAGCCCATTTTCTGGCCCCACTGCCAAGATAGATCGTTTATTCGACGGGCCGCATTAAAGCGAGGGACTCAATCAAAGGTCTTGGTAAGATATAGCATCCTACGACGTGAAACCATGGTCATGTACCCAGAGGCTGAAGGTATTTCTTGGAAGCCGATAGTGAGGCTCTTCGCTTCATGGGGGCGGCTTGGCCTCTCACGCGGTATTTGGACAATATATAGGTTCATACGGTGATGTAACTAATGAAGTGGATCAAACAATCAAATATCTCGCGCTGCAGTAGAATATCACGATCGAAGGTATCGAGGGCGATGGTCAAAAGATGTCAGACATCGTCAGCCAATCCACGAGGAGATTGCTCCAAACGACGCACGGTAAAACCAGTAAAGCGGGCCCAAAGCTCCACCAGAGAGGATATCGGCTCGGCCCTACCAGCGGTTTGAAGATCATGGAGAAAATCATCGCGCAGCTGAAGGGCAGCGGGGAATGAGGCAGTAGAAATGGAGAGGGTGTGTGTGAAACGGCCATCTGTGATGGTGAGGATTTGGCTGCCCCAAATGTTGCTGGACGACGACGAGGTGGATAGTTCATCAGGCGTTGACCAGTTCGAGGAAGTTGAAGCCGACAAGACAGCCGACGGCCCTGGCAATTCGGTCGAGATCAACATGACAAAGAAACAATTGAGCGGCCTAGGCTAGGCGTCAGCATATTTTTTCCCCATCGCGAACGCCAGACCCTGCCATATATTCTTCATATTTTTGTCTTAGCATCGTCGTTGGCGGTGGGGGCGCAATCGCGACGGGTGGGTCTTGTGAGATGTTGAGCCCTAAGCGTCTTACCGTGCAGTGACGCTAGCTCACCGTGCACCATTCCCAAGGTTGCCGCCAATCTGACACACCAAAATAGCAGCCTCTATATGAGACTAGAGGCTCCTTGGGGGCCAGAAATGCGTCGGTTGGGGGCCAGAAATGCGTCGGACCAATGCCGATCAGGCAGCCATTCTAAAGGCCAAAACCCGACGGCTGATCGACCGTGAGATTTGATTTAAGAATGTCGCCCGTTAGCACCTTGTGACTTTTCTCCGCTCGTCTGTTCTGTTGTTCTTCTATCACTCTCTTTGATCTCTGGGTGCTGTTATACTCTTGTTGACCGTTATTATGGGTTGGCCAACTCATTGTGGTATGTTCTTCTATTGATCTTCTGGGCCTTGACTGATCTTGATAGATTTGTCTAGCGAGGACGCTCAATATGCCTACTGCGCTAATGGGCCCGCCGCTGTCTTCTTCACTGTTCTATTCGGACTTACCTGGATCGCCCATTTCGCTCAAGCGATCATGTACCGGAAGAGGTTCTGCTGGGTGATTGTAGTAGGCGCAGTGTGGCAATGCATCGGAATGATTATGCGCACCTACTCGACTATCGATCAGACTAAGTCGACGACCACGGCCGCCGGACAGCTGTTGATCCTTCTAACGCCCTTATGGGTGAACGCCTTTGTATATATGATCTTCGGCCGTATGGTCTACTACTTCTTACCAGAGAAGAAGGTGGCAGGCATCCGGGCCGAAAGACTGGCCCAAATCTTCATCTGGCTGGATATAAGGTAAGTTTCGCCCCGAAAGGCCGCCCTGGGTCAATTGTCTAGGACACTCTTCTTATATAATGAAACTAGCTGACACTGATCTAACAGCTCTTTTATTGTTCAAGCGACTGGTGGTGTTATGGACTCGGACTTTAGCGCTGAGATGAACAAAATAGGACTGCACATCTACACAGCCGGTATTGCAGCGCAACAGTTCTTCATCCTATGCTTCTGCGGACTGCTATTCGCCTTTCACCGTCGGATGCAAGGGAATAGTAGCATTTCTCGTGGCGGTGGCTGGCGCCCGTTGGTGATGGCTATGTGGGCCACTTTGACATTTATCACGGTAGGTCACCTTTCCAGGACCATTAGTTATAGACGACTAATACATATTAGATTCGAATCATCTACCGTCTGATTGAATTTGCCGATACCGATAAGGCCGGGACAAGCCCCTTGACCCTTCACGAGGCACCCTTCTACTGCCTAGAATTACTGCCCATGCTCTCCGCCATGGTCATCTGGAACATCTGGCACCCTGGCCGTTATCTCCAAGGAGATGACTGTGACTTTCCCAAGAAAGTAAAGCTGTCCCGTAAGGAAAAGAAGATGATAAAGCAAGAAGCCAAAGATAGCAAGCGCCGGGGTCGTCGTCGTTCGTCTAGTCGTAAGGGTGCACCTGTTTCTGAGTATCAGCCGACGAATTCGTTCGATGAAGGGGCTCTGGAGTCGCAGGGTTATCCATTGCGAGGACATAGGTAATCAGCTATATATCAAGTAGGGAGTGCATACAGAGAGAGCTATTCCGGCGCTGAATACCCTAGGTAGTCTCACATCATCCGTATTTGATCCTGTACAAACTGTATAGGGCGCGGAATCAATGAAGGTCTCTCCACAACCCCCGAGATTCCCAGAGCCTTTCCCTGAGTGTCCTTTCCTACCACTCGGAGGTAGTGGTTGTCTAGCGCTTCTGGAATATTAATTAAAGTTTCGAATCCGGTCTTAGTGATGTTTTCGATGGAGACGAACACTTGTTCTCCTCCATCAGCACTGTTACGGCGAGAGGCCTGCAATTCCCAACTGACCACCTTAGTTGCGCCATTCCAACTGACATAAAGTCTGTTATCTTCTCCAATTACTGCGGAAGGGGCTTCTCGGGGTTGGCCAATCCACAAACGCCTCAGTACACGATAGGAGAACGCTTCCTGCGTGTTAAATCCGACCTTGGGCGCATAATGAATATCGCATAGAAGTCGTCCATCCGTGGTAAACTCAGACCATGACGGCACTGTCCCATAGCCTAAAAGCCGATTCCCATTGGGAAGAATCTGTAAAGACCCTCGTGCGTGTGTGATAGCTGTCTGGTGTTTGTTCTGGTACGGCTGATATAGAAGTTGTGCCGTCATTTGTTTTACGTTTAATTTGACAATCTTCCCCATCGTCGGGTGTGCAGGCTCTTGGGCCCCAAAGCCATTATCGAAAATTGTCATGATTAGCGTATCGCTGTCGATGAGTTCTCCGGTCTCGAGAATCCTGGCATGGTGCTGGCCATCAAATACAGTCGCGTTGTGGTCGTCATCATGATCTCCCACTGGTGATAAATTGGCAAATGAATTCTTTTCACCTCCCAATTTCCAGACCACGTCGCCAGTTTGACCATCAATATACGCGATGCTCGACATATGCCGTATTGAAACCAAATAGTTACCATGCGAGTCCGCGTGCGCACTGTTCAGGACAAATGGCTCGAAGGGATGATCTGAATCCTCGCCCCAACCTGGTGTGAATGCATGGTAACCTTCTTCCAGTTTATAATGGCTAGCAACCGTCCATTGGAAAAGGACCTCCCCTGTGGCAATATCGATCTCTTGAATACCGTTGTCACGTAGCCAACCGTGTCGTGGACCGCCAACCGGGCTAAGGTCGAAGGGAATGTCCTTGTTTACCACCAGAAGGGCCGTTCCCTTTGGCGTTATGTCAAAGTCATGGTCGTCGGCGGTCCAGCCATCTCCGGATCGGATCTGATACACTTCATCATATGTCGAGTTGAGCTAAAGGAAATATAAGTAAGCCCCGTGTCTGCACTCATTTCCGCTAGCGATGGGCTAAGTGTACTCACCATGTACCAATGGCCAACCTCGCTAGCTGGGTCTTTGCTAGCCCAAAAGCTGAGGTACGGCTCATCATCGAGGAACCGTACATCAACCGCCCAAGTCTTTCCATAGCGTACCGGATCGTTCCATACAAGGCCGCCATAAGTATCTAAAATCATCGGACCTGGATTCGAGACCTCGGTTCCCCAAGGTCCCATAAGAAGTAGGTGGTCTTTGTTATCATGACATGTCGGATGATCTTTCTGGATGTTTAGTATGGGGCCTATCGCTGGAGAAGAACGGTAGGTTTGGTGAGGCCACGCGCCGAGTGTTCCTTCAGAGTATTCTTTGGAGCGGAAATAGGAGCGGATGTCGGCATTGGTCACCTGGGCGTGGAGACTGGAGATGGCCAGCCAAATCAAGTAGCTATGACTTAAAGCCTTCATTCTGGAATTTCCTCATTGGATCTCCTCTATCGCTTCGTAGGAACCTTATTCAGACTGCCCAATGGAATGTTGGCGTCACTTACCATTTTAAAACAAATCGACCTAGCTCGCGAGCCCCCCATCGGAGCATTGTGACCCGCCAAAAACCAAGCATAGCTCCGTGAAAATGGACCTTGCTAGTGCCTGATTGGGTTGGTTCTTCTCAGCTGGGAGCACGGGTACACGGGTGTCACAAAAAGCAAGTTGTGATGGTCTATGTTGATTTCCGAATTAGTTTCAGCCTGTAGCTTGCTCATTGGCACATATCGTTCGTAAATCCGGAGTAGAGATTCAGATACGGAGGAACAAGATTGTAGGATTCATAAGAGCAAAGTGGATGGGGAGAGAGAAGGGAGGAAAAGACGGAGAGAGAAGCTGTCTACTACATGTGGATGTCTCATGTGGGACTGGCTGCCTCAGGCAGAATCAGGCACCCAACATACATCCAGCTACCAGATGTTCAGTATTATAAGCAAATCTCCAGGGAAATAAATCAAATAGTGCTGAGACTGCCTACTGCTCACAATGTAGTCCACCCTGTCCGCATAATGCTGGGCCATGATTACCTATCCGCTAGCCATCCAGATAGCGTTACCAATGATAATTTGCGATGGTGTGAACGTGAACGTAAGACCCTAAAATTTGCGGTACGTGTTGCTTCCTGCTTCCACATCTGGGATTGTCGCAGGGAGGTAATGTAGATCCAATGTAATCATTCCACGGCAATTCCTCTCTTATGAGCCACCTTAAAGAATCTCGATGCGACAGACATGCAGCGAAAGCACGACCGCAATATCTGATATATCAAAATAAATTCCCCTGCGTTACTATTTGTTACCGGGCAGGAAAGCAACCGCTAAGAGAATATCATACACCCATTTGACCACCCCAGCCAATACGAAAGAAAGTCCTAACCGCCCTTGTTGACCCAAATATCCAGTCAAGAGGGGACCTCCACTCTGTGCCAGGGTCCGAGTCATGTTAACAACCCCCATAGCAGCTGTACGCTCTTCGGCTGGAACTCGCTGCGCTAGAAATGTCTGGCGTGGAGCTTGGTCGAAATCGAGAAAGATTGCCCTCGTCACCAGGAGCATAACAGCTCCATTCAATTTATCAGGAAGCGGCAGGAGCATGAGAGCCGTAGATGCAATAAGATGGCCAATGATCATTGTGCGGAGAATGCCAAAGCGTCTGACAGCAGGAATTGCCAGGATGTTGGACATCGATATAATAACGCTACATGTTGAGAATATCGAACCGAGTAGCCCGTCCGAGGTATTGGGAAATTTCCGGTTTATAAAGTAGGTGAGCCAAGAGTCTGTGGAGAACCCGGTGCCGACATTATCAAACATTATTATCGGACAGAATTTGAGTAAGAAACATCTTGTTGGTAAACTGATGGAAAATACTGGGGTTGTAGAGCGCCTATGGTACGGAAGAAGAGGTTCGCTCTCGTTCATAGATCTTGGCTGTATGGCTTCAGACGATGGTGAGTCCTGTGGCTCTGCCTCGCACATGTCAGTGAGGAAAAAAGTTACCGCGGTCTTCAAGACACCAATCGCCGAATAAAGGAAAAATGTCGCACGATAGGCATCGAGTGTTGCTATTTTATTTGACTGAAGGCACTGTATTAGCCATCCAGTCGCTAGCAATCCTAATGCCCCTCCCCATGATCCCAAAGTGTAGTACCAAGTGAGAGAAGCGTTAAGACTTTCGGCGGGAAGTAGATGTGCTAAAGTTGACTCTTCGATAACCTTGAATGGACCAATGTCTCCTCCACTAAAAACGAAAATATCGTCAACACCAACTCAAGGGGAGAGAATTCGGACTTGCTCACCTAGGACTGATCACCCCAAAAATGCTTGCTGTTAGAAGAACCCAGAAGTTGTCACAGGTAGCAAAAATGGCCCCACTGAGAGCCATCGAAATTGATCCGAAAGCCAGCATTCTTCTGCGGCCGAGACTATCAGCCATCAAGCTAGTGAGAACGCTGATGACAAGATCTCCAAGGAGAGTCGCCGACATGAAGATGCCAATTTTGGCATCGGAATTTCCAAGAGAGGAGAGAAACAAGGATAGAATCAGAGTAGAGCCGCCATAGGCACACACTCGAATAGATCGCAGAAGGAACAATAATTGCACGTCGTGGGTTGACATCGTCGATGCAGGGGTCGACTGAGATTGTCAGGAAACAAGTGTTGCCAACGTTCTGGCTGCTTATGAAAAGATATGTTCTTATGAGAGATTTCCCATTACGAACCACCTGTTATGTATGGTCTCTATGCTTGTGCCGAATTGGAACAACCAAAATAAGATCAAAACAATAGAATACAATATTGCGACAGACCCTAGGAACTGAGAATCAGAGAATGTGGTCAATATATCACAGCATGTTAAAGTTAGCTGTGAGAGGTGTTTCCAACTGCGACAGGTTTATTGTTTCCACCACAAGTTCAAGGGGGAAAAGAAGTAAAAGAAATAGTCCTGAGGCTGAAGGTTGAAGGCTCAGCGGGACGATCCTTCATCTATGAAGACCCATAGCGCGCGCTCACAGGATGTTGAGGCCTTAATGCGTGAATTAACACTGCCGATGAAGGCTAGTATAACCAACATTGGAAGGTACTTTGATTATTAAAGCCACGGTCATAGTAATTCAGGTATTTTAATTTTTCTGCCCTCCTAAAATATGGAATTCCGGCATACAATCCCCCTCCAACTGGGGTTTGACCTGTCAGAGCTATGGCTCTTTGTCCTACTTCATGTCTGCCTTCAGAGACATTGGAAACCAAACACAGCAGGCGAAAATCATCGACAATCACACAAGGGATTATATCACCAGCTAGGTCAATTTTCTTTAAAGAATTAAAGATATTGTACGTCGGTTCAGTCCGGTTCCACTTGTCAACCTTTTCAGATGCGGGAGTTGACAATATAATAACCTTGCATTCCAATCTTCCTTTTTTTCACGCCCATCTCAAAATGGGCCCTCGTGCACCCAAGCTACCTGTACACCAACTGGTAGTATTAGGTGAGATTAATCTTTATCCGCACACGATATCACCCAAAGTTCGGTTTCTGACGCAATTGCCTTTCTTCTAGCAATATGTCGGGTTGCGGAGCCAGGTATGTATAGACTCCCTCTATGCAGACACAGCAACAAACCCTAATTTACATTACGGTGAAAAGTGGTCCTGACATCTGTGCTACCATATCTCGTATGTTGAAATCGCAACGATCAACACCTCGCACTGATTGCTTTTTGACACGGCTTTAAATTCTAGCCGGAGATGCTAGAGGATGTTGGTGTTCCAAAGTCCAGTCTCGGTAAATGGGTTGGACTTGTAACAGCTACAACATCATGTGCTCAAGGTGTAACGGCTTTCTTTTGGGGAATGCTGTCAGACTATTGGGGCCGCAAACCAGTCATTCTTGTTGGGTTGACAAGTACCATGATATTTACCATCCTCTTCGGCCTGTCCAAAAGTTTAACTCAGGTGCTCACCATTCGCGCCATTCTTGGCCTGGTGAATGGAAATGTTGGTATTCTCCGAGCAATGGTCGCGGAAATGGTGCCAGAACCGTCGCTTCAGCCCCGGGCCTATAGTATTTTACCTTTGGTCTTCACCATTGGATGCATTCTGGGTCCTTCCATTGGAGGTGGGCTGGCTCGCCCTGCAGAGAGGTTCCCCTCAATATTTGATGGCCCATCGGAAATTTGGAGAAATTATCCCTTCTTACTACCGAATTTGGTTGCAGGAGGCTTCTTCTTGACAGGAATAATCACTGGATTTCTCTTTCTACAGGTCAGACTTCTCGTGTCATTCGAATAAGAGTTCTATATTCATCAACTCTAACTTACTTAACAGGAAACCCTCACTGCTCGCAAAGCGAGTCGTGACCCAGGTCTCATTCTTGGAAATAAGTTGATATATCATTTTCGCAGGACAACGATTACTCAGGGGGATAACGGTGGTGAACATGAGCCTTTGCTTGGATCGAGGGATACCGTTACCGAAGGGGACTCGGCCATGGTGGCAGAGAGACCAAGGTGGGTAGAAGTCTTTTCTTCTCAATCAAACCTTGTTCTGCTTCTCTATGCCCTTTTAGGATTCCACACCATGGCTTTTGATACTTTGCTTCCTGTGTTTCTACATCTGGAAAGCCAGCCATTGCATGCCAATCCAGAAGTCCGATTGCCCTGGAAGTTTTCCGGCGGATTTGGAATGAGTAAGTGACTATACAAGCTTGTTCAGTGATCTTTTGTCTAAATCCTTTGTTCTCGATAAGATAATAAAGGAATTAGGCTAAGTTCTGCAGATTCCCAAATGATTGGCACTATGTCCACCTGCGTCGGCGTCTTTGGTTTCCTACTCCAAATGTTGATCTTTCCTCCAATTGCAAAACGCTACGGCATTCTACGATGCCTTTGGACTGCCTCAATCATTTATCCTTTCTTATATCTGGCAGTTCCATTTGCTATTTTTCTCCCACCCTCATTGCAACCAGGAGGTGTCGGCCTGCTTATGTTCATAAAATTGGCAGCGACCACTTTTGCCTTCCCGTGTTGTACCATCCAATTGACCAAATCCGTGGGTCGGCTCTCCGCCCTGGGTACATTGAATGGAGTCGCGACCAGTGTGAGCTCATTCGGAAGAGCCATTGGACCCGCTGTTGTGGGTGCAACCTTCTCGTTTGGTGTTCAAAGAGGGTATATTATTATTACTTGGTGGATATTAGCAGCGTTTAGTACGTTGTCTATCTTGTGTCTCCGCTGGATTTCCGATGAACCCAAGGAATCTTTGTGAAGTCTACCTGGAGATTGGTCTAGGTGTTATTTACAGATTGTGCATAAGCCATATGCTTCAAACTGAGTATCGTAGTAATTAGGTTTTAGATTAAATCGTGCGCATCCCTGGGTTTGCCAAATCCTTGAGCACATGAGATACGAATAGGGGGGTTACCAGGTTGTCAGATGACATTTTACCAGTGGCTTGTAGTAGGAGGTTAGTATGACGTTGATACTGCTAGTAGGAGGTAGGAATAATAAATCACGCCTTAGTAAGCTGTTTGGTTGTTAGGGTCGATTCTTCTTGTAAGGGTCTAAAAATTACCAGTGGCATTATGATACTGAGGGGTATTTGAAATACTAGAATGCTACCAATATTAGCTAGTAATATTCATAACCCAATGAGACACGTATTGTATTTTGTTTTTAATACCTAATTCTCGTCAGTTATACGATAAAATACGAGCGAGATATTATGTGGGCACCTTGTACTAATAACCTGACAGCTTACTAGGCCGTACTACTAGCAATACCAACCTCCTACCAGAAGAAGATGGTAAAAATAACACCTGATCACCTGGCAACCTGACGACTACCGCACCGGGGAGATACCTCTCCTTCAAACTTCCTTCAAAAGGTTAACCTTTAATAATCATGGGATCTGGATATTTCAAGATTCAAATCAAGTTGGAATTGTATATATCTGCTGAACTTCAAGCCCCATGGATCTCTTTCCCCGGCTGAATATAATCCAATTTGTTAGACCCAGGCCCTCTCAAAACCTCGAATTTCATTTTCATCCAATCTGCACATGTATATTTTCCTTGTGAGATCCCTGGGTCACCCTCCAGTGGCCACATAATCGTTGATCGTGCTGGTCGTAATAGAAATGCAAGACTGTATCGCTCTTCCATGCCCATCCCTGGCAGTGACGCAACGCGATGCAACACGCTATGGAATCGGCGACTGGAGAGAACACTTAAAGCATCGCCAATATTGACTAGAGCCATCCCACTTTGAGGGGGCACGTACAGCCAGTCTGTACTGCCGGAAGGCAATATTTGAAGGCCGGGGGTATCGGCAAAGAGGAAGGTCAGAGAGCCCATATCTGTGTGAGCCTGTTGGGGCACATGTAACGTAGACTCGCCACAATGCATGTACTTCAGCATACGGACGATATTCATTGATGGTTCACCAGACTCTGACTGCGGAATGTCATGTAATGATTGCAAGGTATGCTCTCCCGACAGGCATAAATTATCGGAAAGAATACTGAGGATATCATGGGCAAGAGATAGGCATGTGGTAGTGAAGTGCTCTAGGTCTGGCAAATGATGGTCCATTATCTGGGGTCGTGGAGCATGCCCCGAGGTAGACGATAGAATGTCGTCTTGTCCAACCTGTACCGGAAATGTTCAGTCTTCGCATGAATGGTGATCCTCCCAAGAGGGACAATTTTGACTCACAGCATAGCTTTCAAACCCATCTCGTGTCCCTTTGATACCTCCAACGTTTCGTCCAACTGGCTTATAGCTATACTCATGAGAGGTTGTCAGTTTATATTCGTGTATTAAGTACGTAAGTAGTGATCGTACCCATTCAACTTTAGTTCACCGAACTTGTCAATATCATAGTACTCTTTATCACGGGTCGCTAGTGCGAAGAGACCACGAGTAAGCGACTTCATGTTTGTCAGACAACTCTGAGCGCCTTTGTCCTCTGAAAGGTCCAAGTAGAAAATCCCGTCATTTTGTGCAGCATTGACGAGCTTGGCTATCTCTTTGGGCGATCGGGCTTTCATTCCCGTGGCATTTATGGTATGCAGCTTAGTGACGAAGCTGGAAGGCAGCATGGCTGAACTAAGCACTTCAACAAAGCACACGGCCAGCAAAAGCAATCACGTCACTCCCTCGAGGTGCAAAAGGTGAACAGCTGAGGGGAAATACCAGGCTTTACAACCGCTGCCTTACCTTTCCTTCCTTGATTTTTTCGTGCTACAGTAGTCTAGTGAATATGTAACACAAACATGTGAAAAGACCCATGGTGCTTTCAGATACTATATCGCTGATACATCAACCAGCCCCATACTATCCGAAGTGATGAAACATGGTTACTCCTCCTGTAAACAAGGGAATTGCTATGACCGATTGCATCCGATCGCTTATGCACTTTGTGATGCATACCTAGGTAGTCACACCTGAGCACTACGATATTATGCTTCATGCATTCTGCCGATCGGCTGACCCAGATTTCAGAGTTTGTGACTATTCATGCCCAGCCTGAGGGACTATCCCAGTCTCTGTAATGTATTTGCAGTATATGAGACGTTGTTTCTTCGTACCCTGCCATAAGGGACGGGACTATCCATGGATATTTTACAGCCGTTGGATAAAGGAAATATATTTCCGAGCTGTATATTTAGAGACCAATGTCATACAGTCTGCCAATCTACAGACCTGAGAATCCCCCGAACTTTTTAGTTGAAGTTCTCTTCCTTGCTGCACTATGACGATCGAATATTTCTGGACCTCACTCGACCCAGGCTATCAGAAGCATATTCAGGCGATCGAGCAATCAGACAAGGTCAAAGTCGCCTTCCCCCTCGTTATCACCCGACAGCTCCGGATTCTGAGGGGTCCAAGGATGCAATATTTCGTGAGATATCCCGCCTGGCTGCACAGCCCAATGATTTAAGTGTTACTTCGCCACTGAGAAGATTGCTTGACGCTCATGGCGGCGCCATTCACGTCCGCAACCTCCCATTGGGTAGTACCCAAGACTTCTCTGATTTTATCACTGCTTTGGTGGGAACCGGGCCGTATGGTTGGAAACCACACATCCACAAAGGTTCCGAAGTGCCCAGGAAGCCGTTGGCGGAGCATGTCATAACTGCAGATGAGTGAGTCCCCCCGAGATATTCAACGGCGGCAATTTTCACGAGGTGTATTTGATACATGCTGATATACGGTCGCCAAGGGGGCCAGGATTAAAGAGCTCAATTGAAAAAGGCATCGCTTTCAAGGTCCCGCACACAGCAATGTGGCAGGATGGAACTCTTGGGGGAGCTAGGGTTTACAAACCCTGCGCTTTTGGACCGCCAGAAAGTTCACAGGGAGTCGATGAGTGCATCTTTATTCTAGACACGGAGGAGAACAGGCGGCAGGTTGAGGGTCGTATCCGCGAATTGGCTGGTATGGGTGGATAGCGCGATGACTTGAAAGATCATCTCGATCTTCCGGAATGGCAGCGGAGAGGGTTTGATTGGACTTGGAAAGAAGGTGGCGGATTGGAGGTTGTTAATCGTATGCCGGGTGCGTTCCCTCTCATAATGATTCAATTGTGTACCGTCAGATTGATGCTAAAAGATTCTTTCGATCTAGGTGTCCGCTTTCATCCGACACAACAGCGCCCTGCTGTGTTCAAGGGGGATACGGTTGTGATGAAGACTAATAAAAATACTGATATATTTTATTAGTCTCTGTCAACTCGACACCACAATGCCACCAAACATCAGACTTTCCAGCCACCATTCACTTACCGCGACACGGAAGGCAAAGAAATATTGGTCTGGCCATCTCATGTGAGTGGACTTTTTAAGTTTCCCTTCTAGGGAATTTACATCCTAACTAAGAATCACTCACTCCAGTTTGCTGGAGTCGACGACGATGAACCAATTCCAAAGGTGTGGCTTGATCAAATGGACAAATTTCAAAAGCAACTGAGCTCCGATGTCCAGTGGCACCCAGGAGATGCTTTATTAATTGATGTAAGTATTCCAGGCAGAATAATGAGAACAGCGACTAATAATTCGCAGAACTTTGCCGTGCAACATGCTCGATGGGCGTGGTCTGGCGAGCGCAAAGTTTTCGCAAGCTTTCTGGGATCAGGCTGGCCTTCGTGCTGACCCTATCTACCCACGGGGTCGATGACGCGTCTTTGTTTCTTTTTTCTTCACAAGATATGTTTAGAGTTCCGCAAGGCTCATTTTGTGTATAGCTGTTGTGGCTGCTACGGAATTGTAGGGGCCAGAAAGTGGGGAGGGAGAGACTTGATTCCTATGGAGCTGCAGAGGGATTTATGCCTGAGGTATCAATGTCGCGGCCTAAGGCCACCACCATAACAATAACTACTGTCGGACTAATACTCGTTTTCTACGTATATTCCAGCTTGTGTACTCCATACGGACCTTGGAGGCATGAGGCCCTAAATGTACATAAACGTAGGAAATAATTGTCTCCCGTATATCACTTATTTTTCCCTCCTCGAGGTATATTCTTCCGTATCTACACTGTAGTCTCAAGGAATCATCTGTTTCCTATACGCCGGTAGTTTGAGGCTTAAACAGTAACATATCCAAGGCCAATAAATCCAACGGGAATATCTAGTGTCTAGAGTAATTCTTTAACACCCCAGCAAAATGACGCTCTAAGCAAGCACACCCATCGGATCCCAACGCGGCAAGATCTTTGGAGTCTGCCTGAGCACAGCTCGTGTATCAGCCGAAAGGAACTGTGATTCAATGACAGCCTGGAATGTATACTCCTCCATCCATCGGTCGGTCATCACAAACCAGCCCTTATCACCAGCCTCCTCTCCCCATGAATTCTCCACACGCCATCGAACAGGTCGATCACCCGGAAGGAGATGGACGCCAGTGATGACCATTGCATGGCTCATCGCGGTTTCTCCACTAGCGAGACGCTCGGCTTTGGTCATGCGAAGCGAGATGTTCAATCCGAGTTTAAGGTCGGTCAGGTCGGCATCCATCACGCCCCGGTTGCGATCGTAAAATTTACCCACGTCACACCCGAAAAACACGGGACGTCCTGCTTTCAGCATCGAGATAACTCCCTGCTTGAGCGTATCCATCTCGACGTTAATGTACGTGAGGGGTCGCCCTTCTATCACGTTACCAAGTCTCTCAACCGTCAGTAAGCGGTTCGACTCGTGTCGTGGATCATGAACTAGGCTGAATAGCGATCCTGAACCTGCTTGGAGGGCCTGTTGTCCAAGTTCTTTTGGAGTATTCCGCACTTCACGGGCCGTTTTCTTGGCGTCGTAGTATTGCCAAACAAATGTTTCGTCTGGCTTCGGTGGAGGACCCAGTAAGAGTGTTACGAGTGAGTGGATTTCCTCTAAGAACTGCTCCTTTGTTGCAGCTAACAGTTGTTCAGCCTGGGCCTCTCTGTTAGCCTCCTTTATGGCCAGTCGCCGCAAAACCAAAGCCTGCTCGCGTAGCTTGGCTGTGAGTAGCCAGTTCATTTTCCCGCTACTCTGGGCATGGAAGTTGTCAGGATAGAGAGTATGTGGGACAAGTCCGTACTTGTCAACAAGATTAGCGACCATATCCCATTGGCCGCCATCCGTAACGGGGTCCTCAAGCAGCTTCTGGACCAGTCGACCAGAGAAATCCTGGTCGGCAGTGTCGATAATTTGCTCGTAGAAATAGTTTGCCTTCTCAATCTTGTCCCAGTAGAACAGATAGGCTTGGCTAAGTTCGAATTCAGGCAGATTATATGCCTTCATCAACGGGACACGGAAGATGTTGGTCGCGGCAAAGAGCCAGCAGCGACCGGTTGAGCGCTGATTGGTGATCGGCCCTCCTTCTATGGGCACAGTCAGGTTGAAGATATGCAGATCGGTGCTAAGCGCGTTGCGATTCATGAGGATTTCTGCAAAAGACTTGTCGGCGAAACTTGATATCGCGAGACGATTCTACTCAAGAGTGAGTGGTTGTTTACTGTAATATATTGCCTAGGCTGGAGACAATGCTGGAAAAATTACCTTCGGGTCGCTTAGAAGAGTGTTACTCCAGTCTACCATACGAGGCAGTGTCACGGTCTGAAGCCGTTCACGCGCCAGGTATGGTGGTGGTGCTATTGTTTTGTCAACGAGACTGAAATGGCAGATGATGGACAAAGCCTACTAACGAGTACTCAAAGACTCCTCCTTCATATTCAGATCTCTCTGTGTCATACCCGTCTTAATTGCGAAGGTCTTCTCCGACTTCCTGTTGGTGGGTGCAGGTTTAGAGTATGTCGCCCCCATGGTTATTGTCTCTGGGTGTGAATGTTCAGAATCACGACGAATAACTCAGATAGTTCTTCAAGCCTTCAGAAGGGGAAGAGTGAGGTCAAAGAACAAGGGAAAATCAAAGCAGGGACGATAACATATAAAGCGCTCAGTGCGGGGTAGCCCTAGATAATGCAAGTTGGAGGCGTTATTGAGAGGCGTGATTGATGGTGAATCCAATAGGTCGGGAGATACTGATCGTCGTGTTTCGTCATATTATAACTACATCCAACGTATCATAGCTTTATCGCTACTTCGGAGTATCGATGATTGGTAGCCCCCAAGTACCTTGGTAGACAGGGTGATATGACCTTGTAGGTACATAAGCCGCATTTTTACAGCCTGCTGCATTCATCCTTTTGATATTTGTCTGGTTATATATCTAACAGAACACCCAGGAGATTTTGTGGGTCACCTGTACAGGCATTCGGGAAATTAAGGAAAGGGAAAAGGGAAGCAGCTCTAGGCACAATTAAGCACGGCGAACAATATAGTCATCTATTTGAAGACATCAGTCACTTGTCCAGATATGAAATCTGACTCTCCACTTACAGATGGGGGAAGAGGGTGCCTTCCAAATTGCTATCTCCACCAGGTTCGCCATTTTGAATTGCGTACGCATCATCCCCGGCGAATATTTGAAGTGGCCATGGAGAGTTATAAGATCCCCAGTCGAGAACCGTATTCCAACAGAAGATGCTTCCACATCTCTCAAGGCTCGGAATTGGGTCTGGTGCATAGGTGGCTTTAAGAGTCCGGTCATCTCCCAATCCTCCGGTGCATACCAGTCATGCCCAAGGAGTGCGTTTGAATTGGCCAGGCCATGACGAACGTATCTCTCATAACATCCCTGTCGATCGTGGTATGACTTCCAGATCTTGTCTCGGTCCGAGTGAGAATCCATGCAAAGTAGCATTCGATCATCTGGGCCCATGAGAGAAGCCCATCGGGCCAATCCTTGTGCTGCGCTATCAACCGGTCCGTTCCCTAAAATCGATCCGAGAGATAAAAGCCACTTCGGACCAGGAGGCAGGGTCTTAGCCCATGAGAAACCGTGTTCAAATGAACCCCAGAGTCCGGTACACTCGACATATTTAAATTGTTCCGCGAATTGGCCGACTCCCCGCTTCAAGGCGGCTTCAGACAGATCAAGAGCATAGTAATGAACTCGCTTCTGCGATTTGTCGATAAATTCTAACAGTGGGCGAACTTTTCGGAGATCGCTAGTTGTCAATGAAAAGGACAATAAGTACATCTCAAGTGTCCTGATCTGGAACGAACTTACCCACTGCCGAGATCGATCAATGAACATCCCTCGGGGATTTGTGAAACTATCTCCTGTCCATGCGCAATAAACAAGTCCACTTCGTCTTGAGTTTGATAGTATTCTGGTGCGTAAGTGAGTTCGCTCCATAGCTCCAACCCTCGGTCATCGCACATCAGAGCGGAGGGCAGACTCGGTGATTTTCCTTCGCACAATGGCTGAAGGAACTGAGTTTGGAACATAGCCTGGAGATATTGCATATCAGCGCCACCAATGTCAATGACATTCGTATCCATTGTGGTTGGAATCGAGAACTTTGTAGAGTCAGATCTGGTAGTGGTAAATTTGTCCTCGTGTCTGACTTGATGCCCGCAAATTGGGGTTGATGACAATCGTACGGGCAGAAGCTTTCGGCCAGGGCACTACTTCGTGTCCATGTTCTCTCCAAATTTCATCTGTTGGATTTACAAAACATGGTACGGGTAGTGGTAGTGGTAATATTGAAATCGGACGTATGTAATTTACTTTAGTCGAATACCTAATTCTGCAGTACTGGTATTGAATATCTTGTAATATAACGGTATGGTAAGTAATGTAAACTTCTTCAATTCTGCGCTATCTCACCGATGCCCCTGGCTACCTTCGACCGAGTCCTTTAGCATGCTAACGTTGGCAGCTGCGCCACACGAAACTAGGCCCCTGTCGAGCGCCCCTACAATGAATCGAGCTCCGAGCTCCTGGACAGCCAACCGCCACAGATCCGGACGGCCGAACAACCCCGATATGCCCCAAACCTTGCCATACTTATGTGCAGCGGCCGAGACATCGCGAAGCGCCTTCTGATACAGTGGATGATCCCATTGTGCGAGGATACCCAACTCGATTGTCAGATCCATAGACCCAATTAAGAGAACGTCCACCCCGTCCACAGCGGCGATTGAGTCCACATTTTCCAGCGCATCACGAGTCTCAACCTGGATGAAGCAGACAGCATCTTTCTCAGCAAGGACCCTGGTGGCTTCCTCAGCCGGGAGGCCCGTGCCGTCATCAGATTCCAACAAGGACGGATTGATGGATCGGATTCCTAGTGGTGGATACTTCGCCATTTTTACAGCTGCCGCCGCATCAGCTGACGGAAAGTATGTATGCGTTAGCTATCCATCAATCGCACCTCAACCTCCACGGAGAAAGTTTTACTCACATGCTGTGTGGCTATGCGGGAATATGATGCCGCGTGCATCCCCGTCCAACACACGCTGGATATAGCCATTCCCTGTCTCTCCTGGCACCCGAGCAAAGGGCGAGACATTGGCCATATTCGCCACCTGACATAGCTCCCATGCGGTCTGCAGTGTGAATGCAGAGTGCTCCAGATCAAGGAATACGCTGTCGTACCCCGCACTTTTCGCAATTTGGACAATCTCGATTTGGCCTATGAATCTGACTCCAAGAGCCTAGCGGTATTTTCTCCAAATCAGCACATTGGATTCTCTCCGTCACCTGTCTTGTTTGGGCCAATCATGGAAACCCACTGTGCAGAGTTTGCCCTGTGCTACACAAGCACTAAGTGTATTATTTGGTGGTAGGACCATGGCGATAATGGTTGATGTTCACTTATCTTGTTTCGATAACGTTCAAAATCCGCCTAATGCACCGGCTATTCTTCCGCTCTGGGGGCTGGCTCCATTTATGTGTTTCCTTCAATGCGAATGGTCACAAGTACTGGTGAAGGAATACCAAATTGTTCGAGGAACACGCGAAATGCAAGGCCCTAAGGGCTTTCACAACTATTGTATAACATGCTAAAGCTATGCGGATATTGAGAAAAGAGTTTTAGGGCCAGGGAACAATTGAGAACTTGATATATCCATTGTGAATGTCTAGACCACTGCGGTTGCAGCAGTTCTCAGAGCTCCCTACGCATGTCGCATTTTGACCGCTTGGTCAATGGGCAAACGCACCTCAGTGATAGTGAACAGATCAGCGTTGTGTCGAATGTTCCGAGAGTCCTTCCTCGATCGAGTCCTTCACCTCAAATGGAGTCTCGAACGGACGCTCCCCTTGTGGAGTTAGGCGTGCGAGGTGTCGACGCTCCCGGGTCATCCAGTCGAAGATGGCAGTATGTGCTGTGACTCGATTCTGGAGGGTAATAGACAAGTATAGTTAGACTCAAGCAAGGACAGACATGGTCAAATATTGGAAGGTGGTCTAGCTTACATCCCATATAATGACCATTTTGGGCTCCCATTTGATGCGGCATTGCAGGTCAGGGCTATTCGCGATATGTTGGTATAGAAAGCTCAAAATACAGTCGCTCTCCTCTCGTTTCATGTCTATAATTCCTCGAGTGAATTGCCGATTGACAAAGAGCGCCTTTTCTCTCGTGACTGGATGCGTGCGCACAATAGGATGCACGGTTTCGATGGGCTCCCGTCGGACGATACTTCCCTTGCGACGTGCCGTCTCCGCCTGTTGTACGCCTGAATGTAGTGCACTCAGACCGTGAAGCCGCTCTTGGAAAGCTGGCGACAAACGACGGTACGCCTCCACTTGATCCGCGAACAGGGTATCACCGCCTGTCTCAGGTGTCTCGAGTATGTACATAATGGTCAGAGCGGGCGGTTGTTCCTCGTAAGTGACATCCGAGTGCCATGCGGCGGATGTGGTATGGCTACTGAAGAACTCATCGTAGCTCGAATCTCCTGCTCCACGGTGTGCAAGTTGCACCTCTGGGAATCCCAAAGGTGTACCGGAAGTGGCGTTTATATGATGTCGGCCAAAGTAGCCACCCCATTTAACTGCCTTCGTGATGGGAAGATCGGCGAAATCTTGGTCTTTGAACACAACAAGCTTCCGCTGGGCAGTTAGCAGAGCTAGCTCGTCCTTCGCCGAATCGCCGAGCTTGCTCAGCTGAACAGAACCATTTATAAATGTTCCCATTGTCGGTGTTATATTCGTCGTATGAACATTCGTACCCAGTAGATGGGGAAATGTTGGATCAGCATGATTTCCTCGATCGACAAATATATATTGTTGCAGTGGTGGATATTTCTGAGTGTGATCCCATGTAGGCAGGTAGGCAGGATACTGGAGCATGGAGTATAAGTCTCAATTTCTTTTGCTTTAGGTCAAAGATGAATTTGAAGACCTTACCTTTGCAGGAGGCCATTCACTGTTACCATTCACCTCAATGTCGCGGTTGAAGGACGTGGCACCGGGGACAAGGTTCCCGCCTTTGCCAATTGCTACAGGATTGAGCTTTTTCTCTTCTATCGCCATGATATAAACTGATATTGAAGAAGAAAGAGAGCCTAATTTTGGGAGGCAGAATGGAAAAGTCTTTATATCATGCAGTGTGGGCGGTAGAAAATGACACATGTACCAGCAACGTGCGAACAATCTGAGCGAAAGAACTATTATTTGATGTGATACTTGCAGTCAGTTTCATTCGAGAATAGTGGATGACCTTATGGTCGATAGGATTTAGGTGTAGGCTTGTCCTTAAGGGCGCTTGTACACATACTGTCAACTTTTAATTATAGCTTTAGGTCAGTACAGGAAATAGTACCATCCAAAGTTTTTATAGCCAAGAATCGTAATCCTCTTGATTTCCTGGAGTCTGACATATCATACGGAGTACATAGTGTCTTTAGTATTAGGCCTTGTCAAGAACTGATCTGATTTGCTTGCGTAGCCTACTCCAATCACCCCCGGTCAGAGCATCTCCGCCCAAGGCCACTTGAAATAAAAATGATCTTTATTCCATCTTCTCTCCTCATATTTCCATGTTCAAGTGACCCGAATGAGCTCTTCCATAGACAACTCCTCGGTAGAGGAGAATGCCAGTCTTCTTCATGGCCAGTCGGTGCATGGCAGAAAGATCAGTTGGACGTCAGCCTACGTCCTCATCATCTCTCGGATGACAGGATCCGGGATTTTCGCTGCACCAGGTGTGGTGGTACAGTCTGCTGGAAGTATTGGCCTGTCTATTTTGATTTGGCTTGTCGGCGTGATGCTGGCTGCGTGTGCTGCCACAGTAGCGATGGAGTACGGGTGCATGCTGCCCCGGAGTGGCGGCCAGAACTTATATTTAGAATATACCTATCGGCGACCGAAATACCTGGTGATGAGCGTACTCTCCGTCCAAGTCTTCCTGCAAACATTTACTGCGAACAACTGCATTGTGTTTGGCGAGTATCTTCAGGAAGCCTTGCCAGTTGACTTCGGGCCGGGTGCGCCCAAGGCGGCTGCCCTGGGACTGTTGACTTTCACCGCCGTTATACATGGCGTGTTTGCCCCCCTGGGGGTTAAGATACAAAATTGTCTAGGCTTTTTGAAAATTGGTATGATGGTGCTTCTCATGGGAATCGCCCTTTTCGCCGTGGCTGGTGGACGACTCGACCGCGGAGATCTGCCCCACCGGGGTAGCACCAATAAAGATATTTGGCAAGGATCGGACTGGCGATGGCATAGTACTTCGCAAGGTTTATTGCGAGTCTACTACGCCTACGCAGGGGTTGACAACGCCAATATGGTTCTCAATGAAGTGCGAGACCCCGTTGGCATGCTACGTGTCGTCGTTCCTCTGGCTTTGGCGACAATCTTTGCCGTCTACTTGCTAGTGAATTTGGCTTTTTTTCTTGTTTTGCCGGTCGACATTATCAAGGGAAGTGGTGAGCTTGTTGGACATGAGTTCTTTGTTCGACTATTTGGCCCTGGGGATGGGGCCAGAGTATTCTCTTTGCTCATTTCATGTTGCATAGCAGGCAATGTCATGGTGGGTGTCTTCAGCCTAGTAAGTTGAGGATTTCGATCTCTTTGAAGAAAGCAACCGATAACCAATTCTGATACAGGCGAGACAAAATCAGGAAATTGCACGTAGAGGGTTTTATCCTCGTTTGTTCGCTTCTTCCCGTCCTTTCAATGCGCCGCTCGGCGGAGTGATATTGAATTTTATTCCGGCAGGACTCATTATTCTTGCCGTCCCATCGTCCCACGTCTATTCCTTCATGCTCGATATCGAAGGCTATCCGGCTCAAATTTCAGCCTTTGCCATTGCTACAGGGTTGCTTTGGTTGCGCTGGACCCGCCCCCAGCTACCTCGACCTTTCAAAGCCTCTATTCCTATGGTTGTGGTGTATCTCACAATTTGCGCTTCACAAGTCATCTCGCCATTTTTGCCGTCATCTACCACCTCGTCCGGTGTATGGGAGGGGAAGTATGCATTGGTGGGGTTGGCAATGTGGGCACTCCAGTTCCTTTATCTTACGTCCAATCTCCCATTTGGTTGAATTATACAACTTCATGAAGCTAACTTTATAAAGCCTCTCATGTGCAACTCTTTATTGGTTGATCTGGGCTAGAGTCTTGCCAAGCATTTGGAGTCAACGCTTGGTTGAAGTATCTGGAACTCTTTCGGATGACACCACATTTACATCTATCCAACGGGCCCCCGCTCCATCATCTCAGCCGCAGAGTCTCCGTGATGATGATGATCCTCTTTATCATCATGACTAGCGGGCTGTCTGGCACGAGTCCACTCCACGAGTACCTGGAAATCTCGACAGGTGTGCACATTTTCAAAATCGGGGCTCCAGCGGTCTCGAGCAGCAGAGTACACGACGTGTGCCGGGGTCATATCACCTGAACACATGATGGACTGTCGAATGTAATCCAGACAGTGATCTAATGATACCATGAACACCACTGGTTAACCACTGCATCCATTTGTAGACCTCCTAGGGATAAAGTACTGCGTACCTGTATGTAAAGCTGATATCTCAGGTCCATCCGGATCGGGATAGTAGTCTGGGTATAGTGCCTGTCGAACTTTGTTCTACCAGTACTAATTAGGATTCCAGAAAGGAGACAAAATAGCATGGCACTTAAAAACATTATAGATACTTACCAAGCAGTGAAGCTGATGAAAGACATCTAATCCAGTAACGTATTCGCCCGTAGGTCTCTGTCTAGTCTTCCCACGAACCATATCGGCCTCACGACCAATGAGATCCACGCCAGCGACTAAATCACTCGTTAGCTCATGGGTAGGATTCATGAATTAAATTTCATTCAAAGATATGTTGAAGAACATGCTTTCCGTTATATCGTCCCAGAGCCGATCTGTGGCTGGATTCGGTGGTCCAACCCATTCTGGCCCGCCATCGGATAACCGGTTTCGCACCACTGTTCCATTCGCATCGTAGTATAGACCACCTGTAAATCGAACCTTGTTGATTTGAATAGCAGGAAATGCAGCATCTACAAACAATCTCAGATTGCAAGTCTCAAAAAATATCAAATCAACTTACCTAAGTCGGTACTGAATCCGCTCTCATAGGTTCCACGGGGAGGGGCTGAGGCCCAGTCCATTGCGAGAAGGCAGAATGAGATTAAAGTAAACCCTGATGTGGAAAGAATCCACGGCCAGTGAGTAGGGATCGCAAATTTCCTTCGCCGGCGAGTCCGAAGTGAGTGGCTTCCATTCCCAAGTAATGGAGGGCTTTCAGTTGTATCGAGAGGCTGATAGCCGTCATTGTCGGAACTTAAGGAGTCGCGGTGCTCTTTCATATTGTCTATGGTGTTCAAAGAGGCCATTTCGTGTGTATGTGTAGGGTGTTGTTCTGAACTGTAACAGCACCCTCTAAATATCGGGAGACAATCAACAAATAATAGTGATTCCGATGTAGACAATGCTAAGCTACCGTACAATAATCTTAACGGCCAAATCCAAGAACATTCCGATACTCCGTCTTCAATAGGTAGATACCATTGCATACTCCCCAAGAAAATGATCAATTACACTGTATCTCTAGATACTGGTTTGGATACAGATCTGAAAGACGAGACCTCTGTGACCTTGAATCAAAAGGCCTCCAGAGGCTTGTGCGTAGACAACACACAAAAGCATAGTCGGATTGCGAATATGTATAATAGAGCACCGACACCCGACCTGTGCGTTAATTAGTCTCTGATGATATATCGACTTGGCCCACGAAAGAGGGGTCGGGCCGCGTTCAGCTGCGCCATTGATGTAGTGTACCTATATGATAGCCAGTAAGTTTTCTGTACAATCTTAACGGATACCATATTGAACCAAGGTGGGTGGGCATTAAATCGGCCAGTTACGAGGGTTCCCTCTAAAGTGTCAAAACACAATGAGCTCCAATTCCATGCATCAATTCAGTCGTGTCGTAGTGCATCAATAGTGGGAACACTAAGACGCATGTGACCTTTGCTTTTGAAGTATATTTACGCTTCTTTGTAGGACAGAAATTATACGTCGTAGACTGTTGTTTAATGAATTTCCATTTCTATGTAATGATACCTGAGGGCCCCGATGGATTAATTACGCCCTCTAGAATGGGGTGCCAGTTGTTCACGGGCTTCTTCTTAAAGCCCACTCAGTTAGGGGTAACTTCTCCAGCTTCCTAACAGTTGGTCGAAGGTATAACAGGAAGATACCGCTCCCCAAGAAAAGGGTAACACCGCCGATAATGTAGTAGCCATCTGAGAAAATGTGGCATTGCCCCCCTTTCTGTATGCAAACTGCCTTTTCCTCCAAGGTGTTGCAAGACATTTGGACGGGTACTTCCCCTGGTTGGTAATGGTCTGGAGGAAATTGACAAGTTGACTTGCTTGCGAGGTCAATGAGCTTCATAGCGGGAATGCGGGGAAGAATACCTCCCATATTTTGAGCACTGTATTTGAGATTATTAATAAATTATCCTCCTTGAAGAACCATTCAATGGGGAAGGTGTGACAGGCAACTCACGTCGCGAGAATGGTCATATATGTACCAGCCACGACCGGGTCCGCCACTCGTAGATGGAAGTTGAGGAATGTTGTGAACATAACGGTCGCTGAGGTAACTGAAAACATCCGTTGGATGAACACTACAAAGATGTAAAATGAAGATGGTGGGCCGTCGGGGCCCAGCGCAACAACCAGTGCCGCTATCACGACTGAGAAAAGCCGGATGGAGTATGTGACACTCCAAACACGCAAAGGCTGATATTTTTTACTGAAAACACCGCCCAAATGTGCCGATGCAAGGTCAAATGGCATTATGATAAGAACCAACATGGCCAGGTTCGCATTTCCAAACCCTTTGTCAAGCAATTTAAGATCAGTCGCACCATCGTTCACTTCGAACGCAAGTCTGGCCAGTAGATGAACAAGTACTGTTCTCTGTATTGGTCGAAGACGAAGGATTGACACAATGGCTTGATACGCGCTTATAATTGAGCGCTTCACATCCTTTGACTCGGCATCTTCTTGCTTCAAAAGCGGGAGTAAAGCACCAGTAGCAAGATAGAAGACACCCCAATGAGAGACAAAGTTTCCCAACGCCGAGGCAGCTTGATCCGGGACCGATAGTTTAGGTTCATAAACAAACATGAAAAGGCTATAAGCAGTGAAGGCACCGGAAATGCTGCCCAAGGTATGGGCACTGGAGACCCAATGGAGCTTTTCACTTGGTAAAAGCCGAACCCCCAGCCATCAGTGACACAGCTTTGAATCGCGGATAGTGTCGATACCAATACCCAGGCTAGAACGTATAGCAACCCTTGACTAGTCTTTGCGGAACGTTCGATCTCCGAAAAGTAAAAGGTAGTCCACACCCCAATTGCCACCATGGCAAGGCCCATTAACAACTGCGTCGGCAGTATCCAAGTCAAACGTCGTCCAACACGACCACTCCAGTAAAAGTCAACAATTGGGCCCCAGATGAGCTTTAGGCAGTGGGGATAAACCGTCAAGGTGAACATTCCAACTTCCCCGTAGGGGAGGAACCGCTTGAGAATGGTTGGGATGGTTGCTCCCGCAAGACCAGCAGGAATACCTTGGCTGAAATAAAGTAAAAATAGCATGCTCAAGTTTCCGAACTCAGTCGTATTCAGACTATCTTTTCGGTGTTTGTTGGCTTCTATTGATCTGTCGGGTGAGATGGAATGCGAGCGTTGACTGCCTTCCTCAAGAGGGATTGAATCACAGTGGTCATGCTTGGGCACAACCATAGGCATATTGGAGAACTTTGATGAAAAAGGAAGGTGTGGATGAGATGGGAATTAGGAAAAAGTAGGATTCCTTCAACAGCCATCACGTTCAAGAAAGCAACAGCGAGGTGTGCTGGGAGTCTATCGTATTTCCAGTATACCCTCCCCAACGGTATGGGGATATGCAAGACGCTTACAAATTTGGAGATCAGTCAACTGGTAATTTAAGCACAGTCCGTACGGTCTACCCTTTTGAGGGATTGCATATGTAGGATGCAGAGTGGACGTAGCTTCCACTCGAAGTCGAGTGGAGTCTCCGCGGAAGGTATACATCGCTCCTGTGCATGTCCGTACGTGCGGCAGGAAGCTCTGTGTTAGGAGAGGTCGACGTGATGGACATCGAAGTGCACAGCTCACTGTGAGATTGATTGATTAAGCCACAGAAGTTAAGAAAGATACTATGAAGTCCGACACTCTGCTTTCATCCAGACAGATGCGAACACATCATATCGACAAGTCATGGGTCTGCATTGATTGAAATCGAATTATTTCGTGCCGGTCTAGGAGCCTGCAGCTGCGGCAATTTTGACATCATAGACAGTTTGACGCAATCAGGTGGTATAGCAGAGCCGGGGTCAGGGAAAAGAAGACAATCAACCTATGGAGGACTATCTTGCTGAGCTTCTAGGACCCAGTATCAAAGGGTTGCCCGTTATATAAGAGCCACCTTGACACGAACTGACATATATCTTCATCACACAAGTCTTCTTGAGATTCCAATTTCGTCATCTATAACGTCTATAAGTCTCTCCACAAAATCCTTTTATATCCCACCCCACGTCGAAATGCGGTCGAGCATTGCTTTAGTCATTCTGGCTGCCCTTGGCGTCATGTCGGCACCCGTTGGTGAGGCAACCTTCTGTCACAATTTAGTGAAGGCCTGAAGATTCTAATAAATACAAGCGGAACCTGACACTCTTGGCCACGGTGAATATGCTCGCGACACTCTCGGTCATGGCGAATATGCTCGCGACACTCTCGGTCATGGCGAATATGCTCGCGACACTCTCGGCCATGGCGAATATGCCCGCGACAACCTTGGTCATGGCGAATATGCTCGCGATACATTGGGTCACGGAGAGTATGCTCGTGACGAGTAGAAGGAGTAAATATAAGAAGGTTAAATCCATATCTCTCGTCTGACGAAGCCTCTTGGATATAAGACTTGTCGTTATATAGTATCCAATCAACGAAGAATCAACACTTTTTGACCGCAGGGAAGACCTACAGTTTCCTTTCATAGCCGCACCTAGCCCGGAAAAATATGGTTTTGATTGGACGCAAATTTTACCACTGAATGGTTTTTTATATATCGCTGGTAAAGATACATATTTTTTTGATATGATGCCTCAGTCTCCTTGAGAAACTCGCACTACCGCCATGGAGGAGGCTGACCGAGTGCTACAAAAGTAGTTGCAGGCGAATCTAAGGGAGAAAAAAAAAATCCTCGATAGTTGAGGAAGATCTAGCAAAGGAAGCAGGTCTTGCCAAGGTGTATCGCGGCCAGGGTTAGAAACTAATATTAGTAATATTGATGCCTGAATTTGCTCACTCTGCCTGAATATTTGCCAGCAGAAAATATGGATACCTGAATTACAATAACAGAGGTACTTGAAATCTATGAGGATGGCATAATTATGATGAGTCAAGAAGTAGGCACACTTCAGAAAAACAGGTCAATCCTTTGCGCCGGTTATAGAGCGATAGTTTCTGCTGTGTAAGTAGTCGTAGCAACGATGCAATACCGGTTCCCATGGCGCAAAATGTCCGGATCTCATATATATTGTACAAGATATTCTGACTTCTTGCTTTCACTTGGTTTACATTTTCCAACAAGAGTACGTATTTTTCACTACCATCAATTCCAGTTCTTCCCATAAAGTAAAGATGACTCGGGAATGTAAACCTCGCCCACCGCTCCTGATTCTTACCTATCCTCGAACGGCGTCAAATCTCCTCATGCGAATGTTGTCCTTCCCTGACCAAGAAGATACCGTGTCAGTGGAGAGTGGCGGTTATTTCTTTATGCCGGTCATCTGGAAAATGAGAGAGTGGGAGCTCTTAGATCGTCCCTCCACTGACTGGACCGATGCGGACTGGTATTGTCTGGAAGAGATATACACCTCTTGTGCGGAAAACCTTGAAGATTTGCTCCACAAAGCTCAAATTACGGGTAAAATCGCCATGTTCAAGGAGCATACCCCATTCATGATATCCCCTGCTGTTCAGTCCGCCTTTGTTCATGGGACGAAGCCCCCACTTGATCCATGGAGGGTGAAACTCGGCAGTATCTCCACAGTGATCGACGGCAAGGACTCCCAGCATGTCTTGTACAACGGAACTGTGCTCCCTTCAGAATTCCTTAGAAGTTGTGTCCCGTCATTTCTCATTCGCCACCCAGCGCTAGCATTCCCTTCATATTACCGTGTCACCCAGAAGCTCCATGGAGATAAAGAAAATATGGAAGCCATGGAATCCGCCCTAATGGAGGTCTGTACTCTTCGATGGACAAGACACCTGTATGACTGGTTTTTGGCCTTAAACAGCGAACCAGATCAAACCCAGAAGCGGGATCCCATCATCCTTGATGCCGATGATATCCTCACAAATCCAAAAGTTCTTCTTCGCTTTTGTGAGCTCGTTGGACTAGACCCATCCAAGGTTCAATTCCAATGGAATCCTGCCGCAGGGGATCAGCTGGAAAAGGTCAACCCGGTACGGCTGCACACTAGGTCAACTCTGTATGCATCCTCTGGAATCGTGACAGGAAAAACCTTCCAAGGCCTGACCATCGATGGCGAGCTCTGCAAGTGGAAAATTGAATTTGGCGAGAGAGTTGCTACCAAGTTGCACCGCTGGATTGTAGACGCAATGCCAGACTACGATTATCTTGCTCAGAGACGGTTGAAGATTGACGAGGAAACCGCCGCATAGTGCTTTGGTTACATTCTGTTTCACTTTTCCTGTCACAACATTTCATATTAACAACGCAAGTTTTGAACTTAGAAGCCCTCCGGTGTAGTAAACGTTATTGAAATTGGAAGCACACTCCTAGGCAAAGAAAATGCATAATCACGTTATTTGGGTCATCACCAAGCCTTTCTGTGACCTGCTAGCCATCGAAAGAGCATGTTGTAGTCGACCAAGCAGTTCTTTCTTATCCTCCAATCCAACCGAAATTCGCACGATTGTCTCCCGTAAACCATGGCTTGCCGCCCAGTCCTTCTGGCGTTGTAGCACCATTTGTACGTACGGTTGGGCCAGTGTTACATTTGCGCCCAAAGATGGACCTTTGTGGACATCCAGGTGGTCAAAGAACGTGGCCGCAGCTTCCACTGTTTTAAATTCGATAGTGAAGAGGCACCCGTATCCTGGGCGAAACTCGTCGGTTGGCCGCCGCATCTGCTGCGTGTAGTGATTCATCGAGGGGCTTCCCTTTGGATAATACACCGCACTCACTATGTCGTCTCCAGCCGAAGAAACGCTCGCAGCACAAGGATTGCTCCTTGAACGTTCAGGCACAAGCAAGAGAAGATGATCGACCAAGTACTCCGCTGTTTCGTTCATAATGGCTGCACGTTTCATGAAGCTTCGACTGTTTATTTCCAGTTGCATTGCGTCCTCAATATATAGTGTGTTTGTGTAAATGGCATTTAGAAGTGCCTTCAGTTCATTGTAAAAGTGGGAGTTTGGATTCAACGTGGCACTATGTGAAGTGTCATAAATTGATCCTTGAGCGTTGACAACCTTTGAGAGAGGATGACCTCGTACCTACCAGCCAGGACGTCGGCATATCCATTGAAAGATTTCGTGAGAGACGTAACCACAATATCCGCAATACCCAGCAAATCGACATTAGCGAAGCTACCAATTGTGTCGTCGACTATAACCGCTAAGTTATTCCGATCTGCGATTCGGCGAATCCGCCGTAGGTCCGGAGTATATAACAATGGATTTGACGGACATTCACACCAGATCGCCTGCATGTTGGGCTTCCTTGTCCCATAAGATGGTAGATGGCTCAGGTATTGCTCCAATGTATCCATGTCTTCGCTTGATCCGGCACTGAAGAACTTACAAGAGGGCCCATATGTCTCTAGCATCTTCAGTGTCAGCTCATAAGGGAATCCTACCATCATACTCCCGGAGCCACGCCACTGTAAAAGCATGTGATGGACATGGTAAATTGCAGACATTCCAGACGGGAAAAGAAACACATCCGAGGAAGTAACCCGCACTGCCTGGTGCGGAATAATCGTCGCTCTTTCCAAGAGATTGGCAATGCGCTGACGAAGGGTGTGATAGACTGGATGGCAAGGTGATTGAGCAGGCCCGAAAATATCTTCAGAAAGCTCCACCCGTGATTCAAACTGCACATGTAAGAGATATGTCTGGGCTAGGCGTGACGAAATTCCCGTGCCGGTCAGTCGCCAAAACGAAGCAGCGAAAGTCTTGACTGATTCGGGGTATACAACTGCCCATAACGGCGCGAGCTGCGAATTGTGGCAGTAGCAGTTGGGCTCCAAACAGCGATTGAATCGAATGATAAACTTAACAAGCGACTCGAGAGGTACAACCTCGTCATCATGGAGGGCGGTGGAAGTAATGTAGGATAGACACGCTTCGGCGCTCGCTCGATCAGGGAACAGTGAAATATCGAATTTTCCCGGAGAAAGAAACTTGAGTTTGCATCTCTGAGCCAACTGTAATATTATTGTCAATCGCCTTATCATGGAATGAGAAGTGGTGTTTGTCTCACAGTTTGAACATCGACGTGAAGGATAGACCTGGGATATCCATTTTTCAATGCATCGAGCGTCTGCGCATCGGCATTGCCCAGGCCCACCATATCTTTCCATTTCGGAAGTTGAACGGATACTGCATGCTTTCTGGATGGGACTGGAGTGCCCAGAGGGAGGGTAACTTGGTTGGTCATCTCACAGAATTGCTAAACGTGAATGGCTGTAAAGGCAGGGGTGTTTGTCCCCAGGGGAAGGGTCAAGTTGTCGAACCCTATATCAAATTTATCTCCCCACCACATAGCCTGGAAAGCAAAATGGATTACGAGAGACTCACTAGTAGTACCGTATATAGCCCTGTTAGAGATCTGCAATCGCTAGTTCAAGACACAAAAGAGAGTGGACTGTAATTTTACAGCGGCCTACACGACGGGACCGATCCACATGCACATCTGACACGGTCCTTCATGGAAACGACAATATTTCTTCGGCGCGGGAAGCAAGCAGTGTGTTTTGATACACCACAGCCTCCACGCTTTACCCCCTGTCACCTGCTGCATTTGAATTTTTCCCAAGTCAATGTAGCTGCCGGTCGACGTGGCTGCAGAAATATCGCATCCGCGTCAAGTGACCACTTGCATCATGACTACTCGGTTTTTGAGTGACATGAATAGGAGGGTTCTTGCGGCGAGTTTCTCCTTTGTCAAAAATACAACTCGCCTGACGCGGATTATCAGAAATCACAATATGTCGACTACAGAAACAGCTACAACCAACAAAGCAACAAAGGCGGCCAAGCTCAGTTTGGGGATCCCTTCCCAACATAAGCCTGTGAGCGAGCCCGACCAGGAAGAGATAGCCGGGACTAAAGAGCACACTCCTGCTCTGTTCCCACACTACTTACCGGTATGGGAGGTACCTCAAGCTCAGTAAGTATAACCAACTCTACCCTTTACATGGGAGAAGTAAACTAAACGTTTGTGGCTTAGATACCCTCTCTTGGAGGAGTTTAACTACATCGAGCGTGCCCTTACAGCAGACAAAACCTTCCCTGACTTGCTGCCCCCCGGCGCCAAGCTGAAAAACATCACGGCAGCACTGGGCGCTGAAGTTACCGGCGTCCAGCTCAGTCAGCTAAATAACCACGGAAAAGATCAACTAGCACTGCTTGCAGCCCAGAAGAAATTGCTCGTATTTCGCGACCAGGACTTTGCTTCTCTCCCTGTTGGAGAAACCGTTGATTTTTGTCGATATTTTGGCCGCCTATTTTTGCATCCGCATTCTGGTGCTCCTATGAATCACCCTGAAATCCATCTAGTTCATCGGAGGGCGGGAAATACCATAGCTCCGGACTTTTTCCAATTTCACACTCACTCTATGGCATGGCATAGCGATAATACATACGAAGTACAGCCGCCGGGGATTACATTCCTCTATGCTCTTGAGGTCCCTGATGAAGGGGGTGACACTGTGTTCGTGGATACCGAAATGGCATACAAGCGCCTGAGTCCCGCCTTTCAGGAAAGGCTGAAGGGGCTACAAGCAATGCATACTGCCCGCGATCAAACCGCAAGGGCCCGGGAAAACGATGGTTATGTTCGGCGGGAGCCTATTGATACGGTGCACCCAATTGTCCGTACGCATCCTACAACCGGGAAGAAGGCGCTCTTTGTCAACCCGCAGTTTACGAGACAGGTTGTCGGGTTCAAGAAAGAGGAAAGCGACTACCTCCTCAAATTCTTGTATGACCATATGACCTCGGGTCACGATATGCAGTGCAGAGTCAAATGGGAAAATCGATCGGTTGTCGTGTTCGATGTTGGTTCCCATTATCCTTCATAATACTCTAACTTTCGGCTAATCCCCTTATACAGAACCGTAACACTATCCACTCCGCTCTAACGGACTGGATGGATGGTAGAAGACGGCACATTGCTCGGTAAGTGGCCAATTTTAAATATCGTCTTAACATTCGCAAGAGTTAGAGCATACTAAGTTAATGACGTAGAATCACTCCCTCAGCGGAGCGCCCTTATGAGGAATAAGATCTGCGAGGATAAAGGGGTTGCAAAAATCGGTCATGAAATATAACACAATGTAGACTTGGTTGACAATTGGACTAATGTATGTATTCGTGACACTTTAAACAACATTCTAGTTCTCTCCTAGCACTCCATTTTGTACTGGGCTGGCGGTTACACGATCCGCAATCCCTTGACAGGACGAGATGCTCTGGACCGCAGAATTGTAAATGCCCGAGAAATCCGCATGAACAATGAACGCCCTCCAACCCATCGTGATTCGTCTTTCCAGTATCTGTGGGGTAGAGCCAAACCCCATGATTGGAATATCATTTGCAGCTGCGGCACGGCAAATCTTATACAAGCCATCGAGAAAAATATCTTCATCTCCGTCCAACGTTCCACCGGGCAACCCCATCGACATTCGGAGGTCACCTGTGCCAACTAAAATTCCGTCGACTTTTAAAAAATTATCAGCTTCAAGCCCAAGGAGCCGTTGTCTTAAAAAGGAAAACAATAAGTAAGATCACACTTACTTCCGGGAACTTTGCAGATCTCATCCACATTCCTCACGCCCTCAGGATCTTCAATTTGGCAGAAAACAGCGATGTTATCGTTCCAAACATCGTAAATTGTTTTTCCCGCAGGCGTCTTTGATTGCGAGTCCCCAATTAGAGCAGCTGGAGGGAAACTCCGACCACCTTGTGGAGGAAATCGCGCAAGTTGAGCAAGCGTACGTGCTTGTTGCGCATTCTGAACATGAGGCATGACTATACCCCCGGCTCCTGCATTAAGTGCATGATTCACTTGATCTGGTGTCGAACTGGGAATTCGCACAAAAGGGACCATAGCACCATTGGAGTGATACTGGACAGTTCGAATGAGACTGGCGAGAAGTGTAGAATTGAGAGGAGTATGCTCCTGTAAGGTAACATCAGCATTTGTTTTATTTTAGGGGGTCAAAAGAACATCATACCGCGTCGATAAAACAGAAATTGAATGGTGTCGCAGCGACAACTCGAGCAGCTTCTTCATGCGGGATTCGACATTGTGTGCCCCAGAGCAATTCTCCCGACTTCAGCATGGACTTGAAGTCTGTTGGCTGGGCCAAGCTAAGAGCATTGTAATTTTTGGCATCAATCATGACTGTTTTGTGTCGATATGCTTTCTAATTTTGCATATCTTTTCGTTTTATTGTATTCAGATCTGCGAATTATGCCGTGCCGGTTTGACGAACATTACGTATTTCAAGACCTAACACTATGTATTCTGGTAGTTATTGCAGGTATCTCATGAATGCAAGTCCTAGACGCGAGTCACGAGGAATCCATACGCAATGCATGATGCATCACGCATAAAGTATGCACAAAGTATGTATGATGTCACTCACCTGATGGTCCAAGCGGGCCGATCCCATGCGGGCCGGGCCTTTCCGCCCCACTCCTTTATTCTGTTTCGTATGCTTGTATTCTTTACATTACCTGACGTTACCCAATACTGGTACCAGTCCGTTACCCTCCCCCATGGATGGCTCCCGTATTCGTCAGCAACCTTCAGCTGTCATGTTTCGGAGAATAGTAAGGTCATCTATCTCAGAAATTCAAGATGCTAGATCATCTACATCCTTTTCATAGTATACCCGATGGAGGGTACACTGAGAGCGTTTATCAGTTACTCGCAGAGTATCGGCAGGACGACACACCCCAAAAAACAGATTTGATGGTTGGTGTGTTTAAAACTGACGAAGGAACCGTTTACACTCTTTCTTCCGTGATTGAGGTATTTATCGCCCTTTCCATGCTACAAATCTTTCATTCTGATCATTCTGGCGGTGCACCAATGCACCATTTGAACCGAACAGGCTAGAAAAATGCTTTTCGCGAATCCCGAATGGCACTACGGATATCGTTCCTCTCAAATCGGAACGACTGGCTACCTTCAAGCAAGCATCGATCTCTTTTTTGGGAGGGATAGCGAGCTTGTCAGAGATGGAAGGTAACCAAAACTCACCTTGTCTACCTCCGCACATCTGATGTTCGTTATCAAACAGAATCGCCGCGACCCAAGCGCTAGGGGCGAGCGGTGCCTGCCATATGGCTGCCATTATGCTCGGGGATCATTATCACCCTGATACCTCAACAGCCAGACCCGTTGTATACATACCACGACAATCATGGTGTACGCTATTTTCCTTTCTCTTTACTTTTGGCTCGTCCGGGGAGACTTACAGTATGCTAAGCATTAAAAACATATATCCACAGCGAATCACGCCAATGTCTTCGAGCACGTCGGTCTCCAGGTCGATTATCTCCCTTATTTTGATGCCGCCATCTCCGACCTCGATTTCCCGTTGTTTCACTCGGCAGTCGACAAACTTCCCGACCATTCGGTAATCGTTCTTCAAACATCAGGCCAAAATCCCACCGGTTGCGACCCGACCCGCGAAGAGTGGTTACAGCTGGCCATGACTTGTGTCGAACGTGGACATCTTATTCTGTTCGATGCTGCATACTATGGGATGGCTACGGGCTGTGTCCGCCAAGATACTGAGGGCATTCGGATCTGCGCGGAGGCCGGAGTTCCTGTCATGGTGGCAGCTACATATAGCAAATCATTTGGTTTGTATAGCGAGCGAGTCGGGTTTCTCGGTATCACCACTCCGGACCCAGAAATACGTCGAAGAGTTGAGATGCAGCTCCGCCTGATAACAAGATATGAAGCGGGTGGGTTCCCTGCATTTGGATCTAGTATCGTGGAACTCGTGTTGTCAGATCCACATCTACTACTACAATGGGAGAATAATACGCGTTGGATGGCGTCTGAGCTGCAGAATAGGAGAAAAAAGCTCAGGGCCAGGTTGGAGGAGCTCAAAACTCCTGGTGATTGGACTTTTATCACTCAACAGCGCGGAATGTTTTGGTGAGTTCCTCGACCATCTATTCCCAGTATTCAAGGTTGTTTCTGTAGCTTACCTGGGCTTGCTCTTAGCCTGACCAATCTCACTCAGCGACAAATGAATCTCCTCCGAACGTCTTACCATATTTACGTACAAGATAATGGCCGTCTTTCTATCTCGTGAGTGTTCCGATCTTTCCCTTCCGCTACAGCTCAAAAGTTCTAAGTTAGTTACTATGTATCACAAAGTGGATTAAACAGCTCAAATATCGAGCGAGTCGCACAGAGTATCAAAGCCGTTGTCCAGGCTACAGGGCCAGAATGAATGCCCACAGCAGCTAGAACGTAACCATTTAGTAGTAAATCAGGGAATTTTACTCATTGGCGTGCTTACTTGCAAGTACTGCGTGCTCTTCAAATACCTGAGTAGCAACCACTTTGTCCTTCTCCCCCTAGCCGAGGGAGAGGGAGGCAGACATATAGATAGTACTCTCCGATCGAGGTCAAGCTGGCAGAGTGGGAGATGACACATCCTATGATCCTTATGTGAACCTTCAAAGACTTCAGTATGGATACATTTCCCTGCTTGGACCACTTACCTCAACTGATTTAGCTGTGTCCTGTAAATCGCCATGCACGGACCTTGTGCTGTGGGTTTGCGTGTAAGCTGTGTCCATTTACAATAGTGGACTTGCATGATGGAAGGTATTCGGCGGTCGGCATTGTTGAATCGACTTGGCTCGCTGGGTCAGGTTACAAAGTATTTAATTGACTCCGATTCCCAACACTGTACGAAATGGGTTTTTGTGAGATCGGCCACCATGGAAGCATCATTACAATCACCACCTCACTCTGGCTATCAACCCATAGCTAACTTACCTGTGGTAAGTCTCACAAAGCTATACAGGAAAGATGCCATGGAATGTGATATACTGCAGAACGTGTGTTCAACATTGGGCTTCTTCTACTTTGACCTAGCAGATCACCCCGATTTGCTGCTACTGTACAGGAAGCTGCTTGGTTTCTCCCAGGCTTATTTTACTCAGAGCCTCGGGTCCAAGCAGCAGAATGATCACCAGAGTGAATTATATGGTACGTTAAATTGAAGCACCTATTCCGGAATTGGTACCAGCTCAGCATTTTACTGACTCTGGTGATACGCAAGGTTACGAAGCTGTAGGAACATCTGGTGGCCTTTTAGCTGGCTCAGTAAATGGGTACGAATCACTAAAGGTACGAATATTCCCACCCTATTAGCATGGCTATTCCGTTTCTGCATATTTACCAAATTTATTTTGTAGTTCGCTTTCCATCCACCGGTAATGGTCGAGGCGCCACTGAAAGGAGACATCATCAAGCAAAACGAGGATATTATGCAAGAATTCCAGCATACAGCACACGGCGCACTGATGCAAGTTCTCACTTGTCTTTGTGGTGACGAAATCTTAAATCTTCACCATCCTGACCGTCCATCGAGAACGAACTCTGTCTTCCTCCGATATCCGCACGATGCACCATCCAAGGCAGTCGGGCACAATGAACACAACGACATGGGGACTTTGACATTTTTGCTCGCTGCACAATGGGGCTTACAAGTCCGGGATCCGCTTGATGGTATATGGAAATACGTGAGGCCTTCGCCAACACGAGCGGTAGTGAACGTCGGGGACTCTTTAAATTTCATCTCTGAGGGGAGATTACTATCTGCGATGCATCGGGTTATTCAAATCAATGATGGGAATCATAGTGACCGATATTCTATTGCGTTCTTCTTACGACCGGACGATGATGCCGAGTATAGACACAGCGACGGAACCTTGATGAACGCTGCAACTTGGCATAAGATCAGAATGGAACGGAAACACGCGAGAACATAGGTTTTTCCTATCTCGTACACGATCCCTGAAGAATTTAATCAAGATTGCTTTTTTCTTTTGGCTTGTAATTCAAACTTCCAATGGACGCTTAGTACCCCTTTGTGATGCAGGCTTGATTGATCAAAGGTAGTCCATCCTTCATTCTTTCAAGATTCAAGCTCAAGATGTCAAAAGACCGCGGGAAATATGCCTGTCCCATCGCACTAATATGGGGAGTGAGCTGTACATTTGGCACATCCCACAACGGGTGACCCTGGGGTAAGGGATGTGGGTCGGTCATGTCAAGTGCTGCACCGCTGATTTCTCCAGATCTCAACGATTCGATCAAAGCATCTTGATCGAAGACCTTGCCTCTAGAAATGTTGACAATGAAGGGCTTGTGACCATTCTTGCAATGTGATGACAACGTCTGTATTTCGTTCTCACCAAGTAGACGAGTTGTCTCCCCAGTGAGCGGGACAGCGACCACGAGATGGTCCAACCCAATGGATAAAAATGAACGTAGAGTATCACGGCTCGTTCCATGATGCCAGGACGTTGGAAGCTCACCATGGGGATCTCCTGTTCCTGGAATGATATACCCATTCTGCTGGCGCGATTGAGGGGTTGTTTTGGGCGTCGCTGTATAGGCGTGGACAGTCATTCCAAGAGCCACTGCTTGTCTCGCAACTGTGAATGGCCACTGATCAGGGGATGGTTACTCGTGAACGGAACTTGAGTAATCTTACTTTGTCGCCCAACGCTCCCATACCCGAGAATACCTACGTGTTTTCCGACCTGGTCCTCAGTATGATGCAGATAGCCATCAACTTGATCCCAGGTCTGCGAGCTCTGTGCCTGAGCTAATACTTTGAACTTCCTAGATGCAACGAGCCAGTTCATCGCCACCCATTCCGCGATCGGAGGACCATGTATTCCGCAACTACTCGTGAGTCGCACACTTGGTCCTTTGACTAAGGCGTGCGATAGAAGATGGTCAACTCCGGAGGAAAGTGCGTGAATCAGCTTTAACCTTTGCACATTGAATTCTGTTAGATAGCTTTTGGAAGGGAGGTTTCCTTATCCATCAGACTTTGTACTCACTTCGGAACCTTTGACGGATCGGGAAGGTAAGTCAGAGTTACCAATACCGTCACACGTTGCAAGATATCTGTACTCATCATGAGCCTTTCTCCAGTTGTTTCAGTGGATATTTCAGTGGTGAATATTGGGCCTCAAACGAGTATCCTCTAAGGTATTACCATCTGCAATCGAGTTCGCATCGTTTGCGACATGAAGTGTCAATGATTTGTTTGAAACGCGTGCCTTCAACTTCACAATCGTTGATTCAGGTAGATGGGCAAAGGGTACCAGAAGCACTAAGTCATCATCTTGCCCATGTGATTCCACAGTGACGGTCATTTTGGATGGTCGGTAAATTTTGTATGAAACGCACACAACTCGCTTTACTTGGATTCTGAAATTAAGAAGAGGCTTGAGGGTTTCAGAGCTGAAATGTGGAGGATAATTATGGCCTTAAGGGCATTTTTATGACTCGTTTGACATTCTTGTATTTAAAATACGTGTCTGATGCCGAACAAGGTATATTTTGCGTATTGATATTAAAATATGAGGAGGCCTTTATAGATACATCCCTATTACGAGTTATTACTATATAAAATATCAGTACTTTAAATACTGCGTAATCAAAACCAAAGAAGAAATATATTAAAGATATACCTAGTAGTATTATAGTTCCTTCTACCTAGGTAGTAATAGCCAGTCCTACTATTAATAGCTCGTCCTCCTAGTAATAGCTCGTCCTACACGGACCAAGCGATCGCTCCTGTTTGCTTGTCGATGAATCATCTGGTCACGATTGGTATCTGCAGGCGTTCCAGGAAGCTCCCGCTGTCTTAGGTTTACCCTGGTCAATAGCCCAGAAATTTGTTAAGATCTAGCATGAGGTGGTTTCCTTATTGTTGATTCGAGCTACATGGCGTTGTGCACTGACAGCCTAGGACATATAGGCACACAACACATGTCGTTGTTATAGCCATATTTCCTACGTTTCGGTCTTTCTTTTTTGAACTTCGTCAAAATCCTATTCACGAATAAAATACCCGTGAAACATATTCCATATGGGGAGTCTTGAAACTGAATTTGACACCTCAATGCTCCGGCCCGACACAAAGGCGCCTCTCCTGAAAGTTATCAAAGGCGAAGGGGCGTATTTGACAGTACCAGGTGGAAGGAAGATCCTCGATGCCTGTGCTGGGGCTGCTGTGGCCTGCATAGGGCACAGTGACCCTCGCGTACGTGACGCTATCAACCGACAACTTGATGCCGTTTCGTACGCCCATGGCCAGATATACACCAACGAGGCACAGGAGGACCTGGCTAAACTTCTGATTGAGTCCACGGAGGGTGCAATGAGCCATGCCTTGTTCATGAGCTCTGGTAAGAACTCCTCATCCTCGCCTAGGAGATAATATTAACTAACTTCGGCCTACCACACTAGGATCAGAGGCAATGGAGGCTGCGGTGAAGCTAGCTAGGCAGTATCATTTAGAGAAACATTCACCACAGCCCCAGCGTGATATCTTTGTCTCGCGCAAAGGATGTTATCATGGTGCTACTTTGGCCACACTCGCTTTGTCGGGTCATATTGGCAGAAAGGCCCCCTACACGACAATGATGATCCCCAACGTCAGACACACATTGCAGTGCAATGGGTACCGAAAGAATGAGGGAGAGACCGATGAAGCGTATGTAGGAAGGCTTGCGGGTGTTCTGGAGTCCGACATCCTAGCATGTGGTACCGATCGTGTCTGTGCGTTCGTGGCAGAGACCGTCGGGGGTGCGGTATGTTCACAACTCATTTCATTTTCGTCATGTACATGTCGTTGCATGCTAATTACCTGGGTCATCCTTTAAATAGACATCTGGCGCAATGCCAGCAGTACATGGATACTTCAAGGCCATCCGCAAAGTGTGTGACAAGTACGGGGTCTTGTTAATCTTGGACGAGATCATGTGTGGAGCTGGTCGTACCGGGACTATGCATGCGTGGCAGCAGGAAGACATCGTTCCTGATATTCAGGCCATGGGGAAAGGGTTATGCGGCGGTTTCATTCCACTTTCTGCAATTTTGATGAACCACAAGGTTTTTCAAGCACTCCACAACAACAGCGGGTAAGTAAATCTTCCTTCCCCCCGCCCAAAACGGAGAAGCTCTTCAGACCTAACACGGGCGATACTTTAAAGTGCCTTTTGTCATGGTCAGACATTCCAGGCCCATATACTTGGTGCGGCTGCATCCCTTCGCGTCCAGCAGATTCTCGTAGAAGACAATTTGATCCGCGCATCTCGGGAAAAGGGAGACTACTTGATGCAAAGGTTGAACAAGTCAATCAGAGACTTGCCACATGTTGGAGATATTAGAGGGCGTGGTCTTTTTGTTGGAATCGAGTTTGTCAAGGATAAGCAGACTAAGGAGTCCTTTGACCCCTGCGAGGGGATCGCTTACCGTGTCCGCCAGGCCGTCTTTGACCGAGATGTCGCAATCTACCCTGGCACTGGAAGTGTAGATGGTGTGCGAGGGGACCATATAATAATTGCGCCGCCATTTACTGTACCGAAGGCGGATCTTGATCGTATAGTTGACATTCTTGAAGAAGCATTCACCGAGGTATTTGCAACCACTGGAAAATAACACAATTCCATATCATGGTTGCTTAGATAGTCCTGAATATAATCTATGGTCTGAAGCCCAAACTCCCTGATGGAATATTCGATGTCTTCCATAAACCGAGCTGAGCTGCGCAACCCAAGCCACGTAGTATAAACGCCATATATTCGTCATTTATATTCCATCAATCAACGATTTTAAGTATTTTCCAATACCTTTTGATGGGAATCCTCATTTTTATACATCAATTTCGAGCAAGTCGGAAATGTATTGTGAAGATTTTTGAAATTTACACCGTCAGAGCCACAAAGATATATAATTTATTAAAATCTCCAAAATTCCGCAAAGGGCCTAGTTATCACGTAGAAAGCATTTGGCTATAATAAGAAATTCATATAGACGACCTTCGTTAATATATCATGTTGTAATATATCGCTTTTACCATGCGTTTTGGGGTGTGTAACTGGCTTACATGCCTCTCGCTACTTATATTCTCCAGTGCTTTCAATCGATTTGTGACTTTATTCTGCAAAACTTCCAAAGTACTGTCGCCCAATACATTCACTAAGCTTCCGTCTGGACTTTCCACTGTGCATTTTGTCAAATCATGACAGACACTCAGCCCTTGTCTGAAGTCAATCAGAAACGAGAGCGAACAAAACAGCGACTTGCAGGCGCTTTTCGTATCTTTGCGCGATACAATTATGACGAAGGCATAGCAGGACACATCACTGCTCGTGATCCTCTCGATCCAACGACATTCTGGGTGAACCCCTTAGGTCTTGCCTTTTCTGTTATGAAAGCATCGGATCTACTCCATGTCAATGAAAAAGGTGAAGTTATTGGTGGCGGCAGTTGCAGAGCCTTGAACACTGCAGCCTTTATGATTCATTCGGCAATTCATACGGCTAGACCTGATGTTGTTTGCGCTGCCCATAGTCATAGCGTGCATGGTAGGGCTTTCTGCGCCCTAGGGCAACCTTTGGATATGATATCGCAGGATGCTTGCGCCTTTTACAATGTGAGTTTTCCATATTATCCCGGTGTATCTCTTACATTTTGCTCATAATACGATACTAGGATCATGTGGTCTATGATCAATTCAACGGGATTGTCCTATCCTCCGAAGAAGGCAAACGTATTGCCAGTGAACTTGGGACCAAAAAAGCAGCCTTATTGCAGAATCATGGTCTTTTAACTGTGGGTAAAAGCATTGAAGAGGCTGTCTTTTGGTTTGTGAGCCTGGATAAATGTTGCTACGGTCAGCTTCTGGCAGATGCTGCCGCTGCCGGCAGAAGGATGAATACTGTGAAGATCAGCGAAAAGGATGCGAGATATACTTACGAGAACATTGGGTCAGATAGGACAGGAGCTCTGGCTGGGAAAGCTTTATTCGATACGATGGACAAGGAAACCGGGGGCGATTATATTAATTAGGTCCGATAATATACCGCGGGCAGCTGTGTTTAGCAATTCAAATCGAACAACAATAAGGTCTTCCTGGTTTTACAAAGCACTGACGGTGTCAGTCGGAGTTTCTCGTTATCCTCTCTTTGATAGCGTCCCGCTCAGGGTCTTCATCTATCATGCATCTGAAAGCGCCACCTTTGATCTCCATAAGGTCTGCTGGATGTCCAAATTCAACCGCCTTCCCTGCGTCCAGAACGAGAACGCGGTCATAATCCACAATTGTGCTTAGTCGGTGTGCAATAACAAGTAGGGTGGAAGTATTGTGAAAGCTTGACTTCAGTGAATCCTGAATGAGGCGATCTGTATGTTTGTCCACCGCAGATGTAGCTTCGTCTAGGACTAGAACCTTTGGCTTAGAAACCGCCGCACGGGCAAGGCAGAGCAGCTGACGTTGACCCTGAGACATGTTCGCTCCCAGTTCTGATACGGGTTGATCAAGTGCCGAAGAATCCTGATGGATGGCGGTAGGCCCTTCAGTGTAACCATCTTCAATGCCACGCAGGATGTCAAATGCAGGTGTTCGTGTTGTTTGAGACCAATGAACTTCATTTAGGGCATGCAAGAGCTCATTATCAGTTCTCTCCCCGGAGGGATCCAAATTGGATCTAATAGTGCCCGAAAAGAGGATTGGATCCTGAAGAATTATGGCCAAGCGGGTGCGAAGGTGATGGAGCTTGATGTCGCTGATGTCAATTCCGTCTATGAGAATCTTTCCTTCTTTCGCTTCCAGGAGGCGAAATAGGGCGAGCGCTAGGGAAGATTTCCCGGCACCGGTTCGCCCTACAACCCCAACTCTCTGATGGCTTTCCACTTGAAAATTGAGACCTTTGATTACGGGAGGCATATCAGGTGCGTAGCTCACAACAAGGTCCGATACTTCGATCCGACCCTCTGTGGGCCACGCAGCAGGAGGATCTCGTCCCCCGGAAGGTTCTGTTTTGATCTGAGTGTAGTCGAGCACTCGTTCCACACCATTCATGTCAAGCTCAAAGCATGCATACGCTAAGATGGCCTTGGTCATTGAATGGATAAGCTGTATGGTGAAGCCGAGGACGAAGCCTGCGAGTGCTGCATCTGCATCTCCAAGGAATACCACAGTGGCTGCTGTGACCACACAAAATAGAGTACCGATCATATTCATTCGAAACCCTAGCCATCGGCTCAGTAGCCAAAGCTGCCACAACGCTCGAGCATGATAATCAACATTTGTTTGCATCCGGTCGATATAGTCTTGCGTTCGGCCGAAAGCTCGAATCGTCCAAAGGCCATTAATTGAGCTGCTCATTTGATCATAAATTGGACTTCGGGCCACGCTTTCTAGTCCTTTCATCTCACGAGCCATGATGAGGTATTGACGTGAATACCAAACGCAGAGTAAGAGGAGCGCAATGGCGACGGTTGTCAAACATGGGCTAGCGAATATACTTGGAAGTAACACCACCATACAATCCATAGAACTGACAAGCAATTCGGTGAGATCGTGTCCCAGGTAGGCATCGAGCATGTCAAAGTCGGATGTAAATCGGTTCATTATTCGCCCAGTCGGGGTGGTATCTATCCACCTCAGAGGAGCGCGCAGAACCGCCGCCAACAGCTCTTGGAACATGGCACGCGATGCTCTCAGTGATGCCATGAGCAAGATGTAACCACGCATGGAGCCTACAACCCAGGCGACGCAGGATAAAGCCAGATATGTACTAACAAAGAAGGCTGTGTGGGAGTCAATTCCATTGGACGCCATAGATTGGTAGCCAAGTGCATAGACTTGATGTAAACGCTGCCCGCCAAAGGAAGAAACGTCTCTGTTGTCACTCCACAATTTTACCCACCAATTCTGTGGCAGAACATATTAGCCAGACTTTTGTATAAGGGCAAGAAATGGATACTAACCCGCGCGAGGAGCAGACCACTGTATGCAAAATAGCAGGCAACGACACATAATAGGGAGGGCCACTGAGAACATTTCCGAATATAATGCTGCACATGTGAAAGTTTAATGGCTCCCTGTTGCCGAGACTCTTGCGATATAACATTCCGCATTCCTACCTTATCCCGTTCAGTAATAGCAAATGAGCCTCCATGGACAAAACTTGGGTCCTGGTGCAGCTCGACTGTAGGTGCTGTGCGCTCATAGTAATCCGCCTTCCGGGGAATACACAAGCGTTCCAATCCCAGTAGGCTGTCAAGCACGCCCATCCCCTCTAGCTCTGTGACACTTCCTACATATTGAGCTTCGCCTCCTTGAAGACGGATGATATAGTCCACCATGGGCAAACACAGTCCAAGATGATGAGTAACAAGCACACGCGTGCGCCCCGCTGCCAGATCACCCGTCAGTGCATGTTCATAGATATGCCTCGATGTGTGAACATCGACTGCACTGAAAATGTCATCCAATATGAGAATGCCAGCACGGGAATAAAGAACACGGGCGAGAGCGATTCGCCATTTCTGACCTCCACTGAGATTAAACCCATCGTTGCCTACTTCGGTCAAATCCCCACAGGGCATACTTTCCAGATCTTGAAGTAGTGCACATTCGAATAACACCTGGTGGTACCGCTGTCCGCTGAACGGTAGACCGAACAAAATGTTTGCCCTGATTGAGATTGCTTCGATCCAGGGATCCTGGGATGCATATGCCATAGAAAAGGGTTGAATCCATTCATCCTCTATTTCGAGACTCTCGACTTGTGAAATAGGCGCCATCATTATTGGAGATTTTATTGTGCCCTTGATGATGTCACATTCGCCTAGAATTGCAGCAAGCAACAAACTCTTACCACTGCCAGTAGGGCCAGTGATGACGGTGAGCCCATGGTTTGGAAAATCAAGACATAACCCATTAAGAGCCCACCTGTCCTTGGTTAGGCTATGTTCTTGCTTCCACGTTACGGTGACATTCTCGAATGATATCTTGTCGGACACAATGTGTTGCATGACTCGTTCATCTCGCTGGAAGAAACGGTCCATCCTTCGCAGACTTACCACCGCATCTAACACCTCAATGATCAACTCGGGAAGAGAGAACAAAATCATATCAATAGAGCCTAGGATCGCAAGAGCAGTGAATGCGACTGATGATTTCAAATTTCCATGAAATACGGCGTGGATTGCAAGGGCTGATGCAGAGAGCATGACGGAGCCTAGTAGCTGGATGGAAACACCCACTGTCGCCAGAGTAAATGCTCTCCTTTGAGTATATAGCTCAACTGTGCGCAAAATATCAATCTTTTGTTCCCATTTTTTGTCCATGGCTGACATTTTGAGCTGGCGGATGCCGCGCAGGGCTTCGTTGACGGCAGAAGTCCTACGATCACGTTGTGACATCAGATCCCCTTCAGTCGTCATGTACTTTCGGAAGCACCAGAACTTCAGTGGTACCATCGTGGTTAATATCGCGATTATTGCTAAGAAGCTTTCCCAGCCAAGAAGATGCCCCAGGATACAGCAGGCAACGACTATCCTCAATGGTACGGTTGCGACACGGGGTAAAATAGCCGCACACTTTGAGATTCGATGGGCGTCCACAGCGATAAGATTGGTCATGTTCTGAGTGCTTGTGCTTGTTGGCTTCCTCCCCTGATGTGTCGTTTCACCTCCGTCGCCTGGCACTGTACCGAGGCCACCCAGGCGCATCGCTTTGTCGTAGATCATGATTGTAAGCTGTTCTTGAATACGAATGGCGACCTTGTTTTGGCAAATCCAATGCACCCAATTCTCGAGAAGAGAGAAACAACTCGTAAGAAGTCCAAACGCGATAATCCAGACCCAAAGATCTGTACGGTCAGGCAAAGCTTCAGAGTCAGGCTCCAAAAGTTGAAGAAGTCGCATTAGTGCAAAATGCGGCGTAAACATCACGAAGCAGAGCAGAACGGTGAGTATAAACTGCAATGTCACTTGCTTGAGGTTCGCCAGCATCAGTATCCTCCACAATGAGGGGCAGCTGGACATGCGGTTACTGAGTGTATCTCTGGCACGCGCAAACTTCGTAAGAAGAGACTTCGCTCGGTTCTCAATGCCGAGGACAGGAAGGTCATCGAGTGTTATACCATCTTTTCCGTTGATGAAGCCGACCAGATAGCCTGGCCATGAAAAGGTCCACTGGCTGATCAATGAGCATGTGTACTCCCGATCGACCATCTTTGCGCCGACGAACACATCCGGTCGGCGACGAAGGGAAATTCCGAGACCGAATATTGCCATGCAAACAACAGCCTGAGCAACGGTAAGTCCGGTATTCATGTCCGATCCATGTGTCCATTTTCGACCGTAGTGTGCTTCGAGGTAAAGGAGGATTAAAACAGGCACACAACATATGCTAGTGCTCCTAGCCATGGTGTGTCGCTTCGGGCTCGTCGACTCCCCCGCGAGTGCACAACTATGAAGTAAGAAACAGATCTGCAATTCTGTTAATTCCATGAGGTCAGTAGCTCGTCAGAAATATTAACTTACCCATGTTCCGACCTGTATCAAGTTTCGTAGCTTCAAATTCTCCTGACCCTGGTTGCATCCCATGAAAAGGTAGGCTTGTAACGTCGCAAATCCAGTTCCTAATATAACGAATACCACAAGGCAAGTATTCCAAAGTAGTCTCCCTGTTCTTTGAGATAATGATGATTCTGATAAGGCGACTCCATCGCGATCCCGATACACATTGGATTTGTTGCGAGCAACAGCTGCATTGGCTGTTTGACGATATTGCAAAATGCTGAGGACACCCAAAACAAGCGAGCCACCCAGCGTCAACACTTTCCCACCGAGCACAAGTCTCTCTGTGGTCACAACACTGACTCCCATCTCGCATCGAGGGTACAGTGCCAGTTCCTCGCCGGACGATTATCAGACTAGGCACGCGCAGGGGAAGCTTGTTCAAGAGGATGGCTGATCTTAATGAAACGCTTTCTCTTTTGATATCATCTCCCTTTCCACTACCCATGTTTGCTAGGTAATATTTTCCTGGCTTTTCTTTTTCTTTTGTGATTTCCGGATCTACACTCGACATTAGCTCAGCCCCTTGTTAGACCTCGCGGACCATCTCAGGTGCGACGGTACAATAACCGCATTATGTTGTACGGATGCGTGCAACTATTATTTGGGAGATAAATTGATACACCCACTATAGTGGAGTTCAATTATAATGCATCGACCAGACTCATACAGGCCAGCAACCCAATGACTTCTAATACAATCCTTGGATGCATCATGAAGCTGTATAACGCCAAAGAGGGGAGTCACACAATAATCATTCCCGAATCTGAGTAATGTAACGGATAAATGTCTTGTAGGATTATACCCATAGCAAGTTTCGTCGTCGTACATATCGTTCGTCAGCAACCATGCTGTATGATGGAGTGAAAAATGAGCTTCATATATCGTACACCATACAACATATATCCGAGATCCGTGACACCCAAACAGGGATTTCAATTTAGTTTGAAGGAAGTGGGTAGAAAAGCACAAGACCTATCTATAACTACCCTAGGTCGTACTTTCAGACCAGACCGATTAAAACTTTTGTTGGTTAAATCAATTCTTCACACAAACAACTCAAACGCCAAGCTGTTTTTGGGTCCTTCGTGTGTACAATGTGGCTTCTCAGCCTACTACTGTTTTCCTTGGCCGCTGGCAGTTATGTTCCGTTGTCATCGTATCCCTTGGTAAGAAAGAATGAGAGTGCTGCAAGTTTGCAAGTCAACTAATCTCACGTTTTGCTGTAGGCTGTCAAGACCCCATATCTATCAGGTAGAACACATTTCTCCAAGATCTTCTTCGATTCAATTTTATTCATCGTTCTTTGCTGATTGGACTCAGCATGGCTGCCTGGCGATCAGGCCAAAAATGTATCCACTGCACAGCCAGAGTTCTGGGCCGGTCAGCCTCTTACTTGGAAAGTGATCGCGCGGGTAAATGGTGAGATATATTCGTTGTTCGGATGCCCAGACGAGAATATCACTTCTGCGGACCAGATCAGCATCTCCTACTCCGCAACTCACACCGTCGTGGATTTGAAGACCGGGAGTCAGGGGCCACAATTTACCCTGGACTTCTTTTCACCTGTATCGACTGTGGATTTTGCGCGGCAGTCAATTCCTTTCAGTTACCTCACGGTTTCGGTAGACAACAACAACACAGAGGATGAGGTTGATGTGATGACGGCAATCGATGAGTCGTGGAGTGCGCAGCCAGGTCAGATGGTGATGGAATGGCATGAAGGGAGACACTCCCAATCATTTATTATCAAGAACTATCAACAGGTTGATGCCTCCGAGGACGATAGAGACATGGCAACCTGGGGTCGAGTGGTCTTCTCGTCCAATATGAGCCAGAGTCTAACTTACCAGAGTGCGGCACCCTCTACAATATTGTCCCAATTTTCTATACTAGGTCAATTCTCTCAAAATACCAGCAACTACACACGAGATGACTTAGTTGCATTCGCTTACCGGTTCGTTGGTGGCAATGTAGTCCAAACATCCTCAGTCACGTTCGCCCTCGGCTTGCAGCAAGATCTAAATGGCTTCTTTGGAGAGGAGTACGAATCACTATACTTTGAACCGCTTTGGCCCACTACAGAGGAGGTAGTCGATCACTTCTTGGAAGATGAGGCTTGCGCCCGTCAAGAATCAATCAAGCTCGACCGACAAGTAAGAGAAATTGGAGAACGGTTTTCCTCGAACTACGCAGATATTCTGGAGGGAACAGTCCGACAGATGTGAGTACTATGTGCCAGCTTATCATTTTCTGCAGCTGATAGATTTCGTCCAGCTGGGGTTCAATTCACATTTCGGTGCCATGGGGTAGCAATGATACATTATATCACCTGGGATTCATGAAAGCTATATCTGCTGGTGGTCGAGTCAGCCCAGTCTCTGACCTCCTTCCAAGAGCTCTACCGGCTTTTTACGTCCTAGCACCGGATTACATCCCTCTGCTTTTAAAGCCTGTATTGAACATGACGCTTGGCTGGCCAATGGACTACGCCTTACATGATATTGGAAAGCGTAAGGTCCCAAATGTCTTGCTTAGGCCTAGTGCTGCTTCTTTCCTGGTCCTTTATAGCGCCGTGAGATTTTTGTATCTTGACGAGATACAAGCTGATTGAGAAACAGATTACCCTAACGCAACTGGCCCTACCGAGGACGACGAATATTCCTTCCCATTACAACAGACAAGCGCTTTGCTTTGGATGGTTTACGTATACCAGAAGGTTTCCGGTGATATTGAGTGGGCAAAGCCCTTCTTGCCAGCACTACACAGATATGCCGATTACCTCGTACGTCACGGTCAATACCCACCTGAAGAACGTTCGACTATCGACCACAACGAGACGCAGGCCAACCAAACCTTAATAGCAATATCTGCCTCCATTGGTCTGAAGGCCTATGGTGCACTTAGCGGAATGACCAATTACACAGACATTGGAAATTCGTATGCGTCGACTATCATGAACCTTGGCACAGATACGAAACAGGCTCATTTTACCTCGCACTACGGTAGAGCCGACTCTACCTGGATCACGTCCTACCCACTTGCATATGACAAGCTCCTAGGGTTAGGCACATTCGACGAGGCAGTGTACGAGATGCAGTCGAACTGGTACAAGGATCTGGTTCAGCCCGATGGGTTGCAGTTTTCAAGTGATGTCCAGTTTACAGTGGCCGATTTAGAAATGATGGCAGCCGCAACCTGTTCAAATGATGTGCAAACCTTGATTGTTGATGGTCTACATCAGACGACGACATCTCGTATTGATTCTGTCCCAGGACCTAATCGTTGGAACGTGACGGGAGCCAATTCTGGCCGCCAGAGCTCAACAAAAGCCCAGGCTGCTGTTGGGGGCTACTGGATGATGGCGGCAGTCAATATGTAAGTTTGATTTCTGCTTCGAAGCTCGTGGTAGGTCTAATGTTTTATCCTAGGTCTGGACAGGGAGGTTCTGTCGAACTTCCCAGTGAATTGCGGCATATTCAGGATATTCATCAAGTGCCTCTTAAGCCTTCTTAGGTGTCTTTCGGCCAATGCCTTGGGAATTGGTATGATTTTGATCCTCGGTGTCTCTCACAAAAGTTAATATCCCTGAGTCTATAGCTCAAGATCACAAGGGACAAACGCTCTAAGTTCATCAATCATGATGCGAGACGGAATCTCTCATACTACGCAGGGGCATAGGGCCAAGGTTACTTTCGGGTTTAATACATACAATGGTGCCTTACTGCGTTATTGCCTTGATGCCTTAATGCCTTGATTCCATGACCACAAGATCCTTGGCATCGCTGAACAGAATGTCATAACAAGATAGTAACAAGAATTTCTTGTCTCAAGTGTTTAACATACCCACGTATCCACGTATTCACGTATCCTCTTGAACAGACACTGCGGATTATGACCCAATTCACCATCCTGAATCTGCTATTGCAAGCCGTCATACATGTGTTCGATGTGCGAACGCCTGAACTGAAGAATCCGCCTCAGAAGGGTTATGATGATTGAACAAAAACATACTTATACCTCCAACTACAGCAGTTGTAGGCGGGAAAGCGGGAAAGTGCTTATGGTCGACCCCACATCTCCGCAGTCCCTCGGAGATTCCGCCGAGGCCCCGAGCACACATATATCATTGACAATCTCCCGTTGGAAAACTTCAGTTCACTCTTGGACATTACAACCTTGGAACATGTCTACAGATGACACTGCCAGAGAACCTGCATCTGAGCAGACGCCCCTCCTTCGGGATACGCCCGATGCGAATGGGAATACCCCACTACCCCAGGAACCCAGTACCAAGGAGCTGATTTGGATCCTCGGAAGCATCTGGCTCGGTGTCTTCCTGGCTGCTCTCGGTATGGACTATGACAATTTCGCGAGAAACAAAGATTACTAACTTTTAACTTTCATCATAGATACAACGATCGTCGCGACACTCTCCGCACCCATCTCTTCGTCCTTCAACTCATTCTCACTCCTCTCGTGGCTAGCCACCTCTTATCTAATCTCCAATGCCGCCTGCCAACCTCTCAGTGGCCGATTGACTGATATTTACTCTCGTCGCTGGGGGCTTGTGTTCTCCAATGTTTTCTTCGCCCTTGGTAACTTGATCTGCGGCCTGGCAAGAGCGCAATGGGTTATCATCCTTGGTCGCGTCGTGGCAGGTGTCGGAGGGGGCGGTCTTACCGCGATCTCGACTTTCGTTACTTCTGACCTGATCCCTCTCCGAAAGCGAGGCATCTGGCAGGGTATCGGAAACATCTGCTACGGTGCGGGCATGGGACTTGGAGGTGTGTTTGGCGGGTGGATCAACGACACTCTGGGATGGAGATGGGCGTTTTTGCTCCAGGTTCCCTTCCTGGTCATCTCGTGCGTTCTAGTCGCAATTAAAGTCGACATTCCCGTGAAAGAGTCCCATACCGCGCGCATCAAACGCGTTGATTTCCTCGGCGCTATCACTCTGGTTCTGACACTAGTCACATTATTGCTTGGCCTCAACACCGGCGGAAACCAGGTACCCTGGACCCACCCCGTAGTGCTGACATCGCTGGTTTCCTCTGCAGTCTTTCTGGGTCTGTTCATCTACGTGGAAGCCATGGTGGCTTCTGAGCCTGTCATTCCCGTGCGCCTTCTACTAGACCGCACCGTGGCAGCTGCTTGTCTGACCAATTGGTTCGGGACCATGGCCGTCTTCGGTCTCCTCTTTTACCTACCGGTATACTTCCAGGTGCAGGGACTTTCTGCGACTGCTGCCGGTGCGCGATTAATCCCGCAGGCGATCGGCACCTCGATTGGCTCTTTGGGATCGGGTCTCATCATGCGTGCCAGCGGTCGGTATGCATTCCTCAATTATGTTGCCATGGCTATTCAGGTGCTCTCCGCTGGCCTTATCTGCACTTTGAATCTCTACACGCCCGTGGGACTGCCGTTCCTCTATTTCTTCCTGGGTGGTGCATCCTACGGTAGCATGCTAACCATCACCCTGGTGGCGCTCATCTCTTCTGTAGACCACCAGCACCATGCGGTTGTGACATCTGCTTCGTATGCCTTTCGCAGCACTGGAAGCACGATTGGTATCACGGTCGCTTCGGCTGTGTTCCAGAACACCCTAAAGGTTGGGCTTTGGTCTCGACTCGGTCAGCGCGAGGACGCCAAGGAGCTGATTGGGCGGCTTCGGGATAGCTTGGACGAGATTTGGAAGATTCCCGCAGAACTTACACCCAGAGTGCTGGACGCATACATGGCCTCCTTGCGAGCGGTATTCGTGGCATTGTTGGGTCTGGCCGTCCTAGGAGCATTGACGAGTCTCGCTATGAGAGAGCACAAGCTGCATAGCAATTTGGCCCGACGATAGAATGAGCATTTATTTGGCCTAGAAAAATGTTCGATTATTCGTTACATAGATCAGCATATACAGAAAGCACCTCGGATTTGATTTACTTCAATTCCCTTTGGTACCGCGGTGTCCGGGTTCACAATTAAATATTGAACTGACATGAGCTGAACAAGCCAGAAGCAGTAATCTACAGGAACAGACCAAAAAAAAAGCATGAAATAAATATTTGTGTAAGTTGTAGGGAGCTGAAGTTGTACTAAAAGAGTACAACAATGTTGATCTTAGGCGTTGACCGCTTCTGCCCAACAACTGGCCAATCAATCCCAGCTCCATGCTATACGCCCCCGTCTTTAACCGCCGAAGACCTTCGAACTAGCCATTTTGGCTTTTTGTCATTGGTCGATCTCCCATTCAAACGGATCTCGGCCTTTTTTTCGCTTTGAAACGACACAGTTCATTCGACAGCTAATCACGTCCGGTGTGGCAAAGACGTGGCGAACGCATCCAGACAACTCAACGACCTCACCGCTCGAGGAAACAAGTTGATCGCCGTTGCACAAAATAAAGCGCCAGGCTCAATTTCAATTCCTGGCTTGCATGATTGGGCTCTGATCAGACCACCAGGCCGATAACTTATCTATACGTACAGTACAGAAGTCCCCAACTGATCTTGTTTCATCGCCTCTCAACCTCGATTCTCCTCTACTTACTGCGCCTGTCTATAACTTTCCCTCGAGATTTCTTCGATCCGACCGTTCGGCTCGCCTTATCAGTCGCATTGGCATGGCAGTGGGATTTCGATCTAATATCTCACCGACTACAAAAGGGAAGAACATTACAAAGGGGGCGGAGTCAAGTGATATGGAGGTGGATGGAAGCTGTAAGGAATCCGTGATTGGAAACAAAGCGGTGCAAAATGCGACATCATCCCAACCGCGGCGCCGCCGATTGCTCTTGTCGACGGATAGTGCTTTCGCCGACACCGTCCTCCCGTCCCTCGTTCACAACTCATACATCGAGCTGCGACTGATCACTGACGAACCCTCCGCTCTGCTCACGGGCACCAACAAAATCCCACACTATATGGATACGGTCGACAGTCAAACATTTGATAAGAAAACCGGCGCGCGGAAATGGCTCAAGGCGAAGACGGCGGAGTTGTGCGAATGGGCGGACATGCTGTTAGTTGCGCCTATCGATGCCGGAGCTCTGGGGGCGATGTTGGCCGGTTTGACGAATACCTTGACGTTGGCGCTTCTTCGTGGCTGGGTCTCGAAGAAACCTGTGATCCTCATTCCCGGAATGACGGTGTCGGAATGGGACCACCCACTCAGCACTCGACAACTCGATGAAATAAGTCATTTTTGGCCTTGGATTCGCACTGTTAAACCTGTGCTCTGGAAGTCGAACGGGCCCGAAGACCTGACAATACTACCATGGGACGGGCTGAAGGAGTTACACCAGACACTGGAGACAACATTGAAATTACCGCCGTGGGAAGCTACCCTGTCGACGAGAGCAATCGCCCATGGCGCCACGGTCCCGGCTAAGACTGCATCGAAATCTACATCTGGAAGTGCCGCCGGCTCCTCATCACAAACGAAACATACAGGTAATGCCGATTTTTTACCACTGGAAATCTGGCTGAATGTCTTTGAGGATCAATTGGGAGACTGGGAAACAGCGAAAGCCGTTGGCATTCCGACCCATCTCCCTGTTCCTCAAGAATGGCAGAGCCATCTACCCAAAATGTCCACTACGGCCACACTCGAATATACTATCTTACGAGGATCCTTCGCGGCGATCAAAAAGCGCATCGATGCGCTGCCTCGCTGGAAACCGCTCTCCGACCTCGCTTGCCACCTCATTGTCAAATTCTCCCGCACCGACATCCTTTCCTATCTCACCGAAAATCACCTGGACCTCCTCTGGACAACCTCTCGACTCACGAATATCCCATACCGAGCATCCGCCATCTACGGCAACCCGAACGTACTGACATGGTGGCGCGATGCCCCCGCTCTCCCAAACAAAGAGTACATGGCCGACGCCATGGACGGCGCCTCCCGAGCCGGGTTCATCGACGTACTAGATTGGTGGCTCCACTCAGGCCTCCAGCTACGATATAGCGAGCGTGCCCTAGAAGCCGCTAGCGCCGAAGGTCGAGTCCCCGTACTCGACTGGTGGAGAACCGCCTGCGCGAACGCCCCACTGTCCAAACCCTTACCTCTAAAAGTCGGCAAATCCGTCCTACTCGCAGCGCAGTCGGGTCGGACTGCATCTCTTGCTTGGTGGGATGCATCAGGGGTTCCATACAGCCACGCCGAGAACGTTGCCCGTATCGCGAGCACGCATGGCCATGTCCATGTCCTTGAATTCTGGTATAAACTGAAGGGCCCGAAGATGATCTTCGATAACCAGGTGCTGGTTGGCCCGACCAAGAACGGCCACGACCACGTTCTGCAGTGGTGGAAATCGTGCGGTATGCGGGTTGAATTCAAGACTTGTGACATTGAGGAAGCGCTTGAGGATGCTGATCCGAGCTCTGGTGCTGAGGGTCGTGTTCGACGTTGGTGGGAGCGGAATGGGTTGAACCTTGGAGTTGGTACGAGTGAGTGGATGAGATCGAAGGTGCTGTGAGAATTCATTTTGCATCACTGCATGGCTGGTTTGCGATTTTCGTCTTTTGGCCTTCTTGCGAAGGGATTTGTCTTTCTCCCCTTTAGGTTCATGCGGTTGCGTTTTGTTCTTTTTCATATCATGATTCCAGATGACGACTCACAATACCCATTTGAATATTCACATTACTATCATTTTCATCGCGTGTTGGAGCTTTCAATTTTGTTCAGTGGCTCCAATGGAATATATCTTGTCTGCGTGATTCAAATCGAATATGCTTTTTACATATCTTAAGAGTGATTAAATAAAATGATTATCCCATCTTAGCCACACTATAAATTATTGAGGAAAATATACCTCGATTGAGCGCGCAAGATGACAGTTCACTTTAGACCTGCCCAGGTGGTCCTGTGTGTTGGAATTGCTGAGTCAAGGCCTCGCCGCTGTGGCTACAAGACTCCACCCAGGTAAATCGCAACATCAAACAACCTCCAACCCAACCAATAACTTGGCAGCCAAATTCTGCTGATGCTGGCACACTGTGTCCTGCGACGCGCACTCCGCGGTTCAACCCCAAAAGTAATATCAACCCGCTCGTGGCAGCAATCGCCAAGTCCTTATAATAACGTCCGGTCAAATGGCATCAATGGCATCCACAGCATCACAAGAAAGAGACCGAGTGTCGCTCAGAATGTGCGATCAAATATTCAATCACGAGGTCTAATCACAGCCGCTATTCCAACCTTTGCTGTACCACCTTTGATGTTCATCGGACTTCTACTCGGTCTATGGACCTGGAAATGTTTCTGGATCATCGTCATGCAAAACAAGCTCCTCTACCTCTCCTGGCTGCCTCCATTTACAAGGTCGGAGGTTATTTCAGATTATGAGGCTGAGTGTAGACCTGTGCGGTGGGAGGAGAAACAGATTCGCAGTTTGGATGGGACTAAATTAGCTATTTGTGAAGGCCACATTCCAGTTCCTCGCGAGGCCCAGGACTCTGTTTCAAATGCCGGTGCTTTACGAAATCAAGATCAGGAGAGAGAAATCCCAAAACGAAAGAAGTCCGTTGTGATCTGTTACTTCCAAGGCAATGGCGGATCGACCCCCATGCGATTACCTATTCTCTCTCAGGTCTTGCGCGCAATTGCAGAAACATCAAGATCAACTTCATCTACTATATCTGGCCCCGAGATGACTCAATATACTATCGCTGCTTTATCATACCGCGGCTACTGGACATCATCTGGTCGCGCCACACAATCCGGAATTGAGATGGACGCCCAGGCATTCTTGAATTGGATTTCAGAAACATATGCGTCCCCAGAAACCGATCTTGAGATTGTGATTTGGGGACACAGTCTGGGGGCTGCTGTTGCAAGCTCAGCAGTATCTACGTATATTCCCCGCCAACATGAAGGACAAACCTCCTCAGACACAAGCAATAATAGGCCCCTGGCGCCCATTTCAAGGCTTATTTTGGAGGCTCCAACATCCAGCATCAAAGATATGCTCATCAGTCTCTACCCTCAGAAATGGCTTCCGTACAGGTATCTTTGGCCGTTCTCTTGGAATACTTGGGATATCAGGGCGAAGATGAAACAAATGGCTACATGGAGAGACCAACAAGGGTCTCGAACCCCCGACTCTGGGGCTACGGCATCAATACCTCGCTCGCTTGCGCCGATATTTCTTCTATCTGCCGAGAAGGATGAAGTCATTCCGCCATACGTACCAGACCAGTTAGAACAACATGCCAAGTCTCTCGGCTTGGAAATCGAGAGGAAAGATGTCCTCGGCGCCATGCATATAGAGGCACCACTCAAACTGGATGGTAGGAAAGCATTGGTGCAATTTATTCTCAACGGTACATCAATGCCCAAGACATAACACATAACATAATAATCTCGCGAAAGATACCAAGTAGATAAATGAAAGTACATGCCTACCCAATTACTCCCACTTCTCAACATGTACATGCTTAACCTCCGCGTCCTTCATCAACGCCTTAAGCTTTCCAAACTCCCTCGAAGCCTCAGACTCCCCGAAAACAATATGATCCTGGATTTCATTCCACCCACTGAAAAGAACAAACTCCTCATCCTGTCCCTCTTTATCGATACGCCACGCACCGCAGACAGAGAACGGAGCCGTGTATGCATTCAAATGAGACACGACAGCTTTGAAAACAGCGTCGAATTCATCTTTCCTGCCAGCCTCGACAAAGCACCGAGTTATAGCGAGAACAGGTGCATCCAGTGGGATTTTGGATGTAGATGGCTGTCCAATCCATTAGTATATCTCTTTGATAACACCATTGAACTAGGAATCTATTTCAACGTCAATATTGGTGGAAATCTCACATCAACATCCAAATGAAACATCCAGCTAACATCAAGATCGCTCTGCAACCGCGCAAGCAGGTCCTGGTTGACTTCGGATGAAAGCCATTGGCCTTCGCCTGTGTGTTTCTCGACAGACTCCCATCCGCCTAGTAGATAAAAAAATGATGGGTCTTCGATCTGGCGGAGGTATGTGACTTGGTATTCGGAGTATCCTGTCTGTTTCTTTTGGGCTTCTAAGAGGCCGATTTTGGTAGACGAGTGGGCATCTTGCGCTTTCAGCTGGAGGAGGGCGAGTTCGGTTACTGGCATTTTGTCCTCTCTTTGAATAGATGGGTTGCTTTCGATATTTTAAGAAGGAATGTGTATAGTATCCTGGATTATTGGGGTTGTAACGTTGTTTTATATGTCTATCGAGTAAGCTGAGCCAGGGTGGGGGGCGATTTGTAGGCAGCTGTTGGAGTCGTCATCTAACTAGTTCTCGGCGCTGATTGACTAATCGGTCTTCATTCAATCCATCGATGTGTTTCATGCAAAGACTGTTGATTTATCATATCGGGGGAGGTTTACAAATGTTCGGCTTTAGGGCTACAAGCTAAGTCAAAACAAGCTAATATATATCTTCAACCCTGAATTTCAAAAAGGGTTCGCAGAAATTGTAATGCAATCAATGTCCAATCGACTTAAGAATATACACACCCAAGACGCCAGCGATCAAAATGGATGTTCACCTTCCAGCAACACAATAGCCAATAGCTTTGGGTATACCGACCAAGCACAAGACCAGACAATGTATGAAAGAAACGAAACCCGCAAAGCTCAAAATAACGACCGCGAAAGTCAGCATTGTAATAACATGGATCAAACTTCTTTCCTGTAGGAACATTAATAAAATGAGGCGTAATAGAGGGAGGAATAAGGACGTACCAACTAAGTCCAGGTTTCTCAACAGCCGGGGTCTTAATAGCATTTCTGTCCCCAAAGGGGTTGTCTTCATCATCCTCTTCTTCCGACTCACTCTCGCTGTCAAAGATTTGGCGTGAGTGTTGCGACGAAGATGCAAGAGGAAAGCTATCAGGACGGTTCGGCCGTGGCGGTTTGTGGGTATTGATATTTAGCCCAGCAAGGCCGTCATTCATGTCCGAGTCTTGCAGTCCAAGTCCATGTCTTTGTTTCCAGTTTCCTTCCAAAATGTCGTCCTCACTATCACTGTCATAGTCCACACTTTTGTCTAGCACCTCGAATGCCATCAATGCATCCACCAGCTCCTCATTCGCATGGATCAGGCCGCCCAGGAATTCTTCGGTTTCTATATACTGGATGTATCGAAGGATCGTGTGGCGAAGATCCTTGCATGTGTCGAATCGGTGACTGCATTCTGCATCCTCGCTGACTCGGTGCGTCTCGCGATTGACGAGTTTCAGAGCATTCAACAAATTGGTGCTAGCGACAGAAGAGGCAGCGAGCGCCTGCAGAATCTCCGGGCGTTCCTTTTCCAGATCGAACCTCTTGCGGCTAATTGATGATTTCTTATCTTTCTTGACTTTCCTGGACTTGGACTTTTCTTTGGAGCTGGTCAGCAAAGTGGATGGACCACTGCCCCCTGACACGGATACAGCATGACCCATCGGGGGCTCGTTTGAATTCGAACTCGACTCCTCACGGAGAACCTTGGCTTTTGCCTGCGTCGCAGGCTGCTTTCGCTTGGGAACTTGTTTGTATAGTGCCGTGACCTTCGCCATACCGGGGGTGTCCTTATAAGTTGCCGCCCATTGTCCGAAAATTTGTTTACATTTCTGTTTCACAAGTGGATCGGAAACGGAATCAGTAGCTGCAATTCGCAGACGTTCGAGCAACGCCTCATCAGCGAAATCGCGTAAGAACCGTTCTCCTGCATTTTGAACCAGGAAGTCGAGAATAGTAAGCGCGCGCAGCTGTCGGTGGATATTGCCGTATTTTCTGAATTGGTCAGATTGATTTTGAGCAATTTGAATACTCGTAGACTCACAGCTTCTTTCGAAGGGCCCGACTTGCTTCCGTTGGGCCACTGGCCTGAATGCGAACTACCTCCACTAGATCGACAATACCACTCGAATCTTCGACCTCATATTGTTCGCTTGTAAGGACCTCAATTTGTACGGTCACTGCCGAGTATGGTTTCTATTTAAACCTGTATCAGTCGGTGCTGGAAGGGGATACGATCTTCATCCGGTGACTCACGGAGGATTGGAACATATTGGCCCAGTAAAGGGATAACCTCTAGAACAGTCTATACTTGGTTTGGCAAGGAACAGGTTTGGAGAATCGAAAATTGTCCCTTGTATCAAACAGCCCACTATCACCCCACGTTGCGATGTCGGTATAGAAATGACCCCGCACGGCGCTGTTTAGACAAACGATTCGCAGGAATTGTGTATGTATGTATGGAGTATCGGAGGCGATAGTATATAGGTTGATTCGCTATAAAAACGCCGGGAAGGGATTAACAGTGTGAAAGACAACGTAGAGCTTGGGCAGCTTTCGCGATACCTTCACGTGGTGTCGGTGACGTCGGAGGCCCCAAGGGGTCTTGGCGTGCGTTAATCTGATAAGCGCAATGACAAGTGGCGCAAATGTAGAGAGGATGTATAGGCAGTTTCCAGTTTGTTCAAGAAGGCATCCAAATTGCAAAGTGGCCTCGTTACAGGGGAAAGAATGAGCTCAAACAATGTTAAGACAGTTTAAGCTTATCGGCTCCTCGTGACTATTCCGGCCCAAAGGGGATTAGGGCGGGGTCTAAATGCCTGAGGCCAAAATACATGAGAACGAGCTCATTAATCGACTTGAGCAATCCAGAAGTCTATCCAAGAAGACCTCGAGAAAGCAAGAGTAGTCAATCCCGGCTACATTTCTTCCCAATTTATCTCGAATGAAGCTTTCGTCTACTCACCGAACAGATCAATCCCCACGTTCCTATTTGTTACGCGTACTGTCCCGCTTCGTGGTCTGCTCCACCCTTATTCTAGTCGTCAGCGTGGCTCTGAAATCCCGCTCTCGTCTTTCCCTCCTCCTCCCCCACCTCTCCTCCACCCAACCTACAATCATGTCTTACCAACAGGAACGTTACATCGCCGAATTGGCCGTCCAGCGGGCGTGTCTCCTTACACAGAAGGTCTTCTTCGAGAAGGCCAAGGGCACAGTCTCTAAGGATGACAAGTCCCCCGTCACCATTGGCGACTTTGGCGCTCAGGCCCTGATCATCTCGGCCATCCGCAAGAACTTCCCCAACGACGAAATTGTCGCCGAGGAGGAGGCCAGCTCCCTGCGTGAGGACAAGGACCTCAGCGCTGAGATCTGGCGCTTGGTCAAGGACATCCAGCTGGATGATGCGGAGAGCGATAATATTCTGGGTGGCCCTCTCACCAGTGAGCAGAGCATGCTGGACATCATTGACAACGGCAACAGTGCCGGTGGTCCTAAGGGTCGCATCTGGGCCCTCGATCCCATCGACGGCACCAAAGGCTTCCTCCGTGGCGGCCAGTACGCCGTCTGTCTCGGTCTGATGGTTGACGGTGATGTCAAGGTCGGTGCTATTGGTACTCCTAACCTCCCCGTCGATGATGCTGCCCCCATTGATGCCAGCACCGGTGCCCAGCAGTCCGCGACTGCCGGAAACGGTGTCCTGTTCTCCGCTATCCTCGGCGAGGGTGCCACCGGCCGCCCTCTGGCCAGTGGTACTCTTGCTGCCAGCAAGCCCATCTCCATGCGTCCTGTCGCCAAGATCTCCGACGCTGTGTTCTGTGAAGGTGTTGAGGCTGCTCACTCCGCCCAGGGCGATAACGCTGCCGTTGCTCAGCTTCTTGGTATCACCGCCCCCAGCGTGCGACTGGACTCGCAGGCCAAGTACTGCTCCATTGCCCGTGGTGCCGGTGACGTCTACCTGCGTCTCCCCGTCAAGAAGGACTACCAGGAGAAGATCTGGGATCACGCCGCTGGTGATTTGATTGTTCGCGAGGCTGGTGGCCAGGTGACTGACATCTACGGCAACCGCTTGGATTTCAGCAAGGGCCGGACCTTGGCTGTCAACAAGGGTGTCGTTGCTGCTCCCAAGGCCCACCAGGACCAGGTCATTGATGCCGTCAAGACCGTCCTAAAGCTGTAATTGATTTAAGATTTTTAATTTCGTCGCCTCGTCCACTGCACTTGAGCTCCCGGGGAGCAGAATCAGTCTGAAGTAGATTTGTGATACCATCGCTTGTGAGAGGAATAAAAAATACATATGTGACGATAAGAGTACAAGACACGGGACCAAACACAAAATGTCCCGCGTAACTGAAAAAAAAGAAATGCGCTTCCAGTCTATTTGATCTTCTTCGCCTTGAGCTTGATAGTCTCTCCGTTGACGAAGATACCCTTGCCCTTGTACGGCTCGGGGCGTCTCCATTCTCTGATCTCGGCCGCGAATTGGGTCACAATCCGCTTGTCGACACCCTCCAACAGGATTCTGGTAGGCTGCGGTGTGCTCGCAACAACACCTTGGGGGATACCCAGTTCAATTGGGTGGGAAAAGCCGACCTTGAGGGAAACGAACTTTTGGCCGGGGTAGTCGGCTTGGACGGTGGACGCCTTGTCCTCGATGGTAGCCCTGTAACCGACACCGACCATACTTAAAACACAGACGTGGCCTTCGGAGACGCCAAGGATGTGATTCTGGAGGAGTGAGCGAACGGTACCTAGATAAAATAAGATATGTTAGACACCAATGGCTTGCCGTGCGGACTTAACCGCGGAGGAAAAGACAGGAGAACATACCCCACATAGCACGCTGGTGAGGAACCGTCTGATCCAAGACTGCCAAGCTAGCCTTCTGGCCTGTCTCATCGGGGGTGATAGTGAGGAACGAGGGTATGTTCAGGCTCATCTCGCCTGTGAAGCGGACAAGTCAGCATCAATCGGCCAGACCACATTGCAAAACACATTACCCTTGGGCCCCTTAATCTCAGCCATAATCTTGGGGATATCCTTTCCTCGTGTGCGGGACAGAGTCGCGGGGATATCGATGAGCTTAAATGACACCTCCGGGGGAATGGAGAGCGCGGCACCTCCGACTCGGGACTGCGCCGGGGATGTGGTCGAGAAGCATTGTGTGCGGGGGGAGAAGGCGGGTGCGAGGAAGATGGGTAGTGAACCGCGCTGGAAGGGCTCTCGGAGAAGCTGGCGGGCGCAGCGTTGGGGTATGGAGCACGACATGGTGATTTGCGCGTGTTGGGTCGGATACTGTGATTGCGGACTTTGGATTTTGTTTCGAAGATGGATTGCCTCAATTGGGTTTAGCGTTCACGTGACTATCTATATATTATTAGTTTCGAAGGTCACTGCCAAGGTTTCATCCTATTGTTTGTTGGAATATCATAATATGATATCGGCATAATGAATTATGCTCTCGACTGCAGTGCTATGATATTCGAGTCCATTCTGTCAAGAAATTTTGATGTTGGATCTTTTTTATTGCATGCGTCTATTGTCAGAGGTTGTTGAAACCTCGTGCCTAAAATCCAAACTTCCGAGGGCCATCCGGATTCGACCTCCCAAACGCCCAAGGGGAAAAAGAAAAACCCATATGAGATAACACGCTTTATCACGCTTTATCACGCTTTATCACGATTTATTCCAGTTTATGCCAACCAAATCACATATATACCTTCAAGCATGAACATTCTTCGTGAGACAGAATCTCTGCCTAGGCTTAACATGGATGAGGCACCATAACCCAACCATCATCATCGTTCCCAGTGAACTCTTACTCGGTGTTCAGTCATGTTGTCCTTTCGATTGAAGGACATGTCACATGAGGGACAATCGAATGAGCGCGGAGCTATATGCTGCGTATCGATGTGACGCAGCAACGCTGGCTTTCCGCAGAATGGATCGAGGTACGTGCAGTCCTTCCAATGGCATTGGAAAGATCGTTGGGGGTTCCTAAAATGGACGAATGGTATCAGTGAGTGTTAAACTTGATGATGAATTCTCAAGATGCTCACTCCTGTTTCCGCTGGCGTCCTTGGGTACGACCAGAAGGTCTCTTTCCCTTGGTATAGCTACCGCTGGTAGATTTGACCTGAGGTGCCCTTGGGACAGGTGAAGCAGATGCTGGAAAATTGGCGCAAGCGATGTCGTGCCTGGGGCCGAGATAGCCTGTCGCCGGGTCCCCGAGGGCGGTAGCTGCACGGTCATTCTCGATTGGAGGTTGATGTATGGCATTTTGATTGAGGCGACATATACCGCAACAAGTCGAGGGCGAGCCAGAAGACACAGCGAAGCTAGGCACCACGGATGCGACAGGATGCTGTACGGGATAGGTATATGGGAGAGGATCCGCAGATACCCTAGATGGCTGCGCCAGTGTAGAGGTAGTTGATTGGTAGACAGGAGGGGTGAATTGTGAATAGTTGAAGTCTACCCAAGTGTAATCATAACCATCTGGGACGAGCAAAGGATCACAGTGGGTGTTGCAAGAAGGCGATGCCATACTAGAACAGGCAGAAAAAGAAAACAGAATAGACTAATTGAGCAATGTGTTGAGTAAACTAAACTGTGAAGCTTTGGGGTAGATGGCAATGTTTTTAAATAAGAGTTCGGAGTTTATGTGTACTAGGGAGATTTACTACCTGCTAGCTAACTGAATCCTTATAACTGAGAGACAAGGGAAAATGATCTCAGACCTGGCGCAATACATACCTAGGTATGTACTATTCGTTGAATCCAGGTATTCGGTAAAACCGGGCTGGTTATAACCTTGTTTTAGTACTGTATGTGTACTGCAACCAGTTAAACATAGATTTGTCCACAATCTCTCCACTTTGTGATCTGGAAGATTGTTTGTTTCTGCAAGTTTGATAGGTCGATCTGGTGCGGTTTTTCCAAGGTTGCCCCTTCTGGAACTCTCAATTGGATGATATAAGCAGGCTTGGCGGGTTATCCCCCAGCTGATTGGCCAGACAGAGTTTCTAGAGCCTCCAGGCTAACTAGTAGTCATTCCCATTTTGGTTAGTACCTAGGTATACTTGGTCGTAATGAAAGGGCGGTGTCCTATAGTTAGATTTCTCTGTATCTTTCACTGAACTGCCCAGGTGAACACCATTATCGTTACTTTTACTGTTGGTTCTGAGGTTTCTCCCTATGCTTACCGTTTTGGGACACAGCGTAGAATTACATAGTATGCCATTTTGCTGTCTTCTGTATGTACATATGTACTTTCATTATACTCTCACTAAAATCAATCTGACAAATTTCATAGCTATCCATAATTTTCCGGACAATTATTTACAATCTTATGAAAATGCACGCCTCTTCTACTCCGTCAAGATTCCTCTCCTTAAGAGGGTTGAAGGCCAGGAGATACCATACGGAAATCCTCAGCTCGCTACCTTGTAGACCTACTCCTAACCATTTACTAACAACCTGCATGAGTATTGGGATAAAAGAAAAACAATCCATGAGCCAAATAAAAAACCAAGTCCTGACGGGAAATTCTCCAGGAAAAAGTAAAGCCGGAGCTGGGCGTGACCCAGACAACTTGGATGTCAAGTCTCACTTTCTTTCTTCCCATCTTATATTATCCTTCTCACATACCTCCTTATACTCATTCATCTCACGCAATATACACGAGTGATCAAGAACCCGACTCCTCCAAAGCCAAGCTCGTACACTAGACCAGCCAGACCATTCACTATGAGGGCAAGCAGTGGCTTTCAAGCGCTTTCATATACCTTTCTCGCACTTGCACAGCTCAGTCGAGCAAGTGCCTCCCAACACAGTAAGTCATTGAGGTACGTCTAAATCGTTCTGCTAACCCAAACAGATGTCCCAATCCTTGCGCCCAAACCGCCAAACATCGACGCGATCTCTTTCCTTGGTTCCCGAGCACAAGACCAAGACAGCATCTTCAACGAAGCGGTCAAAATTCTGGATTCGATGAAATCTTCACCCTCGTGCAACCGATTAGCAGCGACCAAATTGGTGAACTCGTGTCAAACATTCAGCGATGGCAAAGACGGTAACCAGGCGGATAGCCTAGAGACGCTTGACCTTCTTCGATCCGTCTATGCCGCACGCCTAGCATTGTGTGAGATCGACGGTACTGGCACCCCAATGCCTCCCTCGTGTCTTCCTGTCACTGTATCGCCGCCTCCACAGAAGAACCGATTCGGCTTTATGAGTCGACACAGAGGTTCTGACCCTGACTCGGACGAAGTCCCGAAAGAATTATTGGAGCAATGTCTCAGGACGCTTGAGTCGCGACCACAGTGGTGGACTTCATACAGCAACAGTCGACAGAATGCCCTTGTGATCTGCCATGCCTCGCGAATGGAGACGGAAAAAGAGGAGCTTATTGAGCTGCATCGATCCATTGCCAAGAGCAGTCTCAAGCTTAATAACGGGCTTCAAGAGGCTTTGCAAAACGCAACTGCACAGTCTGCGCAGCAGTACTCATTCATCCAGGCTGTTCAGTCTCTGCAAGAGAAGATCGTCACCGATATGGAGGCGACTGACTCTGTGTTTAAACGAACATTTGGCAATTTTCTCCGAGAAATCGAAGCCGGGATATGGTCTCTTCAAGATTCTATATCTGTGGCTTTGTCGAATGTGCGGACTGGAACAGGGGTCCTCGACAAGGTAAAATTCGACCAACTTAGGTGGGGTTAAACCCTATACTAAATTATAACTAGGACATCCGGAACGTATCGGCCCAAGTGGGAGCCCTTCAACAGGCACTACAAAGTGCACATCAGGATGCAATGGCTAGAAGCCAAGAGACGTTGTTGGTCCAAGAAACCAATGCTGTCGCTCAGAGGGATCTTACATCTTCTTTACACCTGTCACTCGAGTCGCTTCTTGACTCAGATATGGATAGAGTGCACCAAGGCATGCAGAGGTTTGACGCTGCTATGGTGTGTTACATATAGATTTACCTTTGGTGTACACTGAGACTGACCCCTTTTTGTAGGAATGTTTGACCAGCCGAATGAACATGATCCTTGAGCAAGAAACCAGGATGACAGAGGTACGAGCTCATTTGCCACACATTGACTCTCTTACTGACTTTCTAAGCGACTTCAAAACATGGAAACTTTCATCCAACAATCCGAATCGAAAGCAAGCGAGTTACAAAAGGCCCAAAACCAACAAACAGAGGCACTATCTGCACAATCGCGAGCCCAGGAGGCTATTCAATTTGACGCGCAGGTATCGCAAGCTTTGCTGGCCAAAACTAGCGTTGCCGCTGCCAATTTGCAGTCTGTGATCGACGATGCAGCTTTCAAGTTCAAGCATGTCTCGGGGTTCGGTATCGGAGGATCCTCCGCGTGGTTTCTCTGTGCCGTTCTGCTCATCGTCATCGCCGCCCAGAACCTTAAGATTGCAATCTCTTTATTTTTTCTCATTTTTGGTACGTGTGTTCTTCATGATCGAGACTGATTGGTGCTAATACAATGTGGCTCAGGGCATTCTGTTGCCCTGATCATCTTGAAATTTCTTTAGTTATAAACACCCTGCGCAGTGATTTGCGGACCAGACACCATTGATACCCAGGCGTTATTTTTCTTATTTTCTTATTGGTTTTTCTATCTTCCCCCTGCTATTTCTACCATTTATGCTTGCATCACTTATGCTTGATATCCATCCATTACATTTAGATCTATAGCAATGGAACAACGCAGCATTTCACAATCCAATCATTCGGAGGAGTTACGTATCTCCCCTTTCTGCTCAGAATGATATGAAACTAAATAAACTAAATCAATAGATTGTTTCAGAAAAATCAAATGAAAGTGCAAGCAAATTAGCGCCAACACAGCCACACAATAACTGCCAAAGCCAAGATAAGCTGCGGGATATGACCCATTTATATTGCGATCAGCCAATTAAAGTCCCACCTCTACGCTATTGGAAATGACATACGAGAAGCTAATTCTCTCCGAAAAAAGAAAAAAAAAAAAAAAGGAAAGTCAACAGCATAGATGGGGGCAGTCACGTGGGGAGTGAATAGTTCGACTGCGCGCTTCTTCTCCTCCTTTTCGATTCGCAACGCGTTCCTCATCGGATCTTGATTCACATTTATCAAACCTCCCTCTTCTCCGATCTCAAACTCGATCAAAATGCCTGGTGTTCGTGAGTGACCATCCCCCATCCCTCATCCCCCCATCCCCTTATACTCCCGACCCAACGGTTGGGGCTCCTCGGAACCACAGCGCTAACATTCCCCAGCACCCGACGCTCTTGACCAAGTCAAGAAGGGCTTCAAGCGGTTCTTCAGCCTTCGCAAGAAGGCTGCTAAGAAGACAACCGAACAGAAAACCGAACCAGTCCCTGCTGAAACTGCTGCGACTGCTGCCCCCGTCGCTGCTGCTGCGACCAGTGAGACGGCTGCTGCGAAACCCACCGCCCCCGCTGCAACCCCAGACTCTGCCCCAGGTATGACACTCCTTTATCGATTTGATATCAACTTCGTCGCGCTCGACACCCGACTGACTTATTGATCTACTCTAGATGCTGCTAAGGTTCCCGAGGCAAAGGACGCAAGCAAGGCGGAGCCTGCCACCTCTGAGATGACGGCTACCGCCGGCCCTGTTGACACTCACTACGAGCCTGAGGCTGCCGCTGCCGCTGCCGCTGCTGCGCCAGCACCTGAACCTACTGCACAGGCTGAAGCCTCCGTTGCTAAGCCCGAGGAGCCTGCTACTAAGACTGAGGCCCCTGCTGCTGCGCCTGAACCTGCTGTGAAGTCTGAGGCGGCTGTCGCTAAGCCTGAGGAATCCGCTGTCAAGCCCGAGGAGCCCGTCGCTAAGACCGAGGCCCCTGCTGTCGAGGAACCTGCTGCTAAGGTCGAAGAGTCGGCTGCTCAGCCCGAGGCCACTGCTGCTGCGCCTGAGGAAGCTGCCGCTAAGATCGGTACGTCAATTGTCTGAACGAGGCAAAAGGACAATGCTAACAGCGAAGATAGATGCACCCGCTAAGTAGAAGTGTGAATATCCACTTAATTGGCGAGAATTGGTCCTTTCTTTGCGAGTCTGATCTAACTTGCGAGTGCTTTTTCCCCGCTCCTTATTTTGTTTCATACCCTCAGCGTTGTATATTAATCAGGTTCACGAAGCGATTCATCGCATGCTTTTTTCTTCCTTCCATATCGGCCTTGATCGGACCGCTCAATACCATGCAAATCTCTAATTATCCATTTCAGTGCTTGCCCGGCAGTAAATCTCTGGATATATTATGCTATTGTTGCTGACGACGGAGAGGAAAACCAACACTCCCACGGGTATCACATTAAGAATCTATCCTGAAGCTAGATAGTTTCATTCCTCCCCGCCTGAGGAATGATCATCACCATCCGCCATAGCGATATCTTCAACGCTAACACCCGCCGCCGCAGCCTTCTGCTCTCTCGCTTTTTGTCTGCGCTTGAGTTTCCGATCGCGGTTCTTCCGAGTCCGCTTCTCGGCTTCATTTTCCTTGGCAGCCTGTGCGGCCGCAACGCGCTTGCGCAGCTGCACTCGTCGCTTCTTGCCGGGCTTCTTGCGTGTAAGTGGGCTCTTTGAGACAGGTGCGCCCTCTACCACGTAGACAGGAAGACTGTTGGCTGGCCGCGGCAGTTTAGTCTGATGTCGCTTGAGATGGATGACTCGCCAGGGGAGGTGGCAGCCGGGCTATGAATTAAGTTAGCATATAGAACTAGCTAAACGCATGGGTATCCATCCACTTACCCAGACTAACGAGTTGGCCCATGTCAGCATGTGCTCCCCGCTAACTGCCATATCCTCAAATTGTTTCTTCTTTTCCGCTATCCGGATCTCGTCTTCGGCCGTAGGTTCCCCACTGCTTGTGCCCTGGAGGGAAGGTGTAGAGAAGTAATAATCCCATCCCCGGGAGGATTTCACAAACCGTCCCTCGGTGCCAGCACCGGATCCCGGTGTAGGTGAATGTAGTCGGATTCTCAATTTTTGAGTAGTGGCGGCTTCTATGCTTTTCCCGTCTGTATCGTGTCCTGACGGCTTGGTGGTATCTTCTGTTGATTTGGCGGGGGCGCTGAATAGCCGGAACTCGAATTCTTGTTCTTCATCCTCGTCCTCCGCGGGCTGTGAGGGACCATTATCTTGGCTAGTTGTATCCTGTGCAGTGTCCAATTGATCAAGGTTGAGTAGTTTTCCTAGGCGGGCATATGCATCCTGGGCGGCGGCATCATCTGGGGCTGGTGATGGTGAGCGAGATGATGCTGGTGAGCGCATCTCATCGCGACGGACACTGTACAAGCCAGATTAGTTACTGGTTACATTGAGAGAAAAGCCCTAAGTAAATTGCATGCTGACATACCGTTTTGCATTTGGTAGATCGAACATGGTGTGATGTGTGAGGAGAAGGAATAAGGCCAAAATTGCCAAATCAAGAAAAACGGTCCAAAGTTCCACGCCGCTCTGCGGCCACGGCCTGATGACATGGCACGGACCGCCCAGCCTCAACCTCCGACTTCAAAGAAGTTCTTTTTTTGTCTACACTGTGACTCTCTACTGCGCCCATTTGTTTCATTTCATATTCTCTGTTTCTGCATATCACACACTCCTTACCTTCTGATAATTCCCTCACCTACTCCAACAAAGGGTACCCACACCTCAACTATTGGGGTGATTAATGCCTCGTGCCCATCGCATAGCGCAAACGTGCAGCCAAGAACATCCCCGGTTCTGAATTTCCGATCCCGATCCCTATAAATGGGTATCTGTGCCTCCTGCCTCGGCGGGAATCGCCACGAGTCTCCTGAGGTGAGTCCCAAGTCTGGGACTAGTTTCCCCGTCACCATGTTCAGCGCGCATTACCTCGGTCTCATGCGCGATACGTGGGATGCTTATGGCAGAGCACAGTTGTCTAACTTTTCTTCCATTAAGCCTGAGTCTGCACGTCTACTCGATGAGGACCCTTATCAAGCCGGGTATGGCTACGGAGCACTCAACCATGCTCATCAGGCAAGCCAGCCTGATTCGGAATATGTGAGACGTGAGAGGGAGGCGCTGGAATCAATTTGCCAGCGGACATCTGAGTAAGTAGTATACTATGCTAGTTTCTTTTTGTTTTGTCATACGGCAAATTAGTGAGAACGGAATTCATGCTAATCATATCTCTCAGCTCCGTCATCGATATCTGGTCCATCCAACCACAACCACACCTTCGACCCCAAGCAACTCTCCACACCCCTATCTCTGCATCTCCCGTTCCATCACAAACAACTTCAATAACAACACTTGTTACATCTAACCATCGCACATCACCACCCAGCCGTCCCACCTCCGGCGCATCGGGCACTGTCCCGAAACACTGGGGTGAAGTTGTTGTGAACCCAAACAAGAAACGGTCTCGTACCGATATCAAAACTGATGCTAAGGCAAGCCATGATGTGTTTGGAGTTCTTAAAGTCACCTAAAATAAGGCGTTTGGGGCATACATCACTGCACATTGACGCTGCACATTGACGATGAGATGTACACGACAAATGAGGGTGCGGGTTGTGAGGATAAAAAACAAGGGGTGCAATAAGGGTACTGGAAGACCCGCTTCATTACTTTCTTGCGCGCTGTCCTGTTATTTGAGGTATTTTTGTTTCATGCATTGATCGCAGGTCGACTGTTTTTCGCACATACATAGCCATTCCATTCTTTCCTCTCCCTGGTATGGTCTGATAATACCCAATGGCGCAGACTTTTTTTTCTTTTGTTGTCAGATTCTTTTTTTTTCTTCATCCAATGTTGCTTTCTTTTCTGTTGGCGTGCTTTGCTATTCCAAGTCTGTTTCTTTGTCTTCATATCATCTTGTCAGTCGTGCACTGCTTGTATATGTAGTTTTTTGTTTCGAGTGGACTCCATCCTTTCTTTTCGTATAGACACACAATTCGAGTTTCATTATCAATTGACTTGTTTTAAATCAGGATACTACGTATAGATTCTGAGAGTGTTAATATTTCTAGGGTAGGTATATATCTTAGGAAGGTCAACACATAGAAGTCCAGCTTTGGATGGATAGTTTTTATGTGCGAGCTTACTATATAGTTAAGATATCATGGGAAGAATCATAAAAAAGAATATAACTCCCCATACCTATGAGAGTTTCGGCATCAATTGCTCAACCTGTGACTCCGCCGATAATCATTGCAAATGCCTCTTGGGTGGACTTAGGTGGACCGAAATACATAATAAGAAGTAGGGAAAACACAAAAACAAACATGGAGATTAACAAGAAAAAAAGAAATGAATACATGGCAACTCCCCTATGACAGATAAAAGAAAACGCCCGCTGATATCCAGTTCCGGGATAGACATATAAGAGAGTAGGGTGATGCAATATGTTCATGCCAGGTCGATCCTAGACCTAACGGAAAGGTTCACAGACCATCAGACATCGTCCATTGTACCCGCGGGCTGTTCGCCATCAGACTCGTAGCTCCCCGCCGAGCTTAGCTCATCTTCAGATTCGGTGTCCTCGCCTGCTTCATCCACAGCCTCTTTGCTAGCGTATTTGGCAACATATTCTAGTACGGAGTCGTTAGCATCCATATATCACATATTGATAAATTTATATTTTTAACACACCTTTCACCTTTGCCTCATATGCCTTGGGTTCTCTCATCATCAGCGCTGCTGCCCTCTCCGTTGAGAGGATCTGAAGGGTTGGGATAACGGAGGAGCTGAGGAAGGAAGACCTCGAAGATGTTGAGCATGTCGTACATGGGCGACCACGTTTGGTTGATCACATCAAGGCAGACCGAGCCCGACCTAGGGCAGAAAAACCGCATTAACTTCTCTGAATTTCCTTTCCACGCATGTCGAACCCATAACTCACAGCTCGTCGATGTTTGGGTGGAAAATTCTGTTGACGAATCCGATGCTCGGGCTTTTGTATGGGTACTGGTCAGGCAATTCGACGTGGATCTTCCAAAGGCCTCCGGTAAATGGTGCTAGAAAGGTTAGTTGGTTTGATGTAATATCGGTTGATTACCTAGGTATGAGCGTGACATACTCTCTTCTGGGCCCTTGAAACGAACGTAGAATTCTTGCCTGTTGGTAGTAATTGGTATCGGAGATCTTCAAATGGTTGATTGTAGGGGTATGGAGTACATACACTGGATTTCCGGAGTTAGTATATAGAACCCAGACTGGTACAGGACCACAACCTACTGTTGTCATTGACCAGAGTCACCTCATAGTCACTCATTAGCCTAGATAACCTGTCATTATATTTGCCAGAAACCAAGTATGCTTGCCGAGGGAGGCCAAAAAAGGGTTGGGAAAAGCGGCGGCCAAATTGAAAGGATGGGGGGATTTTCGGTCATACATCCTAGCCAAATGTTAGTACTGTGTATTTTAGATGCCTTCGGAGTTGCGGGGCATACTTCATGACCTGTGTAATGGGGGAAAAAGTTATTAGCATGTCCGGCGAGTCTGGGGGCTTATCGGATTATCCGCAACATTCATTACTCACATCTGTCTCGATTCTGCGCTTTGGGCTACTCATGTTGGCGGTTTGAATAGAGCGGTGGGGTTTTGGATCCGAGGAGTATTATCGACGGCGGGCTCTCACACGGAAAGCGGACCTAGCAGTGTCAATGTCGTGATTCACAGATATTCCCGTCGTCGGAGCGGGGAAGTAATGGGCGGGGCAGACGATGAACTTTGAAATAGACGTTGAGCGATGAAAGGGTTAGTGTGTAGGGGGTAGCGACGTGACTAGAATGTCAAATAGAAGAGAAGGCTGTACTTCTTAGGCCTAGTACAGAAAGAAGAGAAGGAGAATGAGGTCCTTCCAAGGTTTGGATCTTAGATCGGGCATGATGAGTCGATGAGTCAGCACGAGCCAACTTGGAACCTTGGAAGCCCGATGCCATGATGACTAAGATAGGTGGATCCGTGGATCCATCTTAGTCTGATCCACTTTGCTACTCTCCAGGGCTGCACATCGTACAACTTCAGAAGATTCATGTTACCATGTTGTTGCTAAGGATAGACCTCTGTACGATGCGCATCAGCTAATTTCAAACATTATTAGCCTTTACTTATACGCCTATGAGTTACTAATTCTCGAGGTTAGTCTATATTTTATACGCTTAATGGTATTTCCAACTTAAAGTGCCCAACAACGAAAGATGCACATGTCCTATTGTTTTAGACGGCATGCGTCAGATATGATCTAGAACCAACCATGAACTAACTAATATGATACATGCAAAGATAGAGGTACCGCAGCTACCACTAAGAAGGCCTGGTCTATCTGGGCAATTAATGCGTTTTTCTTTTATCATCTAGCCCGAATCTATATCTTGAAAGGTTTACCTGAAGTCAAAACGGCTGACCGTGCCAGTGGCATATTGGCATGGTTCGAGGGAGTCACGTGGAAGCCATGTGACCAGTGGCCCAATAGGCTGCGGGCTGCCCAGGTGCACCTGACTTATATAAGTGCATTTAATGGCCCCAGGGCCCGGGACCAGCTGGAGAGGTCAAAAGATCGTATAAATTTGATTTTCTAGTCTCCGCTTGAGACCACAATAGGTGGCTGTGGCAGCTACATATTAATCCCAGCTATCAGTGCAGCATTTTGGGCACGTTCCTCTGTTAAATCTATGAGTACTGATGACAGTGTCCAATTCTGGCATCCAAAGTTTATAGTTGGACTGTAACATGTGTATATCTCTAAATAGCCCACAAAGCCCATAGCCCAACTCAACCGGGCTGGGTTTTGGGCCCTATATTCGGGCCTACAGTAACATACAAGAACAGGTCCAGCGCCACTGCTGACTGCTCAGGGGCCATGCCTTTTGGAGGCGTGGCCCGGGGCAGACTTGGCTTGGGAAATTCTGTCTCAGTCAGTCCAATTTTGTCACTCAAACTTCTCTCAGTTATTTGCGGCAACGTCGATAATAGTCTTTCAAGATTGTTTTCTTGTCTTCTAATATCTCTCTTAAGCTGTCCGCCTCAAGCGCTCAATAATCAAATCATGCAGCAGAATGACTTCAGAACTGTGGTAAGCAAAAGCTCGTGGAAGCCGGGCATTTCATCTGGTCGCTTTCTACCACAATTTGATTCTCTTCGCTTAATTCCTTTATTTGAACTATACTCACTAAATCTCCCTTTAGTCCTGTCTACCGTGAGTTCGCCCTCCCTTGTGGCTGACGTCGATGACCTGACTATTAGCTAAAGCTTATGCCCTCGTCCCCTACTATATCTAAATCCGCTACCCCGATTCAAGTGGCTAACCTTAACACCCCTGGCTATTTTTCGGCTCTATGGGCTGCGTCTGCGCAATTGTCTTCACTTGCTTCGGTGCTGCCTACGGAACTGATAAGGTCGGCGGTGGCGTTTGCTCGACGGCCGTCTCACGACCCGACTTAGTTGTAAAGAGTATGTCACGTTCGATATCGGCGGAAGACTTCACAGAATGGTGTTATCGTTAAGATAAGTCATTTTCATGATTTGAGAATGCAACGCTAATCCGGTTTGATAGGTATAGTCCCGGTTGTGATGGCTGGCATTATCGGGATCTATGGCTTAGTCGTTTCTGTTCTTGTGGCAAATGATCTGAAGCAAAGTCTGCCCTTATATATAGGCTTGATACAGCTTTGTACAGGTCTCTCCGTCGGTCTTACCGGCCTAGCATCTGGGTAAGCTGCGTAATAGATAGGTCCCGAGACATAGCTGAGATGATTCTTTTATCATGATTTTAGTTTCGCTATTGGAGTCGTTGGTGATGCCGGAGTTCGTGGAATAGCTCAGCAGCCAAGGCTGTATGTTGGCATGATTCTAATACTCATCTTCGCTGAAGTTCTTGGTGAGAACGAGGTCATCTTCTGGGAATACGCAGAATGAGAAGCTAACACGTGCATAAGGTCTATACGGTTTAATCGTCGCCCTTCTCATGAACTCGGTCGCGGAACAAAATGTCGAGAAGTGCATGTGAGAGTTCCTTACACGGATGAAAATAGCGAACTTTGGCAATCGAATATTTGCTATAATGTAGCGAGACATTTTGCAGGCTTTGGTTTCATGCATGCTACTCTGCTCTTAGTGTTTTCATTTATGTACACTGTAACTATATGATAGCAAGAATGCGCTACGTACGTTACATCCGCCCGTATCCAAATCGCTTAGGCATAGCATCTAAATTGTGTAAATATATCAAACTACCTCTTCTATCCCTCGTAGCAGCCGGCATCGCAATAATTGTCCTCGTCTTTGCAAGCCTGTTTAGAATAATGGGAATGATTGGTGCATTTATGTCAAACTCACTTTAAGATCTGCCAAGGGTGCCTATTGTTTGTACATAACCTGTAGTTAGGCTTCTAATTGATAGTACTCATGCAAACAAACGAAGGAGGAGTCTGTTGATGTTTGGTTATACGAAGATGTGGGTCTGTTGCCTAAGGTTGCCTAAGGATGCCTGGACCCTAACGCTAAGTGGAAAGTCAATTGAGAGGACCCTAAAAGACTAGCCAAACTATTTAAACTCCATGGGGTTCCCCCTGATTTTACTATTCAATTGACATACTCAACATCTTTACTACATTTGCGCAATTTACAACATGACTTCTTTACCCTCCCTCCCTGTGAAGCACAGTGACTTCGTGAAGTATGTCAACTCCAACTCGGAGAAGCCCATGGCCAACTTGGTTCAGCCATACAACGAGTATGATGCTGTTTTGCGGAAGAAATTTGCTCAAGAGCCATCTCATCCATCAATTCAAGATAACTACGTCAACATTGTTCCGCTGTACGACCAGGCCGGTTCCACAGATCTTTCCATTCGAGCTAGAGACCTTGCTACGGAAACGCCAGAGCAAACAGAGAAGTATCTTTTGCCACTGGGTGCAAAAGACCGGAAACCACATGGATCTGCGGCAGTTGTATCCTCTTTGAATGAGTTCCAGAACAACTTCACCCTATTCACAGAGGGCTCATTGAGTGAAATTGACTGGTCCAACGTGGTCGCTGCAGGTAGCGCTGTCGTGACTTCACTTTTGCCTGTCCCGGCAAAATACCGCAACTCAAAGCGTGGTCTTCGTAAGTACTACCATGAAGAGTTTGCGCCGGCATCAGACGTGGATCTCTTCTTGTATGGCCTGAACGAGGAGCAAGCCCTTGAGAAGATCATGCATATCGAGGATAAGATCAAGAACACTATCCTGTATGAAACCACGACCATCCGGACCAAGAATACGATTACCATTGCTTCGCAGTATCCGAACCGTCATGTGCAAATCGTGCTTCGCATCTACCGCTCAGTTGCCGAGATTCTCACCGGCTTTGACGTGGATGTTTCGTGCGCGGCTTATGATGGTCACCAAGTCTATACCTCTCCACGCGCAATCGCTGCATACATCACGCAGGCGAACCAGATTGATCTGACGAGACGATCACCATCATATGAAAATCGTCTCTCTAAGTATTCGCACAGAGGATTCGAGGTCTTCTGGCCTGGTCTTGACAGATCGAAGATTGACCCAGTGAGAATTGAATCCTTTGGCCAGATGGATGGAATTTCATCAAAACTAACTTTTTGGGATAGACTATCTTTGAGAGAAGCTTCACCAGAACTGAAGGACTTGCACGACTTCTGGTATTGGAAAAGCTCCCTCGGTCTCAAGACCGGGACAACTATCTCCAAAAGAGGCGCGAAGAACGAGGTCGTCCTCCTCTGAATGTGTACCTACAACGTCGCCATGGTAAAATGCTGCATGGTAATATCAAGGATGACTGGGAAGATGAGGTGCCTGAATGGCAAGAGCAAGACCAAGTGTCTGATTATCATACTTTTGTTCGTACTTTCACTGCAACCTACTGTCTGCCCCTTGATTCTTGCTGACCCTACAATAGACAATTCCTTATGGTCGGAGGTTCAACGCCAGAAGTATTGAGAAGCTACTTTACACCAAGGACCTGTTGCTGAACGCTCAGTGGAATCAACCCAAAGACCGTGCAGTTTATCTTCATCGTCATCCAGCATTCTTTGGCGAAGCAGAACATGTTATTGGCGACTGCTGTGGCTTCTGCCCCAAGGCTGTTACCGAGGAGGAAATCAAGGTCGCCGACGAGGAGGCCAAGATTTATATCTCTGGTCAAATCCATTTCATCAAAGATGATCCTGGTCGCCAGGAAATTGGAAGTTTCAACCCCATCACTGAGACTGATTGGACCGGTGAGCGGACTTCTGGCAGCTTTCTTTATTTTGAATCATACACTAATGTGAACATAATAGAAATGGCCTATGTCGGCCGCACCGAGAGACTTTGCCAGGCAATTGTGGCAAACGATGTTGACTCCGTTAAAGCTTTCCTTGCAGATGAGGGTACCAACCCAGACCGTCGTGACTACACTGGACGGACACCACTTCAACTCGCGTGCATGTGCTCGACCCCTGAAGTCGTCAAATGCCTTGTTGACGGTGGTGCTCGCATGATTCCCCGTATGGCTGATGGAAAGACTGCGCTCCATCTTGCTGCCGCCCGGGGACATGTCGACATCATTCGAATTCTACTCACAAAAAGCAATGAGAATGAAGAAGAAGAAGCCAATAAGCAGGACGCTTTGAAAAATAAAGACAAGTCAGAGACCAAGCCGAGCGCAGAAAACGAGGATATCGAAATGGTTGACCAAGATGATGCCATGTCTCACACCTCAGCCTCTTACGTGAAGGTCGAAAGCGAGGAGGAGGAGAATTTGACCACTCACGACACGCTTGAGGAGAACGAACTCGAGCCGGATGTCTACGACATCAATATCGTTGCATGGGATAGCCGGGCTGCTCCTTTGCATCTCGCCATTCTCCATGGTCATACTGAGGCCGTGAAAGAACTTGTCACATCCTTTGGGGCCGATGTGTTGATGCCGATCAAAATTATGAACGAGAACTACAGAACGCCAGAGGCTGCAATTCTCAACCTGGTTCTCGTCCATGCCCTCCCATTCGAGAAAGCAAAGGAGATGTCGCAGACCCTTCTCGATCTCGGCGCTTCGCCAGCCCAAGCAGACCTCAAGCAGAAGACACCGCTATACTACCTTGCTCATTCCAAAAAGTTTGACATCCTTGATATCTACATGCAGCATGATGAGCCGGCAGTAAAGCGGGCAATCAATCATTTGGCAGTTCATGGCTCGTTTTGGACACCAGAATTATCCTCGGCATTGATGGCCGCGCTCACTGCGAAGAGCGCACCCGCGGCGGCCAAGCTGTTAGAGGCAGGTGCTCACCCAGAAATTGACCTCGGTGAGATTGTGAAAGCCATTACGGCATCCAGAGACGGCAAGTCTTACTACGGCGACATCGAAGAAGAAGCAAAGGCCAGCGTAAAGCAGCCAATCTTGCTGGCTGTTGAGAACGACCTTCCTTTGGTCGCCATTGATCTGCTTCATCGCGGGGCAAACCCTAACGCCGAAATTAAGGAAAGATATCAAGACAGGAGTCAAACTGTATTGGACGTCTTGCGCCAAACTTTGAAAACACTCCGCGAATTTATGGTCGAGCGTGAGTACGAAGGCTATAATGACCCCATTGCAACACCTCTCGATCCAAATGACCAGACATATCTGTCGGAACTCCAATCTGGTAGTTACAAAATGTTCACTGCGAAGGATTTGCTCCGCAATGTACGCAAGGCAAACCGAAAAGCCGAAGAACAAGCCAAGAAGGATGAAGCCCAGCCGGATGATCCTCCTGGCTTGGCCGAGAAGAAGGCATTCATTGCGGGGTTGATTCGCGACTACGAGAAGCTGGAGTTCATTCTGCTGCAGAAAGATGCAAAGACCTGGGATGAGCTTTATCCTCCGCTGGTCGCTCCCGTGACGTTTCCAGCCTACGTCTCGACAGAGAAGATGGAGCCCGGCATCACTAAGCCTTGGGAAGTCCGCTTCAACTTCAATGTACCAGCTATTACTGAGAATGCTCGCGACGGATACCTAAAGCTGTACGTATTCCCCTTCTTACACCCCTAACTCAAGAATATTATGCTGACATTACTATAACAGTTTCGAAGCAGCCTGGATTGGCGACATTGATACCATCAAAACCTTGACACTCGGCATGTGGGGATCTCTCAATGAACAAGCACCACTTGAGATTGCCGTAACCGACAAGCAAGGCCTGTCCGCCCTTACAATTTCCATTATGCGTGGCCATTTCGCCGTTGCTAAGGCCATTCTTCAAATTCTCCACGTGCAGTACAAGGTGAAGGAGCCTCGCGGTCGGAAGCGCTTTGAGATCGACATCGATGAACGCTCTGAGGACTGTGATGAGTCTGATGAAGAGAACGACGATCTGAACATCGTCAGTGATATTGTTGATGATACCTTCACTCACGAAAACATTGGTGAAATTACCAGTCAGGTCGAGAGCAACACTTCCCCTCTTGATGCTTTCGAGGCACGGTTCAATGCCTTCGTGTTTTTGGACGAATATCACCAGGATGGTTGGGAAAAGAGAGACAACCCTGTCAACGTCAATGGCCTAGTTAAATACGCTGTTTACACAAACAACATTCCTCTTCTGGAGTTCCTTCTGAAGACTGGACTAGACCTCGCTTCCACCAACCCATCTGGAAAGGGTGAGTTCTTGGTAAAGTTCGATGAGTTCCAGCTTGCAATTTCGCTTGGCCGTACCGACTGTCTTGCCAAAATGATTCAAAGTACTGGGGCTGGCCTTCCACTTACCAAATTGAGTGATGATTGTGGGGTTGAGGAAAAGAAAGAACCTCAGTACTACCCTGGGTTGTCGATTCGCGGCAGCAAGCGTGCAGATTGGGCTAATGCTGGTCGAGAGCAACCGACCAGAGCTCAAACACAGCGTCCTCCTCTTCTTATTGCCGCTCGTCGTGGTAATCTGGCCAGCACAGAGTTCTTCCTTGGTACCGCGCCTGCTCGCTATTACCTGGAGTACCTCAATGCGAACAAGGATGATGAGAGAGTCAAGCGATTGACCAAGTCCAAGCTGGGAGTTGAGGGAACACTATTAACCTGGTTACAAGCGAAAAGTAAGTGTTCCACCTATCCAGGAATTTTAACAAACATAACTAACCATATAAAAGACAACCTCGTTCTGCACTACGCAATCATGTCCGAACCAAGTGACGAATCTGTTCGTCTGGTTCAGTATCTTGTGGACCATCACCCTGAATGCATGGAGGTCCGATCAACAGAAGGGCTGACACCTCTCGCCCTGGCCATGTCCCTCCACAAGGTCCGCTTCGCCCGCATCTTGGTCGAAGCCGGAGCCAACCAGGCTGTCCGCGATAAAGAAGCACGCAATCTCCTCCACCTGATCCTCGTATCAGACGGTGGTCGACTCTGCAAGAACTCCAACCGATTTACCAAACTTCTAGCCCTGTTGGATAAGCAACTCTTCCCAACAATGCTCATGGAGCGCGCCGGTAATGGCTCAAGAACGCCCTTTGCACGCTGGCTTCACGCCCAACCCCACTTCACGCCAGGGGATTTGGCCATCCCACGACCTCCCAACAGTCCCCAGACTGAAGATGAAATCATAACCTCCATGGCGAATCTCATTCTGGATCTAGCCAACTCTACGGACCAAAAGCACCTCGAGATCTTTGACGAAGCTGGAAACACACCTGTGCATGATGCTGTCAAGAATGGGTTCCCCCAAGTCCTTGGACAACTCCTCGATCGTCGTCCCGACCTGCTCAACCGGGAGAATGCTACTGGTACAACTCCTCTTGAAATGGCAGTTGACGCATGGGTTAACAAGAGTACCTCTGCGCCGCCTGAAAGTGCCCCGAGATCGAGGTATGGCCATCCTGAGTGGGAAAATGCCGTTGAGCGGTCTCCCGAATTCTTCGTCCCCGGTTGCAGGGTCAAATATGATCAGGAGAAGACTATGCTTCGGGTTTGTCAGGAACAGGCTCAGCAGCGCCCTGCAAAGAGAAGACTTGTTAGTCTGTTCGAGGCGAATGAGGTCGCCAAGAGATTGGCGGCGGTGGGACGGAGAAGTGGTCGTGGCTGGAATGGTGGCTCTGAGAGTGATAATGAGTCTTCAGGTTCTAATGATGATCCTGAAGGGTGGGGAAGCATGAATTCTCGTTGGTAGTTTCCTTGTATTAGAGATATATTCCCAGTATGTTTATCTATACTCATTTTCCTTATTCGAATATGTCCTACATGCTTCATTCCCGTTCCCTGAATTGTAGTTTGCTCGCTACTGAATGTGTTGTCAAGGCCTCTTTTCCAACATATATATATCGGAGACCAAGGAAGTAGACCTATGAAGAAATCGACAGATTACTGTAGATGGCGATGATCAAAAAAACAATGATCTCATCCCGTCATTTAAGTTAATTGATTCAAATTAAATTCTGTTTCATGAATTGGTCCAATCCAGCCTTTGCCTTGTCCTCAGTGCTGCTCCTCAGCCGGCAGCTTCACCTTCACTGCATCCTCCGCAAGAGCTCTGTTCTGCCTGTTCTTGCTAGCGATGTACGAATTAATATACTCAGGCACTTCAGCGACCTTACTATCACCGCTTGGAATCGGGGTTCCAAACGTTTCCCAGACCGGAACAACACCAGTCCAGACACTGGAAGTGACCTGCTCGTTACCCGAGTCCTTACGCTCATCCGAAACACCACCATCACGAATTTTGCCACTACCATCCTCGATCTTTACCTTCAGGATGACAGTCGACTGCATCTCAGCACGGTCTGGCGGCACACGCGAGTGATCCCACCGGTCCGCGAGAACAGAGTTCGTGATCAATTTCATAGCCCAGAGCTTTTCTTCCTCATCTGTGACAAGGGTCGCGTAGCCATGTAGGATGGCCGAACGGTAGTTGTAGCTGTGCGAGTTTGGCGTGAGTGACAGGATCAGCCCGTCTATTTTGCTCGTTGCCACGCAGATGGGGAGTCCCTCACCATCGCTGCAGTTACGGGCTAGGTTTATAATGCGCGAGCTGACGTAGCCGTGGAGTTAGCACTCCAGAGGCTCGTTGATGCTCGCGGAGGGAAACTCGAATGATCCCATTTGTCCTATCATTGGGAGGATTGCGGGGAATGGATCATCGGGTCCTGGGTTGAAGGATACATGGAGGACTTGGGAGTCATTGATGATTGAATGGATTGGACCCAGGTCATATGTGGCTAGAATATAGTGTTAGTAGTTGACTTCGGTGTATTTCTATAGTTGTCTCGTACCTCGATGCTTGTAACGATTGGCAGTGTTGGAAACCTTCTTAGGGTAGGTCAAGGTTCGTCCCATGATGGATATGGTAATCTGTAGAATATGTCTTGAAGTGGAGTGAAGCAAGAAGTAAGTGACGACAAAGTAAGCATTTAAGTAAATCCATGGATAACTAGATGATGAATCAAGAGTGATCAGATGAGTTAGGGCAGCACGCCTTCAAACACCCATTTTAGCAGGTCCATCCGCGTAACATTTCCCTACAAAGGCTAGGCTGGAGGATATTGACAGGGTGTATAAGATCCATCAAATCAAGAACTATGTATACGACAGGGTATAGGAATGGACAAGAGAAGGGGTCTCCGATGCCAAACACACCCGAGGTGATTGGCCCACACCGCCGACTGGATCATGAACCTGGCGATAACAACACCTCCAACCGTTTACTCTTATCAACTTATTTTTGGGACCTTGAAGCATGGCGACATGCAGGTTTGTTGTTCGCCAATGTGCGGTCCTTATGCGCCCATCTAGACCTTTGAGTCATTCATTGCGCCAATTGCCTAGATACAACCCTCTACCTCGCAGTTATGCTACCTCCGTGGCCGCCGCGGAACTCAAATTCGGCCAGCCGCTGCATGAGACGCATCCCCACATCCTCAGCCCAGGCGAACGTGTGTTATTCTCTGTATCTATGCTGTCGTTTATTTAGCTGATCGTCTTTTGTCTAGTTACCCCCGGAATCACCGCCCTGGAATATGCGCAACGTCGATCGAAACTCGCCAACAAGCTACCCAAAGGCGCGATTGCGGTGCTGGCTGCCTCCGAGGTCAAGTACCGTGCGCAGGGCATCTTCAATGAGTACCGCCAGGATTCCAATTTCTTTTACCTGACGGGTAAGTTTGCTTGGCAGATTGGTGATGCTGCGGAGGACACGTGCTAAACGTTTGCGCGCCGGATAGGATTCAACGAACCGAATGCACTCGCGATCATCGGGAACGACGGCTCTGGCGACAACCATATCTTCCATTTATATGTGCGGGAAAAGGACCCCAAGGCTGAACTCTGGGATGGGGCGCGCTCCGGGACCCAGGCTGCTGTGGACGTCTTCAATGCGGATGAGGTGCGGGATATTGGATTGAGGATCAGACGAAGTATTGAACTGACTCTGAGATTAGACAGGAAACATTGAACGCATTGGAGATATTTTGCCGAGTATTGTCCAAGGAGCGACAGAGGTTTACTCGGACATCCCCACATTTGATAGTTCAAGATCATCCTTGAATCGGTATCTGTATGGACCAACAGTCGCGTCGGAAAAGCTGAAGAAAGTTGTCGATCACCGCAGGGTTAAGCCTTTGAAGCATCTGCTCAATGAAATGAGGGTGTTCAAGAGTGAAAATGAGGTTGTACAGATGCGTCGTCTGGGACAAGCGTCAGGGAGAGCTTTCACCGAAGCTATGCGACAAGACTTCACTCGAGAGAAGGATCTTTATTCTTTCCTCGAGTACCAGTTCAAGGTGAATGGCTGTGATACCAATGCTTTTGTCCCGGTTGTTGCAGGTGGCCAGGTAAATTTTCCGACCTTTTTCAAGGTGAATTCGATACTAACTGACTCAGAACGCCTTGGCTATTCATTACACCCGAAATGACGATGTATTGAAGTTCGTATAACTTTTCTAAACTATCACAGAACCCCGCTCACATTGAACTTTAGGGACGGTGATTTGGTTCTCGTTGACGGCGGTGGTGTAAGTTATTCTGGACTCAATCTTTATACAATGCACTGACCAAACTACAGGAATGGGGAAGCTACATTTCCGACATTACTAGAACATGGCCTGTCAATGGCAAGTTCTCTGATCCCCAGCGGGATCTGTACAATGCTGTACTCAAGGTGCACCGGAGCTGTCTTGCTCTGTGTCGCGAAACCTCCAATCTTTCTCTAGACAAACTCCATGGCATCGCCGAGAATGGATTGAAAGACGAGCTCAAGTCGCTTGGCTTTGATCTTTCCGGCAATGTATGCATCCAAACTCCCTCCACGTGGAGTACGCTGCTGACTCCGACTAGGCACTGAATACCCTCTTCCCGCACCATCTAGGCCACTATGTTGGCCTGGACGTCCATGACTGTCCTGGGTATTCCCGAGGCTATGACCTGAAGGCAGGTCAATGTATAACAATTGAACCGTTCGTCCCCAGTCTCTTTTAGTAAACCCCAGACCTGAAACGAGCTAATCCATGTTAGGGGTATCTATGTTCCCAATGATGAACGATGGCCCGCTCACTTCCGTGGGATCGGAATTCGCATTGAAGATAGTGTTTGTGTCGGAGATGAACACCCGATTGTTTTAACCCCTGAGGCTGTCAAGGAGGTATGTTTCGAACTTTAATATGGTGTCTCTTTTAGGTCAGTCACTAATTTGTTCTAGGTTGAGGACATTGAGGCACTGCGTAATTAGATGTGATGGTCAGATTTCTCAAATTCCCCATGTACAATAGCATAAGGCTTTCAAAATATCATATCTGGGCCTGTTTATTTTGTTTTGTTATGTTTCTTCCAAACAATAATCTACATGTCTGAAGTCTTATCCTTGCCTATAGATTCCTTTGTGGTGGCTGGTATCAAACTGTTTGGGGGTGCTGATCAGAAGGCTGGATTGGGGTGGTTGGAGATATAATTGGACATTTTTAGTAGTTACATATTAAGAAGAGAAAGATTGGATCAAATACTCCCCAGGGAATGAGAATGAGAATGAAGTAAAGAAGAAAAGAAAGTCGAAAAGAATCTTAGTCGCGGGTTCAAAGAATGCAATGTTGATGTTCATTCGCGCGCTGCTGTTGGTTGTCGGGCCTCCGCCCAAAACAAACTGAGCTCCACACCACACGACTTGCTTCTTCTTTCTTTCCTCCTTCAGGTCTTCCACCTCATCTTTTCTCTTCCCAACTCTTGAGTAACTCGATCTATTCCTCTCTCCTTTGGCTACTTACTGTTGTCTCTTGGGATACAATGTCCATTCTCTGATCTCCTATAACCCTCGAAAGACGTGTAGAACGCGTACTTTTCACCGAGTACCCCTCTTTGATATTTGACTACTGTAACTCTACAGCATCTACACGCGTTCTCAACCCTGGGAACTTGTTTCCCAATGGCAACTGTCTTTGTGCCTCCTTCGCCACGAAACTCCATGGCCATGGCGACTCGTCGTCCACTCGCAAACGTGCCGAATGCAACAAATTCTCCACACAGGGCAGGGCTCTTGCCAGTTAAACGAGCTCGCTCTAATCAAATGGAGATGCCGTACGGACAACCACCGCCCAAGAAACAAGTGATGGAGAACATCGAATATGAGACTCGTACCACAACCTGCCAGAACACGAACACGGAGTCGAAACTCTTCGCGCGGCGTTCGAATAATGGAAACCCTAGCGCATTTGAGAAGAAGCTGGTCGCAGCCAGGGAGAAGGAGCGTCAACCGATGGTGAAGCATGTCAAAGCAGAGAAGGCCCCCGCAGATACCATGGATTCCATTCGACAATGGCAGAGGCACTATAGGAAGGCGTTCCCTCAGTTTGTGTTTTACTTCGATAGCATCCCAGAAGATGTCAGACGGCGGTTCTCTCGCCAAGTCATTGCTCTTGGAGCTGTAAGTTATATTGCCCCACAGAACTTCCAGCTGGTCTTGGTTTGCACTTCATGTCACCCGTCTGCATTGATTGAACACCCCCGATTGGCATCTTCTCTAACTCATTTCAATACAGCGTGAGGAGAAGTTTTTCTCGCGTCTAGTGACGCACGTTGTCACTTCGCGTGCGATTCCCCCAGAATCAACCACTCCAGCAGAACCGGAGTCGACTGCCGACGTCCAAACTGTCAACCCTTCTCTCCTCGAAAGAAATGGCGAGGTTCACCTACATGCTTCTTTGAAAACAGAGACACGTCGTGACCAAGGCACCATGGACATTCTGCAAAGGGCTCGACAGATGGGCATGAAAATATGGGCGTTGGAAAAGCTCCAGCGTATGATCACTACCATCAATGACAGTGACATTGGTGCACAATATGAACAAGCCGCTCGGAACAAGGCCGCTGGAGGTAACGCCGTGAACGGCAGGGGCGAAAATGACCTTTCTCGTGTCCTTCGCCAGGAACTTCTCAATGGACCTTCCGATCGTGATCCATTGGCATCAATGGAAATGATAATGTTCAAAGGACCATTTGTCTACATCCATGACATGAACGAGAAGACCAAACCAGTCATGGTTCGAGAATACTCCCGAGTCGCTCGACGCCAGGATGGATCTTGGCCACAGTTCCGAAGCGCTCCCCTCGGAAAGTGTCCATTCATAGATGAGCCCCCGAGCAGGAAGGAATATGACCGACACCGCTTGCGCCAACTCCACAAAGAGAAGAAGGCTGCCTCTCATAGGGCTGATGGAACTCGTGATGCTAAGCCAGAAGCAGCGGTGCAAGTTCAAGCGCCCGAATCTGTGACCACAACAGAGATCGCCCATTCCCAGCCATTGGCGAAACAAGAGGATCGTGTTTCACCTCCAATTCAAAATGAAATTCAAAAGCCAACATTTGATGAAACTCACGAGAGAAAGAGTTCTGAAAGCTTCATTCCTCCCCATTTCCCCCGCACCGGACCGTTCTATACTGGACGTGAGCCAGCTGCCTCAGGTGTTCAGCCGTCGAATATGACATCCGCAATTCGCTCACAAATGATCTCATCTACGGCCGCAGCACCTGGCGCGAAAGCCGGGCTCAGCAAGGAGGTTCATGGGCTCAAGCGAAAGGTTCTTGAGAAGGGCACAGGTGGGTTTGCAGTGGGATCGATGGCTGCTCCTCAGCGTCGTGGTGATGGGTTTACCACGGTTCCAATGAAGACCAACATCAATCCCCCTGGAAAACCCAACCCTGTCAATGAGAATGAAGCAAAGCAATCTGAGGCGGCTGGCACAAAGAGACAAAGGGATGACAAAGATGACCAAAAGAAACCTGCACGCCGCAGAGATCCCAAGCCTGGCTATTGCGAGAACTGCAGGGACAAGTTTGACGATTTTGAAGAGGTATGGTCTATGTTGTTCTGTTGCTTAGCTCAATATCGATACTGACCAATATTTTAGCACACCCTGACTCGGAAACATCGCCGGTTTGCCGCGAACTCGACGAACTGGGCTGAACTTGATGCATTGCTCTCCGAAATTCAGCGTCCTCTCAAGGGCGAATATGAATATGATGAATAGATCTGCTGTTTCTCACAGCATTCCATGATTGCCTTTTGGACCTCGGCCTCTATCCGATACAAAGTCGCATCCAGGTGCGGCCGAGCTTTTATTTTTCAGTTTATTTTTCTTCTGCACGTTGCAATTTTTATCTCCGTCATGCCTGATCCGGATCTCAAAACCTCGCATAACCATACCCTCGGCATCGACACATATGCATGGTGGCGTTTTTTTCTTTTCTTTTCTTACTCTTCTCTTTTTGATTTACCATGCATCAGCAGTACCAGTAACCAGTCCCTCACCGACGGTCTGGTCTGCTTGCCTTGACCTCGATGGAGGTCGTCCACTCGTTTGCAGCTTTTTCACTTTCTTCGAATGTATTGAATATCCGATTTTAAACCAGCATCGCATCACCTTCGAAATCGTGAGCCGACCTCCATCAACCGCCGACGGCAATTTTGGATACTTGCATTCCTCGTGTTGTACCAAGGACAACTCATCGTCGACGCTGTTTGTCACACATGCAATCAGCTTGTGCTTTACGGTCTTTAATTGTGGCCGGTTGCGATATACCGAAGGTATAATGAACGATTTAGCATGGACTCAAGGGTTCCTAACCTTGCATTTCACTACGTTCTAACACATCATTATCCCCCTTTTTGGTCCTACGGGGCCATATTTTCTATCAACAGCTTTTCCTTCTGTCTTTTCAACGGTGGTTTCTTGTTTCCGGATTGCTGGGACTTGTTACCCAGCCAAGTCTCAACAGAGACTTTTCCATTCTCGTTACATTACTTACCCGAATAAGCATTTATTCGACTCGATGATCTGTATGCAGTTTGTATCGTGCTAATTGAATTGTCTACTATCAATTACATTCTTGACTACATGTCATAGAAGTAGAAAGTAAGCTGTGTGAGGCCCCTCACTTAGCCCAATGCGGTAATCACCTCGGCGAGAGGTAAACTGCAGGCGGTGAACACAAAAGAAAATGCATCCTCGAGCTTCCAAGGCTGGTGTCAACAAACTAAAAGCTTGATATTGAGTATTCCATTGGTAAAGAGACATTTATTACACTTTTGTATGTCCATAAACATCAAATCTAAATCACACCCATGTCAGATTTAAGTGAATGCACCGTTCCTGAGTCCAATTTCCTACGTAACAGCCCCGCAAATCTCGGCACTCGGCCCCGTAATGAGCGGCAGTAAAATAACCTTGGAAGATCTTCAAACAATTTTTGATGCTCCCATCTACGCCGCATAACCCAGCACGTTATTCCGGACAGAAGGATATCTGAACAATACAAAGCCGCCAGTTCCGGACATATCACTCACATACGAACCTACAATCTCTTCGCGTTTTTCTCTCGCGCGACCTAAATTGGAAACTTTTGGTTCGCCGCTGAGGTCATCGCACATCTCTTTGTTACCGCCACTTATACAGCTCCGGCGGGATACAACTAGTGCACATAGCATTGGATACTGAGGACTATTGAGATACATACTTACTGGACATACACAGTCTCGGTATTTTAGTAGCGTGCGTCGTCAGGTGCATTGTGCCACTGCGTTTCTCATAATCACACCCACACAATGGCCGCGCCAGGCTCTGCGTTGCGGCGCGTAACAATCGCTTCTTCGTCGCTGCTAAGGATGAGAGTCATCCCTGCTACCGCTACCCGAACACAAGCTACACGCACCCTTCTCGGTTCCCGTTGTCCTGTGCTATCCTCCCACGTACCGACCCCACACTCCCTCTCCCAAACCCGACATAGTTCCTACTCCGCGCCACCACCCGGTGAGAGTGGAAAGGCGCGGAAGAAGGTTACTATCCAGACGCTCCAGAACATGCATAAGAAGGGAGAGCCAATCGCGATGCTCACGGCGCATGATTTCCCCAGTGCTCATGTAGCCGATGCGTCAGGGATGGATATGGTCTTGGTAGGGGATAGTTTAGGGATGGTAGCGCTTGGACTGGAGAACACGACGGAGGTTATTATGGAAGAGATGATTCTGCATTGTCGAAGCGTCGCGCGGGCAACGAAAGCCGCTTTCATTGTGAGTTGGCGGGATTCCTTGACTGGCAGGCCCCATAATATCACTGACTAACAACCAAACTCCAATTCTAGATTGGAGATCTACCGATGGGGTCATATGAAGTATGCCCCCAGCAAGCCATTGAGTCATCTCTGCGTCTGATCAAAGAAGGCCGCGTACACGGCGTCAAGCTTGAAGGTGGCCAGGAACTCGCGCCCACAATCAACCGCATCACAAAAGCCGGTGTTCCGGTAGTAGGCCATGTCGGTCTCACGCCGCAGCGTCAGAATGCACTCGGCGGCTTCCGTGTGCAGGGGAAAACGGCTATCAGCGCCGTGGTGCTGCTACGCGATGCACTCGCGATGCAAGAGGCTGGCGCATTCATGCTTGTGCTTGAGGCGATGCCGTCGGAGGTTGCTTCGATCATCACGCAGAAGCTGCGGATCCCGACTATCGGCATTGGGGCTGGGAATGGTTGCTCTGGACAGGTTTTGGTGCAGGTTGACATGACCGGGAATTTCCAGCCTGGTCGGTTCGTGCCGAAGTTTGTTAAGCAGTATGCGGATGTTTGGGATGAGGCTGCACGTGGGATTTCGCTGTATCGTGATGAGGTGAAGAGTCGGGCGTTTCCCTCGGAGCAATACACGTATCCGATTGCGAAGGATGAGCTCGCTGGGTTCCAGAAGACGGTGGATGAGGTCTTCCGGGATGCATGATGTGTCTGGTTGCCATCTTCCTTTTTTTCATGGCCATTTCTTGCATGTTCTGTATTAAACATTGTCATCATCATTTGTACATAGCATCGTTCAGCATTTGCGCTGGTTGTTTATAGCTTGCTCAGCCGAATGCTGGCGTCATTGAATAGGCGACAATCAATTGGTCGTCCGTCTTAAAACACTATTATGAAGTTAGCATTCAAATTGTCGAATATGCAGAGATAAATAGTCGAGTTGACACTCACCCTAAATAGTCCACCCACGCCTTCATCTAACCCGGGCGCAAACACACTATTAACATAACAAAAGACAGAATCCGTCTCTTTGCAGTCCAGCTTCTTACGCAGAAACTTGACAACCGTTTCGAATTTCTGCGAAGCGCTAACCTTGAACACGCGGCTTTTCAGAATCGGCGCTGATGGCAGAGGTTGGAAGCGAACGGTAACTGAATCTTCGTTAGTTGAATTCTACCATTTGTTGACATCGCGGCGATCAGTCAACCCAAAGCTCGTCGGAAAAAGCGGAGATCCTACCTTTCCCCGAATCAATACTCTCCACGTCGGCGAGTGCCTGGTGCGCATCACGAGGTAAATTGGTTAGCATGACCGATGCGGACATATTCATCGGTAGATTGGCGCCATGGTCGTCATCTGGAATCGGGGCGTTTGCGGAGCTGTTGGGCGGTGTGTCTGAGCTCTGGGGTTGGCGTGGGCTTGGACGATGGCTGAGTGTGGTTTGGGGATTTGGAGTTGGGGAGCTCTGTGGAGAGCGTGTTGGAGATGTTGGATTCATTGTATTAGGGCACAAAGAGAGAGAGGTAAGAGAAGGGAATTAGATGGGATCAAGTTGGAAGTTGGGAGTTGAAGGTTGGGGGATGTTTAACGCGCTTAGAGAGTCTAGCCCGGTCTACTGGATTGTCAGCACGTGCTATTCAATCAACCTTCCTTTTAGGGCGTCGGAGGTATAAACCAACATCATATAAAGACATCACATAAATTTCATCTGGAAATCCTTTTCATCAAGTTTACTCAACTACAGACATTGAAACATCAGAGATATCATCTTCTTTCCTACATCATCAGATCACCAACAAGAAAAACACGGAAATGGGCAGGTCTAGATCCCTCATAAAAGTGGGCTGGGGCTTAATGGGTGACAAGGACTCCAGGAAATCAAATTCGAACAATCCGGGGAAATAAATATTCTCCAAAGATATCGCCTAGTGGAACACTGGGAGCAATACGACTCTGAACCTCCAAATATCTCGCACAAGCTTCTGTTTGTAGAGGAGGACCTCCGAGAAGTTGTTCAAGAGAAAACATCCATCAAAGAAGGACCTTACAACCTAAGGAAAGTCTCTCAAGAGAGGCTTGATTTGAATATTCAATACTGGATTCTAGCGCAAAAATGGTGGCATTGTCGGTCCTTGCTGAATGATGGGTATCAACTAAGAGCGTTTGAGCTCTGGCGGTCCCATCCTAGGTGGTATATGCACCGCGTGCTTGTTGAAGACTGTGCTGGCCGACAAGGATGCTGTGCTCGTGGATGTGGCTGTTGTGGTAAGCGCAATATTGATCCCACGCGCAAGCTTGGAGTTGGACATTGTACCTTTGAATGTGGATGTTGTCGGAGATTTCGAGGTTTTGATATTCCCGAAGAAGATAGGAAATCGCTAAAAGAGGGATGTCGTAAAGAGGTGGCTGATCTTGTTCGACATCGGATCACGCGAGTTGCAATATGGGGGCTTGTCGGTGAGAGTTTTGATAACCCGTTTGACATGATTGAGGCACCAGGCTATTAAGGCTTCGGTGACAAAAAGGAATATGTCTAGCTGATTAGCTTACATTTTGCGACGTCATTTCGGATTGATACATGTACTTACCTGTTTATCACATTGTAGCTCGTACCTTCCATAACTAACTAGTTCTATGTCATCACTCACTATGTACATCGTCTTCAAAGCACCTGGGCACTTTCACCACATTAACCATCATTCGTCTATCAGTACAATGTCTTATAAACTCATTTTCTTCTTCCTTTCTTACTTCTTACTTTTTGGCGCTGTGCGGTAAGTTTGGTCCCTTCATGGGGTCTTTTCTGGAGTCTTTTTGGGAGTCTTTTTTAGGAGACTTCTTTTGGACTCTTCTTTGGACTCTTTGTTCTTTGCTGATGTCTTTTTAGCAGCCTTGCCCGTCCATCGCGAGGAGAAAGGCAAGTCCGTCCTAGAGCTTGTCCGCCTAGCGGAAGGAAAAGGTGGCGCTGTGATGAACAGCCGCCACAAACCTGATGGATGGTTATGGTCTCCTTTCTGGCCTTCAAGGCCATCATCTTCATCTTTTGTTTCCTCCAGCGGCTCGTTGACCGGTATGTCATGTCCCTCGATTGCCGTACCCTACCCCGTGCAGGAATCCATGCTGAAATATAATGTAGCTGGCTTCCCCCGCCTGGTGTTGACGGCCCAGAGAGGCCGATTCCTTTTCGCATTCTCCGCGCTCCCCCCGACCCGCAACGATGATATGCGGGCCTTGTAAGGCTGGGGCAGTGACCCCATATATGCTGAGGTACGTACATGCAGCTGAAGGAAAAGTGATACCCAAGTTCACCTATCTATATCTATCACTTGCATAGACCTATGAACCATTCATATGCTGACCAGGAGAATGGTTATAGATTGAATTCCAGGTGACGATTTTATAAATACTGCGGGATGGATGGAGGGAGAAACTCGGTTTACGCAATTGGAAAAACCCGCATGTATATAGTAGTAGCCGCGGGAGACTCGTTTATTATTAACATACCGTTGTTTGAAGAGTCCTACATTGATCAATGATGCAGTCATGTAAGCCTAATACACTTATTAACTAGTTTTCTCGGATAAATTAGATAAAAATAGGAAATATAGATACCTCCAATAGACAGGCTCACTTATATTGATGAATCTTGATTCTGAGATGAATATGAGATGAATGTGAGATAAACATGAGATAAACCTGAAATGAATATAAAGGAAATGTGAGATGGATCGAACTGCATGTGAACTATCTACCGTGCTGGTTGCATAGTACAATTCTTCAGACAAAATGAGACTATCAGTGAAGACCTACAGAAGGCGTCATGCAAAATGGGAAATTGAAACTGCGAGTTGAGATTACAGTGTTATACACCCTACCAAAGCCCATTATTACGCATAACTACGGTCTTGGAATACATAAAATAGCTGATTAATGACCGTTTTTACGTAGGTATGTTGCAGCCTATACTGCGTATATATTAACTATAACTTTATCATATGCCGTGATCTTAGCGATCTTAGCCACGTGAGATCTCCGTGACCTACAATTTGAGGCTTAAGCAGTAACTAAAATTCCCAAAATTACTAGAGGATTCTGCATTACTCATAGGTCTGTGATGAGTTGGCATATTTGTATTGTTTGGTGTCGACTGGGCCCGATTGGGCGCTCATTATGGGCCTAGTGGGCTTTTACCCTGGGCCCATAGCCCACTGGCGGGCCCAAAGCCCAGCCCATTTGCTGGTTGTCTTGGGTTGGGTTGGACTTTGGGCTTTGTGGGCTTTGCAGAGGTCTAGCCTTTATAATGTAGAAGCTTTGGGGATAATGGGGAGTCCGGCAATCATGAAAGTCAACCGGACACGCTCACCCTCCCACCACTGTCTCTCTTGTCGGCCGATGACATGAAACTATAGTTGTTTCTAATGGCGGGGTAGCTAGGGATCATACCAAAGTCGTTGCGAGTGCCGAGGCCTGCGTAAGCAGCATAAGGGCTCGTTCATGACGCGTGAGTTGCAGAAGCGCCGGTATCACCAACGAAGAAGGGTAGCCGCTAGTTGTAGGAGTGTCAGTCGTCGAGATGGGAAGTGACAGCTACCTTAAAGATGAGCTTTTGACAGTGCCATTGGAGGTCGTCCATTGCAAGAGAGACATTGTTATGTGTGTGCGTCGAAGGGAGCGGCACAAGGTATGCTTTGAGCGGGAGACATCCGAAGTCAGTGGTGGGATTGTAATCCTAGGATTCCCGAGGTGATGGTGAAGGTTGCGCTGTGGAAGCTGCTGAATGATTGATATAGCCCTGTGGGTGACATGCATAGGGCGCTGATACCGTACAGACATCGGGCGAAGATGAACATGGTCTCATACCCACAGTGGCAGACAATCCAGTTTGCATATCCTAGGGATGCTAGGGATTGTACAACATGGATTAAGTGGAGTGGCATGAGTCAGAATGAAAATTAGTCGACAAGTCCTGTCAACTTCAATCTGATGGTTGTTGTGAACTTTTGATAGACACCAGCTGGAAGCCGAAGTGGTTTGATGAGATCGAAATAAGTGCTCGAAGCTGGATAAGGTGCGACATTATATTGAGAACTTCAATGAAAGGCATATAGTCGATCTAAAGTGATCTATGCGTTTATATGCAGTGCATAATGCGCCGCATATCTCCTAAATCGGCAAGTGTGTACGGCGTCAAGAATATGGTATGCTATACGGAAGTGTAATTATCTGTATTCAAGCAAACCGTGGACTCCATCTTCATTTCTCCCTCGACCCAACTACTCCCTTCTACTCCTTCGTCAATTACCTTCATCACATAATCTCATCACATAACTTCATCACATAACAAACCATGGCGCCTGTCTATCACGGCCAGTGGGTTTTCGACGGCCGCGCATTCTATGTCACTACCTCTACCGGCGAGTTCCACTCGCGCGCAACGGATTCCGAGCTGGATGATATTTTCACTGCACCAATAGGAAATAAAACAAACGTACCCGACTATCATGGCCACTGGTACGAAGCACAACTTCTCCATTTCGGACTGGCGCCGACGCCCAGTAAAGCCGCAGCCAAGATGAGATTGATGGATGCCTTCCAGGATGGTGCACTGGAAATTCCAATGGAAATACTCCGGATCGAAGCAACCTTACGCAAGAACTGGATCAAACAAGACCTGGATTCCCATATCCGAGGTTCTACAATTCGACCTTCACCCGCTGCTGTCCTCCCGGAAGCTATGGAAATTGATACGACTGACATTGACACTACCGAGAAACCGGAGGGTGATGAGGAGGAAAGTCTGCTAGGTGCTGGCGGAGCTGGCGGAGCTGGTATGCAAGACAATATGCGACCCCAACGGAACAACATGCAACTGCCCCATGCTCACCCGAAGAGAAAGAACTGCAACACTGCAGAGTTGTCAATCCGCCCTAAGAAGACTGCCAGATACCGTGATGAGACTGAGGGATCCGACTTGCAGGTCCAGGTCCACGTCAACACAGACAGTGGCCCCTCTCACCAGGGACCAACTATTACTCCAGTGTCAGTGGGAAACAGTTGCGGACGCCCGGGTCCAGACAGAGAACTGCCGCAAATGGAGTTCCAAACTGTGCCTCTGGCGCACCAGGCTACCTACGGAATGGTAAGTATATCTTTTCCTCCCCAACAATCGCAGTACAAGCATCTCTAACCAAAATACAAAGGGAACCCAACTTCCTCCATCCGGGCTAATGGGCGCTGATGGTGCAAGCGATTGCTGTTAGTCCGGTTATCAGCCAGCGATGAACTCGAACCAACCGTCTCTCAAGGCTGGATGGAGTTTCAAGAACAGAAGTTCAGTGGCCAGGGCATCAATGGACTTGAGAACTTGAACGGGGCTGAAGCAGAAGTGAGAGGAGTTGAGAAGATGGGAATGTAGGCAAGGAAAAAATGTGGGGTGGGTGAGGATTCGCGAAATGTATGGAGTACAAATTGATTCAAAGTAATTTGATGCCATGTCAGTTTATTCTCTATTATCAATCAGTCTATTGTTATGAATTCCCAATTGCAAAATCAGACTCTTTCTCCTTAGTTTTCAATATCCCCGTCTCTGCACATCAACAATGGAAAATTGAAAAGGCGCATCAACAAGCCCAATTGATTCTTCCCATTGCGGATCCAGATGCCATGGCTTGATCAGCAGGACCTCGAAGACTGTAGGTTGTTGAATCTGATGAAGTGGTATAAGCCAATCATCCAGACGATTTGTGATGTGAGGATACAAATGGATGGTCAAGGTCTTCAGACCAGGCAACTTTGTAGCAAGAACCTGACAACATCTATTCCAACGCGGACCACCAGGATCCGGAAAACTGAGCTGCAAAGTACGAATCAGACTCATGCGATGTGGTAGAAGTGTATGCGAAAAATCAACGATTGTATCTGTGTGATTAAAGAGGAAAGTGTTCTTTTGAAAGATCATATCAATGGCCTCCCAGTATCTGGTCACACTATTAGTTGGTTATATTTGAACATCGAAGGAAGTATATATACTCACACTCTTCGACACGTTTGTAAAAGCGGTACAAAATTGACTCTTCTCGTATCAAATCTCCACTTAGAGTTCTCGTGGTAATATGAGCCATGGTTTATATGTGTAGTGCAGTTATCCACAGGCCGACGAGCAAGCGGTCCCCAGCAGTGATGACTGCATGGACAGAGATTGCGAGGTTCGTTGCATAGCATCCCGAGAATTTGGTTCTGGTGTCGTTTCCATTTGTGCTGGTTTGGTCGAACAATATGAAGCATACGGCTACAGAGATAATGCTCCCAAATCAGAAGTCGGACTTCAGTGGGTAAACACTCAAATAGAGGAGACTGGACTTGTTGGAAGGTAGATTGTTGCTCGTGTCGTTTTGAAAGTTTTGAAAGTGATAATCGCCATCGATGACTGGTTGGCGGGATTTGAGGTTTGGAATGTTTATTGTCCGGAAGTGGTGGAGTGAGTGGCCTGGGGCGGGGGTTTGGTGTGAAGTTTTTGAGGTCATTTTGAATTTGGGGTTTCTTTTCCAACAAGATTTTCTCCCCGCCTAAATCATCACTCTGGTTTAGATGTCCCATTTTTGAAACTCATAAAAAGTGAACCTAAGGTCGATAAGATGTTGTTGTGTTCATTCATATATTGGCTAAACGCGCTAACGTTACACGTAAGGAGAGCTTGCACCAAACAGCCTTTAGCTTGGCGGCCAAAAGCCAAACGATTTGAATACAAATAAACAAGAACTGAAATAAAGATGGTAAAATATATAATACGGAGCCTGTAGAAGGTTGCATCTAGATAACCAGTATATGCTTTAAACATCTATATTTTGTGGCACGTAGTGACAAGTTTGTCAATCGTTTTGTCATGTCATGCACTATATATATAGGAGCCTGGTCTATCTGAGCGTAATTGCTCAGATATAATGGTCTTTTGGCCTAGTTTGTAACACGTTTATAGTGCCTCATGCCTTCAGTTATTTCTCCATATGAAGCTATATAGAACAAATAACAACTTCGGGTACAAGCCTGCTCCGGTTACGTCAAGTAGACGGTATTTACACTAGATCATATTAGTTGGATCATCCCATACATGCTGGGGTGTTTGCAGACTGGACAGTTTGTTTGCTAGTCTCGGGAGGATTTATACCCCTATTCCCGATAAATTGCTAAGAAGCCAGGAGAAGAGAGGGAGCAATGCAACTGCATTGGAAGTACTAACTGCTGAAGAAGGGAGAAGAAGAGGGAGAGGAGACTCTGTAGCTGGCAGTCCTGTCAAACAAGGTCTGGTGACACCGATCCCAACAAGATTGAATGCATTGTGATTCTTCCTCTTCTTTTTTCCTCCCTTAGTAGTACAGTACGTCTCGAAACTGGTGCAACCGTCTACACTCTTTGAGTGATTATTTAGCCCTACTGCCAGGAAACACTAGACCATATTGGGAATAGACCCGGAATATAGATATTCCTGTACCAATCTTCATACCGTGATTTACTTGTATTATAATACGGTGCCTCGTCTCGGGAATGTATTGGCGATCCAAGAGAACTAGAATTTTCCATGGAAATACAAACAAGTCAAACACTAAAGCTGGGGGTGTCTGGCGGCCTGCCACACCCGTTCATAGTCATCCCTCAGTTCGACGGAGTCACATGATATTGAGGCTTAGCCAACCCCTCAATTCACTACGCCCCGCAACTTCACTCTTCAAGAAAATGATGAACCTCGCATGCCGCATTCATCATGGTAGCAATATCGTTCGGCGATAGGAATTCTGGGCTTCAGGTAGGAGTAAACTATGCTCCCATCACATTCTTCCCTCCCAAGAGTATGTCTTTTCGTAATCTTACCCCCACGACGGCATGTTGTTACACAGGAAAACTGATAGAGGTCGTAGATATAGAGCCCAGCTTTTTCTATAATTCACACTATGAAGCGCACAAGAATATCAACCCTCAACGAGTTAAGAACACTTGCAGATGGTTTCTAGATCATCCGACATTTCAAGCATGGAAAAGCAGCCACCGTAACGATCTCTTGTGGGTTTCCGCAGACCCGGGCTGCGGGAAATCTGTGCTATCAAGGGCTTTGGTTGATGATGTGCTGGTCCAAGATGGGCCAGCTACGATTTGCCATTTCTTTTTCAAAGATAACGAGGAGCAGAATGGCGTGGCAACCGCGATGTGCGCTATCCTTCACCAACTATTTTGTGCCAAGATAGACCTCTTTCGCACACATGCCGAAAATCTAATACGGCAACAAGGAGAGAAACTGAGGCTTAATTTTGAATCTCTGTGGGAGCTGTGGATTTCTGTGGCCTTGGACTCTTCAAGCGGAGATGTCGTCTGTGTTCTGGATGCTCTTGACGAATGCCATCGGCCCGATCGAGATAGACTGATACAAAAGTTGGAGTGGTTCTACTGGACGTCTCGAGAAAGACAAAAGGGCGAATCGAAACTGAAATTTCTTGTCACAAGCCGTCCATACGTGGATATTGAGCGGAGGTTTGGTAAGCTAACCTATCAGTTCCCACTGATCCGCCTCGCGGGAGAAGAGGAATGGAGAGGTATTAGCCAAGAGATCGGCTTGGTGATGAACTCTATGGTGGACGAGATTGTGAGCGAAAGGCGGCTTGCGAATAAAATTCAAGAGGCCATGAAGCGGCGGTTTTCTGAATCCGACAACAGGACCTACTTATGGTTGCATTTGACGTTGGAAGCTGTTCGAGACTGTCTTGGACAGACTGAAACCAAGATCTTACGGAAGATTGATGAACTACCAAAGAGCGTTGAGGAGGCTTACGAGGAAATCCTACAGCGATGCAATAGAAAGAATGAGCGAGATGCGAGACGGCTGCTAGAGATTATTGTCGCAGCACAGCGACCTTTGGAGCTGTCGGAGATCGATGTTGCTCTTGAGATTCAACCACATTTCAAGTCTTCCTGCGACTTGGACCTTGAAGGCTCCGAAAGAAAACAGTGGATTCGCGATGTGTGCGGCTTGTTTGTTAGCGTTGTTGATTCACGTGTCTACCTGATCCACCAGACGGCAAGGGAATTTTTACTACAAGAGAAGCATGAAAGAGCCATGTTAGGGAATTGGAGACATTCGGTTGATTTGCAGAATGCACATCTAGCGCTGGCAAGGTTGTGCGTTACATATCTCTGTTTCGAGGAGTTCCAGGGACATTTTCAACAGCGGCCAAAGCCGTTAACGCCAAAGGAAGGTTTTCTGTACTACTCTGCGAATCACTGGGTATCACATTGCCGACAGAGTGGCAACGGAGAAGAAGAATGGTCACGAAAGGCAGCAATGCTATGCGAGATAGGAGATGGGTCATCTTCATACTGGATTAGCTATCATACAAACCGGTTTCAGTGGCACGGAAGTATCCGTCTGCAAAAGTCGTCTTTGTTTTGGGCGACAAAATGGGGATTGGTACAAGTTCTGGATCTGCTTCTTCAGCAATCTGATCTCCAGATCACGGACGATGTGGTTCAGGCTGCCGCGGCGAACGAAGATAATGGAGAGGCGCTGATAAAGATCCTAATTGACCGACGAGGAGCAGATCTCCGAATCACGGATGATGTGGTTCAGGCTGCCGCCGCGAACTGGAGATATGGAGAGGCTGTGATAAAAATACTGGTTGATCGACCAGGAGCAGACCTACAGATCGACGATAAAACTATACTCCTCATACTACAGATATTTAATGTTGAGGTGATAAGTCTCCTACTTGACCGACAAGGCGCAGATCTCCAAATCACCGATTATGTGGTTCAAGCTGCTACCGAGAATAAATATATCGGGGACGCGGTGATGAAACTCCTACTTGACCGACGAGCAGATCTCCGAATCACGGATGCTGTGGTTAAGGCTGCCGCCGCGAATTGGAAAAATGGAGAGGCGGTCATGAGGCTGCTGCTCGACCGACGGGGAGTAGATGTTCAGATCACTAACGAGGTCGTTCAGGCTGCTGCCGGGAATAAATATAGTGGAGAGGCGGTCATAAGGCTGCTGCTCGACCAACGGGGAGTAGATGTTTATATCACCGATAGCATCGTTCAGGCCGCCGCCGCAAATAAATATGATGGAGAAGCGGTGATGAAGCTCCTACTTGACCGACTAGGAGCAGATCTCCCAATCGAGGAGAAAGTTGTACGTCATATACTACAGACATTTAACACTGAGGTGATAAGTCTCCTCCTTGACCGACGAGGAACAGATCTCCAAATCACCGATGAAGTGGTTCAAGCTGCTGCTGCGAACCAGTATAGTGGAGAGGCAGTGATGAAGCTCCTACTTGACCGACCCGGAGTAGAGATCTCAATCGAGGAGAAAGTTATACCTCGCATACTACAGACTTTTGACACTGAGGTGATAAGTCTCCTCCTTGACCGACGAGGAGCAGATATCCAAATCACCGATGAAGTGGTTCAAGCTGCTGCTGCGAACCAGTATAGTGGAGAGGCAGTGATGAAGCTCCTACTTGACCGACCAGGAGTGGAGATCTCAATCGAGGAGAAAGTTATACCTCGCATACTACAAACTTTTGACACTGAGGTGATAAGTCTCCTCCTTGACCGACGAGGAGCAGATATCCAAATCACCGATAAAGTAGTTCAGGCTGCCGCCGTGAATTGGAAAAATGGAGAGGTAGTGATGAAGCTCCTAATTGACCGACAAGGAGCAAATGTCCAAATCACCGACAAAGCGGTCCAGGTTGCTGCCACAGACTGGAAAAATGAAGAGGCAGTAATGAAGCTCCTACTTGACCGACGAGAAGATCTCCAGATCACGGATAAAGTGGTTCAGGCTGCCGCCGCGAATTGGAAAAATGGAGAAGTAGTGATGAAGCTTCTTCTTGACCGACGAGGAGTAGATCTCCAGATCACGGATAAAGCTGTTCAAGCTGCCGCCGCCAATAAGTATAGTGGAGAGGCGGTGATGAAGCTTCTTCTTGACCGACGAGGAGCAGATCTCCAGATCACGGATAAAGCTATTGAAGCTGCCGCCGCCAATAAGTATAATGGAGAGGCGGTGATGAAGCTTCTTCTTGACCGACGAGGAGCAGATCTCCAGATCACGGATAAAGCTATTGAAGCTGCCGCCGCCAATAAGTATAGTGGAGAGGCGGTGATAAAGCTTCTTCTCGATCGACGAGGAGCAGATCTCCAAATCACCCATAAAGCGGTTCAAGCTGCCACCGCAAATGAGTACATTGGAGACGTCGTGACGAAGCTTCTTCTCGAACAACGAGGAGAGGGTATCAAAATCAGAAGACATGTCTGAAGATACCATGTATTTTACGTACGTAAGAATACAATAGCTGCTTACAGAGGCACTCCGGAAGAGCTCCCAATATAGACTAGTGCGTGGTGGCGCGACGGGCAGGAAAGTCGATCAAAGAGCGTAGGCTGTTGCACCAGTTTCGGGACGCACTGTAACCACAAAGATGTTTCCCACCATCGATCATGCTCTAAACCTTACGGTTAGGGTAGGTATATGGTTATCGTCATACATCGTGAGCTTGTAACTAATCACTCAAATCCAACAGGCAGGCACTTGGGCCTTTAAGAACCCTACTTTAGCTGCCTGTGCCGTAGGTGGGGCTGGAGGGGTTGTCGTTGTCGCTGCCCCAGTGCTGGTGACAGGCCCCATTCTGTGGGGTCTAGGATTCAAATCGGCTGGTGTTGCTGGAGGTATTTACAATCCCCAAGCGAGAACACTCAATTTGCATAATACTCATCTGGCGGTAACCTTTGATAACCATCTGCGGGGATAGGGTCATACGCTGCTGTGGTTCAAAGTTCCATAGGGAACGTTTCAACCGCTAGCTTGTTTGCAACAGGACAGAGTGCAGGGGCAGGTGGTCTGGGGTTAGTGGCTGTAAACACCATTGCACAGGCATGTGGTGTGCTCACTGGTATGTTAAGTGCTGGGTTCGCCTGGTTTAAAGGCAACAGGAGTGGTTGAATTATTCTTGGTTAGTTATCCTATGCGATATAGCAAGCAGATTGCTTTTCGCTGTATTTCTGGAGTACTCAGTCTTGAAAATGTGCTGGGATATCTTTAGAGCTAGTTCTACTAGTAAGGCTTCTACAATCTAGTGGTTTATTGGCAATGAGCTGTCTGTTTTCGACTGTTGTCAAAGGTCATTTTCAGTAGTGTATTTTATGTTAGGCTTGTAGAGATCTAAACTATAGTAATATACCAAGAAAACAACAAAACAACAAGATAATCCCTGCTAAACTGTAATATTTTTGCTGTCTAGACACAAAAGGAAAAGAAGAAATACGATATGAGTAAACTAATAATTAACAAATACTAACTAACTAGGTAGCTATGTTTGATGATTGTTTATTGTGAGGCCTTGGCCTTATACACCAAGCTAATAAAGGCGTTGTTGGGGTATAAATTCCCCGCGTCTCCACTTCAGCTTCCTTTGATAAGAGCTCTTCCAACTTCACCCCTGTCACACAAAGGCCATGGCTTCGTCCGCAAAAGGTGTCGTGCCAGCTGCTGACCTCCGATCATTTACTGAATATTTGAGAGGCTGCAAACGTATCGTTGCTCTTCTTGGAGCTGGAATCTCAGCATCATCAGGCTTGCCTACCTTCCGTGGCGCAGGCGGACTCTGGCGTTCCCACGATGCAACCTCCCTCGCGACCCCAGAAGCCTTCGATGAGACCCCCGATCTGGTCTGGCAGTTTTACAGCTATCGGCGACACATGGCCTTGCAGGCCAACCCTAACAAAGCACACTACGCCTTAGCGGAGCTATCGCGAAGGAATGAAGACTTCATCACTTTGAGCCAAAACGTCGATGGTATGAAAATACGAGGACGTTTGGTTTTCTTGACTAATTAATCCCTCGCGTTTCTTCTAGGTCTCTCCCAGCGAGCAGGCCATCCCTCAAAGCAACTTCACCTCCTTCACGGCACTCTGTTCACCGTGAAATGCACCAATTTCTATTGCAACTACAGCGGCGACAACTACACAGATCCTATAGTTCCCGCCCTCGAAATCCCAAAAAAGAGTTCAGGCCTCAACCCCTCTGTGACCGACAAGACTGGCGAGGAAGCATCGAAAGCGATCTCAGAAGCGCTGGACGAGACAAGCAATGAAGTCGACATATCCGATGCCAGCAATCCTATCGCCATAGTGAACACAAAGGACCTACCTCATTGCCCGGAGTGCAAGGATGGCTTGCTCCGACCGGGTGTGGTGTGGTTTGGAGAACCCCTACCGGAGAAGACGCTCAATGCTGTCGATAAGTGGATCGCGGCGGGTCCGATTGACCTATGTTTGGTCATTGGCACCAGCGCGAGGATCTGGCCAGCTGCGGGGTATGTCCATGAGGCTCGGTCCCAGGGCGCCCGAGTTGCTGTGTGTAATATGGACCCCAATGATACACCGGGTGAGCTTCATCACGGTGATTGGTTCTTCCAGGGAGATGCGGGTGTTATTGTGCCTGAGATACTCAAGAGCATTATTGGCGATATCTGAACTTTTATTGGGGGAGATTGATGATTGATATGAGAACAGCGAATTTTGATATTGGGATTATGCATAAACAAGCGATTAAGGGACACATGATGGATGATAAGGAGCCCCGGATTCATATAATTTTGCTATTTTCATCCAAATATTAGGCCAATCGCAGAAACTCCGAGATGCCAATGCCGCATACAAATGCCGATCATGCCTCGGGTACTCCAATTTAATAAACCCCATAAAATGACGGAATTATAAAGATCTACACTTCCAAATGATTGGTCAGACCTTGGGAATCTAATTGTATCAACATGCGGGGTATATAGAGCTTATATAGAGACATCAAGACATTTGAGGGGTTGACATTTAAACTCGGACGTCCCACCAATTTCAACCCAATTGCAAGATATCTGGACATCCACAATGAAGTCGACAAATACAGTACCCCAGAAACGAAAGAAGGCGGAGAGCGATGACGAGGACGAGATTGTCAGAGATGGTAGCCTTACATCGGCTGCTGATAATTTCTTCGAGGCGCTGTGTATGTGATGAATGCTCCGCATAGTCCATTCAACAGGTTGGAAAGGCTAACTTTTCTCGCAGCTGAGGCCGGCATCACTCACTGCTTCGTCAACCTGTGAGTCCCTGTATCAACCACTAATTTGATGTGTTTTGACCGGTCTGGTAGGGGGAGCGACCATCCCGCGATGTTGGAAGCGATGATCAAGGCTAAGCAAGGTGAGTACCAGAGATATTACTCAAACGACCAGGGCTAAATTGTGGTTAGAAAACAAAACGAATTTTCCAAACATCATTACCTGTCCTTCCGAACTGGTTGCACTATCAGCTGCACTGGGATATGCTCAAACTACAGGAGTTCCGGTAGGTGACTGTGTCCATCATATCAATTGACTTTCGCTAACTTCCCACAAGCAATGCGTGATTGTCCACGTTGACTGTGGCACTCTTGCTATGGGACAATCTATACACAATGCCTCCGTTAGCAGAGTTCCAGTCCTGTGCTTTGCTGGCTTAAGTCCTTTTACTCAGAATGGCGAAATGCTGGGTTCGAGAACAGAGTTAGCTAGCGCAAGACGAATATTTACTTTCCGACTACTAACACTACTACAGGTTCATCCATTGGCTGCAAGACGTCCCTGATCAAGCGGCGATTGTCCGACAATACTGCAGATACACAGGTGAAATAAAGACTGGACGCAATATCAAGCAGATGGTCTCGCGAGCCTTGCAGTTTGCTACATCTGATCCTAAAGGCCCAGCATATCTAATGGCTGCGAGAGAGGCACTAGAGGAAGTAAGTATTGAAAGTCCCCATATAAATTAAAATGACTACTAACCAAATCTGCTATGCAGCGTGTGGGAGAAGAAAGCCTGGACGGAGAAATTCTCAGTTCAATCACTCCAAGTGCATTGCCAGAGCAAGGTAGGATGGTACCCATCCATGCTATAACCTCACATCACTGACAACAACAGAGGTGGAATTAATTGCCAAGTCGCTCATGGGCGCAAAACGACCGGTTGTCATCACGAGTTATCTTGGTCGGAATCACAACGCACCGGCCCTCTTGGCTGAGCTTTGTGATAAACTTCCAATAACCGTCGTGGAGATGGTGGGCTCGGACGTTTCTCTTCGGAGTGACCACGAAGCATATCGCGGCGTTACCGTGACTACTCATCCGGAGGTTCTTGAAGCCGATGTTATTCTTATTCTTGATTGTGACGTGCCTTGGATTCCAACTGCTGGAAAGCCTCGAGCCGGTAAGACTACCCGGAAAATAATGATTTCATGATATTCTGACAAGTGCTACAGGGACCAAAATATTCCATCTAGATGTTGATCCGTTGAAGCAACAGATGCCGCGTAAGTTCACATGTCGACCGCTGGGCTGCCCCTGTTCTAACTTTCCTGTTAATAATTATATATCAGTATTTTCAATCAACGCCACACGCAGGTTCAAGGTTGGGTGTGGAATTGCACTTGAGCAAATCAATGCTTTCCTGGACAAACAGGACATAGATCAGGCTATGTATGCCCTGGACTTTGAGGAGCGGTCAAAGAACTACAAAACCTGGAGGGAAAGCCTACAAGCACTTGAATCGCCATCGGAAGATGGTGTAGTCAGCGTACCATATCTGGCATCAAGACTACGAGATTCCCTCCCCCAAGACACTATTTATGTTTTGGAGGCTGTAACTAATGCGGGACATCTCATCCACCACTTGAACCTGACCAAGGTATGGATTCATTCTTGCCAGACTGCTGATTCAACGCTAATGAAACTCCAGCCTGGAAGTCTGGTTGCCAGCGGCGCAGGTGGTCTGGGGTGGGGAGGTGGCGCAGCACTGGGTGTCAAGCTGGGCAAGCCCGGTTCATTCATATGTGCAATGTAAGTGTTACAACTGCCAGAGCACATATCAAGTATCTAATAGCCGCTCAGCGTCGGTGACGGAGTCTATCTATTCTCACAGATGGAAAGTGTCTATTGGATCGCCAGACGCTACGATATCCCCTTCCTCCTCATTGTTCTCAACAACGGCGGATGGAACGCACCAAAGGTGTCTGCGCTTCTGGTCCACAAGGACGGGTTATCATCGAAGTCAAATAGACGAGGTCGGTCAGGTCTAAACTAAATATATTTCGCATAGTGAGCTGATTTACCGCAGATCTCAATATCTCGTTCGACCCTTCTCCCGATTACCCCGGTATTGCCGCTGCAGCCGGTAAGGCGTGGGGTAAGACAGTTACCGTGCAAAGCGAGCTTGATCCTGCTATCAAGGAAGCGACCGATGTTGTTCAGGGTGGGAAATGTGCTGTTATTGAAGTTTGGTGAGTAGATAGGGATAGGAGCTCTTAACGGACTACGGCTGACTTTTATTTACAGTGTTCCGTCTATGTGGAAGGAGAACTAGAGGAAATGGCTGGATGGGTAAATGGTGAAGTCAGTTCTCATTTTCTGGTTCCCGGAGGAATTTCGACTTTTTGTCGGTTTTTTATGCTGAAGTTGCGATATCACCCATGCTCGATATAATAAACAAATAAAGAAGTCAACCCAGGCATACCAAAGTCGGTAAACGGATTTGACTATATAGCGGGGACGCGCGAGTAGCCCTAGGCTCAAGGACTCTTGGAAGATGTTTGGTTCCCTTTTGCTGTTTTAGAGGGCACAAATGGATCAATTACTCAAAATGAAGAAAGGACCCCCAGTCGAATGCCCGTTTTGTTCAAGATGACAACCCAGAGGTGGTCATAGATAGGGAATTTCTTCGGTTTGAGTCTGCATAGTAACAAATGATGTTGTAGGTATAGTCTTTGCCTATCCCCCCTAACCTCCGGTTTGGAAAGCGTGGTAAGTCTCAGGAATCGTGATCGTGTGGTTTGTCCCGAAGCTGCAGACGGAAGACTATCTGGGCATGGGAGTCCTCTATTGTGAGATTTCCGTAATCTGATCATTGAGAAGACTCTCTCGAGGTGATGCTTGAAGACATGATATATATATCTTTCTTTCCCCTCCGTAACATACTAGGTCGTAGTCGGCAGAGTGTGGATCAATGAGCCCTCATCAAGTATTTAGGTATTTGAGAAGTATATAAGCGACTTTATCTTCATGGGTAAGAGATACTGGATGCAGAGAGAGTCAGTAGATGTGCCGTTTTATAACTAACTAGTCAGGTGGTCCTAGCTGCCTGAGGCATCGTCCGTTGCTAGGCCGACCGCAAACAAAACGATAAACCTTTTTGGAATCGATAACGACGACGCTTTTCCCTTTGATGTTTGCAAAACCCCCACCATCGACAAAACACGTCGGATTCAAGGCATCACTCTTAGGGTAAGTTCTTCCATACTACTATATTCGTTTCTTTTCTTTTTGGACTCGAAATTCCCAGTTCCGAATTTTCAGGACCCCAACCTCCACGAACTGGTCAAGCTCGCACACAAAGAACAAATGATTAACGTCAGATTCCAGTGCTCTGAGGTTCCCCTTCGCGTCTTGATGCCCAAGGATCAGATTACTCCAGCCTTGGTCATCCAGTGAATTCAACAAATCAACATATTACCCATCTGACAACATTCCATCCAAACCACACCGCTCGTTAAAACACGATGGCTAGAGAAAGCACCGCGCCAATGGAGCCCCTCACCCCAGGAGGAAAGCCCAACACTCAGCCTCACCCCGCACATGTCCAAGAACCTGAATTCGGAAAACCCTCGCCGATCGGCCCCCACAACACAGATCAAACCACCTTTTCAACATTCCAAAGCCAAATCAATCCCGTGCCGAACATCATCGACCCGCCCCTCGACCGCAGCCACAACAGCAGCCACAATCGCGCCACCAAGGACAATCAAGCGCTACGCCTCACGCTCATCGCCAACCGGGCACGTCGGGTGCCCCATTCGCTACGCCGTCGGTGAAGCGAAGCGAGCCATGGGATCCATTCAAGCCGGTGGCACCATCAGCCTACAACAACCCCCGCGGAGGATTTCAACACGGTGCAGTGAGTATCAAGCGGCCTGAAAATGTCACCTGGACAACTCCGCGGGCCCCTAGGCCTATCTACCAATCCAAGCCTGTTCCGCCGAAGGTCGGAGGCGCGTCGAAGAACTTACAGAAGTTCATTGATCTAACCCGTGACGACACTGATCCTGTTCCAAGAGCCTCAGCCCATGCGCCGCCGAGCTTCGGCGCAATGGATATGAATGGCTACGTTGACACGGCTATGGCAAACGAGAACATCAAGGCTTTGCTTGAAGGTGCATTCGAGGAGGAGGAGGACAAGGCGGAGTCGAAACCTAAGAGCAAGAAGAAGAAGGGCGGAAAGAAATCCAAGAAGACGTCACAGAAGAAGCAGAAAGATGAAGTCGTCGTGGACAAGAAGAAGGAACAAGCAGTTGACGACCTTGATGATCTTGCTGCTCAACTTCAAGGGGTCACGGTCAACGACCCAAAGGATAGCGAGGCTAGGTCTGAAGACGATTCATCTGCCAAGGTTGAGCAAGACGATGAAGTTGCCAAGCTGGATGAAGAAGACGAGGCAGAGGAGGAAGAAGAAGAGGAGGAGGAGGAGGAGGAGGAGGACGATGAAGATAATGGGGTCATCGAAGGCTTAAAAGTTACCCTTCTTCCCCATCAAATTGACGGTGTCAGATGGATGAGTGATAAAGAGACGGGCCGAAAGACGTCGAAAGGAATTTTCCCCAAAGGCGGAATCCTTGCAGATGATATGGGTTTGGGCAAAACAGTGCAAACGATTGCTTTGCTGCTCAAAAACCGCAAATCCGACCACGAAGACAGCGAAAACACCGAATCCGAGGGCAAGACGACCAAACTGCCCCCCGAACTGCATCGCCTCCACTTTGGTCATTGCGCCCCTTGCACTCATCAAGCAATGGGAGGCGGAAATCAAGGACAAGGTTGAGCCATCTCACAAGCTGCGTGTTTGCATCTATCACGGTACAACACGCGCAAAGACCTCGACGACGTTGGACAAATACGATGTTGTGATCACAACGTATGGAACCCTTACCTCCGAGTTCAACTCATCAGCATCAGACAAGGCCAAAAAGGCGGGGATTTTCGCTGTTCATTGGTACCGTGTCATTCTTGACGAGGCGCACACAATCAAGAATCGTAACGCCAAAGCCACACAGTCAGCATATGCATTGGATGCTCAATACCGCTGGTGCTTGACAGGAACGCCATTGCAAAACAACCTGGATGAGCTGCAGAGTCTGATCAAATTCCTTCGAGTGAAGCCCTATGACGATTTGGCTGCATGGAGAGATCAAATCAGTCGGCCTTTGAACAATGGCCGTGGAGGTCTCGCAATTCAGCGACTGCAGGTCTATCTGAAGGCCTTCATGAAACGGCGCACGAAGGATGTCCTCAGACTGAACGACAATGTAAAGCCTGGTGAAGAAGGAGAAGATGGCAAGCCAAAGAAGTCTTCTAATGGATTCCACATCACCAAGCGTGAGGTCATTAAGGTGGCTCCCGAATTCATGCCTGGGGAGTTAAACTTCTACAAACGTCTCGAACAGCGGACGGACAATAGTCTTGAGAAAATGATGGGTGGTGCCAAGGTCGATTATGCTGGAGCTTTAGTTTTGCTGTTGCGTCTTCGCCAGTCTTGTAACCACCCAGACTTGGTCAAGGGCGATTTGGCCAAGGACAAGGACATTCTCTTGCAGAATGGCAGCACGAACAGCCAGTCATCACAGTCAAAGCCGGATGATCTTGACAGCATTGCCGATCTTTTTGGGGCAATGAGCGTTGTCGCAAAGAAATGCGATGTTTGTCAAACGGACCTAAGTCAAAACGAGATCAAGGACGGTGGTAGTCGATGCGGCGAATGTGAAGCCGACCTGAATACCAATGTTATGGGCACAGATAAAAAGAAGAAAAAGAAGTCGAAGAAGAGCCACAAGGAGCTTGATGTTCCGGACTCCCCATCAGCCCGCAAATCCGAAGCGCAAATCGTTCGTTCTCGCAAAAATCGACGAGTCATTATTGACAGTGACGACGAAGATGAAGAAGGCGATTGGGTTGTACCTGATGACCAGCGCAAGATGCCCAATCTCGGTAAAGCAGGTGGTTCAGACGATGAAAATGCCGAAGGAGGTGGTGAATGGCTCGTTTCGGACGATGAAACCGATGATGAGATTGAATCGCCCTCCAGAAGGAAGAGCAAACCCATCGTTCTGAGCGATTCCGAGGATGAAAGCGATTCAGATGCGGACGACATCTACAACGACGAAGGAGAAAACGGAGAGCTTCCATCCACCAAGATTCGCCATCTTATGCGGATTCTCAATCGCGAGGCACCGGACTTCAAGTTCATTGTGTTCTCCGTCTTTACATCTATGCTTGACAAGATCGAACCCTTCTTGAAGAGTGCCAATATTGGCTTCGCCCGCTACGACGGTGGAATGACAAATAACCACCGCGAGGCCAGTCTCGAAAAGCTCCGAAACAACAGTGGCACTCGTGTATTACTCTGCAGTCTGCGTGCCGGTGCATTGGGTCTCAATCTGACAGCCGCTAGCCGCGTCGTCATCTTGGAACCCTTCTGGAATCCCGTAAGTTGCAATTTTCTATAAGCTATTGCGTATTATGCTAACCCGAGACTTAGTTTGTGGAGGAGCAAGCCATTGATCGCGTGCATCGCCTGAATCAAACCGTTGACGTCAAAATCTACAAGATGGTCATCAAGGGTACCGTGGAAGAACGCATTGTTGCCCTGCAGGACCGCAAACGTGAACTGGCCAATGCCACTATCGAGGGCAAGACTGGCGCTGGCAAGCTCACCATGCGCGACATGATGGCGCTCTTTGGTCGTGATGCAGAATCGCGATTCACGGATAACCAGAGCACCCTGGACTTCAATCAGCCTACTCGTCTGCTGAATACCGGGGATGAGACTGAGCCTGTTAATTCCTCCTCGCAGGAAGCAACACAGTCTGCCCCACGCAACCGGGGAAATGAGGGCCAGGCTAATCGGCCACGGAATGAAGACTCAGTTTACGGTCGACGCTGGTAATCGGATTGTTTATCAGCATGGTACGAAATTATGAAATGATGTATGGAGAGAACTCTGGGGAGTCCTGGTTGGCGTGTGGAACGTGTTTAAAGTCTTTCTGCTGAATTTATCTCTTTTCTTGTTTGATTATATTTTATTGGTTCATTTCGTACACCTCCTGAACTTCTTGCTACTATGTCGAAACATTCATCCCCAGGTCTTTCATTCCCCATCGTCGGCCTGGGGCTGCTATAGTCCAAAGAATGGTGGAACCTTGGTCGTTTCATGACTGGCCTCGCGCCTCCCATGTATCCGGAAACAATGTCCACGAGTCAGATTGCGGCCCAATTTAGATTTGGCGATTTCACAATTGGACTCGGCATTGTGGTCCGATTGGAATACCTGCGATCTTGGATAATAATTACCGTCACTATGGATAGGGGTCCGTCAAGCTCTACTGCAAGGGTGCGATATGTCGCCCTTTATTTGATACTCGTGGGTGAACTAAGTCAACTTCTACGATCTATTATGACTTGATCTCGATGCTTGACACGGCAGGACAGAAGCTAATTGAGAATCCAGTTGTCAAAATCCAAGCTGTTTTCCATATCGCCATCCAGCACGTCCATCACACACTAACTGAGAAGACCACTTTTCTTTTGTAGGATGTGTGGGGTATCCCCATCCGAGCCGCGCAGATTCTCGAGGGGCCAGAACAGGTACCTCCATGTCAGGTTCTATGGTTCTGGCCCGGAATCGCTGAGTCTCGCCTTTGTGCGCTCTAACTCGAATGCCGGTAATGCCCTGGATACCCTTAATTGGATTACCCTGGTAGCACATCGAATTGGTCAGCACGCCAAGTCTCCCAAAGTCCAAGAGTGGACGGGGGTAAGCAAAAGCTCGCACTGCTTGGGTGGTTTGGGATGCGTTCTAGCCAGGGCCGACCAGACCATTTGCCGGAGCTCATACCATGGATCTAAAATTCTGGCCCATACGCCTGCGAGCGACTTTCTGATGGTAGTTTCCGGCGAACCGGACTAGGGAACCGAGGGCATGCTCCCAGGGAGGAAGCTTGCTTCTGGTGGCTCATGCTTTGATAGGTTGAAAGCTCACAGGAGAAAGCATGAGCTGGGGAATAATCCCCTCGGTAACCCCGGTTGAAACATAGAATTCGTGGGGATCTTCGAATCTTGCCATTCAAACTTCATTTGGCTTTATTCATACACCTCGTGTGCTGCCCAAATTACGCTTGATACACGATGTCTCGGACGTTGCTAGTCTTTGCTTAACCGTGTGAATCTATCACTACCTTTCCGTGAGTCGCTTCCTGTTAAACTGTCTGCCTGGGTTAGAACTAACACTGGTGGTCTTAGTTCGAACCATTCTTAACTGTTCTCTCCGCCGAGGATTGAACATTGAGATATGTCTTCACCATCTGACATCAAAGACAACGGCGGCTGGACGGTCATTTACGATGACCGTAACGAGGATGACCCAAATTGCAAGAAAGAAGAGAAGCAGTCTCTCGCGCGAACGTTATCTATACCGAAGGCCATGTGTATCATGCCTGACAACAAGACTGAGATATCCACAGTAGCTGAGCTGCCATCCCCGAAGTTGAAACTGCCTCAGCTGGGGACTGACTCGGCGGAAAGAGTCTTTCCTGTTCGCTCAGTTGTCTCGTTTGATTCCACACCGTCATCCGCCCTCCAGACACCTTCCCTTGATAAGCTTGAAACACCGATATCTCCTTTTCCGGACACATGGAGCGCAGGCTTCACCAATGAACAAGCCGCCCCTCAACATAAGAATTCACCCGAGAAGAGAATGAATTCTGATGGTGGTGCCCCGGATAGGCCCGACTCTCTCGTTCGACTGAATCAAAAGAGTGGTGGCGGGGGCGATGTTTCACCAGTGCTCAAAGGGCAATCTTACGCCAGTCATAATCATGACCATTTGGAACAATTGAAAAGCACTGTGCAAAACGGTGGCGAAATCCTTGACTTCCACAAGACAACAACGGGAATTTACTACTCGCATGAAGATGAAGAGGACATTTTCATTCAGTCATTCGGTGCGCTCGTTGTGATGACAGAGTCTAACGGTAACTTCGAAGTGCAGATAGCGAGTGACAACACCAAGGAAATCATTGGGCATTCTCCTGATAACCTCTTCGAGCTTCAAACGTTTTGTGGTATATTGCCGTCCTGGCAACAGAGCAACTTTCTTGCTCATGCTCAATTTGTTTTGAGTGATGACTACTCAATCGAGGACTCTGGCCCGGAGGTTTTCTTTCTTTCTGTTTTATCATCTGACGGGTATACCCAGGGTACTTGGTGTACCATGCATACCAGCACTGTATATAAGAACTATGTGATCTGTGAGCTACAACCTGAGGCTCAGGAAAGAAAGGATTCCGACATGGAGAATCCCGAGAGTCAAACGACAACATCAGATAGTCGAAACTTGGATATGACTTATGGGGCATTTCTCGAGGATGTACGTCCTCCGGGGGAAAGCCTTAATACCAGAACCAGCAAAGTTCCAGAGTCATCAGAGCTTCTCAACAATGTCCCTCGAATTGTCCAGCGCCTGGCAAATTCTCAAACATTGGAAGTACTCGTTCAACATGCCATTGCCACTTTGCAAAGTCTCATTCAATTCGACAGAACGACCATGTATCATTTCGATAGTGATCGCAACGGAATCGTGGTCGCTGATGCGGTTGACACTTCGTCGGGCCTAACATCGTACGAAGGCATGCGGTTTCCGGAATCGACCTTCCCCGACGGCGTGAAGAAACTATATACACGCAATACTGTATGTGCCTCTTTTTCTGGGAGCCAGGGCACTTCAAAGCTTGTGTATCGGGCTTCCACCAACAAAAGGGCCCTCGACATGTCAAATACCTATCTCTCTGCAGCACGTGCGCTCCCAACGCCGCACCCCGATAATCCCGTCAAGGCTTGTTTGTCAATTCAAGTCAAGGTTTTTGGCAAGCTTTGGGGACTCATATCCTGTCAGTCTTACAACAGTAGCCAAAGACTCCATCCGCTCATCCAGAAGGTTTGCTGGTTTGTGGCCGAGGCGGTTTCAAGTAACATTGAGCGCCTGTCCTACACCTTGCCGTTCCAATTTCGAGGGCCGGGCATCTCCTTGGACAAAGTGAGCACACCTCAGACTATCAAGACTCCACCTGGTGATCTTCTCAGTCTGTTCGGAGCAGATTACGCTGCAGCGTCGATTATGGGCGAGTCCAAGATATTGGGGAAACCGGTTGACTCGCAGGAAGTTCTGGCATTGTTTGAATACATGAAAGCTAAAGAGAACGATACTGTGTTTTGGTCCGGAGATATCGCTACCGATTTTCAGGATCTCAACTACTCGCCCGGCTTTCATCATCTTTCCGGCTTGCTTTACGTTCCTCTTTCAGTGGACGGCCGTGATTTTATTATCTTCTTTCGGGCTGATTTAGAAAGTGGTAACCTCGCGTCTGATTCAGAGCGATCAAGTCGACAACATGAGTGGTCATCAGCAGAGTTTGGAAAGGCATCTGTTCTGTCTTTGCTGTATCGCACTTTCACTGATATATGGCAAGAGAAAGAAGCTACATTGCAGAACAACCAGTTGATGAGGCTTTTACTCGCTAATTCCGCGCACGAGTTCAGAACACCACTCAATGCCATCATCAACTACCTAGAAATTGTTCTTGACGGATCTCTAGATCAAGAGACACGGGATCACATTTCCAGATCTCACTCGGCCTCCAAGTCGTTGGTGTACATCATCAATGACCTCCTAGACCTCACAAATGCCGAAAACGGACAACGTTTAATAAAGGACGAGACATTCGATCTATCAGAGACCCTCACGGAAGCAACAGACATATTCTGGGAAGAAGCAAGACAGAAGCATGTCGATCTGCAAGTAGTCCAACATGCAGTCCTACCTCCCGTCCTTGGAGATCAACGACGGGTACGCCAGGTGATCACCAACCTGATTAGCAATGCGATACAGCACACATCCACGGGAGCAGTAACGATCGAGTCTTGTGTCGTACCGGAGCCGCTGGAGCCAGATCATATTTGTGTTGAAGTAGCAATACACGATACTGGGTCTGGCATGTCCCAAGAGACTGTCGAGACATTGTTCTGCGAGCTGGAACAAGTTTCCAACAAGGGATACATGCAGAATCCCAAGTCATACGAACGTACTTCCAGTGGCCAAGCGACTGAATGTGTGCTTGGTTTGGGTCTCGCGCTAGTAGCCCGAATCGTGCGCAATATGAACGGCCAGCTAAGCCTGAAGTCAGAAGAAGGCAAGGGAAGCTGCTTCAAGATAAGGCTTGCGTTTCCTCTTCCGGATGAATATAGTGGTCAAAAGCAGAACTTATGCAGTACGTCAAACAAACCTCCGCAGGAAGATGAAAGAAAACAAGACCCAAAGCAAAACACCATATCCTCAAGTTGCATGACAAGCCAGAAAGCAGACGGTATTCCGTGTGAATGTGGTCAAACTTCTGAGTTTGAATCAGCTGGATCCATCGTTAACGTCGATGTAAGCCTGAAAACCGGCGAATCAAGAAACCTCTCTCTTTCTGGCGAACCACTCAGACAGAGCAACAAGCCAGATAAACCAACCACTTCCCTTCCAAAGAAAGACCTCAGTCAATCATCAGAAGTATCCAAATCTCATATCAGAGAAACCTTGTCGATCTCACCAACAAAACCTCCAACAACCCAACCAAGCCCCTCTCCCACAATGGACTGGAACCTCCACGTCCTCGTCGCGGAAGACGACCCAACCAACAGCACGATTGTCCAAAAGCGCCTCGAAAAGCTTGGTCACACGGTACACATGACAAGCAACGGAAAAGAATGCGCATATGCGTACAAAGCGAATCCCACTGCTTTCAATGTAGTGCTGATGGATCTACAAGTATGTCTACCAATACCAACCAATTATACACTTCGAAAGTCAATCAATATATACTAATACCTGATTTTCCGCCTACAGATGCCTATCGTCGATGGCCTCGGTGCAACACAGATGATACGCGAATACGAGCAGCAAGAGCTAGCTAACGAGACCACGCCTGCACCTCGAATTCCCATTTTTGCTGTCTCGGCTTCCTTGCTCGAGGATAATCGCAAAATGTATATGGAGTCGGGCTTTGATGGGTGGGTTATGAAGCCGATTGATTTCCACAGGGTTGATCGGTTGCTTGGGGGTGTTAAGCTTCAATGGGTGCGGGAGGAGGTTGTTTATCGGCCTGGTGTGTGGGAGGCCGGGGGGTGGTTTGAGGCGTAGATACATACATATCCAGGATGACAGAGCATCGGAGTGAGATGAAGGGAGGTTAGTTTGACTCGAAGAAACAGATGAACCGTGGGTGGGTAAGATATCCAATATCCAGATGGCATTGGAATCATATGCAAGAATTCTAATCTTTATCCATGGTATCTATGCAAACAATAAATGAAACGCAAAATGCAAACAAAATATTAACAGATTCATCTCAGAAGCTTTCCGCTGCATCGGAAAAGTCCGGCACTGTATCGCCGCACTTGAATGAAGGACTATATGCCTTGCTCGGCATATACCCATTCTTCCACGCAGTTCGGTAACTCCACTGTGCGGCGGACTCCGTCCGCCAGGTCCAGTAGAACCATCCCATCGCCGTTTCAAAGGCAGACATCTGTGCCTCGGCATACGTCTGCAGGAACTTCTTGTATGTAGTCGAGTACTCGGATGGGGCCTGGTTGGCATCTGCGCAACTGCACGTTCCTTCGTCCGCTGTTGGACAATATGCCGTTTTGGAACTGGTATCGTAGGTTCCTTCCCACCGGGTGCCTCGGCCGACGTTATTCACATACTGCGCGCAGTCTGTGTCTGCCTGTGACCATTCGCCGCAAATGGTTGGACCCCATCTAGTTTGTGTTAGCGTATGAAATGAGAAAGAAAACGGAGCGATATTTTACCCAGAACTTGTTGTGTTGATCTCTTTGAGCATGGGGTACCAATTATCGCAGATAACGTTGACCTTGGCGGTGTGGTTCAAGACGATTTCACCAGTGTTGAAGGTCGTGTATTGGTGGGTGTCCAGGTACATGTTGTCCGGGTGAGTTTGGAACATGTTGTCCCACTTTGCAAGATTCAGGAATCCGTCGTGCAGGACAAGAGTGGCGGTGATACCATTCTTGCGGACCAGTTCCGCAGCCTCCTGGGTCCAATTTAGGACCTGCTCGACGGGCAGGGTTAGCATTAATGGCTCGTTCACCAGACCGTAAATTGTCACCACGTTCTTATACCGATCTTGGGCAAAGAACTGTGAGAGTTGGTTGTGAATCTCAAGTGATCGCTTCCGATTAAGGGCACCGTCTGTGCCGGTCAACCAATCGATGCTGCCCTGCCGGCCACTGTGGTTCCAGCCATTTTGACTGCCGGGGAGCCCATGGAGGTCGAGTTTGATCCGTAGTCCATACTTGCGACACCACTCGATTGCACGCAGCAGATATCGCCACGCAATCTTAGGGACGTACGGATCGTCGTCATAGGTAGTGACGGCCCAGTAAGAGTATGGGATGCGGACATGATCCAGCCCTGCTTCCTTGATCTCTTTTATATCGGACTCTGTGATGAATTCGGCGTAATGTTTCTCAAGGGTGGACGCTGCAGAGTTACCGAGCTTTTTGGTCAAGGTGTACTCGTCGATGATACTGGCGCTGGATGGCCACTTGCTGAATAGAGATGGGACAATAAAAGGCTCGATGGACAACCATCCCCCGATATTGACTCCGCGGATGGGCTGTCTGCCGTAGGGGAACGCCTTGTTAAGAGCAGGCACATTGTCGTTCGCCCGGGCAGAGTCATCCCAGGCTGAGTTGATTCCCATGACAGAAAGACCTCCCACAGTCTCATTTGTGAATGTAAGGTTGAACCCTACGGTCTCGTACCACGTAAATGGATCTAGGACGGTACCTTTGGCGTAACTCTGAAGTACTGTTGTCAGCAAATTTCATCCCATCAAGGTAGCACACGCAATACTCACCGGTATGCTGTCGCGGCTGATACTGCCCAGATTAGAGGTAGTAGAGCTATCGCCAGAGTCTGAGGAACCCGAGGAACTCGACTTTGGATCTGAGTCTTTCTTTTTTGACACAACAATTGCAACCGGGATGATGATGGCAAGCAGGAGGAGGACCGCAAGTAGACATCCGACCAAGATACGTTTCTTCCTCGACCAATTAGACCAAAACTTCCAAGCCGATGGCCCTCCGCGACTCTCCAAGCTCCCTTCCCAGCTATCTTCATCTTTCCAATGATCTTCCACGGCAGGACCACCACCTCCACGACGACGAACCCGAGCATCGGAGCTATGTCCCTCTTCCAAATAAGCACCAGACACGACACGCGCACCAGCCTTATGGCGTGAACGACCCTCTGCAATTCCAGCACCAAGCGCCGCACCAGCAGCACCGTCCAGAGCAGCTCGCTTCCGCTGTCGTCGACGTTCCCGACGCGAATCATCTTCCTCGCGAGACTGTTCCATGCGATCCACATCTTCGTGCTGAGCAGCAAGGCGAGCCATAGCATCCACACTCAAGAGGTGCGAAGCACTACTCGTAGACTCAGTGCTGCGATGTTTCCTCGCCGGCGAGGCAGCAGCAGCAGCATCAATTTCCCGCTCCCGCTCCCGCTCTCTTTCGCGCTCGCGCTCACGCTCACGCCGTCTCCGTCGACGCGCCTCAGCCTCAACATCAACATCAACATCTCTCATCCGTCTTTCTCTAGCCGGACTCGCACTAACACTCTCATCTCTGCGATACCGTCTCTCCCGATCCCGCCGTTTAGTAGGCGACGCAGCGGGCGAGTCCTTCACCCTCGAAGTCCCCCTCTCCCTCTCCCTATCCCTATCCCGCCTCCTCTCCTCCCCATACCCAATCCCCGCCGCCTCATCCTCCTCCCTCCGTCTGCGCCTCCGTTCCCTACGCCGCTCCCGCTCCCACTCCTCATCATACTCCTCGCGCTCATGTTGCGAGTTCGACTCGTACCCTGATTCCCCGCGGAACCGGTACTTCGCCGTGCGCGCGTTCCCAGGACTGGATGTTGCGCCTTCGTCGACGTCTTCGTAGCGGCCGCGGATGTATTCGCGGTCCCGGTCTCGGTCTCGGCGGTGGGAGCGCTCTTGCTCGCGTGCGCGGTCGCGATCCCGATCCCGATCCCGAGCCCGATCGCGTCTGTCGGGTCGGTCTCGGGTTTGGGATTGGCTGGGCATGCCAGATAGGTGGGGGTTGTTGGGTGTGGTATGCGCTGATCGCTGATCGGTGGGATGGGAATGGGGGGAATTGTTTGTTGTTTGTGGGGGTGTTTGATTGGATTAGGTGGTAAGGGGGAAGTGGGAGAAGGGGGAAAGAATGGAAAATGAGTCGAGGTTGAAGTTGGACACGTGGGATGTGTCAAGTTGGAATTTAAAAGGTTCAGTCTGTCTTGGAATTCTTGGAAGATTCTTGGGAGATTCTTGGAATCTCATTTTCTATTTGGAGTCGGCATAAGACTACTTTGTTTTGCTTTTTCCCCACTTGGATCCTGCCAAGGGATTGTATATTCTCTATAATGCCCTTTGTTCAAGTTTTATATGTATGTTGGACTATATCTTATAGGGTATCTTATAGATGGGAATGGTTGCGGAACAACAGGTTGAGATCTCTAGGGAAAAGAATAATTTCATAGATTGAGATGCAATAACATTAAATACACCTATCCCAGTCCAAACAGACATGCAAGCTCCGGTCCATTCTAACCAAAATACAAATGCTCATATCAACAAGTCAGGGTATGGAAACTCCAAAACACAATACAAGGTTAAAAAGGACATCGCGAAAAGAAAAGAGACAGAACTGAAAGCCAACCGAAAGAGTAATATGAAAAAAAAAAAAAAAAAAAAAAAAAAGAAAAAAAAAAATCAAAGCGCCAGTCAGGGTGTCTGTGTCTGTCATGAATATCTGTACAGCTGTGAGGGGAGGATGGAGAAAAGGGGAGAAAGGATGATATATAGAGATGATGAAGATGAATAAATAAATTCTCGCTTTGTCCGGGGAATCTAATAGAAAGAAAGGGAGATGGTGCCTTGAGCACTGCATCTCTTGCTGCAGAGATCAAGGCAGAGAAATGCATAGTCAATATGCAAAATGCAAATTAGACAGAGTCAGCAAGGCTGTCTCCCTCCGGCTGCTCTCAACGGAGCCGGAGCCGGAGCGTGTCCAAGTAGTGGCAACCCGGCCAAGGAGTTAAAGCTGACAGAGCTGACATCTAATGGTTGACCTCCTCCAGGGCTTGGTATTGGGTAACATTGCTGTCCCGGCCGAGAACCACGTATCTTGGCACGATAGTCCATATTGTGCGGGTATATTGTCAACAGCGACAGCGCCACCCGGATGAGCGCGCCAATTGGTTTTCACCAAAGGTGAGCCTATCATTAGCTATCAGCTAATGATCTGTCTGGCTCCCTCTTTGCCCAAAACGCCTGGCTCCGTCGGCTTGGGGCTGCGGTCGCGGCCCTTCTTCCGACTGAAGAATGATAGCATGCCATTGGCTTGTTTGCCCTTATCATCGCCATCCATTCCATCGGCGGGGGTGGAGTTGTGGGCCAGCTCACTCCAGCTGCCAGCCTCGTTTAGGACCATTTGCACGCCTCCACTTTTACTCATTTGCCGAGTGGCACCACGGTGTCGATTGTTGGGGGGTAAGGGTCGGTGGAAGGATGGAGCAGGCGGCGGTGAAGGCGAAACGCGGCTTGAGGGGGAAGGAGGGGGCTGGCCAGCCGCGGGGTCATTGGGGTCAAGTGTCTCGCTGACTGTGGTCATGTTGTCACTTGGTGGAGCACGATAGGGAGAGCCGTCGGCTTGGATGGGAGATGTATTTTTAGACTGGTCGGGGTGTGAGAACTGACGGGCATGTACAGTTGGGTTTGCTGGGGTTGTGGTGTTCCCTTGGGTTGTTGTCGCCATTGGAAGGCACTCCTCGGGGTTTCTGGAAGACACTGTTAGCACAACGGGGCAATGATCTTGATTGGGAGAGAAACCCACATTACGGCAGCAATAGCTTCTGCGGCATTGCCTTGGTAACTGGTCAGGGTGTAGTCAAACGGTTCAAACATTGTTTCAATGAGACGATGAAGCTCATCATCCCGAATCTCTTTCGCGGTGGCATCGTCCCTTAGTTCAGCGCGCGGTTTTTGCCTGCGCGCTCTGGCCTCCAATGGCGCTTCTTCAAGAAGCAGCTCCTCTAGATCATAAGTCGCATCGAAGTTAGTTTTGTCGCTTGATGGGCGGAATACTGGCGGGATCTGTTTGCGCTCCAGGGCATCAAAGTCGATTTCAGCGAAGAACATGTGTGAGGTGTAGGTCTCAAATCCAATGGCGCCAATTCGTTGACTCCGATCTTTTTGTATCAATGATCCCAATGCCCGCAAGCAAGCTACTGATACCGCGGGATTGGTGACGTAGTATTTCGGCTGCGCTTTTTTGATGTTTTCACTCAGGGTTTCTTGGCTTCGCCCTTCAAATGGTCGCTGCACAGAAAGTTAGACAGGAAAGTAGACGGGAAACAAATATCCCATACCTTATTATAGATGCACTCGTAAAAAGTGACACCTAATGACCACCAATCGACTTCAAAGGTATAGCCAGTTCCTTCGTAGACCTCCGGGGCAAGATAGGCTAGTGTTCCTGACTTGCTTGTAAGAGGCTTCCCTGGTCGGTAGTCGGATGCCACGTTCTGAAAATCCCAAGTTAGCTGAAGCTCACACAAATGCGGTCCACGTCGATATAACTTACAAAATCAGCCAAATGGACATGTCCATCGGAATCCAACAGGACATTGTCTGGTTTTAAGTCTCGATGAATGATACCCTGTGAATGGATATATTTCAGAGCACAGCCCAATTCGGCCATCCAAAACCGCACTGCATCCTCTGTGAAGCATTTCCGAGAGATATGGAATCGAAGATCGCCGCCGTTCATTAAATCAACCACAATATAGCTTCAATTGGGTCAGTGAGGGGTAACGACAGTCGATTCTGGAATACTCACATGTACTCCATGTCCTGGAAACTGTATCGCAAATTGCATAGGAACGGATGGTTCAAATGCTCGAGCATTCTCCGTTCGCGAATTATATTCCGTACACTTTCCGAACGGACCACTGAAATGAGTATCAGCTATAGCGCTCTCGGCTTGACGGCTTTGAAGTTTCCAACGAACCTTCCTCTTTGCGGATATATTTTAGGGCGAATGTAAGACCCGTGTCCTTTCTTTCGACGATTCGTACTTTTCCAAATGCACCCTTTCCAACGACACGCAGGAGCCGGAAATGATTGAGGTTGACTAATAGGCAAAAAGCGATCAGCAGATTATTCGAAATAATCAGTAACTCCAGGTAGTCCCGCAGATGTCCCCGATTGGAGTCCAATAAACCTACCTGCATCGTTGCACGACACCGGTTTCCCTTGAGTGTTTCCCATATTGTGAGGATATGCCGATGGTCGAAGTAATTAAAGGTTGACTAGTATCTTTCTAGCAACATCACACTTGTCCCCAAAGTCCTCCGATTGAACAGTAATCACGGCAACCGTAGTCGGACAAACCACGAGTGGATAGAGACAGATTTTCGGCGAATATCGAGTTTAGGTCGCAATTTCCATGAGAGGTGACTGAATTCCGACGGTAAAATGGCCGGGCGCGGGGGGGTCAAATGTTTCAAGAGTCGATGATCGAATGCAGGTCTAGATGCAAAAATTTTGAGAAAACAAATGAGACTAGATGAAATAAGAAGGCCACCAGAACTCTTCGAACCAAAATAAAAAAGATCCTAGGGTTCCAAGCCTGCAGGATATGTATATCAAGAAAACGTGAGGGTCCGGGAGCTTTAAGTCGCGAAACACACTTGGATAAAGAACCACCGCCCAAAAAAAAAAAAAAAACAAGTGGAAGACAGGTAGAAAATCAGGTAGAAAATATGTGAAATAAATATGTCAAATGACAGGGCAATACCAAGATATTCCTGTCCACTTTGGTCAAGTTGAAGCAAAGATGAAAGAAAGGGGATGAAGTGGGTGAGCGGTCTGGAATAAGTTGGCAGTAAGTTGACCAATCACGCGTGACACGCAGGAAAATGGGGGCAAAGGGGGGGAGTACGGGCGACTAAGTATGCCACCCGACACATAACTCTCTCATTGGTTTATATTGCCAGGCAATAATTTCGATCCACTCTCACTTCACAAGTACCGTTGTTGAATAACTAGTTACTTTATATAGTATTTTTTATAAATGAATACTATTGAGCAAGCTGTTACTATGTGGGGAGAAAGCAGAGGAAGAATTATTAATTGATTAAACTAGAAATGTAGGGGGTTATATACCCTGCTATAACCATCTAAACTCTGCTCGATTATGGTAAACAAGCTAACAAATAGTAAATAACGAACAAATAGGGCAAACATATATATATATAGGAGGTTGTTTAACAAAATACGATATTAATTTTTTAACACCGGGCTCTTTATACTCCTAAGTCTTAAGTCTTGACTCTTGATTTCTTACTATCTTACTATCTTACTAACTGAATCCGAATTGAATCTGAATTGAATCTGAATTGAATCTGAATTGAATCTGAATTGAATCTGTAAAGTGTATATATAGTATACAAATAAAACTGTAATGAACCAGGCGGTGAGGTAATAACCAATGAGAGAGTTATGTGTCGGAAGGCATATTTAGTCACCCGTAGGGGGGAGGAAGTGAAAGAAATGGACTTTTTAGGTCTTCTTCCCCTATGCTTATTCTGGTCTTGGATGCCGTGTGATCGACATTGTGTTACTACTCTTCAAGACTAGTGGTTTTGTGAAAGACATTGATATTCCCCGATTATCTATATCTCTTACATTGACGATAACTATAGGAATGCCCAAGTCTGAACAATAACGACATTCATATTATACCCCCCATGCACTCCGAACATCGGGCTCTAAAAAAAATGAGTTTAGGTTGAGAGAGAAAGAGACAGAGCATACTATGTTGTATACGGAGTAGCGCCCAGTTTGACCCGCTTAGATTGAGCGGAGAGGCTATGATATCCGCTAACAGAATGCACAGACTTTTTCAATTCATTTCTCCCGAATTCTCGTGGCTGCCACGTTACAGACCGCCCTGGGCCGCAATGCATAGTTGTCTCGGGAACTGTATAGAAGGGCCCTGGAAGCCCTGGAATGCCTAAAGAATATTCGACATTCGATTTTGATCCCTCGCATGCAAGGACCTTTTCTCTGCAGTTGCATCAATTCTAGGCGGGTCTTTGTTTCGCATTCACTCCACTATGGCGCAGATATGCTGAACACGTATGGAGTACGGAGTACGAGTATGTTTGTCAAACATCTTGACTCTACTAGTTTGGGTGTTATTGGTCCAAATTTGATATGTGGGCGCAGTCAGCTGGTGCAAGGTTCTAAACCCCTTGTCAAATGAGTGGGAACTAAAACCCCTATAAAGCGCCCACGGTAAGCTTATAAAATAGAATGGTGGATCCTTGTCAACTAGGCAAAGGGATCAAGAGGCGGTTTCGGCCTGCTACAATATATTTTGACTTGCAAGAAAGGTTTGGACCTAGGATGAGGCTGTTTATACTATTTGGATTACTATATGCATGGGTTTGTGATTAATAAAAATTATGTATCGAATCAGTTCATGACAATTACATATCTACGCTAGTGTTGATATATTGACTCATCTCATTTTCAAGTGCAGCTCTCCGCGAGACAGACACAAAACAAGAGAGACTTAGAATAATATATCCTTATAGTCATAAGTGATATAACCCCGGGAGTGGTCAAGAGATTAATGCCTTCAGCATTGAGCCCTAGAAAAGTACAAGCGTACACAAATATGTCTCCATACATTTCCAGTATGAACAAGAACAGCTTACCTGAGAAATACTTAACCCGAACATTCACTTCTACTTGTTAAAATGGAATCAATCTTACTATATCAAGAAACTGACTAAAATGGCGGTCTCTGCCATTTTATGCCTGGAAAAACTGTGCTTGAATTTTTTTCGCGCTTTTCTTGTTACTTATCATAATTTAAACTAACTATTTCTTTCTAAAATCATGAATATTAAGACCTCTGAGGATGTAGGCGTAGAGATGGTGGCTCGGTCACGGTCACGAGGTAGCTCCTTCCCTCTGGCTTCCTCAAATGTCAATGCCATTTCTTCTTAGACCCGGCCATTTCTATATCCTTTTCATCCCCTTTACCACTCCCAGTAATTCACCATGGAGAGCTCTGAAAACCCCCGGCCGCTACTGCAGCGCCCAGAGAGTTGTGGCATTGATGTTATAGACTTCTCCTTCAGCAAGCCCGCCTCACACAAGCCCTCGTACTCGCGAAACCTGACCAAGCAACCTACCATCCCCCATCCTGCAATTGATGATGCCCAATCTTCAAGAGAACCAATGAGAGAGGAAGCAGGTCGCAATTATCAACTGACCAGGCCAGACACGTATGTAGATGACCCAGGCTGACCTTGCAGATGAACACCGCCGATCACAGCGGACTAACGTGTTCTCCTGAGTTCAGTCCACTCAATCCTCGCAACGTTGGGAAGGAAGGAATCCCCAAGCCATCAATCCCCGCGAGACAACCTGTGTTTTCCCAGCCTCCAGGCCGGCCATCGACAGCAGCTGAACCTAACAAAGACAGCGGTAGTGGGTCTACGCCTGGAGATCCAGGGAAACAATGTCTCGGACAAGAAAGGGCGGTGCTTGTTCCTCGGCCGAACGAGCCCACCGGGGCTGATACCCCCCGAGAGACTATTGGCCCTGCAGGAAGGGCCGTTGACACGAACCAAGAGCGTGTTTCTGACATTGAGAAGACAGGTGAAGCAGATTCTGCCTTACCCGACTCGCCCCAGGTACAACAGCCTCGCAGAGAGAGACATGAGATACCAGAGTACCCACGCTCTCGTGTACCTCTCAAGCCTATAAACAATCAGCTTCAGGCCTCAAAGCGACTCCGTCCTCCCGAGAAGGAAGCATCTTCCAAGCAGCAGGCACCGCTCGTCGGTGGCAAGAATGGCGTTCAGCTCAGTGAGGATGATCTATTTGAGCTTCTCATCAAGAGAATGAAACAGCGAGAGGAAAGCGAGCAAGCTGCTGCAGCTATCCAACGGCAAGTCACGAATGAGAACATGGGCTTGAAGGAAGAGAATCTTAATATGCATGACCGGCTCAAGAAATGCCAAGGACAGCTCTCCAAAGCATCATCCGAGTCAAGGTCTCAGCGCGCCCAAATAGACAAATGGAAGGCGAAACTTGGCACATTCAAAGGTGTCCTCAACGAACTCGGTCGTGAATATGGCGTAGTTCGGGAGCAAGCCAAAGAATTGAAAGAAGCGACTATGTCTCTTGAGAGAGAAAAAAGCGAGATCCAACGCAGTTTGAACGAGATTCGGTTGAAAGTTTCGAATAATGCAGAAACCATTAAAGATCAACGCGAGAGACTTTCAATTTCTGAGGCAACGGTTGCAAGCTTGAGAGAAGCCTTGGACCATTCAGAGAAAAGAGGCGATTTGACAAAGTCTCAGCTATCCAACGAGAAAAAGCGAATCGCGACCCTAGAAGCCTACATCCAAAATGAGTCTCAGAGCCAGTCGCGATACTTGGCCCTTGTCAGAAATGACCAGCGCAAGATGGCCGAAAAACTTGACTCTGCCTGCGAGCTGTTCACCACATCCTGTTTCAAATCCCAGGATAATATCTTGGCAAAACTGAGTCCGACGCTTGAACATTGTCTCGCTTCTGTTCAGGGGTTCAAAGAACAGTGCGCTAGCGAGACTATGAATGTCCAAGACTTCACGAACAGCGTTCATGAGGCAACATCTCGGTAAGTTCTGTGGAATTGTAACAAGGAACAACGCAAATTGTAGACTCAATATGACTCTAGTTTCAATTCCTTGGCCGGACAGGTCGCAAGCGACGTCGACCGAAGTACGGAAATGAGCAAAAATATGTTCCAAGCCCTCCAAGAAGCTGTTCAAGCGATTGAAGGCAACTGTGGTCCGTATTCGTCAATTTTCAAACAGCTTGCTAGCAGTGAGAGTTGCTACGGAAATCTGCAACAACGGCTTCAGACTGTTGAGCCAGTCCTTGACAGTCTCGGGGCTTCTATCAAGGCCGTGGGAATAACAGAAACAGACCTTGTGCGTGGGTTAGAAACGTTCGGTCAGAAGCTTTCCGATGCTCGAATTCCAGCAGGAAATCCTGTGTTGGAAATGGAGGTTTCCAATAAGTTTGCCGAAAATACTCAATTGCAACTTCAACTGCAAGAAATATCGATTGAGGTTGAGTCCCTTCGAAAGCAGCTTGCTAACAAATCATCCGAGAATCAACATCTTCAGCATGCGTTGACCGAAAGTGTTACGAATGAACAAGCGTCCAAAAGTCAAAATTCCCGGCTGGAAATTGAGAAGACGGCCTTGCAGGGTGAGCTTCAATTGCTCGAACAAAGAATCCGAGAAGAGTTGGGCGCCGCAGGCATCAAATTGCAGGGTGAGATGAGAGCGAAATTCGAACAACAAGTTCAAGGCCTTGAGACAGAAAAGGCGAAGCTAGAAAGAGACTTCAAAACCCTCCAGACGGAGCTTGCAACTACCCAAAGCTCTTTGGTAAGTGCCATCGTGCATGATGAGAGAGTGGTTCACTAACAGCATGGAGACCGAAGCCGAAAAGGCAATCGAGAATGAGCGAATCGCAAAGGCCTCTATTGTAAGTGATGTGGAGCGGGGTCTTCTTGATGTCCTCTACTGATAAGCGCAGGTCCGAGAATCAGAGAAACGGATCACGGAAGTGAATGTTTCTTGCTCGAAATATATCACAGAGGCCAAAGCCAATGAGGTCGAAACAAGCTTATTGAAGGGCTCCGAATCGGGTCTCTTAGCGGAAAAGGAGAGGCTTCTTGGACAGCTTGAACAAGCGAAAGGAAAGACAATCGAGCTTGAAACGAGCCTGGAGCTGAAGACGGAGTCTGTGACGCTGAAAGATAAAGCAATACAGCAAGCAGAAAAGAGGGTTGAGATGCTTGAGGTGGAGACAGCCCAGAAGAATGAAGAACTTGCAGCGATCAAAGAAAACCTCGCCATACTCAAATCACGGTCGTCTGCTTTAGAGAAGGTCGGGGAGGAAGCTGATGCTGAAATAATTTCACTCCTCCGTCGGGCCCAGGAGGCTGAAAGTTGGCAAGCAACCATAAGACAAGGGATTGCGAAGGTGATCGAGGTGCATCCTGACGAGCCTTTCGAGCAAACATGGCAGACACTGGAAGACATTATTCAGTCCTCGCTTGCCCAGCCATCCATTATAGGCGATACATCTTGCACTAAGCTTCACCACACGGCGAATATGGAGGCAATTGAAGGCAGCAACCTTGCACTAGAGCCAACAGAGGGGGAACACCACAATCTGTTGGAGGTAAATGAATCAACCCAGGGGGCTCTCAAGGCTGCTGGCAACATGCAGAAGACAGATGGTCCGCTAGCATCCAATATTTGTAGCCCCCCGAAGGCTTCGAAACATGGTGATTGTGTCGACTCTTTGCCCAAATTCCCGGCTGGTCCCAATCATATTGTTCCGTTTTCAAGTCTGCATGATCGACTTTCACGCGAAAATAGTCTGTCACTTTTCAATGATCCAGCTGAGCTCGAAATGCTCTTTATGTCAACTCCAGATCTCCCGGGGGCGCTGGTGCCAAACGATGCCCCAAACAAAGCACAAGAACACCAAAAGGTTCCAGCTGAGCCTCTAAACATGGGTCGAGATCTCAATGAACCTAGCCCTGCTATCGGGATACAACCCCTCAGCGCTGATGACGGCAAAGCTGGAAAACCCCAGTCGGCTCTTGAAAAGATTGACAGTTCGCTTGTTGATAAATCCGCCAAGCAGGAACAGTCCAACACCAAACGTAAAGTAGTCAGCTTCGAGGGGACGCATGTTATCACCCAGACAGAGGTTGGCAAAGCTAGACGAATGTCAGACGCGACAGACAACAGTTCTGGAAGAGAGTCCGAAAGTAAGGAAGTAAAGAGAACGCAGCAACGGACTTACAGCCGCCTTCGCCAGTCTGTGGCACAGTCAGAAACTTCAATTGAAACGACTACAGAGATGCAGCCTGCCAACAAAGCTTTGGCGGGAAAGTCTGAACAGGGATCAATGAACAAGACTGACCACCCTCCAAATGCGAACCCAAGGCCACCGAAGAGACCACGAAACGTAGCCGATGGCCCGGAGCGACGACTGAGTCCGAAGGGTTTGGCTTCAGGCAGCAGCAGGGGAAACGCAGCCGGCCAAACTAGCACTATCCGAGGCCGGAGTAAGCGCCGTACTCGAGGTAAGATACCTGATGCTTTTCCAAGGTGGCCGGTCCCTAGCTAATCGTTAGAAGGAGACCGCTACAACCAGCGCTTCCGCCAAGATGCCGGCTGAGCAGTTCAACGTGAGGTGACCCCGAGAGAAATGCCATTGCTCTATTATTATTATACTCTGACGATGTTGAGCAAATTCCCCATATTCACTTTATCAATAACAAGGTGTGTGCGACAATTGATTTCGAAAAATCTGCTGTTATCATGGGCAGATGGACGAAAGGAGCCCCCAAGCAGGGCTCATGCGAAGGCGATGAAGTGGAATGTTGTGAGAAGTTTATTTTAGTTTTATTGAGGTACCCAAAGCTGTATTGCTCTTAACGCCAAACACAATGCTCCAACAAAAGGAGGTTCACCGTAGAAGATCCGGGAGACCAGGGAAATGACAATTTCCCGATTGGCTCCAAGTAAAATAATGTACACACAGGGGTCGTTTCCCTGACACCCTTATCGCATTCTCCTAGATCCGCACAAATTCCGAGGTATCGTTTGGCGTATCGGGATATCGATTGTAAAGAAACGAAAAGGGCGAAGTTCGATGGGACGAGGAAAAGAGCTCGAAATCAAAGTCATTATGACGGTTGATAGGCGGATATCTCAAGGCACACAACAATCGAATTGTAGAAACCGAACAGAACTCAGATCCAAAATCGAATAGCTTATTTGTTCTTTCCACCCTTGGTCGCTTCAAGGAAAAGCACCTGCTTCTTAACGACAGGATCGTACTTCATCATGCTGAGAGGACGGTGCACACGGGGCCGGATCATCGTGCGGTAGTAACCCGTCATGGCCATGGAGATCAGCCGAACGGCAATGGTACGGGACTTCGCTGTATCGGGGAAAAGACGAGGTTAGCCATCAGCCGCAAAAGAATCCGGGGGTTCTCTCGGTTCTCGCTGTCATCGCTCGTTTCACATCCTCAATTGTGGCATGAAAGGGCGCGTGAATCATATAAATCAACTCTTGGGTTTATCGTTACACGTACCTTTCTTGGCCATCTTGGGCGGCGTCTCGGGTTGCTTGGTCGAGTTGTCGCTCCAAAACAATTTCGAGGTCGGAGTTGATTGTTTCCCGGAGGTCACGTGTAAAGCCGTGCTTAGTCAGTGCCTTTTTGGGCACGACCAGCGTACACATTTCGTTAGCTGATTTAGGTGCTTTCGAGGTTTTGGAGGTTGTTAATTATTTTCAAGTTGTTAGGCATAAATGAGTCTATCAACTATCATATGATTCGAGTTTTAACCTCCCATCTTCTGCCGTTATGTAGATATCTTCATCGTGGACCTATGGATGGGCCAGACCTTACCATACCCTGCCAGTTCGTCCTAGATAGTCAATTGGTCTCAGTCAGTATACAGTCTGTACGGTTACGAAGTTCTCCATAGTCTATCGGCCCATCTCTTCATGATGATCATCCTCGTGGAACTCGCCGACCTAGGTACAAGCTTTACCCGCTGCCAAGGCAGCATATTGATCATTAGGTGCCTGTCAAGTTGTGGATTCCCCTTAAATATGCGAACTGGATACATATGCAGGTTTGGGGGTGATCTATTTCATTCCAAGCATTTACTAAATAGGTAGTTCGTCTAAACCATTTTCTAAATCCGGAGTAGTACCTTGATAACTAACTATTATATCTGCAACTAAGAAGGTTTTAGTTAGCTTTGCATGATTGTCGTTTACATCAGAGCATCGCCGATGTGACGCTATGCAAGGACAACCCGGGCTGAAACTCTTTCCCCCGCAGGTATCCTGGTCATTCAGGGACAATTTCCTTCCTGGGATACCAATTCGGTCGTTCTGGTGGTCTGATAGTATAGCTATTGTAGCCGAATAACGCATTTTGGATCTTCTGGTTAGTATGTCTCACCATTTGGAGGACTGAAGGATCACCTAAAGGATCTACTGCATAACCGATGCTGGCAAGGTAATATCAACTAGGACGTGGAAAAAAGCATTTGGTGGAAAACTAGCACCGGTATTTCCGGAGGTAGTATTTACTAGTCCACTAATTGTTGGATCCTTCAGGAATAGGACGAGTTTATAAAGGACCACTTGCCCGACCTCGAAAAGCAAGAATCTTCTTTTCCACAGCCCTCAAAGCTTCTACCAACCATCATGATGACCTACAGCCGCTCAATCCCCTTTGCGCTACTTGCCTTGTTTGGCAGCTCCGGCCTCGCCCAAACCGTCAAAGGACCAGAGTTCAACAAGCCAGACGGTGGCCCCCCAGCAAGCTACTTTGCTGCTGGCTCCTCCATCCCCGTCGCTGCTTTGCAGAGCGCTGCTGCGAAGGCTAGCACTGCTGTGCCGGATGCAACCTACCCCATAAATGGCGATAAGGGAGCCAAGAAGGTCACTATCCACAGCGACTGGACCAAGTTCAGCGAGGTAGATACTCCTACCAGCCAGTTAATTACAAGGTTCGTATGCTGATTCAATCAATGATAGGCTGCGGCTTATGTTTGGGTCGCCGACATGGATGTCGACTGTGACGGTCTTGACTACAAATGCAAGGTATGGTGATTATTATTGTTTTGTCTGAGAAGTTATTGCTGACCCAATGGTGCAGGGAAACCCCGACGGCGAGCCCCAGACCAACTTCGGTGTTCTATCTGCCTACGAAGTACCATTCTTTGTCATTCCCGACAGATTCGGAACCAAGTACGCCAAGGAGCTTCCTGGCAACAACGTCGGTGCTGTCATCTGGTGTGTCTTGCCCCCCTTTAGTTGATATTCCGGCTAGTCTCCTGTGCTAACTAGAAACCAGTGATGGCAAGATGTTCTACGGCATCTACGGAGACTCCGATGGCGATCACCCCCAGGTTATCGGCGAGGCCTCGTGGTTGATGGCTCGTACCTGCTTCCCTCACGATGACTTGAACGGAGGCCGCGGCCACGATGATCCCGATGTGACATGTAAGTCTGGAGCATCCATGTCTTCATGTCGACAGCTGCTAATCTAATAAGACATCCTTTTCACTGGCGACGACGCTGTGCTCCCCAAGAGTGCTCTCGACAAGAACTATCTCACCAGCTTTACCACCCTGCGCTCTATGGGTGACAAGCTCATGACCGCTCTTGCGAAGAACCTCAAGCTGTCTGGTGGAAGTGACGGCGGTGTCAGTGGCTCCGGCTCTACCGAGAAGTCTTGTGAGTGGGAAGGACACTGTGAAGGTAAGAATCCTTCTACTCATACTTTTTCTCCGTGGTTACTCAGTAATTTTCTAGGTGCTCCTTGCAAGAACGGCGGTCAGTGCTCTGGCCAGCTAGTCTGCAAGAGTGGAAAGTGTGCCCCTGTCTGAGTGATTGAATCCCGATATATATTTGAAATTGTAGTCAACGAGAGCGGTAGTATAGATGGCGGATATATATATGTAGCTATATGTACCGAATTTAAGACCGCAGATGATATTTTCCCTATGGCATAGGTGACAGATGTGTATTTCTATATTGTAGTCCCTGGTCTCGTCTCCTACAAATATCAACTCCAACAAAGTTATTTGTATTCTAATATACACAGGCTTCAAGTTTAGGTACCCCTTACTCGCGCGCTTAAGTCGAAAGCATGTTCCTGATAGTTGTTTCGAACTGCTCAGGTTCGCGGCCAAGTATCTGAGCCAGATTTGGGGTGACTGCTGCACATTCACCATCGCGGATCCCATCAAAAGCAGTCGCCCAGAGAGGCGCCCAGTCGCCACCACCATATGTGAGACCAGTTTGGACCTGTGGCTGTTTGGCATACTCGTCCACAGGTACCTGGTAGACCTTGATTGGCTTGTTGAGCACGCGGCTGAATACACCCGCTGTTTCATTGAGAGATAAAGCACGAGGGCCCGAGAGCAGGACGGTTTTGTTCAAATAGGGAAAAGCAGCGGGATCTTCGGCGTGTTGTGCAACAAGTTTTGCGGTTGCTTCTCCCAACTCGTCTTGCTTGGCCCAAGCAAGGCCAGGACCCGAGCCATCGTGGGGGATACGTATTTCGTCAGAAGGAGCTTTGAGATCAAAGAAGGCGGTATAAAGCGGGAAGGACTCGGAATACAACCCTTGGCGAACGACAGTGTACGTGAACTGTGGGTTCTGGTCGTGTAGCTGGGCTAGATATTTCTCCGTCGCAAGGTGGGCAAGCATGACTTGGGCCTTAGTCTCGAGATCTCCATCACCGGCAAACGCAAGAGACGAGTAAAATATATGTTTCACGCCACTCTTTCGAGCCGCATCAATCGCGGCTTTGTGTACCTATAGAACCAGGTTAGCTCTTAGGCGGTACAAGGTAGTATCAGGGGTGATAAAGCCAACCTCGAAACGATGCTCATTTTGAATACTAGCATAGGAAATCAAGTTCAGAGACGAAATTCCATCAAACGATTGGTCTAGTGTCTGGGTATTGTCGTAATCGGCCTTTCGGACAATAGCTCCAGTGGCTTTCTCTTTTGCGAGTCTCTCTGGGTTGCGAGCGATGAGCACCACTTCATTGGGTGGGACTTGCTCAAGAAGGTGTCTAAGGGTACTGCCTCCAAGGCCACCAGAGGCTGGGAATATGCCGAGCTTGTTTGCCATAGTTGACAAACTGTTCGAAAAACTGTTCGTAAATAAGAAGAAGCCGAATGGATATTATTGTACTGTTCTTATAGCCAGCTAATTTGTAATCAGGTTGTAATGGAAGTCTCCGACTCGGGTGAATTTTATTCTGTGAGTTGCATCATACTTGAATGGCATCCATTTCTTTTCGGTGGAACTCAACAGCTGATTAGGGAAATACGACATTTTAAGGTTCTATATGAATAATCATTCAAGACTACAATTCGACACCAGCGATGCACAGAAACCAGCCGAGATGGAGGATGTGGAATCAGTGAAGCAGGTCCATGGATCCGACGTTTAGTCTTGGGTATCTCCCTGTGACTCGAATCTTCTCTTCGATTGTGGTTTCATCTTCTCCACAGTCATTACAAAGCAGACGTTGATACCAAATGGTAAAATCCAGTTGAGGCTCCAGCTGAGCTCCACCGGACCTCCTGAGGATCTGTCTGATATTCCACCGGACCTCCGGGTCACATTCGTGCTCCGGTATGACCATATGTTGTACAGGACAGCATTAAATAGCTCGATGGACAGCAAAATTCTACGCAGTCAAATTCAAGTTCTAAAAACGTCATCCTGTTACAATTCAACATCCTCTTGCCGAAGAAAATCAACTCTACAATATGGGATCCGCGACAACCAACGGCTCAACTGAGAACGGGGCTACCGCCAATAATCAGCGACCTGCCGCCGAGGCCGTTGCATACCAAGGCGAACGTCTACCCAACGTTCCAGATGACTTAGTGGTACCCGGAATCTTAAATCTGGACTTTGAGGAAAAGCTTTGGGTGCCCCAGGCCCCGGACGTCTGGTTCCGACCTATTCTTTTCAATGTCTCGCAGGGTTACTTTGTGAACTTGCTCCGTGTGCGTCGATCAGGCATTCTGTCGCGCCACCGTCATTCTGGTCCAGTCCACGCAACGGTTTTGAAGGGTAAATGGCATTACCTCGAACACGATTGGTGGGCCACGGAGGGAAGCCACGCTTTTGAGCCTCCCGGTGACATTCACACTCTCGAGGTGCCAGACGGTGTCGAGGAGATGGTTACACTATTCCACGTGACGGGTGCGTATATATATGTCGATCCCCAGGGCAACCCTGTTGGCGTGGAAGATGTGTTCTCCAAATTGGCTAGCGCAAAGGCACATTATGAAAAGGTTGGACTTGGTTCAGATTACGTCGATCAGTTTATTCGTTGAACGATTCCCGTTATTTATCTCGTGTGACATCATCACAAATGAAGCTGTTATCGAGTTTGCCAACCCGTCTTGCGAATCCGGTCTTTGTCGTAGTTTAATTCTTATCAGAAAAATGTGAGCACAGGGCATGAGTGCAGGGAGTCGTGTCAGGGTGTATTGGTCCAATTCCACACCCAGCTCTGGCCGGGAAGTGACAAGTTCAGATCGTTTAACCTCTCGGGAAAAGGGTCGAGTGACGGGATTTGCGAGTTGAAAGGCACCTCATCATTGGAACGCTGTAAATTTTCAGCTGGGGGTCTTCGGTCTGCCCAGATTTCATCATCCGTCGGCCTATAGTTGCCTACATGTGTCATAGGATCCGAACACTCCCAAAGAACTGAGATCATAAACAGTTAGTTAAGTCAACTCTTGGTATTTGCAATTCCTGAAGTTTGTTCAGCCAAAGCGGTAAATGGAAGATATAACATACCCTGTTGTACCGAGTCAAGTGCTTGATCAACACCAGCATGCAACAGAGAAGCCGGGTAGGCACCAAAGCCCTGATCTGTTGCTGTCTCGATTTCAGAGGCAACTTGGAGTCTACCTCCAGCGTCCGGATGTTGCGGAGGATAACCTGTATTGTCCTGACCGCGAGACACCTGCGCCGAGTTAAATCTCTCATTTTCCAGGTGGCCCACTCCATCAGAGACGTGACCCTCTTGCGCGATATTGGCTGCCAAGTCCCTTTCGGGGTTAAGGCTGTACACAGCGGTCATATCAAACGGCGGGCCGTCTAGAAATGCTCGCATTTCTCGCTGAAAGATAAGATGGAGAAGTCCTTCGAGAACGTTTACTGTCTGTGATGGAACGATAGATGACTCGGCGAGGTTTTTCTGTAGCAAGATAGAATTTGCAACCCCTTTCTTCGCATCTTGCGATTGTACAGAACCTGGATCTGACAATGCTACCATACCAAGAGTCACCCCAGCAGTGAAATTCTGCATTGCAATGTATGCTACTGCGTGAGTATCTTTGGCGGCAAGGAGAACTGGTGCATATCGTGGCAAGATGCCGCACGTGCGGCGAGCACAATGTTTGCATTGATCAAAACTAGTCGGTTGACTTTCTGGGCTGCGAGGGTTGGGGCCCATGATCAACTGACCAGTGTATCGCAGGAAAGGACGATGCAGGATGATTTGAACATTATCATACGCCAACTGGAGGACTAAAGCCTGTAACTCGAAAAGTCGGTACACCTCAAGCTCGGTACTCGACAGGTTGCTCGTGTGCACTTCAGAATTGTTCTTCAGCCTTAGCTCCGCTGGGAGCCTTTCAAACCATTCTATCAGCTTGGTGTTGATAACTGCAGCTTGGTCTCTCACATCTCCTAATTTTGGGGAGTCAAGGTTATATATGCTGCCAATTATCGAAGAGGCAATAGTGTACAGCTCAAATTTGTAGCGCTGATATGTGCCCAATGTCACGCGTGCTGGGTGGGTTGTTGCCGAGTACTCCAATGAGTTCAATAACGGATGAACGGCCTGTGCATCCTCCATATCTCGTGGCATGCTAACTGAGCAATGAGCGTCAACTATAGATGAAGGTCGTCCATAGGTTATTGATGCGAATCTGTTAGATCGTAAGCATTGTTTTCAATTAGAGAATACCCTGTCACCGGGCGAAGGAAGTAGAGACCTATCGAGCACATATAACGCCCACCAAGTTCGCCTGCGGACTTCAAGAACACCCTCCGGTGCAGGGGCCCAGAGTGACTCTTTGTGTAAGCCTTGTGTCTGCGCGATGCCAATTCCTGCACCAATAACAGGCAACGCCAGATTGGGTTTGCCATTATAAAGGTCAAATGTGCTCAACAAGATGCAACATTGAACACACTCTAACCCTCCTGCGTCCAGAATCTCAAAGAAGTGTGCTCGAACCTGGGTCAACATGTTACTTTGCAATAGGGATCGCTCTTGCTCAGTGAGGCCAATCTGTGATCCTTGTTCTTCCGAAGTATACCTTGCACCTAGGGCAAGTACCATCAAAAGCAGCACTGCCACACCATTTTGTCGAGGTGTGACTATTTGTTTGCCGATGATATCTTCATACTGCTTTTCCAGAGACGATCGATCAAAAACCATCATAAACCAGTGCACTGATTTCCAATATGATTGCAGCAGGAAATCACATATTTGTCGGGAAGGAAGAACCAATCCGTTGAAGTGGGAAATAAGTGGAGCACTTCTCTCATTTACTTGGTCATCAGAACCTCGAGTTGGGCGAGCTCCACCTCCAGGGAGAGCGGAGGTATTGTTGGTTTCTGTCGGTGATACCATAGATGCCGTGTTATGCATTCGAAAAAGCTGTTCATCAGCTCAACTTCACGTTCGTAAGAAGCCCCTCGTAGGATGTTGTAGATTACCTTATCTGTCAGCTCGACTGCTGATACTTGCGCATATCTATGCGTCCAGGGAAGAGATTCAGGGTCGCCATCTCGGTAACTGCTCGGGCTGTGAGAAGTCCGGGGTCTATTGACAGGTCCCTCGGGTCTCTCAGAAAGCAGAGGACTTGTTGATGGGGCAGGTAGATGGGAGCGCGGTTGATTGGCACTGCGGCGCTTTTCGGCCCTTACTTTCTGTGTTTGTTTTGACTTCCTAAGGCAGATAGATAGGCAAATTAGAATCTCAGCCCCTGCAACGTCTCACAACAGGACAATCCCTACCGTAATGGTGTTGATGTTGTCAAGCAATTAAAGCCAGATCGCACACACGGTGAGCATGGCTTAGTAATATCACACTGAGTATAAACTTGTTAGAAGGTGAATGGCTGCGACGTTTGAGAATTCTATTACTTTCAACTTCTGTCTACGGCATCGATCGCACGCATGACGGCGGGTCCCCAGTTGCTTGGGGTGTGCCTGCGTGGCACCTGGGGACGCTGATTCCTGCATCTTGCAGAAATATCCCCAGTTCTGGATTGAATGCGTGCCGCTCTAGGGAATTGTTTGCTTGGTTTCAATGAAGGGAGCGCCCTTGGGTCCACCGCATGTCCGAGTCCACTGGTGGTGGCGTCTGTATTAGTAATATGTCCGTTTCATTGGACTCATATCGAGTTACGATACCCTACACAGGCACAAGAAAGAGGTAAAAAAAAGAATACCTCTTCGAAAGACCGATCGTCTGTCATATGGACACTTTGAGGCCCTTTTCGAAGTGGCTAGTTAAAGTGACTGGACATAAGTTGGTACACAACCTTCCAAGGAAGGTTGGGAACACCCCTATGATTATATAATATTCTGCCGGCCACAAAAAGCATATATTATAATTATCTTCACAAATAATAACATATAATGAAAGCATTCGTTTTAAGAGGTTTACCAATGAAGACTACACCATCTTCTTCACGAAAAATCAGCTTTGCGTGCTATTTATGGTGATTCTATTCATAGATACTACACATTTTAGGTAGGCGGTATGACAATATATTGGCGGTGAAGTGGGTGGGGCTATAAGGGGGTCTTGTACATCTGTTAGTATCACCGATACCTGAGATACTTGGGATATTAACTTACTTGATTTGAGGGATGACCCAGATCTGAGGATTAACTTGATTTCCGCAGGAGACCTCACCAGAAAAAAGGAACTTGGAAGAGGCTGAGATGGATCACCAATTGTGCAAATCCATCCATCTCTACAAGTGGGATGACTAACGGACCGGATGGAGCAGATGGAAGTCAAGATAGACAAATTTTCTTCCGTGTACTGAATATACCAGTTGAGTGAGTTTGACTGCAAAAGGTCACCAGTCCTTCTATACGCCCTGTGGCTAATAACATATGTCAGCATACTCAGGATTCTAGGGTCCCCAAGGATATATCCGGTGGGTATGCTCCACTGGATGTCCACCGGAGTGTATCCGGAAATCCTCACCTCCGGAATACGGGACTCGGAGGATTAACGAGTTTCTCCCCCTCCAAACGTGAAATAACAAAGTATAATTACTTTCAATATTGCTGTAAATGCGAGCTTCCCATGCATTTCAACTTAACCAAGCTTTACCAGCAACCAAAGCGCCCGGCATCCATTGAGAACGACAGGCCCCGTGCCCTCACATGTTACCGCTATGCGGTTTCGGGGTCGGACGGCGCGATGGGATTCGACAAAGCAATTAAGACCAAGTTCGTTGCGGAAGGTGCCGGGTTCTACTTCTGGATATTATGGAGCCCAGCCCAGAAGAGGCGCAAGGTGACTCCGCGAAAAACATAACATATCTTCGCGGAGATATGAGCTCTTCGGGCGATTATATTTTCTCTATCGGGGTACTATTTCCATCAGGAATCTATCTAGCTAGATTTCCGCAGAGGCCTATGCCCCGATAATCCTTGATGCATCATTGCCCATGAGTGCCATGAATGTCCAGTTGAAATGAACTTTCCATTCATCAGATTCTAATCGAAAAGGGACAATTCCGCACTTGATGCGTTGTCATGTTCAGTCCCATATGATCAAGACAACGTATTTCTCAACAAAGCACATGCAGGAGCTTCCTGTAGATCTCGGTCCTTCTCATTCGTCGCCCATCCAGAAGCACACCGAAAAGGCCCCGTGTCCAATCCCGTTCCCGAACTTCGACTTGATCATGAAAGACTGCAGCCTATCGACGCCAGGTATACCCACGGGCGACTGGTGTGGTGTGGCTAATATCCTTGTTTTCCCACCTATGTATTGTGCCCCATCCTTTGTTTCCCCATTTGCCGCACGAACATATCAGTGTGTACTGAAAATCACATTCCCCGACATTCGGCACAAGTCACTTAAGCTGAATATACTAATCAAACCCTATTATGGTGGCTGTTAATTATACTGCCATGTCATTTGCCATGTCATTTGTAGCTCAATGAACTCATATTCCAATCGTGACGAACTCTAATTACTGGATGAAAATCCTACAATTTCAAAGAGACCATTGCCATTCTATTTGACTAGGTTAAGGTAGCTCAGGAGGGCAAACCGAAAAAGAAGAGATATAGAAAATGTCCTAGTCTGAAGGAAGATCTATGAATATGAAGCTATGAGGTGTGTGTAGATTGATATAGTTTTACGATGCTATAGAAACTAACCAAAGGAAAGAAGAAAAAATGAGTGCAAATATAGAGACAAATGCGAGAAATTATGATCGACACATGCTAATTCATCAGAGCACTTCACTAAACCAACTACCCGGGACGGGAATATACTTGAATTTCAATGAATTTAATTTAATTTCATACAATAATCAGTATATCTAAGGAAAGAGGTCTGTCACCTCAGATCATCTGATATCCAATAGATGCTCATTCCCTATAAGTGATTATGCCTAGCTAACATTTGAAGTATTCAAATCTCTGACATCTATTAGGCAAAAACTATTAGCAAGAGAATCCTCTAAGCAAAGGGGGTTCTACCCACAATACCTACTGCTACCGCGCAGAAACCATCGTCTTACTACGGAAAGTCCTTTCAGGTTTTGAGTAGGTGTGATTGGAATCATACCATAGTACTCTGGGGGAAGTGGGTCGCCCCCTAATTGCTTGCCTAGAGCAAAGTACATAAAAGTCTCAGGAAGAAAATTGACCTGACGAAACGCGGTAACCCAGAGCTGGCCGTCTGTATCAACTAGAAAATGTGCTTTTTTAAGATCTGTATAACAGCATACCATTCTCTCGTGGCTGAAATCAATATAGTCTAGCTCTCGGTTAGGCATTTTAAAGACTTTTAAAACCTAAAAGGTAGATTTAATCATATTAGTCCTAAAACTATTTAGTCTTAAAGCTTAGGGATACAAACACGATTAAGATGACCCTCTAGGTCCTGGATAGAAGGGTAGTTCACGTCCGATATCTGATCATCCCAAAAGATTCTCATATGGATACGCCCCCCGCCGACGGGACCCGGTGCTATATCAAGGGGTACCTCGATAGAAACAAGATTAGAAATAGCTCTTGCTCTCTGTATATCGGATGCAATATGGTGGGTTTGAATGAATTCCATAATCAGATATAGTTTATCTGCACCGAATACGGCATAAATTTCAGGAATACGGATAGCCGCGCTTGCCCTAATCCGATCAAACAAAAATTGTTGGTTTTTCCATTCGCAACGAGGGACCTCATATTTGATGAAAAACATTTCGCCATTGTGGACATGGATGAAATGGTTGTCCCTCCAACCTCGTTTAGTGCAAAGCATCTTAACTTCCTCTTTGCTAGGCAGGTCTGGGGCATTTGGGGAAACAAAATCGACAATGTCACTCATATCGGCGATCGAGAATGAGATATTGATTTCAGATGTATGGAGACGTGAGTGGAGGGAAAGGGAAATTGTGGTGTCAATGTAGGTAACTACGTATGACAGGTCCCCGGCTTATCAGATCAAGCGGGCATGACCTGTGATCTGTTTGACTAGTTTGCATGCGCTGAAGAAAGAGCCTTGGCAGGCGTAGATGTGATATACAGGCACACTTTATTAGCCTAACTCTAAAACAACTCATCAAGCTTGCCGGTTCTTGAACGCCAGCGTTTTCCCCAACCAAGACCCTTGTGCTCGTCCAGTACTCTATGGCGCGTCTTGCCACTGTGGCACATCTGCAATAGGTATTTCCAGTCTTTTCCCCAGGCCGAGTACTTCAACTTCCCTAGGTTTCTACCGCCGGATGACGGAATGCAGAAGAGAACAACCGTTTGGGTCGGATAGTATTTTCACTATGTCTTCACTCGCGGGATCCCGGATCCTGTTGTTCAGACGTGATACGATGAAATGATGGTCTCAACATGATGCGACGTAAAGTGCCTTGGACTGAGTATCTCGATGGTAGGGCGTGCATCAAGAGCCTGGTATAAAAGCGAGAGAATGTTTGTTAATACGACAAGAAGGAGATTACATGGTTCAACATGTGTAAGGTTTAGTGAATTGGGGTTGGTGATGCCTTTGATGAGGAGTTGGCCAAGGTGAAGTTGAGGTAGTGAAGTTGAGGTGCATAAGCATAGAGTCTCAAGTCAATCGCAATTTTCCGCATCAATTGCTGAATATGAGTCAAGTGGCAACAATGGATTGGGTACACTGTGTCAGAAGCCCAATAAGGTGGCCAAGTCCGCCCATGGTGCTTTGGCCGTTCTATGTATAGACGAGGTACGGAGTACGGTGTAAGGGGGAAAATGTTGAGGATACAGTTGCCATCCAATCATGTGACGGTTGGAGAAGGCGTGGCTGTTTGTTGGGTTTGTTCCCGGTCACCTGAGGGATCACCTGAAAATTTCGAAATGGCGAAAATGGCTAAAATGCGGGGAAGACCCGGGCCGGGTAGCCAATTGGATATTAAATACCTCACGGCTGGATGTGGCAATGACTTCATTTGCAAATTTTTGCAAATTGTGCAAATTCTTTTTAAATCGATCGACCAATGAAAGGAATGGAAACGTAACTGTTTCCCCGAAGTCAGTTGATCCATTTGCGTGATATTACATAAAAATTCGGTTTGCGTCGGGGATATGCTAACTCGATTCGGCCATTCCTTACGTTGGATGATCGCAGATGAGTCTAGAATGCCACGATCTTACATGATTTTACGTGATTTCACAAGGATCGCCAAGTAATTGCCCAGAAAGTCGACATCACATTGGCAACGTAGTTGGAGTTGTTCCAAATGGCGTTATAGCGATCTACCCGTGGTCATCCCCCGCAAATTCTTTATAAGGAGACATATTTCCCCGGACTTGGGATTCTGCCAGTACAATTCAATTCCAAGATATCCTTTTCTACGTCATTACCTCCGGGTACCTTATTCCGCTCAACTCCCGCCTCCATTACCAATACAATTTTATGTGAGTAATATATAACTAGGAGTCTCCCTATATCCTGACAGTAACTGATACAAACCCTCTTAGTCAATGACCCAGGGTCCATACTCTTTCACCATGACTATCCAACTCGAGCGCTCCTCACACGGCTGGAAATGTGAACAATGCGGACTCCCCGGAGTGCGTCTATCCACAAGCTCAGGCTCCAATGATGCCGGCAGTCGGGCATACTACAAATGCGTCCCATGCAATCGCTCCTTGGGCCCTTGCCCTTGCACCACACCAGGAGCCAGAACGACCTCAACGTGTCCGTGCAGTGATATCGAGGCCGAATCGTCAGGAGACGAGCAAGTGCCTCGTCGTCTTTCCAACGCGGATTTCGTGTCCGAGGAGGATTGGGAGGCAAATTGCAGCCCCGGCTTCATGGTCTCAAGATTCAAGGCTCAAGGCAAGGAATTGCTTCTCTGGCCTTGAGAATTATGCATTTGGGGTTTTCTTTTTGGGAATAGCGAGCATTGTTTAATTCATCAAGTGTTTATACTCGATCGTTGCCTGTCAAGGCGACGCTAAGATCCTCGAGTAAAAAGTTCATATATATCATTAATAATACGAGTCATTGGCCATGAGCCCAGAACAAAGAACCTTTGGGCACCTACCTATCAGCAAAGATCCACGAGTATGCGTCGGCACAGATTAATAGAAGTTGGTGTATTTATCTACTGCGACTTCGATGCTGGTAAATGTACATATGTTGTACAGTAAACTCCCGTTATAACGAACGTGGATATAACGAATACCTCGGTTTAACGAATAAAACCGGTGCTTCATTTGATTCATCATAGTAATAAAGAATTTATTTTCGTTACTCCATCATCATCTCTCCCATACAAAATTCGTTGGGATTCTGTTACGTCACTTTCTATCAGTATGAACCAATTAAATGCCTCGCTGGTCAATCACGAACCAATTCTAGCTAATCAAAATTTGATCGATCCTAACCTGCCAGAAAGTGGCTCTACGAGTGTAGTTAATTAGCGTGCTTAATAGACATGAAAGATTAGTAGAAGTGAGGGAATCGAGGGTATAGAAGCAGAATGATATTAGGGACCTTTTTAGGGTTGTTTTCCGTATGCGGCTTGTTTATAACATTCTGAACGGAGTACCTGACCTGCCTACGTGAACACAGGTCTCGGTGGTTGCGCAAACATCAAGCTAACGAGTACCTATAGAGGCATGTAGTTGTTGTAGCCTGCATCTTGCTTCAGCTATGAAAAAATCATGTATTCTATTGATTATAAAGCCGCTGCCTCGTCCCCTTGATTTACAGATACCGCTGGGACTATAGACGCATCAGCACATTCGACTTGAATAACCTGATGCTCAATCCCCGTGTCGGAAGCTGCAATCACAGCCGCACTTAATTGATGGCCGTATAGACAGGCTGAATCCAGCCCAATCGCATACCTACCTAGCTGCAAGCGACGCCTTGCATCATGTCCGAAGATCACCGTAGTCTTGGATGCTAGGCTATCTTGCCACCGGTCCCATTCCATAACCCAGCTTTCTTCTCCGGAACCCTCAGCCGGTACGAATCCAGCCTTATCGCCTGATGCACGCACGACGCTCCGTATATGCATTACAGCATGAGGATCCTGGTCTTCAAGTGAGATACCAGGAACAAGGCCTGCATGTACAACAATTAGAGTGTCACCCAAGGATGATGTTGGGACATGAGGTAGCTTGACGCGCAAGATCAAAGGCAAAGCGGCAAGCCAGTCGAGTTGGTGCGTCGAAAGTACCGATGCCGTACTATGCGATCCCGTAGCGCCGGTAGTTGCAGTAGATGCTGATTTGTCGGGAGTGTCGAAATCTCGGAGATTATCCCCGGGTAGGTCGGCTGCAGGGTCCTCAGGTACAGCCGGACTGCCAGTCAAGTGTTCAGAATTTAGTAAATTATCCCTTGTGGCGTTGATCTCCGCAGCCGCATTGAGAACTGCATTTTCGTGGTTGCCTCTGACAGCGCTAGCGCCTAGCTTAATTGCTAGATCAATAACACCAGAACTATCGGGTCCTTTATTGACTAGGTCGCCGACTAGTATGAGATGATCTCCTTTGCTTTTGTCAAAGCTGACTTTGTCTAGGAGTGTTTCAAGGGATTTTCTCATCCCGTGTACATCGCCTACAATGACTAAGCGTCCAATGACGGGGTCATTTTCGGAAGATGGTGAAAGAGACTGCGGAATAAGGTCGGCCGGCAGGTCTGAGATGAAGGTTGTGATTGGAAATATTTTATCGGAAGATTTCGTAGGAGGCATTGTTTTTTATTTTTCAGATTTGAAGCATATGGTTATCTGGAGGGAAAGGGAAGACAGACAATGAGATCAGGGCTGTGCGAGTGCTAAGCAGAGTAACCCGATTGAGACTAGTGTAGTTTCGGGTACGGGCCGTCGCATCCTTATCGTCGGGGATATGATGCCATACATATAGACTTATATCTCACGAAACAGGTGGGATTGGATCTATAGAAAACAATGGCGGGCTTTATATCACGACTAGAGAGTGACTTCCCACAGGGCACAATACTACCTCCCAGCCGCAGAGATCTTTTGGGGTCTTTTTACCCTCGGAACAGCCTTTATGCAAATCTACGAGCAGTTGGTAGTAATGCGATTTTTCGTCAGATTGAGCGCTACCTCGTGTTATGTAGGCTTGGTTCACATAGTAAACTCGTTCGTTTTGAAACCTGACTACCGGAAATTCAAGAAGAGGTTACCAAGTTGGGAACAATTGTATGCGACAGAGTAATGAAACAGAATAAGTATTGAATTCCGAAGGTGTGTTGGGCGCTTGGCACGGCTACTACAGAATATACACTATGAATCAGGTTCTGAGGTGGTGCTTGCGCCATATAAAACTAAATTAACACCACAAGAAGTATTTCAAAGCAGATATAAAGTATTCATGTCCCGATATCCGTAGGAAGAGATTCAACCTGTCGGATGATTTTGCAAGAGTAAATGACGCGATCTCGCTGTAGACAACGTTATTCTAACGTTATTCGGAGTTCTTCCGTACTAGAGGGGCCCAAGGGCAATGTTTATCTCACTTGGTGAGAACTTTAGGGTACGTGATGCGATGGGGATTGGTATTCGTGCTTTGTTGGAGAGATGACAGCAGCTTAGTGTCGAGCGGGGTTGTTCTGAATAGGGGAGATAAATAATATCAACAAGTAGCAACATCTGGACTTAAACAATTGTCAGATTTGATCTGATCGCATATATCCAAATTAAAATCAAGTTCAGCTTGAAAGACAACCTTGCACAATGTCAGCTGAAACGTCACCACCCAAGTGGTGGATATATCTCAATGGCTTCGACATGTTCACGGTTGGCCAGCTTTCCTTCGGCCAATGGAAAAACCATTCCGATCGGTCAGCGACTAAGCGATGAGATCTGTCCTACTGGACAGACCTGGCCCAATTGCTCGAGAAAGGCGATTTTAATGCCTTGTTCCTTGCCGACACATATGGTCTATACGACACGTACAAGGTACGGCAGAACCAGCTATTCGGAATGGAGCTCAGTATCCTATGGGAGATCCTTCAATAGTAAGTTAGCTACCTGTTTCATTGATTCGGTTGGGTTGCTGATGATATTTATCAGCCAATTTCTGCAATGGCCTCGGTCACCAAAGATCTAGGTTTTACGATCACCACCTCTACTTCATATGAAGCTCCATACGTTGTGGCAAAGAGGTTCTCAGCTTTGGACCATTTAACTGGTGGCCGGTTCGGTTGGAATATTGTGACCTCGTGGAAGGAGTCTGCTGCAAAAGCTGTGAGTATTCCCGGTAAAGGACCTTTTACCCAAACTTACATCCATGGGTTGGATTGCCCCTGGTGGATCACGACAAGCGGTATGAGATTGCCGACGAGTACCTGACCTCATTGTATAAGTAAACAAAAATGAACCGTCAACAGACATGCAAAGTACTTACCTGCAATAGGCTGTGGGAGGGCAGCTGGGCCGACGACGCTCTCCAAGAGAATGCTGAAATAGGCGTCTATACCGATCTAAGTCGCATCAACTACATCCACCACCACGGCGAACATTTCAAATTCGATGGTCCTCACATCCTGGACCCATCCCCGCAGCGCACACCCTTCCTCTTCTAGACAGGCACATCTCCAGCAGGCATGGCCTTTGGGGAAAAACACGCAGAGGGAATCTTCGTCTCAACCCCTTCACCGCACATCCTCGCACCACGCATCAAGGCCATTCGTGAGGAAGCCGCCAAGCACGGCCGAGATTCCAAATCAGTGAAAATATTTGCGATCCTCACGCCGATCGTAGGTCGAACCGACGAAGAGGCGCAGGAAAAGTATCGGGAAGCCCTAAAATACGCCAGTGAGGAAGCAGGACTTGGATTCTTTTCTGGTGGAACTGGCATCGATCTTAGCCGGATTGATCTAGACACGCCTGTTACGGCGTCGGATGTACATATTGACGCCCGTGTTCATTCCACCATTAATACACTCTCCTACCAGAGTTCTGACGTACCTGAATGGACACCAAGGAATATCGGGAAGCATATCTCGATTGGTGGGGCGGGACCTGTTCCTGTTGGTTCTGCGAGTACTGTTGCGGACTTTTTGGAAGAATGGGTCTGAGTAACAGAGTTGGATGGGTTTAATATTGGGTATATGCGTCTGAGACACCTGGCACGTTTGAGAATGTTGTTGAGCTGTTGGTGCCGGAACTGAGGAGGAGAGGGATGTACGCGCCACAGGGTGAGAGTGGTACAATGCGGGAGAGGGTGTATGGGCCTGGGCAAAAGCGTTTGCGGGAGGACCATGTTGGAAGGAAGTATGGATATGAGGTGTATGATGGCCAATAGACTAGTTACAGGGATGTATGTTAGATTAGTCTGACTTGAAATAAATATGTGCAAACGGTTGGATATAGTCCACAAACAAGATTCTATACCGGATTTTGTTCACTTCACACTTATTCCTAACATGCTATACTCTATTATCCAAACACAGAGTACCAGAGATGAATAGTTATAGAAAGAAAGCAAGTACTATTAATTAATATCAAGCCAAAATCTCCGGCGAGACCTGTCCGAAATGAGAACCTGTGTCAAACGTAAGCGCCCTTGGTAATGTACCAAGGCAGACCGGAGATATTTCTTGACTCCTTTGACTTTTTGAATCCTTTGTAGGGACCAAAGGGGCTAGAAGCCATGTGGCCAAGAGGAAGTTCCTATATAATTGGCCCAACTCCCAAAGCACCACGCTAATGTCGCTGAGTTCGGGTATTTTGGACAAATTTGATTCCTTGAGTGGATTCGCACAGATCATTTCAACATTTGGCAATTCTCCGATATGCATCTTTACTTGTCAAATTCGGATAGTATTCGGATACTATATGAGGTGGAAATTGAGGCTGCGATATATTAAGTTAGCATGGCACTTTATAGATCTCAACCTGTGTCAAATTAATTAAAGACCATAGGGTACGAGAGCTACCGGACCATCCGATTTGAACATATTGACACGAAAGGATTACATCCTGGACTAGTTCAATCTAGTCAGATTGTATGATTTCGTCCAGAGGATATCCGCAAATGAGCGGACTACATCTACCGCGAGGCGTTTCTTGGCGGTCGTTTCATCTTTCCCATACTCTTCCGGATTGAATTGATCCCCTTCAATTTAATTTCCTGTTTGCCTCTGAGCTATCACTCCTACTGGCCCGATCTCCGAAATAACCGGCTTTCTAATTTGCTTGGCTTCGTTTAACGTCCCCCGCTAGCGGATCGGTCATCTTAGGTGGTCCCCAGCCTTATACCTTCGACTCGATATGTGGAAATATGAAACACCTCGCTGGAGGGTATACACCCATATACTTCTCAGAAGTACCTCAATAACTATAAGTACTAGACATCTACTCAAGATGTCCTCCATTCTCTCACTATCATTCAGTCTCTCCTTTTCCTGACACTTGCTGGATTCAAGTTGTCTATCCATTCTTTTGTACACATACATTCCTTTCTTACACTCCTTTCAGATTGAAACCCTTTTACCAAAATGATGAACTCTCCCCAAATCTCGGGCTGGCAGGTCCTAGCGACCAAGGGAAAGCTCATTGTATCTTGCGTTCTGGGCCTCTTCCTCCTTGCCATCGGGATGGACATCCGAGCTGAGCTCGGAGCCGGACACAACCAGAAGAAGATGTCCAAGCGCGACATCAACAGCACTCCCCCAATCTGGCAACCAGAAGCCGGTGTCAAGTGGCAAATCCAACTGGTAGATTCCGTCGAAGACACCACCATCGACACCGACATATGGGACATCGACCTCTTCGACAACACCGCCGAGACAATCTCCACTCTCCAGAACAAAGGCCACAAGGTCATCTGCTACTTCTCCGCCGGCACATACGAAGACTGGCGCCCGGACATTAGCAAGTTCGACACCGCAGACTTCGGCAGCAACCTCGATGAATGGCCGGGCGAGCGCTGGCTGAACATCAAGTCGAGTAGCGTTCGTGCAATCATGAGCTCACGACTGGATATGGCAAAGCAGAAGGGCTGCAATGGTGTTGATCCGGATAATATCGATGCGTATGGGAATGAGAATGGTCTTGGGTTGACAGAGGCTGATTCTGTTGATTTCTTGACTTTCCTGGCCTCCGAGTCGCATTATCGTGGCATGTCGATCGGGTTGAAGAATGGTGGTGATATTATTGGTTCTGTTATTGACAAGATGCAGTGGTCGGTTAATGAGCAGTGTGCGGAGTATAGCGAGTGTGAGACATATGCTGCCTTCACGAAAGTCAATAAGCCGGTTTTTCATATTGAATATTCTGGGGAGACGATTGAGTCTGGTGGCTCTGGTGATACTTCTGTCTCGGTCGCTGAGGCTACCACTGGTAGCAAGGCTACTTTCACTGCTGCCATTGGCACCCCTTCTTCCAGTCCTGCTGCCGCTGCAACTGCAACTGCCACTGTCAATGTTACCCCCATTTCTACTTCTTCTGCGGCCGCTGCAACCAGCACAGACGCCGATGCTACCAAGACTGGCAGTACTGACACTGATGGTGACGAGAAAGAGGCCGATGAAGATGACGAGGAAGACGACGACGAGGGAGAGGACGAGGAAGACGAAACTAGTACCCATGCCACCAAGGAGCAAAAACACCGATATGGTCACGGTCACCACAAGCTCCGTGCCAGAGCTGTTCTCTCCTCCACATTGAAGACCTCAGCCTGCAACGCGGCTAACGCCGAAAAATTCTCGACTGTTATCAAGAACATGAACCTCGATGCCTGGGTTGAATATTGCTAGATTTAACCCATTGTGACCTTTGTTCGTACGACAATAAATGTGTTTGCTCATCTGTTGACTGGAGAGAGTTGTGGGGGGATGACTGTCGATGTATACAGCTCGGAGAGATAGCCTAGAAAATACAGAAGAGATATTACAATCTAGATGTAACTCTTGTCTTTGTGATTTGTCTAGTTCCATTCGGAAAATGGCTTGGAGCCAAGTATAATTTTGGCATTGGTGGGATTATTCTACGCTGTACAGCGAGAAAATATTCATTGAGATACATACCTCGTCTTATTATCCAACTCATCAGATACAAGGGAGACATATTTTAATCATCAAAATTGTATTTTCTTTTTCTCCTTTTCTGTTTTCTGTGTACTGGATGACCTTGTTAACAAACACACCAGTTGGCAGTGAACACATGGTCACCATCCACCTTTAAACACACAGGTCCTCAGAAACCATAAACTTCTCATCCCTAGCATTCGTCTCCTTCGGGATCACATTAGCATTCTGGACCTCACACCCCCTCAGCACAGATTCACGACCAATCTGGGCTCGTTGACCAATCACACACCCGGTCAATTCAGCCCGGGTCTCAACAACAACACCCTCCATCAGAACACAACGAATGATACGGGCAGCACCATCAATCCGGCAGTTTGCACCAATCACACTCTCCTTAATAACAGCACCAGATGCAATAATCACATTGTCACCGAGCAGACAATCTTTCTTTGTAACATTGCTTGGCGAATCCACGCCTTCGGGGTAAGCAACTTTATGGGCGTGGGCAAAAGGCGACGCTGCCTTGCGACCTACTTCATCGATAGATGGCAGTTTAGCCAGGAGAATGGAGGTCGAAAGAAGGACACCTGTGTTATCGACTCGTCGAATGAATGGGGTTGATCCTCGGTGGACATATGCTAGCATTTCTGGCAGTTCGGTAGATGGATAAGACTGGTACAACTGCATCTCGGAGCTAGAACGAGTTCGGGTAGTGCTCATATCTCTGATGTCGATAACCTTATCGACGAATGCGCCAGTGTGACTGCCTTCGGGTGTAAAATCTGTCTCCTGGGTGCGGGTGGTGGGTTCGTTGAAGCTCTTTGTCAATCCGAGCTTGTCGCCGAGACCTTTCTGCCATGTTGACTTGGCCCAGGTGCCGACCAAATCCTCGCTGACGGATTCCAGTCTTGTCTGATGGCGGACTAGATCTTTGACCCAGCAGGGGAAGACGTAAACATGGGCATCGCGGAAGGTGGTGAGCATTCTGATGCGGGGACAATTCTGGACGAGGGAATGGCGAACGAGTAGGCCTTTGTCTTCTTTCATTTTCTCCTTGGTCGTATCCATTGGCATTGACATCAGGAGTTTGGAGAGGCCGAATCGTAGGATCAGTGATCCCTCAGGGCCGGGAACAATGGGTGCTTCGTGCTGCTGGAGTGGAGCGACAGCTATGAAATCAGTGGGTTCGTCCTGGATGCTCTCCTCTCGGCCTTTTGTTTGGTAGTAAACAGCCAGACCCCCTGAGCGAGCTTCTAGCTGACGATCGAAGTACGAAGTAGTTGGAGGAGATGCATGGTGAACCGGATTAGAATTGTTGTTATCCTCGAGGGCCCATTGATTGGTAATCCATGCCTCAAGAATCGATTGACCAGGGATATCACAGATGAGGTCGCAGGGAAGAAGGAGGAAGTTGGTGGTTATACATCTCTGGACTTCAGGGAGGCGGAGCAGCTCGGCGGTTCCCATTGTCATCTCGAGATCTTTTGGTGCGATAACCGAGACCGAGGGCGAGTAGAATTTTGTAAGGTATGGATTTTGGTCCAAGGCGGCCCTAAGGGGAGGGAAGGACAATGGAGGCGTGATCAACGTAATATCTGGGGAGACAATTAGCGAATTTGATTTGATTTAAGGTAGGCCGAGAAACAGCGGGAAGATTGAGACTTACCAGTGATACCTGATCGTCTGCAAAAGTCAATGGCATAGAATACCATGGGTCTGTTTGCAACTTGAATGAGGCACTTTGGATACTCCTCGGGTCTGGAGGTGAATGTGTTGAGTGAACCTCCAGGGCCACACAGGATGAGGGCCTGGAAGTTCATGGGACCCGTGTGCGGCATGGTTGTCAGAGTGGAGGGTAAAGCGAGAATTGGAAGGTCTTTCAGGTTCAACTTGCTGTGGGATGAGTGATCGATGTGGTGAGATGTGTGAGATGGAAAGGTTAATGAGGAGTGGGAGAGAGGTGGTAAAAGGAAAAGCTGAATAGAGACAGGTTGTGTGCTAGACAGCAGGTCACGTCGTTGAGAATGGTCACGGGTGAGAGGATCTGAAGTTGTTTGCCTTGTCTGTCTGGTTTTCTCTACTCCAAGGCTTAAGTTATTTCTGTACTAATAAGCTGTAAACCACCTTAAAAAGTGACGATATCGAAACTTCTATAATGTAAATAACATGATATTATGTCTACTAAAAATAATCAGCTAACAAAACCAGAGTACGATTGCCCATAATCCCCGGTGTAAAGATAACCATGTCCGGACGGCTTTCTAGAAAGATGAGATGTTCAATTATCTCAATTTCAAAATGTATGTAGCTTGCTTTGATGTATTAGGCTATGATAGGATATTAATTGCGCCAGACTTGTATAACAAGTAGGCCGGTCCAAATGTCCTTCACATGCCAGGCCGATAGATATAAACTCATCAGCAGAATGCATTTCCCTTCTAGTGCTAAGACAGCAAGATAGCGATTGGCTTAGCCTCTGGTCGCAAAAGACCTTTCCTATCGAACCATTCGGGGGAAATTGCTCTCGTAGACCTTTGGGAAACCAGGCTCTTTATACATAAGGTTTAGTATAATAATGAATTACGGGTGTTTCGACCCGTAGGTCAGAGAGCGTACAGTCTTAAACGTTCCACTCTTCGATATATGTCTCTTAGGTTATACGATCTCAAATGAATATCGAGTAATCATGCATCTTCTTCAAACCCAGTCTCTACTTCGTCCTTCTTATCCTTCCGCCATACAAGCCACCACGAGGCCAGAATGCCCGAGATAGCTGCACACAGGAAGCAAAGACAGATAACGTATGAGACTCGATACGTTGGTCCAAACACCGTACTGTATACGTGAGGCCCAGCAATACCACTAAACTGAGCCATGGCATTCGTTAGTCCAATACCCATTCCCACGGCCACTGTGCCTTCGAGGGCTCGAATGCGTTCTGGCCAGATCACAGGGTATGCAGATCCGGCACAAGCGGTGGCTACAACCAAGGCGAGGTATTTGACGACTGAGTTTGAGACCGTAATCAGGATGATGTAGCAGATGATTATCGTGCTCTCGACTGCTTTTGTTATTAGTAGGGAACTCATGCGCAATTCGGAGGATTGATGCTTACTTGCGACAGCTGTGGTCCAGGGTCTAATCCAACCTTTGTGTAGTAAATACCCGAGAATATTCAAGAAGAAAAAGCATGCAACGTAGGGAGGCTGTTGGTTGCGAGCTAGGTTAGCGTGGTGCGTTTTCCTTGCCTATATTGATCCAAACTCACAATATTCATCAGCTGCGATAAAGCGGTCGTAGTAAAGCCAAGCTCGTAGATAACAGTAGGTAAAGCGTAATTTACGCCAAATCCTCCAATACCATGTCCAATCCAGTAGACAGTGAATGTGTAGAACGTTGGACTTGAGAGGAGCGCTTTTACATCCCTCCAGCTCCAACTTTTGTCCTTGCCAGAGGGTGCTGAAGAGGATAGACGCCCCTGAAGGAAAGTTTTCTCCTCTTCCGTCAACATGCGAGCTGTCTCCGGGTAATCTGGAAGACCGAATACCGCTACCACAGACAACACGATTGCCGGAAGACCTTCGATAATAAACAGCCATCGCCACCCTGATAGCCCACCGGCTCCATCCATAAAGCTAATAGCATATGCCAACAACCCACTTAATGCGCCGGATACCTGACCAAGAGAGTAGAAAAGAGCAATTCTCCAGCGGAGCTCAGAAGGCTTGTACCAGAATGCCATGTGGTAGAGCACAGAAGGGTAAAACCCGGCTTCAGCCAGCCCAATTGCAAATCGTACACACATCATCCCCGGAAAGTCCTGTGCAGCCCCAGCAGCGCAGGCGCAAATACCCCAGGACAATATCAGGACGAACATCCATCTAGAAGGCGTGACTCTTTTGAGAAGGATTGTGTTGGTGGGCTCGAAAAAGAGGTAGCTGTAGGAGAAAATAGACTGTGTCCAGGACCATTGCGAGGAGCTGAAATTTAGCTCTTTCTTAATTCCCGTGCCAGCTTCTAGATTGATGATGGCGGCGTTTGAGTAGTTGCTGGAATCAATGACGCGGAAGATATATACAATCGAGTAAAATCCAACGAGCCAGAAATCTATCTTTCGCATCACTCTTTTCTCAAGCTTGGCGTTATATTCATCTTCGGAGTAATTGCGATTGATCTCGTTGGGCGGACTTGAAGGTATACTGGAAGTAATTACTTCCAGTCCGTCATACTTCAACACCATATTGTCGATTCCCGAGGATGAATTGCTTTAAACAACTTTAGCTCATCCTAAATCAAAAACACTTTTATACTTAAGTGGTACTTAGACCCCTCCGTTCTCGGGCGACACGGGTTGGTAGGGCAAGGTGCCATGATAGTTTGGATCACGACATATTCCGCCCAAATGTGCGTATGCCGAAGAGAATTCCTCACTTTTCCTTTATATTACGGCATTCATGGCCTAAAAGGCTAGAATCGTGGGGTATCAATGAATGGCATGGCTAGAAATAATTCCCCTATGCACAGACTTGGCGTCATCATGTAAAGATGTACCTCGAGAACAGAATGTCTCAAGGTATTCTATCATATCCCTTTAGGAACCCGCTTTCTATCTGATTCATGTCGAAGTAGTTCGAGCTTCGAATGATTAAGGTTCTTCAAAGTATATATAGTGTGTAGGTCTACCGGACTAACTCGGGGACAATGCTGTGAACCTGAAATCCTACTCAGCTATTGCCCAATTGCCGTGGATATTATCCATGTGCTTTAGTCGAGTGGTCAGAAGAAGAGATAAATAGATACGGGGGAGACAAGGGCCGGACTAGCCAGATGAACTGTCTCCATTAAGGGCCCAGTCTTAAACTTCCATTCTATAGGCTCGGGGTATTATTGACTATAATTTAGCCCATTCCACGGAATATTAATGCCGTTACATGTGCAATTCACAGTCTTAAATGTCCATTCTATAGGCTCGGAGCATTATTGACAATAATTCAGCCCCATTTCACGGCATAATAATGCTGTTGCATATAACGCCATCCTGAGCGGCCATGGTACCATAGACCCCGCATCTGCGCAATAGCAAGTGTCTGGCACGGAGTATTTATAGCAAGAGTAGATTGCAGATAGCAACCAAGGTTTTATTTTGAATTCAGTATATATATAAGCCCAATCTTCTCGCATAGAGTACCTTACTAGTATTTATCACTATTGCTGTCTATCCCAAAAAGAAATATGGCACCCTCCGCTATAGCAGAACAAACTCCAATCGAAAAGGCCATCGTCAAACCATGGAGCCGACCTGCACCTACTAATGAGAAACTTGATTGGGCGCCCCTAGTTGAGATCGATCTTTCTCGCTTCGACGAACCCGGCGGAAAACAAGAGCTCGCAAAGCAATTATACGATGCCGTGACACGAGTCGGATTTTGGGTAGTGATTGGACATGGACTCGATGACGAGCGTATCCTCCGGCAATTCAGTATCGGAAATGCGTTTTTCAAAGAAGACCTCGAGGAAAAGCGAAGCTTCGAATGCAATTTTGCTGAAGGCGAGTATTTCGGATACCGTGAAAACTCAAGGTGGATTGGAGAAACGGGGGTGAAAGATAATGTAGAAATGGTGCGAACATACCTATCTGCCTCGGAGATTGTATTCAATATAGCTAGCTAACTTATACAGCTCAATATCCCTAAAGCCATCCCTGTATGGGATGACGTTCCTAAACACAGGATCGTTCGTCACAACTACGACGAGATAGCCAGCTTCCATCGAGATCTCTTCGATAAGGTCGTCCGCAAGCTATTTGTCTTGATGTCAATTATCCTGGAACTACCAGAAGACCACCTAGTCGAAGCCCACGCGTATGACAAACGTTCCGATGACCACTTGCGATACATGATCTACAACACGCGTACTCAAGAGGAATGGGATAAGGCACAGGGGTACACCAAGGGCGGCCACACGGACTTTGGAAGCTTGACTCTGCTTTTCTCACAACATGTTGCTGGCTTGCAGATCCGGACCTCGGATGGAGAATGGAAATATGTGAAGCCCGTTGAGGGTGGGATTACGTGCAATGTTGCCGACACGTTATCGTTCCTTACCAATGGTAAGTGCTCACATAAACTTTCACAAAAACAGTTTTCTAACAAGGACGACAGGCTTCCTCAAATCGACGATCCATCGTGTTGTCACACCTCCTAGAGATCAGATAGATATCCCCCGTCTTGGGTTGCTCTATTTCTGTAGACCGGGTGATGATACAGTGATGAGAACTGTGCCCTCACCTTTGCTTGACCGTCTTGGTCTTCTAACTGAAGAAGATAAAAACCAAAACAAGCCTGCGCCTACGGGGACTGAGTATGTGCGGGCTCGGGTGAGGGATGTTCATCATAAGACTGTGATTGATCGTCGGGAAAACACTTCGTTTGAGTTTAAAGGACTGAAGGTTCCAAATTATTATAAGTGATAGATAGGCGGTGCAAAAGGCCCCCGGGCCTCAGTCACCGCAGCGGAGTGAGGACTTGGCGTTAGCGAATTGTATTTCTGTGTCTGTTTCTGATAATGACGAGGTGGTGATAGTATCAGGAGTCGAGAAGCAACCAAAAAGATGTAACTGGTGACTCTGGTTTCCGTTGGTTCTTCCCCTAGGCATCACATTTTTGATATCATTTACGGCGTCATTTACAAAGAAACTCACGTGGGGTCGAAAACTTTGGCAGGTGATATAAGCATAGGATAAAAATATATGCCTTCTCGCCTGAGGCAGATCATTTGGACGCTTCAGCCACAACCCTGTTATGAGTCATGTATAGAGCTGTAAGAACTGTAACAAGTTCAAGGGTAGGTAGTAGATCAGCGCGACTAGACTATCTAGCGACTACGCTGAAAAGTAATAACATACCACGGTGTCTTAGTGTATAATACTTATTTGTTCTGTAATTATTTCCTTGAAATATATTCGGATTTTCCAGTAAGACATTCAATATTTCATTAACTGATTCTCAGAGTGGGAGCTGTCTAAAGAGTGTGTGAGGCTGACAGCCTAGTCCCCAAAAGGGCGCATTTCAAACATCATATCAAAGACAAAGGAAAAGATTTAGCGGGAAAAAGAAAATGAGTCACAGTAACAGCCAATGAAGTCGTGCAGTAAAAGCGACAAAAAACAAAAACACATGCATAAACATCGTCGACTTTCCGCATCTGTCATTGGCCAATATCTCCCACACCTGCATGCTCCTTCGTGGAGCACACCAATAATGGAGTCTGGCCAAGCCTGCAGGTTATTGCGTACAATCAAAAAAACAATTTGATCGAGTCACAATCAAGTTGGGGTTCGAGACTGGGAAATCCCGCAGATCTCGAATACCCGACGTGCACTCGAGTCAAAGATCAAAACTGGAAAACAGAAAAGTAAATTTCCGAGGGCGCATCCAGGCAGGCCCTATCAATCCAGATCATCAAAGACTGGGGTATTGGGGGGAGGGGTAATGCCTATAATGTGCTAATTCCACATTACGGGCAGGGACCGTCTCGCGGTCAAAATGGGTTGTGGGCAATCAATGCCCATCGCGAGCGAATTGAAGCTTCTTCGAAGCGATTGGTGGGGTGTGTGTATGATCGTAATCAGATGAACCAGAGTCGAAATATGTCGGGTACGTTGTCAAGTACGTTTCCAGGTATACGTTCAACGGTGCTTGGGGGAACCCTCGACGTACCGGCGAGGAGTCTCGTAGTGGCGCTCCACACGCTCCTGTCGGTCGACGCCGTACAACGATCCACGGCTGGATGATGGGCGGCTGGGAGAGCCACCGGGTGAGCAGTACACGATCGAAGTAGGGGAGCGAGAAAGGCGTGGGGCCCTCTCGACCAGCTGGTAAGCCTCAGGGGACATGGAGCGAGGACGAGTTTGCTTGCCACTAACCCTGCGAGCTGGGACAGGGTAAGTCCGGTCGTAACTTGAGGATTGGGTGGGCTGGACGGGCTGGACGGGCTTCTGGACAACGACGGCCTTCTCGCGGATGCGCATGCCTTGCTCGAGAGCTGTGAGAAGCTCGCGGGTAGCAAAGGCATCCCGGGGCAGCTTCACTCGTGTAGACTTGCCGCTCTCAAAGTCCACGGTAGAGAAGTGCTTGCCACTTTGGCTGTAGAGGTAGTTGCGCAGAGTGCGAGCGCGGGTGTTGCCCGACTCGCAGAGTGTAAGACCATCCTTGTATGTCTGGACAGCGTGGGAGCAGTTGCGACAGTGAGTGGCGTGACGCTCAAAGTCGTCAACCACCAACTTCTCGTCGTCGTAGAGGTCACGCACGACGGCGAGAGGGTCTGTTATCTCAATGGGAGCAGGCATTGTGTTGGTACGGCGTATTCCAAGGAGGCGTCGGGTCAGACTAGAACGGGGTGGAGATCTCTCTGATGTTAAGAGAGTTGAGCGATCAACGGTGTACGAGGTCGAGCGGTAGGGCGACACCGTGACTGATTTCTGGGGGGGTCACGCGAAGATAGTAGATGATCACCGTATGTAGACGATGTGAAACCCAAGTGTGACAATAGATATGGAGTGTAAAATGTCCAATGTATGTCAAATGTGTGCAGATTGAAGAAGATGTTCTAGTGGAAAAGGGAGGGGGGAGTTCGAGGGGTTATATAGACTATGCAAGTGTTATGCGGGTTCTATAGATGGCGTACTGGAGCCTGGAGGGTCTGGTGTCCACTGGGACTCTGGTGGGGCCTTGGGGATCTGCAATACTCCCCCAGTACTTAGCGGCTCACGCTAAACACACAGGGAATAGCACGTACTATTCTTGTACTCTCTCTTGTACCGTTTCTAATCTGGATTGTCTGTGGCTAGTGAGGCTGTGTTATGGCTTCAAACACCGCCGTATTGACGGTTTTCATTCCTCTGATTGGCCCAAGTCCTCGAATTCACGGTCAAGTTCACCACCCATGCACCGACTTCTTCAACTCCCACTATGTTCCTTTTGGTCCCCGCCTACATTTCCAAGGCATTATTAAAATTATTATTTTTGTGGCCTTATTCCCATGACATCAACCGTCTTATTCGGTGGTTTTACGCATGTCATTCACTTGTGCTAGAGGCGTGTGGCTTGTGTTTCTCGTGTTCCTGCGCCATGACTAACTAGGGTCTCGTGTTCCCCCCTGTTCCCTCCCCCCTGAGAACAGGCCTCAGGTTCGCGTCATTTGCAACGCTTTTGACTTGACATTTGGAAATAGAACCTCAAGATTCACCCAGAGCCAGTACATTCAGAAGGAGGTGTTAGATCGCAGAGTTCCCATCCACCCATTCCTCACCCTCATAGGCTCCTGCAACCGCCGCATTGCAATGAGCGTCTACCGAGACAACTCTGGAACTCCCTAAACCACGTCGCTGGGACTTCGAGCACTGTTCTCTTGTTCCATAATTGGGGATACTCGAGCGTTTCAAATTATCTAAGAATAGTGCGCTAAGTGGGATTGTTTATTTTGGACCCCAACATTTGGGGATTCTCACCAGCCTCAACTACCCCTCTCAGCCGCGAGCCATAAGGTCTACACGAGCTCTCATCCAGTGCTTTTTTTTTACTCTAACCCCAATACAGGATGACTGCTCAGCCTCAGCCACCAATGTCACTATTTCTGGTTCATGATTTGATACACCAGCCACTAATGCCTCCTTTCTCGGAAACTGATTACTTGCAATTTCTGCCTTCTCACTGCGCGCCGGTGCTCAAGCCAAGGATCACTATTCGATTATGACCTTGTTTTCGACCTCTTTCGATCTCTTTCAATTAACTTCGCCTGGCGCGCACGCCAGGCTACCATTTCTTCACTACATTCTCTCCTCGCCTTCCTAGGCACCAGGAAGCCACATTGTTTATACCAAGGGGCCCGAGCCTCCGATTGCGTGCGACACCTCAAGACAGATTGTTATATTTTTACCACACTCTGTTTCATCAAACGCTGCCAGAATGTTTATTCATCGATCATCGTGATATGTCCCTCGTGTCACCAATACCCCTCGAGCATCCATGTCCCCATACTAACCGCCGACCAAATTACGGCCGGAGCTAACCCAATCGCAGTGCCAATATGATTTGTATTATTGCAACATCTCTCAACAGCCCAGCCGGGCTAGCTCAATCGGTAGAGCGTAAGACTCTTAATCTTAAGGCTGCGGGTTCGACCCCCGCGTTCGGCTTCCTACAAACCAAACTTGGGATTTCTTTTTTTTTCGCTGATGAAAATTCTGTTTGAGCCTCCTCTGCTCATACTCGAAGATAAGTGGCTGATAGGCATCGGGATCCACTAGTGGATCGGGCCCTGACAGGCAAATCAGCGGAAATGTTTTGCATGCATGAACCTATCTTACGTACGCATGAACAAATTGTACTTCGTAAATTACTTGCATCCGTGCATGAAAAAATTCCTGATGTATAACTAGCAGACTGAAATCCAGGCCATTTGTGGCTTGACTAGGCCCGAGCGCAAGGCAGAGAACGCCTTGTGGCGTGACAAGGTTTATCCTTCAGCTGGACATGGATCATTGGAGATGAGACTATATTGTGTATGTAGGCATGATCGAGCTTTCAGGTTAGTTAACACGCCATATCTCGTATGATTCGTCATTGGGGCTTTATGTTGCCCGGGTGATACAAGAAACACAAGAAACACCGTTGCGAATATATATTGCTCAGCTGAACACTACATACAGTGGCTTCACCATCGGTCCGGTTTTATATCGTTATCCTAGACCTACTTGCATACATATTATTTCTAACCCTAGTTATTTCAGACGAAATATGTCGACTATCCGTTTGGCTTCGGGAAATCTAGGGGAGAAGTTCTGGACTACTCCAAGTATACCATTCCAGCCAGCATGGCAGCCTACAATAGATTGCAATTCCGGCCTGAGAGTGAAATATACCGACGATGTTTGCCACCTAGGCTGATCGCAACAGTGCATTCGAAGCGATCGACATGTTGAACCTTCCGGGGCTTTCTTTGCCCTCAATTCCCCCTCTCTCATCTATCATGGTAGCCTTAATCAAACGAAATTAGTTGGTTCGTTGCCGATCATACAGCTTTATTCCTTCATTCCCTACTCACCTATTGCAGTCTTCTATGCGCTCTGCAACCATGGCGGGTTGTCTAAAAAGCTAGAAGAAAATGTTCGTTGGGAAAGTGCGGCACATAATAGGATTAGTGCCAGTGGTAGCAGAAACGAATTTCCTGTCCGCACCCTTCTAGGAAAATATTAACTATTTAGAGTCGTCATCAATACTCATTTCCAACACCCGAAGCCTGTTTCTATAAACTAAGCCATTTTTGGGCAAGCAGATAAAGTAAGCTACTTGGTCAAAAACTACCCTAGGAGCATTGGATTTTCGTTTCCCGTCACATCCCAACCTCAGAACTACCTTTTTCTTCGATCTTCCCGAGGTCTTTATTCTATTCTACTTCTAACACACATCGAACCAACCACACTTTCTTCTACTTCCGCCTCTTACCCTACAGCATTATTCTGGTATGTATAAATTGGGCTACTTAAGTCTCATCCTCTTGCTTCTTCTTTTTCTTCTTCTTCTATCTAACATCCTACAGCGTTATCCTCATTCCCTTCATCTTTCATACAAACCTTGTTCTTCTTCCGTTCGAGATCTACCTTTTCAATCTTCTCCACCTCTTGCCATATTACACGTTACCATGGCCGACTTCATCGATCTTCTATAGGAAAGGGTCAACAACCTGACCAGAAAGGTGGCCCGGTACACCAAGAACAAGCATATCATGGAGGAGACCGACGCAATCGCAAGCCTCGTCCGAACTGAAAGCCGGAAAATTAAAAAACTTCCAAGCAAGGTAGTGACCGATTTGGAAGCCGCAGACATACCCCGGTTGTTTTCCCTAAAGGGGTATGAAAACTGAAAACTCACGAAACATACTAGTATGTTACTAATGAATTATCTACCTAGGTAGTTCATAACCCGCAGATATAGGTGGGAAGACTACAAGGTTGAAATCGTCTCCCTTCTTTACAAAATTTTTGAAACCGCCGCACATTCCTCCTGTACGGGCGACTAGGTATCATATAGCCAACAGTAATTTAGATCTACTCTACTCTCACTTTACAAAAACTAATGTTGTAGTTATTAACTGAATCTGAACTGAATCTGAACTGAATCTGAACTGAATCTGAACTGAATCTGAACTGAATCTGAATTGAATCTGAATTGAATTATAGAATAATTCAAAATCATAGCTAGACATGTTCATGTTCAATACATTAACTAGGCAGATAGATCTCTTGGCCGCTAGTTTTAGGGGTGGGTGAATCTTTATAGGGTAGACTGTTTGTTATGCTAAAAGCTAGGGGAAGGTAAGATCTCTCCAGAGACAATATTATTTCCTTCTGGGTTAACACTTTTCCTACGTAGCCTTCATATTCACTGATATGTTATAAGGCCCTTGCTCGTTCGACTCCGAGCATCATTTTCACTTTTTCGGATTTGTGGGACGTACTTTGCGGCCCGTTCCGCAGACTACGGGCGACTTGTCACATAACTCTCTCATTGGTTTATATTGCCTCGCAGTAACTTAGACCTCCCACTTTACAAAAATAACCTCGGAATTAGTTACATATGTAGTAGTAATATTGAACCTAGATGATACCTTATAATGCCTTAGAAAAGACAACTAGAAAGACAACTAGAAAGACCCTAGGAAGAACATCCAAAAAAGAAGATCTAGTAAGATGTCAGTATATATAAAAGAGAAATTGAAATTAATGTACCTTACTTCAAGAAGGCGGTGATAAAATGCTGTAAGGCACTAGCCAATGAGAGAGTTATGTGACAGTGATCTCCATAGTCGCCCATAACAGACCTACCTAGGTACTTTCGACGATCACGCCACAGACAGAGACGGAGACCAAGGAACTCGGTCCCGGTTACTTCTCTTGCTCGGTCTCTCCTCCACTAAATATACTAGATAGATGTCAAATTAGACTCAGCAGGGTTCTCGGGTAAGTGATATTAAGTTCTATTCGACTAAACGTTCGGGTAACCCCGAATTTCGATATGGCCTAGGTCGACAACGCTGATCGACAGAAGCATTTCAATCTACCTAGGTACTATCATGATTTGTCATTATTTTTTGATTTTGAATATCGCCTCAAAACTCCACAGCTGCTATTTTAAGACTTGAATGGCCCACTTATTAATGTCATGGATCGAGCCTGGTACCCTCGGTAGCATTATTTTGAGGAAAGCCATGTTGGAGCGTTGTTCTGTTTGCCGCTGGTTACGGGTCTGGGCGGGTATCGGACCCTATTCCAGTGCCGAGAATTTGGGATTTAGTGCTACACAGGTTTCAAGGGGTTTATTTGTTCAGATTTACAGCTCATGCCTTCTTACCCGTTAACTGGTCCCCAACCAATTTATCATGTTCGCTTGTCGCTGGGGACTCAAAAGGCTTCCGTTGTCCTTAACATTCTCGATCAACCGGGCTACTCCGTTGCGTCGCGTGGCGAGAACCATATCATCACTTCATCCCTTACCTTCGCGTCGATTCCCAACATCGGGCTTTGTGAAGTTAGATTCGTCCGAGAAGATTGAAGAAGAGAAGCTCACCTCTTACGTTGCGGAAAACTACTTCCCTGTCTATATTGGCGAAGTGTTTGCATCCAGATATCAGGTTGTTTCCAAGCTCGGGTACGGCATGTCTTCGACTGCCTGGCTTTGCCGCGATCTTCGGTCGGTTTTCAATGGCCCTGTCTTCCATGATATGTACCTAATCTTATCTAGAGATCATGGCTTTCGCACACTTAAAGTCTGTGTTCGAGGAAAGTCGCCTGCACATGAGATGGCCATTTCTGATCACTTAAAGGCCTCCGATGACCATTCTGGGAAAAAGCTAGTTCGTCTAGTTCTCGATTCGTTTGAAGTCGTTGGCCCTCATGGAAACCACACGTGCTTGGTTTATCAACCTCTTGGAATGAGCTTCACTGAGTTCCAGAACCTGTGTCCCGATGAAAAGTTGCCAAAGGATCTCATCCAGAGAATTCTTCAACTTACCTTGATTTCCTTGACATTCGTGCATAATAACAATGTTGTGCATACCGGTTAGTATACTTTATTAACATGCGAGGTGAGATACACTAACGTCATCTCAGATATCTCGTCGAATAACATCCTCCAAGGAATTGGCGATAGTTGTATTCTCTCTCAGATTGAAGAAGATGAAATGAAGCGACCAATTGCGAGAAAGGTATTGGCTGATCGTCATATATACTACTCTCGACCGATGCCTGTCAGTACAGGTCTACCAGTACTTTCCGACCTTGGTGAGGCTAGAGCCGGAAACCACAAGCATAGAGGCGACGTTATGCCTGGCATTTATCGGGCACCAGAAGTGATTTCGAACATGGATTGGGATTGTAAGGTTGATATCTGGTCGATTGGTGTTATGGTAGGTTTAGATTTCCATATCCCATATAGTATCTAAGCTGATGGGACTAGGCTTGGGATTTGGCGCAAGGTCACCATCTCTTTTTTGCAAAGAAAAACCGGGTCCTCGACGACGAACAGCACCTGGCGGAAATGGTGTCACTTATGGGACCTCCTCCTCCCGAGTACCTTGCCAAAAGTGACAAGGCTGCCCAGTACTGGGATGACCAAGGTACTTTTCTTCCTTGCCCTATTGCGTCCTACTCTGATATTTGTCTTATAGGAAACTGGAAAGGTTCTATACCTATACCAACGCAATCACTGGAAACAAGAGAGCAGCAATTCTTGGGTGAAGACAAAGAACTCTTCCTGAATTTCTTGCGGAGAATTCTGCGCTGGTTGCCTGAGGAGCGGCCGACTGCGGAGGAGCTGGCCTATGACGACTTTCTGATGCAGCCAGTGTTGCAAGCGAGGGCTTCCACTTGAAACATTATCTGAAAATATTGTGGATAGGAGAAGTTGACGTATTCTCATTACGGGGATATCAGAGAAACCTCCCACACTCGACTCGGCTGCTTAGATCAGGCGGATCATGGCCGGTTTATTCTTTATTCTAATTGAGAGTAATGAATTGATTGTCCTTGTTCCGGATAAAATACGAGATACCGTATATGTAACATGAAATCCAATGGTTGTATAGTTCACGCAGGAATTCTTTCTGGTGTGGCATCCTGATTACCACCAGCCTTGCCACCACGCACAACGCTTAGGAAGACTCATTTAAACATATAGAGCAAAAAAGTAAAAGAACAAAAAGAGAAATCTCAGGTTTGGTTTTAGGAATAGCCGAACGCGGGGGTCGAACCCGCAGCCTTAAGATTAAGAGTCTTACGCTCTACCGATTGAGCTAGCCCGGCCGGGCTGTTGAAGACGGTTAATGAATGTGGCTATTTATGGGGAGGATGTTGTGGAAGGGAATAGTCGTCTAAGATATAGCCATTGAAGGCACTGATTGGTGGAGATATATGCTGTTTCTGGTTTTATATAGAGACAGAAATTTCAGTTCGCTGCCTCATGGTTAAGGCTAATTATGTGATAGAACGGTACGGAGTCCTCCGTACAACATAGTCGATAATAATGAAGACTATCTGCCCTCGAAAGATAAAGCAGAAACCGGAATATGATCGGCAATTGGCGAGCAAGGACGTGGGAAGATCCAATTGCGGGGAAATGATTTGAGGGGGTTTGCCGACGAGGTGGGTTGGTCGCCTACTGGAAGATATTGGCGGAGTCTATACCGGGCATCTCGTCCGGTTTGCTCGGATATATAAACCTCGGGTGAGTACAGGGGGATATAGTATCTTGACAATTTACTTTTCTGACCAAACTACATACTGTATTACTTTGTTACTTCCAACATGCAAGTAAAAGGTATCACCACCTAAACTAGATCAATTGAATAGTATAAATACTCACACCTACACAGAAGACAAGGGTAATGACCTGGCCAACGTCATCAATTGCTACAGGCCAGATCTAAAGCCCTTCGAAGATGTCTACCGGCACATCCACATCAACCCCGAATTATCAGGCCAAGAAGAACAAACAGCAAAGCTAGCATCCGACCACCTCAAAACCCTCAGCTTCGAAGTCCACACAAAGATCGGTGGTCATGGTGTGGCAGGCGTCCTACGTAATGGCACCGGCCCAACAATCCTCCTACGGGCGGATATGGACGCATTACCCGTAGAAGAACAAACCGGTCTACCATACGCAAGCACCCGACACGTCAAAGATGAAACCGGAGCCGACAAGCCCGTGATGCATGCCTGCGGACACGACTCCCACGTCGCCACGCTAATGGCAACCGCGACGCTCCTGCAAGGTGCGCGCGAGCACTGGTCCGGAACATTGATCTGTATTTTCCAGCCCGCCGAGGAAAACCTCGACGGTGCAAAGGCAATGCTGGATGATGGGCTATACGACAAGATCCCTAAGCCGGAGCTTGTGCTCGCACAGCATGTAACACGCATGCGTATGGGTACAGTTGGTCTCCGCGCTGGTCCGCTGATGACTGCCGCTGATTCCTTCAACGTCCGCATCTTTGGGCGTGGAGGTCATGGGTCCGCACCCCATACGACTATCGATCCAATTGTCGTTGGTGCGTCGATTGTTATGCGACTACAGACTATCGTTTCGCGAGAAGTCGCGCCTGGGAAGTTGGCTGTTGTTACCTGTGGAAGTATTCATGCTGGACAATCGCCGAATATCATCCCGGCGTATTTGGATCTGCAATTGAATGTGCGGACTTATGATGCGGAGGTGCGGAAGCGCGTGTGCGCTTCTATCCATCGCATCATCGAGAATGAATGTCTGGCTGCGGGGATAGAGCAGAAACCCGAGGTCAAGCTTACTTATTCAACGCCGTCGACTATTAATGATGGGAAGACTGTTGATGCTCTTCGTGAGACTTTCGGTCCATACTTTGGTGATCGGTTGGTTGAAATGGAGCCCGCGACTGCTAGTGAGGACTTTTCTTTGCTCGCAACTGCTGTGGGCGCACCTTATGCTATGTGGATGTTTGGTGGAACTGATTCTGAGATTTGGGATGATGCTGTTGCCAAGGGGACTGTTGATGAGCTACCTAGTAACCATTCGCCGTTCTATGCACCAGTTATCCAGCCGACATTGTGTACAGGTGTGGATGCTATGGCACTCGGGGCATTGACTTTCTTAAACCAAAAATGATTATAACTAGACATTATTATCTTACATCAAACCATTCAATTATATTATTCAACACATAAATTTCACCTTCTGATGCTCAAATATAAAAAGTGAGACAAGGCGAAGTGCGGGTGAGGTCATCAACTTTCCCTTGGAAAAGTGGCAACACCACATCTTCTCTCAGCATCACAACAAAAACAACATCTACATCAAATCCAAAATGACATCTGCTCAACCCACAGAAATGAAAGCCTGGCTCTACTCCAGCACAACCAACGGCCTGGAAAATAACCTCAATTTCGACGCGTCGGCACGCGCCCCACCAGCCGTCCACGGCAACAATGTCCTAGTCCAAGTCCTCTCAGCCTCGCTGAATCCCGCCGACTACAAAGTCCCCGAAATGGGCCTAGTAGGTCTCGTAGCACAAAAATTCGTCATCGGCACACCCGCCTCACCGGGAATGGACTTCTGCGGACGCGTGGTCGTCTCCGGCGACGACGCGACCGAGTTCTTACCCGGCCAGCTCGTGTACGGCTGTCTCAGCCAGCCCGGCCAATTCGGTTCTTTGGGCGAGTACCTAGTGACGTCTGCTAGCCTGCTTGCGCCCGTGCCGGAGGGCGTGGAGGTTGATCATGCGGCGTGCATTGGCATTGCCGGACAGACGGCGTACCAGTCTTTGGCTGGGTATGTCAGTGCCGGTGATAAGGTGTTCATTAACGGCGGCTCTGGAGGATGTGGAATTTTCGCCATTCAAATTGCTAAAGAGATGGGATGTCATGTTACTACTACTTGCTCGACGAAGAATGTGGAGTTTGTTCGTGGGCTGGGTGCTGATGAGGTTATTGACTACTCGGTTGAGGAGGATTTGGTTGCTACGCTGCGTGACCGTGGTGTTGTCTTTGATCATATTGTCGATCATATTGGATACCCTGCGCCGATGTATCGCGAGTCGCATCACTTCTTGGCGGCTGGGAAGACGTTTGTGCAGGTTGGTGCGCCGGGCGTGGGGACTTTTGTTGATCGGTTGATCTGGCCGAGTTTCTTGGGTGGTGGAAAGAGGAAGTATGTTATCTTCTTCTTCAAGAATACTCGTGAAGATCTTATGAAGATGGGGGAATGGGTGCAAAAGGGGGCTGTCAAGATTCAGCTGGATACTGCCTACGAGTTTGAGGACACCGTGAAGGCATTTGAGAAGCTTCGGTCTGCCCGTGCTAGAGGAAAGATTGTTGTGCATGTGGCTAAGCCATGAGTTGAGATCGAATACAAATATCTCTAGTCGAAGTGGTCGTTTTAGGGTTCGACACCTCCGCACCGAATCGGGAAATCATCTAAGAATGGCATAGTAGCACGTTTCAACAAAGGCATACTTCCACTTACATAGTCGGAGACATCGTCAAGTTTACGTCGAAACTTGCTACTGGAATGGAGTGATCTCCTACCCTGATCTACTCTTCTCTTTTTCTTCCTCTTCATCGCTCAACACTCTGCACTCATCACCGACACTTTACAATCATCAACAACTTGAACATACTTGCCTGTTCAATATGCAATTTCAATCATTCCCCTATCTGGGTACATTTGCTAGGCTTCCCATAGAAATCCGCCTGATGATATGGGAGTACCTCTTCTCGACCCTCCACATACAACCACCGGGGGACAGCCTACACAAGCACAGCCCACACAAGCACAATTTGTCCATCCTTTGCGCCAGTCAATACCTCTACAATGAGGTTTCATCTCATTTATTCCACGACTCTATTCAACACATCTCACTGAACCCAAAATATAACAAGGAAGAGTGGATGGCAATACAGTTGAAATCCAGAACCGTGGACATCAAGTGGACTCTCAGGAACAGAGCAGACGCCGAAAAACATTTCCACAGCTTCCCGCATTCGAAAACGACGATGAAGATCCATATCAACTCCCCAGATCCAACAGATCCCGGTCAAATGGTGTTGATATGGCAGAAAGCCAACGCGCTAGTCGATCTTTTAATTGGTACCACTCGGTCAGATATAGTGGTAGCCACAAATGGTGAATGGCATTCAGCTCCACCAGCTCACTGGCAACGAGACAAAGACACATTTTATGAGATGGGTGGTCTACAGGAGACAATCAAGTCTAGCAAATACCGTCCCGACTCCGACATTGCCATCTTACCCTTCCTTCGTCTAGAACTATGGGTCAAAGATCCCATAGTAAATGTGCCCGCCATGTCAGACGAGGTGTACGCACACCTACACCGACGTCTCGTATCGTTATTCGACCAAAACGGCATCGAGCGCAGATTAAAGAAGCTTCTCTGCATGAACCAAGACATCGCCGTCCAGCAAATTGAAAGCGCCATCATTGACACCAACCTGTTCTTGGAAACAAGCCTGGACGAACTACCAGGTGAAACAGCAAGCTTCCTTCGTCTTGACCGATTCAAGAACTGGTTTGAAAACGGCACACGCTGGGAATCTCGATACGAGGCACAACTCTACAACCAATTGTGTGCCTGTCCCTGGGTTGTCATGGACACGGATCCGTGGCTCCATCGCTCAAATCAGAGATACATCATTCTCATCTTACTACACCATGCAATGTATGCGTTCCAATCCAGTCCACCTAACGGATTTGGGATCTATGACAAGTCGAGAATATACACGAGATGGAACCAGGCATTGTGGTCGGAGATATTTGATTCTGGTCTTCCGCCACTCCCCGATGTTCAAGACTGGCTTTCGCGGTTCTGGTCCGAAGCCTTCCAGTTTCGAAAAGTTCACGCCTACACGGATTGGTTGTATCGACGACGGGTGGAGGAAACTGGAGTCGAAGAATGCAGATGTCCACTTGTACACCGTTTGGTACTGTGGGGTCATTGAAGGATTTCGAGGTGGGATTTGTTGGTGATCTTTTGGTTCAGGTGGGAAGGCTGATGGAAGGATTTGTCTTATGGGTTGGGATATTGGAATAGTTTGAAATGTGAAATCTGCTTCAAGTCTATTGTGAAGGGAACTAGCTATGGATACAAACAGAGGTCATGTTGTCACTACAAATTGTTTATGTTGATAGTTGAGACGGAATTGAATTGAATCTGAGTTGAATCTGAATTGGGTCTGAAGTGAATCTGAAGTGAATTAGCAGATCTCTTGGCCGCTAGTTTAGGGGGTGAATCTTTATAGGATCGACTATTGGGGGTAATAACCAATGACAGAGTTATGTGCCAGTGGCATATTATAAAGTTAGTTATAATTATCATGAAGGGAACGACAACAAGGCTCCTTGATATACATACCTTTGTAGAGTCACCCGCTAGAAATACCATCTTGCCCAAGGAGGAATGACTCATTGGTCCACGCCGCATTGTCCCAACGGCTGCTGTGAGTTTCAGACGGGATTACTCCTAAACCTGGACAGGACAGTTTTCACTCTATAGCGTAAATATGTACCAATCAGCCAGACGAAGCAGAGGGCTGCTGGTATATCTTGATTTCACAGAAGTGTGGTACCTAGTAAAGAGACATCTAAACGACATTGAAAACGAGGTATATTGGAGAAATGTTCCTATATGATAAATATAAATCCTCAATTAAAGAGCAGAATGCTTCGAGGGATCATCCTTCAAAGGCGCCGAATAATCATCGTCGTCCATATCAAGCATTTCAATCCGGTTCGTCGTCATTTTCTCCAGAGTCTGCGCCTCGACCTTCTTCTGCAGCCGTGCATCTTCCCCAAAGCCCTCCTCGCTGTTCAGGGTCTCACGAGCTTCAGATGATTCCCGGTCTTTAACACCAGCCTCACGCTCATTCTCCAACCGCTCCTTCTCCTGTCGCTTGTCCTCGTCAGCGAGAGCAGCTTCTTCGCGCTCAATCTCACTAGGATCAAGGTCCTGAAGCCCGGTAAGAGTCAGAATTCTACCAAGCAGAAACTGGTACCGCAGGTGACCGCTGATCATTTCGCTAACGTTGAGATTCTCAACGCCTGGAACACCTTCAACTGGCTGCAATCCTGCGACACCGAGTTGGAGGCTGCTTGTTCGGTAGAGGAACGCGAGTACAGAGTCATTCTCAGAGTACACGTTCACAACACGTCCGCTTACGACACTGCGAATCTTTTGCCAGTCCGCTGTGTCCGAAGGGGTGGGCGACCCCATCACAATGACCGACTCGATCAGTCCGTAGGCGTTTCTCCTTTCTAGACTTTGGAGGCAGGAGAAAATCAGTCGAGATCCCAGAGAATACCCCATCAGGGTCACGGGTCGTTCTCCCTGGGCTTTGTTGATCAGGGCATCGGCGAGAACCTCACCCGCTTTGTCGGCGCGGGCTTTGGCTACGCTGAACGGGTTGTCGACGACGCCAGCAACTTTCATAAGACCTAGGGGAAGCATCACCGCGCTCATGATCGTGGAGAAGACAGTGCGAGCCAAAACTTCACGTCCGGCAACTGACCATGCGGCGCTAGTCACAAGAGCCGAGATCGCGTTACCCAAGTTCATCAAAGGCTCCGTCTCCCAGCGAAGACCGAACACCTCAGAGTCGGCACCAATCACTCGCCATGGGATCACGAAGTTCGACTCCTCCTTGACCCAACCGGTGACACCAATGGTAACTCGTAGACGATGATCTTGCTCAGCAGACTTCTTATCCACAGACTCTTTATCTGCAGACTCCTTATTTTTCCCGTTCTGGCGGCGTTCTCCTCGGATCGGGATGAATGCAAAGTCATCCACTTCACGTGCGTACTTCTCCATCATGCGACCAGTCATACGCCCACCATAAGCGCCAAATAAGCCACCGACAACAACGCTACTTCCGGCCAAAGTACCCAGAAGCCCAGCAGCAGCGGTAGCGCCAAGTCCCAATCCGCCCATGACAGTTCCCAGGCCTGCCGCTACCAATGGGGCTGCGAGTCCGCCAGTGAGCCCAATCAAAGCTGCTCCAGCCACAGATGCAATGCCGACTTTCCATTTCCTCATATCATCTTTTTTCTTCGGTTGCTCTTTATTATCTTGGTCTGCTGAGAGCGCCAAGGCTGTCTGCAGCAATCCGCGAGCGACACTGACTTCGTCTTGATTGAGTATGTTGATATCTATGTTCAGACTGGACGTGACATTCAACATCAAGGCTCTTGAATAAGCACTGTAGTGCTCTAGGCTGAGCACTAAAAGGAGAAGGGAGTGAAGTATAAGCAGTCTTGTTGCTTTAGGAAGTTCCGCCAAGGGTGTTTCCACAGGATGGTATATTTCTTGTAATTTGACCATTCTATTTTTATCCTCATCCAATGGAACATCATCAGACTTGGCAGCATCCTGTAGCTCTCCTTGGCCTTCCTTTTTGCCCTGGCCATCATCTTCTTTATTGACGACCTCGCCAACGCGCAAAAGGACAGAATCCCTCCAATCTTCGAAAGCAGAGAGAGCAGTGACTTTTGTTTGAGGACTCAACGGTTTGCCATTAGAGACATGCCGCGGGCTTCCATTGTTTCCTGAAGCCTCCCTACCTGGTGGTCTTGGGGGCAAGGGTGGCGTGTCTTCATCGTGTTCCGCCACCGGAGATGGACGCGGACTGGAGTGATTGGGAGAGTTATCCTTTGGACTTGTATGTTCATAAATCTCCAAAATGCGAACCCGCATTGACTCGGCTACCTCAGCGACAAGGACAGTTAAGTCAGCACGTTGCGACCGGTCCAAGATCGATGATAGATCTTGACCGCGATCGCTTTCTGAAGCATTGGATTGCTTGGATTCAAAGAATCCACCATGTTTTTCTTTGAAATTTTTGAACATTGGCGTCAAATAAAGGCGAAAAAAGAGTTAACTTTTTGAAGGAGTAAACAGGCAGAAGCTGTTGTTCCAAGGTGGGAGAGGGGCGATGCTGTCATGGCCCCCGAGAGTCACGGGTATCGGGGCCGCTTACTCCGCCAATAGCCTGAGGCAGAAACATCTGAGCAAGTTGATATCACTCTGCTTTGCTTTACGCGGCATATTTCTGCTTCTTGCTTATACCAATGCCGTATGCTGTGGAAGGTTGACGGAACAACTCAATTGTCGATTTCAACAACAAAATATTTCCCCTTTGTCTTTGTAGCGGACCCGAGCGCATTCCCATCCCAAGCTGTTCCGTCCGGACGATCGTTTTTCTCGCCTGGGATACGCTGGATTTTCCCCCTTCGTCCGGACACTTTTTCCTTAGACAGAGCCTCCCTGAGCTTTTCGATACCAATTGTTTCTTCTTCTATAGCAGCAGGACTTTCGTCACGGATTCTAGCCAGCGGCGCGACGCCAGTAGTATCAACAAGTTGGATCTCCTTCACAAAATGGATTTGTGACTCGAGTGTATCAAGCATCGACTGCTCTTCTTCTTGATTGACAGGCTGGGGAAGAGCTGATATGCGGAGTAGATGATGGAGTTGTTTCGGCGTGATTGACGGCGGCGGCTTTGAAGCTGGGTTCGGGAGCAGCGACCGGACAGACCAGTTTGGCGCTCCAAGTATGAACTCAATGTCTGCACTGTCGGATTTTTCGGAAGAGTAGAAGCGGGAGGAGACCGCGTTGAGTCGGGAAGGACCTGGGCGCAGCGACTTGGATAGCCGAGCAGCAGTTCGAAGAGAGGCCATTGCAGAGTATCTGGGGATAAGAACCTTTTCCGTGGGAAGATATAGGAAGGAACGTAGTCGAGTGTTATAGAGAGAGCCCAGTCTAATATGAACAATGCAGTGTAAAAGTAGACAAAACCACAGGAGTCACCAAAGTCGTTGGTCAACACCGGGGAGCTTAGGCGGATACCGAAAAATAAGTGACACCGCCTCCACGGGCCCGCCGATCGATGCTCTCATCAATAGCAACCCCGTTTGGCCACAACACTCCAACTTCACATCGAATATCTGCGGACTACTGCTTATCGCAGGAAAACCAGACACATACACTCAAGATGACTCAAGATCCCCGTGTCCTGCTCCAAAAGGTACATGCTTCCCCCGCCTTAATTACATAGGCAATGACGATAGTCCGCATAGCTGACTAGACCTCGCTTGTTGCGATGAAATAGGCCGACAAGGCGCTATCCGGTGCCACTGGCGGCTTCAGCTGGTTTGGTGGAAGAGCAGAGAAGTACGAGAGTGCCGCAGATCTGTATACTCAGGCGGCAAATGCATTCCGAGTACAGAAAATGAGTAGGATACCTACCCCGCGACCTAGCTGGTTTTAACCACATGACTGATGTGTGTCCTCAAACAGACAAGGAGGCAGGCCAGGCTTTCGAGAAAGCTGCCTCCATCCAAACCCAGAGCCTCAACGAACCCGACGATGCTGCCAATAACCTCCAGGAAGCGTTCAAGGTCTACCGCAAGACAGACCCCGAGGATGCTGCTCGTGTACTTTCCAGTGCCATCCAGCACTACGTACTACGAGGAAACCTGCGCCGAGCAGCAACGCAGCAGCAATACCTGGCTGAACTCTATGAGGTGGAGCTTGGGGATATGAAGAAGGCACTGGAGGCATATGAGAAGGCTGCCGATTGGTTCGAAGGTGATAACGCTGAAGCGTATGTATCCCATGATCTCATGACATCTGTCAGTTCGAAGAAACAACTTGGCTAACATATACTTCAAATATAGCCTCGCAAACAAGCACTACCTCAAGGTGGCGGACCTGGCCGCCCTGGAAAGTGATTACTACAAGGCCATCGCCAACTACGAACGCATCGGCCGCAGCTCTATCAACAACCACCTGATGAAGTGGTCTGTGAAGGATTATCTCCTGAAGGCAGGTATCTGTCACCTTGCCACGAAAGTATGTTGTTCCCATGTTATTGTTCTCGTAGGAAACAGAGTACTAATTACATATTCAGGATCTTGTCGAGACTAACCGTGCTTTGGAATCATACCGTGAACTTGATCCTTCCTTTGGTTCGACAAGAGAGCACCAGCTGCTCGTGGACCTGACCTCAGCTGTTGAGGGTGGTGACCAGGAGGGCTTCGCTGACAAACTCTTCCAGTTTGACCAGCTCAGCAAGCTGGACAAGTGGAAGACAACCCTCCTTCTGCGGATCAAGAATAACATCGAGGAAGCTGAGGAGGACTTCTCGTAGATGGCGATTGTTTTCTTCAGTGATTCCCCGCGCGTGATGTCTAGAGAATATTGATTCTCCGGTTTTTGGCTTCTTTGTTCGTTTGTTTATCTTGAGATTTTTTTTTTTGGTCTGGAAATGAGAACAGATCAATGCTACCATCCATTACTTCTAGTGGTTTCTTTTGTCTAACTTCCTGGTGATATTGATCACCCTTCGCCTGGGAATATCAAATCCTCGAATCCTTGATGCTGGTCATTCAGATACTACTGTTAAATACGGAATGCAAGTGCAGAAGATTCGTAATTCATCATTTTAAGATGCCTCAGGTCTATATGTACTTTTTGGGCGTATCAGGCTCTCAATAGCAGAGCTGCCCCCATCATGTAATCAGTTCAGTCAAATGGTATCATATCCTCCACCTCGCCCGTGCTATTGACATCAACAGCTTACACAGCAATCGCATCCAAAGCCCTAGCCTTGCGGGGGAAGACGCGCTTGTACAAACTGACACCCACAGAGTCTTGCGGGTTGATCTTGGCATCGAAGGTAGCCTTGAAGTATCCATGTGTACCCAAGCTCTCCTTGAAGTATCCACTGCGGCCACGACGGGTCCACAGTTGAAGTGCCTTGAACCACTGGATATCCTCGGCGTTGAAGAACATGTACCGGATGGTAACGACCTTCTTGTGGATCTTGTAGGGGTGACCAGTGAGAATGGCACGCTTGGCAACCACGCGCTTCTGATCGGGTGCGACAACGGTACCAGTACCGATCAACTCGAGTTGGTCTAGAGCAATCGGCTCCTCCTTGGCATCGGCGGTCTCCATCTCATCGTCACCATCCTCCTGCTCGGCTTGCTTCTGCTTGAAGACAAGGATAGGAACTGAACCCCAGGTCATGGGTCCAATCCAGGATGCGATGGCACTACGACCGGGGTGCAAGTACCGGTCGTATTTGTGAACGTTGTTCGGTGTATTATCAGCCGAGGAGAAGATGGGGTTGACGACCATGCGGCGGGCACCGCACTGGACGACGAGCTGCTCCTTGGCCTTGAGGGGCTTCTCTACGCTGGAGCTCAGGGTCATGCTGACGTTGACCACAGTCTGCTTGTGCTCGTGGCGGAGCAGAGAGAAGAGCGAAGTAGGCTTGGGGCTGTTGCGCAGAATAGAAGGAACTGCGCGAAGGTGGATATCCACACGGACACCAGGGTTAACGCCGCCAGCCAAAGCCTCTCGAATGATGCGGGCCTTGGAACCCCTGACGTCAGCAAACTGCAGCAGTCGGCGCCAATCCTCAGGCTCGTAGGGACGGTCCTCGGATGTTTCCCAGTGGCTGAGCTTGAGGTTCTTCAATCCACGGAATCGGGCCAGACGTTCTCTGGCAAGCGCGTTGGGGTGCAATTCAATTTCGTCGGGGAACTCCAAGTCCTCTTCAGCCTCGGTCTTGCGGCTGGCGCGGTAGTCGGCCAGTTCCTGGGCCTCGTCCTCTGGGGAGGGGTCGAGGAACATCTCCGATTGTGGGTATTCAGTGCCACCGCCCTCGGTCATGGCATCCTGGTGGTCTGGGAACACGCCATCCTCGGGTGCTCCAGCAGTATCCATCTCCATAGGCTCATCCTCATCCTCCATGTCAGATCCGGAGTCTGAGACATCTTCGAGATACCAGGCAGACTGGTAATTTGAGGTACCCTTGGGCAACTTCTTAGGTACTGGGGGAATGTGCGAGTCGTCGTCCGAGAAGTAATGATAGTCATCCAGCAGAACACCCTTCTTCTCTGTCTCAGCCATGGAAAGCATGTCGTCATCCGCCATTTCAATTTCTTCGGGAGCAATAGCAGCCATGTCATCCTGGTCCTCGGAAGGGGTATCCAAGACTTCTGTCTCATTGGCGTCAACGGCCATTGAATCATCCCGCTTGGGCTTTGTGGTTGCTAGCGGCGCAGCGGTGATCGAACCAATCTGGAAATCGCCCCATCCAGGGAGATGAACGATGCGGTCTGCCTTCAGGCCCCGTCCACGAACAACTCCGGTGATGACGACATCGTCGACCACTTCCAGGTTGGACTCTGGCCACTGAACATTCTCGACAAACATCCAGCTGCGGTCGTCACGCCAGCGGATGCCCTTGGGGGTAGCAGTGCAGATAGAACGGATAGCATTGGAAGATTCCTGTCTGGAGTCGAGAGACATAACCTTCTCAATAGAAGGGAAGAAGTGGTTAATGAAAGACTTCAATGAAGAAGCCACCTGAGGGCGCTTCTTAGGAGGGTCAATCTTGTCGAGACCTTGCACGACAGTCAACACATTCGAGATACCCTGGCCTTGGATTGAGCGCAACAACATCTCGCCCTCCTCATCAACCTCAACTTCAGATGACATGACCAGGATGACAAAGTCGGCCATACGGCACACATCTAGAGCGCTCATCAAGTCGTACTTGGCGGGGACATACTGCACGCTTTGACGGAATCGATCAATGCGCACGCGGGTAGGTCCATCGGGGGAGACATCAGTCAAAACATCGACGCTTTCGTTGATAGAAGCAATAGCGGCGGCGGCATCAATATCGGCGGACAAAGGCACAATTGCGACATGACGGGGAGCACCATTCTGGCCGGTGAAGATGCTGGTGGCTTGGGATCTTTCCTGGTGCTTCAACGCCTGTCTTTGGCGGGCGGTGTTACGGCGATCGAGTTTCGTCTTGAGTTGTTGGTGGGGTGTTTTACGACCGCCCCGCTCATCACCTTCGATTTTGCCTAGATTTGTATAAATATTAAAATTATATTCTTAATCATACTTAGGCAGTTGAAAAATCATACCTTTGGCCTGGTCCTTCAAGGCGCTCTTGGAGGCATGTTTGCTCTTGTAGGGCTTGTGGGAAACCTTGGTGGTGGAACGGTGGTGGTGCACGGCAGGCGCCATATTGGCGTTGGAGCCTTTGAATCGGAAAGGGAGGGAGTCCAGATTGAAGTGAGTCAGAGGTAACTCGACAAATATTCAATCAGATCAATTTATAACTGACAAAATACACAGAAACAAGAACGAAAGTGCCTCTGTAGAAAAAAAAAAAAGGGTAACGATAAGAAATCAAAATTCGCCAGTGGAGGATAAGCGAGCGGTGAGAGCAAATCTTGGCGAAATTTTGGGCAAAACACTTTTTTTCTTTGAAGCTACGATTCTCGTCCTTCTTATCTTCCATAGTTCTTTCGCAAACGAAACTCGAGAAATTCCCAGAAAATGGCCGACTCAGCCTCCAACATGGCTGTCGCCAAGGGTGACCACGAAGCCAAGATGAGACTCGCAGCAGCCGAGCAAACCTACGGACGAGGCAAAGGTGCCAATGCGAAGAGTGCGCGGGACAAGAAGTTGCGCGCAAATCTCAAGAGACAGGAATTCAAACACAAGGAGGCTGTTCTTCAAGCCAAGGATGCAGAGATTCTGCTCGAGCACACGGAAGGATTCCTCGAACCCGAAGGTGAACTCGAGCGGACATACAAAGTTCGCCAAGATGAGATTCGGGACAGCGTCGGAATCGAGACAGCAAAGAAGGGATTCGAATTGAAGCTTCCTGATATGGGCCCCTACCGCATGGACTACTCTCGGAACGGACGTGACTTGCTGCTGGCGGGACGGAAGGGACATGTTGCGACGATGGATTGGCGCGAGGGCAAACTGGGCTGCGAGTTACAGTTGAACGAGACTGTGCGGGATGCCCGCTGGCTGCATAACAACCAGTTCTTCGCTGTGGCACAGAAGAAGCACACTTATATCTACGACCACCAGGGAACTGAGATTCATTGTCTGAGCAAGCACCTGGAACCGCTGTTCCTGGAATTCCTGCCATATCATTTCCTCCTCGCAAGCGCTGTGAGTGTCTTCGATTATTCGATCCCCTAGATCCCCTGCTAATCAGCCCTTTATATAGCAAATGAGCGGTCACCTCAAATACACAGATACCTCAACCGGCCAGACCGTCGCTGAGCTACCTACACGGTTGGGTAAACCCACCGCTCTCGCACAGAACCCATGGAATGCCATCCTCCATGTCGGACACCAAAATGGAGCCGTGACCCTTTGGTCTCCCAACTCCCAAACCCCTCTCGTAAAGGCACTTGTGCACCGGGGACCTGTCCGGTCACTGGCAATGGACCGCACAGGCCATTACATGGTCTCTACAGGCCAAGACCAAAAAATGAATGTGTGGGATATCCGCATGTACCGCGAGGTGCATTCATACTCATGCTACCAACCCGGCGCATCTGTATCGATCAGTGACCGCGGCCTGACTGCAGTTGGTTGGGGCACTCAAATGAGCGTATGGCGTGGTCTTTTCGACGCCGCGCAAGCCGACCAAGGCAAAGTGCAGAGCCCATACATGGCATGGGGCGGAGACGGCCAGCGCATCGAGAACGTACGCTGGTGCCCATACGAAGATATTCTCGGCGTAGGCCACGACCAAGGCTTCGCCAGTGTCCTCGTTCCCGGCGCCGGTGAACCCAACTTCGACTCACTTGAAGCCAACCCTTACGAGAACGTACGACAGCGCCAGGAGAACGAGGTCCACTCGCTGCTCACCAAGCTGCAGCCGGATATGATCTCGCTCGACCCCAACATCATTGGAAAGCTCGATACCATCAACGACAAGAAGTATCAGGAGCAGCGCAACCCGGACCAGAAGCCTGAGGATCACATGGAGAAGATCAAGAACCGCGGTCGTGGTCGCAACAGTGCTCTGCGCAAGTACCTCCGCAAGAAGGGTGGAAAGAATGTCATCGACGAGAAGCGTGTCAAGGCCGAGACGTTGCGCAAGGAGTATGCTTCTCGCACGAAGGACAAGCTCAAGCAGGAACGTCTGGATCTGGGACCGGCTTTGTCCCGGTTCGCCAAATGAGATCACTGAGTTTGTTTCTTGCTTGTGTGATATCTACATCTTGTGGAGGAGTGGAGGAACCAACCAACCCCTTCTGCCCAAAATCACCCAGATACCCAGCCCACACGCGGCTTCTGTGACATATTGGAGATTTGGCGACAGCTGCATTCCAGGCGTTCTCGGGGAATATGTTTTTGTATTCGGAGGGAAAAAGCAGTTAAACGTGTGTACCATCTACATTCAACACATTGAATATATTGAACTTTATAAAAAAAAACACCTTCCAATTGCATTTTGTATTCCCTTCCAGGGTTTCCAAGGTCATCCAAAAGGTCTTAGGAGTTATTCCAATCTAACCCTACAACTACCACCTGGGCAAGATATCTCTACTCATCAACACTCCCAGACCCCCTAACAGCCCCATCCTTCCACCTCTGCAAACTAACATCGTAAGCCCCACTCCCCTTCCAAGCACTAATAATCAAATTAACAATATGATCCATCCCCTTCCCATTCTTAACAACCGCAAAAACAGTCGGACCCCCTCCCTCATCTTCGCCGCATCCCTCTCCATAACAGCAAGATCCGCCCCAACAGCCTCAGCAAGATCAATCTTGTTCACAACAAGCAGATCAGACCCGGTAATTCCCGGTCCACCCTTACGAGGCACCTTATCACCACCCGCAACGTCAATGACGTAGACGATGAAATCTGCCAGCTCGCGCGAGTAGTTCGCCGCCAGGTTATCGCCCCCGGACTCGATTAGCAGCAAGTCTGTCGAGAATTGCTTTTGCAGCTTTTGCAGAGCGAGGAGGTTTGCGCTGATGTCTTCGCGCACGGCGGCGTGGGGACAGCCGCCCGTTTCGATGGCGCGGATGCGGGATGGGGCGAGGGCTTTGTGGCGGGTTAGGAACTCGGCGTCTTCTCTGTTTTTTGGGAGGTTGGTTAGTGGCGAGATTGGAGATATGCGCCAGGTGTAGGATTATTTAGGTATGTATGAGTCCTGTTGTTTGGGATGTGGAGTTGGGGTATTTTTGCTTACCTTGTGAAGATATCGTTCGTCACGGCGGCGATGTTATACTCGTCTCGAAGGGCGCGAGATAGCGCTAGCATCAGGGCTGTCTTGCCGGATCCTACGGGTCTATTCGGATCCAGATTCACGTTAGTCACTGGCTATGCATCTATAGGTGGTGATTTGAGGGGATATCATATGCATTGGGGGCATGAGGCAGGTGAAATAGAGGCTGAATGGAATGGAAAGGGAAGTTCATATACATACCCACCAATACCAATAGTGAAGGCACGATCCTTCCAGTCCCGGCCCTCGATCAGAGGCATCTCGCGGTTGACATAGGAGCCTGGACCATCGAGGATATCGTGGGCATGGCCGTGGCCATTGAAGGGATCATCGTGGGAGTGGTCAATTCCAGCATCGTGGGAGTGAGAGTGTGCCATTGTTAATCTTCCAAGATTAGTCGATGTGCCAAATTAGAGGATGTTTGGAGGAAAGTCCAGATGAGGGGCAGTTCTCTATCCCTTGGAAGGCCGGTGTGGGGAACTGATATGATAACAAATGCCGAGCTTCGATTTTATCAATTCGCCGATGGAGTTCGCCGAGTTCGCCGCTCAGTTTGGATTTTAAAGAGGCAAATTTTTGTTTAAATTGTGAGTTCGGAATCCATGGCTGTGGGAATACCGAGAAATATGCAACGATAGGTGTCCGAAATGAGTGATTCCATAGTAATACCAACCACGCTGCATGCGTATCTATAGACCCCCATACTTCGACATACCTTAGTATATAACTACGATGCACCATGATGATTGGAAAGCAGGTATTTATGGATTCGTCAAGTAGCGGCAGAAAGAGGATAAGCCCCGAATGGGGAGAGATGTCAAGCCAAATGGAACATAGAACACCCCTATGCACGCAGACGTAGTTCCCAAAAGAAACATAAGAGCCGGACGCCATATCATTCGCCAAACACGGATATCAATAGTTCTGTCTGTCCGCAGAAGGGGAAAAAAAACGAACAGACTGTCAAGGAGAAAGCGAGCATTGGGCAAAAGCCTAAATAAAGACCAATCCAAAAGTCGTCAAATCCCAGACATGGATGGCAAAAAGAATCAGAATGAAAACCGAACGGGAAAGAAATAGAAAACATGCAAGGTCAGGCGATAATCCCGAGCCAACCAAGGAAACGCTGAAAGGAAGATAGAGTACATTAGGTCGGAGCTGAGCAGGATTGATGAGGCCTGACGCCACTTCCAAGTCAAGGAAAATGGGCGGGGGCCTCAAACACTGATTAAATCCCGTCGATTGTGAATTGAGTCGTCATGTGCCAAAAAGCAAGATAGATCTTTCGACGGGACGAAAGAACTAGATGAGGAGTAAACAAACAAGAGTGGGCGCGACATGCCTCGCCCAGGTATCCAGTCGTACGCCGGTTCCACGCTGCTTCAGACAGCGGGGGGAAATGGGAAAGCAAACCAAACTCCCAACATGATCAGGCGGCGGCACCCTTTTGTCGCTTCGGCACCCGAGGGCTAGCCTTTACTTTCGCTGAGCCCTGTTGCGGAGCGCCGTTAGCTTCGACTCCACCACCGTCCTCGGTTTCCATTTTGACGGTGCTTGCCCGGCGACGTTTGTTGCCACCTACATTTGGACTGTTGTTCACGCCGGCTGGGGACGGCTGCATTGGTGGTTGCATTCCGGGGGGACCGGCAAGGTTACTTTGGGCTGGGCTCGCGTGTGCTGAACCAGTCAGATGAGGCGAGCCTTGTTGCCCGGGGAGACCAAGATGAGCCATGGCCGGCGAGGCAAACTGCGACGGAGCGCCTATGCTATGTCCCCGAACGTTTTGCATGGGTTGCATGCCAGGGTTCATACCCGGATTCATACCGGGGTTCATGCCTGGATGCATGGCTGGATTCATGCCCGGACTCATGCCTGGGTGCATCGTCGGATTCATGGCTGGGTTCATAGCAGGGTTCATAGCGGGATTCATGCTCGGACTGATGCCTGGGTTCATGCTCGGACTCATGCCCGGGCTCATACCCGGATTCATACCCTGATGCATACCCTGATTCATGGCTGGGTTCATGGCTGGGTTCATGCCTGGATTCATGCTTTGGTTCATAGGCATAGGAGTTGATACAAAGCCTGGATTGGGATTTTGCGACTGGAGAGTGTTGACGAGATTCCGCAACGCATCAGGAGGTGATAGCTGTGGATTTGCTTGCGAAAATTGGAACAACATTTGCATCGCAGAAATGGTTTCAGCCACTTCCATGAATCCCATAACTGGAGTAGGCACACCATTGGCAGTCACATTGGAATCTGGCACTAATGATGGCGCTTGCTTAGGCTGAGCACGTTTTGAGTTCTTCGAGACCTTCGGACTTTGCTTTTGGGAATCCGCCTCCATGGCCAACAACAAAGACCGCGGAATGAACTCGTTGTGGCTGACGACATTGACATCGAGCATCTCAAGCTTGTTGTGCATATCGAAATGCGCGCGCAGAGTGCCGTTGGTGAAAAGCTAAAGAGATAGGAATTAGCAAGCCGTAAAGAAGAGGATCATGTGATAAGGGATGTACCTGGCACTCATTCTTGAACCAATAAATGAATGAACATTTCGGGGCTTCCACGTAATGGCCTCCATTGGGGGATTCACGCTCGCGTGCCCCTTCTACCACCATCTGAATTTGACTAATCCCGCTAGTGAACTGAGTCAAATAATAACGTGCCAGTGCGGGAGTCCCGATTTCGAATTGTTTAGATCCAATAGTGTTGTTCCAAACACCCTGCCGCAACACACCTACAGGGGAGTAGAAACGATCGACGAACGATTGCCAATACAAAAGATCCTGGGTTTCATTGCGGGGTTGGAAGTTTCCCAGATGCTCAGCGTAGGCGTGAATGGTCAAAATTGCGTTATTCTTCCTTTGCTGTTGCTGTTGTTGCTGCATCATAAGAGCATTCTGGTGCTGCTGTGCTTTCAACTGAACCTCCTGGGCGGTCATCTGCTGATTCTGAGGACCCGGCTGCGGGCCCTGGGCACCCTGAGGAGGTTGAGGCTGCGGACCAGGCTGTCCCTGTTGACCGGGCTGTTGCGACTGCGGCAATGGCTGCGATGGGGGATTAGGAGTTGCCTGGCCTTGAGGTGGGCCCTGCGGTTGCGGAGGTTGGGTGGAAGGCGGCTGAGAGGTCTGAGAGGGTTGTGGTGTGCCGCCTCCTGGTCCGCCATGCTGCGACTGTGGAGTGGCACTTTGTTCGTGCATATTCGGGGGCTGTGCTGATGCACGCTGCGGGGTATGCTGGCCTGATTGTCCATTATTTGCCTGCTGTTGAGCATGTTGAGCCTGCTGGGCCTGCTGGGCCTGCTGTTGAGCCTGCTGGATAGCAAAAAACTGCTGCTGCTGTTGAAGACTTGGTGGCTGGCCATGTGGCATTTGCTGCTGAAGGTGCATCATATTGACGGGTCGCATTCCAGGGTTCGCTTGCATTGCAGCCATTTGAGCAGCATTAAGACCTTGGGTACCATTAGGCATTGACACGGGGAGACCCTGTTGTTGCTGCTGCTGTTGCTGCTGCTGTTGTTGCTGCTGTTGCTGTTGTTGTTGCTGTTGTTGCTGTTGTTGCTGCTGCTGTTGTTGTTGCTGCTGGTGCTGGTGCTGCTGTTGATGCTGATGTTGAAGCATCATTCGTTGCCGCATTAATTGTTGTTGTTGTTGGTGTTGGTGTAATAGATGGGGATTGTTCGCGACTATAGATTGATCAGGACGTAAGTATGTGATCGCGAAAGACGGCTGGAAGAGATGCAGGTATAGCGGGGAAAAGGAAGTCACCGCAGAGGGCGCCGATCGCGTGTTCCGAAACCTCAAATCTCGCACACCATCGCGTCAAGCAATTAGGAGGTTGAATACTAACAATTTTGTTGGAATTGGTTGTTCTGAAGCATATGCGCCTGCGCGGGATTCAGGTGGGAGAGGGCATGAGCATTTGGGCCTGGGCCACCAGGACCACCAGGACCAACTGTCCCAGCGCCCGGGGGCATTCCGCCCATCATCGGCCCCGGTTGGCTGACTTGGGGTCCTCCCGGCGCAGATACACCAGGATGCATTTGTTGTACCATTCCAGCACCGGGGTGTCCATTTGGATGTTGCGCGGCCATTGGGTGATTTGGGGGGAACCCATGTTGCGGCATGCCTTGGTGGGCAGGAAATGGCTGCGTCATCATCATTGCTGAGCGACGAAGTCACCACAAATGGGGGACTTCAAAATGATCGCTCGCGATGGCGAAAATGTGGGCGAAACGTGGCGTGGAACGCGACTGGAGTGGGAAGACAACAGGCCGCTTTTAGCGTTCGGGGATGGGCCAAGACGTAGCGAGCGACTTCAACCGGTATTCAGCAGACACGAGGCGCTGAAGTATCGATCAGGGGCCTCTTGGCCAAGTCACTCACCCGCGCAATGAATCTTTTTTTTTTTTTTCCTTCTGAGAGAAATGGGTGGTCAGTGGGGAGTGATAAGAGGTGAAGATGTCGGGGATGAAGGTTAAAAGTAACGGGGCTAGGGGAGAGAGTGGAGGGGCTGGGCTCTCTCTCTCTCCAAACAGCCATATCTTAAAGAAACACAACTCACAAGTAGTTATTTTGTCTTCCTAAGGAATCTGAATATTAGGGGGCTGAAGGTATAACGCCCAAGTCAGGAATTAAGGATGATCGCCCGGTGGGAGAGAGAGAACTGGGGACGGAGGATCCGGGTCCGTAAGGTGGAGGATCTAACCGAGACGACAACGCGATTAATCCAAAGATAAACAGGGATAGAGAGGGGAGAAAGGGACTATAATGAAATAGGGAAATTGTATAGATCTTAAAGTATAAGCTCCATCTTTGATTCTGATTTTTTTGGCCCTTTTGGAGACCTTTTTTTCTTCTCTCTCTCCTCTCCTGCGCACACCCACGCTATTCCTAATTGGTAAATCACGTGTGTCTTTCGCGGCTTTTTCTTCACAACTTTTTTTTTTCTTTTCTTCTTCTTCATCTTCCTCTTTGTCTTTCATTCTTCTTTCCAATGGTACACAACTGTGAGGACTCTTAGGAGTCACTCACACTCTTCCTATCTACTGCAGATTGTCAATCTTTGTTGTTTCATGCTTCTCAGGTTTCCAGAGCTCTCTTGATGTTGACTGCGTCTGTCTCCTGAGTATAGCATGACCCAATGCCAATAATACATGCATCTTACGATGCTTCAATCTCACCACTAACCTGATAAACATCAGGTGATTGCACCTTATGCTTAATGTGAGTTTACTTCCTTCTGATTCCTGCATTCGCAATATTCGTTCAAAGATGAAAGAAAACTTTACTTCTTTACCCTCCAAATCGACAATGCGGAGACAATACGGACCTTCCTTCCCGGTCGGTCTGCTACTTGCCAGTATATCTTGCTGAGAACTCATTATATTGCAATGCATTTTTTCCATGTTTGTGTTGTGAACAATTCACTAATATTGTTCTCAGTCTAGTTCCAATCACAAAACCACGATGCATAAAAGGATATCGCTCGTTGTAATGGCGAATTGATCAAGTGACGAAAAATTTCTCGGATGTAAACTCACAGACCTGTTCTGAATGCGCAAAACCGTGTAGAGATTTCCGTTGCCTTCCTTCTGATGATCAATTCGCTATTACAGCTGTGTGTTGTCTGGATATATAGTTGTGGAATACAGAAGGAATTTTTTTTTTTTTTTCTATAATATATGTCTCTTATACTCCGTAGCTTATGACCAATTCGTACCTGAAACATGTCTCATAGACCTTAACTAAGCCATATAAGAATTCGGTGAAGTCTTGCGAGGTTTATAATGGCTGCCAACCTTAGCAAACTACTTATTATGGGTGAACATCTTACTCCGCACTTATCACTTCATACATAGCTGTGGCTTTAACCAAGCCCTATGTTGTAGGAAGCCTATGTTGTTGTTAGTAGGTGGGCCCATCTGTTAAAACCAACTCCGGTACAATTATACGGAGTACAGATTGAGTGCAGACTACCTATGTAAAGGCACGTGAGGTTTTAGCCGCCTCAGCAGTTTCCATTTGACAAACTCAAGCATGGTCTTGGTCCGCAAACCATTCTCTAGGTTCCTTCTCTTTCTCCTGGAGTACTAGAAGTGTAAGACTATCTCACCATAGGGTCTAGTGCAGTACACCAGGCCTATGCGGTTATGGTCCCATTCATCCTGCGAGAGTGTTACGACTCGGTGCATAGGATATTTGAAGTGCTCCCCCGTTAGGAGCGTAAATAAGCCCCCTATAAGGACTGTGATTGTGTCAGGGAAAGCAGGTCGAACATACTGCCGCTAACTGTCATTTCTAAGAGTAAGTCCAGTGATAGGATAGTTAGAGAGAGGCACCCACGGCTCCTTAGTTAGGGGCTAATGCTGTCATGCACTTCGTGTGTCGGTTGGCCATACTTCATGTAGAGTAGGTTTCCTGGGCTGGCATCTTTTAGCTGCGCAGTTTTGATTCAAACGTTACATAGGAACACCCTCTGCACAGTTTATGCCCTTTATCGCCTTCGCGTACACCCGAGCAGGCATCAAAAAGGACAACAAAAAGGACATTAGAAAGACATAAGAAATTATATTTGAGTGCAGACAATCTTCGGTGCACATCGTTTCTTTCCTACATATCTAGTTATTTACGCCTGTTGGTCAATATTTATGTAGGTCAATCCAGTTTGATGAACCTTGGAAATAGTTATAGCTTATGCACAACATAATGTACACGCCAATGCCGTTAGTGTCGCCCCCTTCTTTCATTCCTACAAACAGCCGCACGACAAAAAAACATCTTCCAATTTCAGGCCGTCTACGTCTTTCCTCAAATTAGCCACAGCACTTGCGTACCGGCCCTGGGAGTTCTCCTCTTTTTTTTCCAGCACATCTGGTGATTCCTTGGTGGCTATACGTGGTCATAGTGAGGTGATATAGGTAGAATTCGTAGTATTCAAAGGTTGGAGCAGGTTATACGTGAAGTTCATGTAATATCCTGGACCCGTTTATCACCATCTTGTTCACCTGCACACCTCTAGATAGGCTATATGTTCGTTCGGTCTTACATTGTAGTCTTGTTACAGCTCTATTATCGTGCCATCTGTCTTGCGCTGCATTAATTCATGTCCATGATTCTCAAACATGTACCTAGTAGGTGTAGATAGATACTTGCTAATAGAAGAAAAAGATATTCCAAATAACCATAACCAACAATATTTCTGCTCAATTGTTCGTTGGGCTATCCTACAGACAGTTTCCCATAGAGCAATTGAATCAAATGTGTGTGAATTGAAGCATGACTCTAACCAAAGCTACGCGTCTTCGACTAAATACATTCGATGACTACTTAAGTGACTAGTTACATGTATAATGAAAGAGGGGCTAAACACCCCCTATGTATTCCATGGGACTCGACAAGTGAACTATGATGCCCAAATGCGTAGCGACTTGTTGGAGAACACTCACGAGAAAGACTCGTTTGATTTGGGTGTGGAGCTGCATGGGCCTCAACGATGTTGATGCCTCATGCATAGGCACCCGGGTTGCTACCGGACCCTCCCTATATGTTGTCTCATGGGGGCTACGGTGAGATGGTGATCGAGAGGGAGAAGGCTGGAGGAAGAAGAGAAGAAGAAGAAGAAGAAGAAGAAGAAAAGGTGACAGGGGTCCTTTTATATGTTCACATCCCAGGTACCTTCCTAAAATGGACACTCTCCAACGCACCTTCCCTGATAGTTTAATGTCACATAATACAATGGTCTCATATACTGTGATATGAAAGCTATAGCAAAATAATGAGCTCTCGTCTAAAGAATAGAGTGGATGGGTCGAGGTACATTATTTTGAAGCATCTTTTAGAGCACCTCGGTCTGGTTTCTATAGATTATATGTGGAGTTGAGACTAAGGCAATATATACTTGCTTCCGCGAGATTCAGTTGCGTGATTTATATGGACGGATGTGCAGATTGTTTTCAGCCCCTAGTGAGACATGAGTACTTGAGACATATGTTGTAGGTACATATGTATGGTAGGAGGGTGGCGAGGTCAAGAGGAATGCAGCAAGTTCAATGCCAGTCGGCTCTATAACTAGACAGAGGGGCTCGTCTTTGGCACGTGTATTTGTGGCGCTGGATGGGACACAGACAAGGCATTCTATCCGAGGATATGGTGGGATCGTCAGATGATGGAAGTAACTCAACTTAGAACTTTGGGCATGGGGGTAAATCGGTGGCCTTAACCGTTTAATTACAGTACTGTCATAGTCCATCCTGCATTGGATATATATGTCAAACTCGTTCGATCCCCAGATGTTGTGGCCAAGAAACTGAAGATTGACGAGAAGTACCTTTTGGATGTGAAACCCATACAAAATATACATTTTCCCGTTAGTCGCGGTGGAGACGAAGCGGGTACTAGGATCCTCGACTGAAGAATGGATAGAGAGTGAACCTTACGCGGAATGGAAATGTGGACATAAGCCTGAGAGGTTTGAGACTATTGTACCTTTTTTTTTTCATATAGCACTCGTAGAAAAGGTACTTAATAAAATACTAGGAACCTCAGGCGGCGGCGAATGCTGTGAAGAAAATATAAGATCACGTGACACAACATTTCTCCTTCGTAGGGCCCGATAGGGACCCTGCGCCACTCGCGACTTGGTGCACATATCTACTAATCTCGGTGATATCAAATAAAGCTCCGGTGACAGTGTCCCGGATGTATTCGTCAATTCAAAAAGTCCGGCCGTCGGTTGCACGCCCTTGCCGATTTGTTGCTCGCCGCCGCTATTCCGCACCGCTGTCCGCGCGACGATTCCATCTGTCACGAACATGGCTCGCATCGCCGTCCCAAGACCCTGAGGATGCCGAGTCTACGGCGCCAGGGAATATTGTGGAAGACCCTTCCCTGAAAACTGAGAATATCTCCAGCAATGGCACGCCGGCGACATCTCCCGCCCCCGAGTCGGCCAAGTCGATCACCAAAACCTACGGATCTGCCGTACGCAGAGCGATGCGAAACCGAAAGTCCTCGCAGCAGACTTCCCCATCAACGGCAACTGTCCCCGCGTGGTTCTACGAGCACAATAAAGTGTCTCACGGCAGCGAAGACCGCCACCCTACACAATCACTACAACAGGTTCAGGTAACCAAGTCACGGTCACACAAGGAGCCGGAGGAGGTGCAAACTGAGAGTCAGGCTTCCGGGGGAGGCTCCGACCCATCTGCCTCCAGTGAACCACCCACAGCACCGGAGAATCGGTATGCAGTGGCCGAGGAATCATGGGAAGAGCTGCGAGCCTCCGCCAAAGCAGGGTTGCGGTTACCAGCTGCGAAATATGCCAAAGAGCCTTCGGTGAAGAAATCGCATCTGGCGCTGCATTATCCGGGTAGTGATGGAATACCATTCCTAGACGCGGTGGTGAAGAAGCTTGCCCATGAGTTGGGCACTGACCTGGTAACTCTGAATGCTCAGGACATTGCACAATTGTTCAGCGAGCAAGATCTCGCCGATGTCGGGGTAACATCGCCCATTCGATCACTCGGCTATGATGTATATCGGCAATCCGTCCCAAGTTCATGGTCGGAACTCGAAGACCCCGAAGATGACGGCGAGGATGACGTGACTGAAATGGCAGGTGGTCCCCGTGGTATGCGCGGCGATACCAGTGCACCTCGGTTCATCACAATCGAGAGCAGCAAAGAGGCCGGTGACATCCCGCTTCCAAACTGGCTTGGGCTGAAAACTCTCCTGGGGGGATCGATCAATGGCCAAACAGATCCGGATCCTGGGGCCGGGGCCTCACGAAGTGGCCAGCGCGCTGAAACTCGATGGATTCAACTTGTCAATGAGCTCCTCGGCTCACCAGCTCAACCAGCACTGCCAGTTCCCAACGAAACAACAGAAATTACTGAAACGAAAGCCAGTGAAGCTTTGCCAACTCGAGACATCATTATGCATATTCAAGACTACCGTGACATTCAAAACACCCGAGAGGGGTCCAAATTCATCACACTTTTGCACAAAGTCATCCAAGATCGCAGAGCGGCGGGGTCTAAGATCCTGTTGATCGGAACTACCTCGCAGGAGATCCACCACTCACCCTCACAAGATGGTGCTGGTCTGCTGCAGAATGTTCTCGATGATCAGTTCTCAAAGACCTTGTTCATTACCCCTGCCATGAGCTCGAAAGACGCCGAAAAGGTCTTCGCAGAGGACCGAAAGAAGCGCACCATGGATATCAATATTCGCCACCTGCAGAGCATGCTTCGCTTCCGACTACACGAACAGGCCCTGCCTGTACAGGATAACATCTTGAGCGACCGTACTTGGCCGCTGGAACCTTCAACCATCAAAGAATCAGGAATCGAGGACCGGTACTGGTCATACAATCAAGTGCATTGGATTTCTACCCTTGCACTTGGCTGCGCTGAAGCCAACGAGCCTCTCGGGTTTGAGCACATCCGACGTGGACTCGAGCTCATGGATAAAAGCGACCGGGTCACCAATGAATGGCTGAAAGAGAAGTCACCCAAGCAGAAAGATTCGGAAGCAGGGCAGACCAGAGAGCAGCTGATCAGCTCTTTGCGCAAAACGTGCAACACGCACGAGAAAAAGCTGCTTAACGGTGTAGTTGACGCAAAAAGCATCCGAACCACATTCAACGACGTGCATGTACCCCCCGAGACCATCGACGCCCTGAAGACCCTGACTTCCCTCTCCCTTATTCGGCCCGAGGCATTCACATATGGTGTCCTCGCCACCGACAAGATCCCCGGGCTTCTCTTATACGGACCTCCAGGCACCGGTAAGACACTCCTCGCCAAGGCCGTAGCCCGCGAGAGCGGAGCAACAGTCCTCGAAGTCAGTGGGTCTGAAGTGTACGACATGTATGTGGGCGAGGGTGAAAAGAACGTAAAAGCGATCTTTACACTCGCCAAGAAGCTCAGCCCCTGCGTCGTCTTCATCGACGAAGCGGATGCCATCTTCTGCTCACGCACCGGAGCCAGCAGCCGCACCTCCCACCGTGAACTCATCAACCAGTTCCTGCGCGAGTGGGACGGTATGAATGACCTCTCGGCATTCATCATGGTCGCCACAAACCGACCCTTCGATCTGGATGACGCTGTCCTCCGTCGTCTTCCCCGTCGCCTACTAGTGGATCTACCAACCGAACAAGACCGCGAAGCCGTTTTGAGAATCCACCTGAAAGAGGAACAGCTCGAGCCCTCCGTCGACCTCGCTGAACTCGCCCGACGCACGCCGCTGTATTCCGGTTCCGATTTGAAGAATCTGTCCGTGGCGGCTGCATTGGCTTGTGTTCGCGAAGAGAACGATGCAGCGGCCAAGCACACCGGTGACGAGCCATATGTCTACCCTGAGCGCCGCATTCTCACTCGTACTCATTTCGAGCGTGGAATGGAAGAAATCAGTGCTTCGATCAGTGAGGATATGTCTTCGCTGTCGGCGATTCGGAAGTTCGACGAGCAGTATGGTGATCGGAAGGGTCGTCGCCAGAAGAGCCCTGGATGGGGATTCATTCCTGGTGCTAGTGGTGAGGCTTCATCTAATTCGGCACGTGTTCGGACTTGATTTTTTTCATATGTTTCATGCGAGGTTTCTCGCCGGCTTGTATACTGGGTTATTTTACGTGGATTGGGGGAATTGGGAGTTTCCCACTGTACTTTTAGCGATATGATAGACCTGTACCATTACTCAATTGTATATACTGCCACCTGTTTTTGGGCAATAAAATTTGCATTACTTCTCATTTAGATGTCTTTGCTAGAACATTAGTTATACCTTTATTCAATCTAGAATCACGTAAGGCGTAAGGCGAGTACCCACCTGTACGTACATGTGAAGGATCTTAGATCTAGCATTGAGCTGGACGTGTCTACTGGCTAGCTAGTGACCACCCAGCTATATCTACATATTATAGATTTCTAGCTGTAAAGGCAACATATTTGGGTACTTACTGTATAAGGTCAGTTAAAGTTAATCACTTGAAATATCCTATAGCCTTTCAGGTTGGAGTTTGCCCAGTGAAGCGCTGGTAGAGGTGCAGACTGAGACATTATGTGTTACACATTCACCGGATTGTACATGATAAAGTGTTCTTTCTTTCTTTGTTCCTTTAAGATAGAGAATGTCAGAAGCAGCATGTAAAGAAACACATGAAATTCATTCTTGTAGGATAGGGATATAAGGCGAGAAGAGTAGCTAATTGATCCTTCTTTTCCCACCCACTTTCTATCCACCACAATAGAAGATTCACTCCACTTACTCTATCTAGTAGAACTGCATAACTACATCCTGCTGTTACAGGGTACTAGTTACCGGACTCCAATATGCCGGTAAGTAGATCCGCTCTAAGCAGTGGATAAGTACTAACGCCTTGCTTTCTGCAGAATCGACCGAGGTATTTCTACATTCTGAACCAAAGTATTCATGCAGAGCATATGAACTAACTGATATATATCAGTATACCCGTTTCAGAGGAATGCATATCTGCATTCAACGAGCTCCGATCAGGACCAGAAGCTACCAGACCGAAGTTCATCATCTGCAAGATCTCCGACGACAACAAGAGCATTGTACTCGAGGAAACATCCACAGAGAAAGATTGGCATTTCTTTCGCATGAAGCTATGTGCTGCAGTCGACAAAGATGGGGGTCTGGCTCCTCGGTATGCCATCTACGACATGGATTATGGTTTTGGGAGCAAGGGAAAGCAGTAAGACATCAATCTCGTGACTTGATGAGTGCAGTTGAGTGTTTTTCGCTAATTCTAGTCCCTGGCTGTGTAGAACCATGACGGTTTTCATCGAATGGAGTCCCTCCTGCGTGCCTCTCAAGGTGATTTGTCTTTCGAACTCGCGTGTCCATTGGCTTGGTCATAACGTGCTGACTGTATTGCAGAAGATCTTGCTCTATCTTAACAATAGGCAGCAATTGACTAGTCCTTTCGATCTCAAAGTATCAATTGAGGCAGACTGCATCATGGACCTCGAATGGGCGGCTGTCATGGAGCAGGTCCGTGAGGATGTCAGCGAGCTGAGTATGGGGAAATGATCGGCGTTGCTTAAGTACCATGCATGAAGAGGGATTGTTTCTTTAAAACATAGTAACAAAGTGGGAACGGTGAACGAAGAGATTGATATGAAATATTGATTTTTGACTGGTCTTGGAATTGTGCTCAATTGGATTTCTTGATATGCTTCGAGGGTTAATGTGAGATTGTATGATGCCACTGTTGTAGACCTTCATCTTAAGCAGCTTCCAAGGTTGGTATAGCGCGAGTCATTAGGTGAATAGCACCACTTGGCGTTGCGCCACTCCATGTATTGGGCTGAATAGGCGAGGTCTCTTTTTTTCCTTCAATTGCTTTGAATCGCTTTGTATTCCCGACTATAACATTATATAAGATCGGAGTTTTTAGAGCAAATGACAAGTAGTTCTGGAATATTCAAATCCAACAGACTGTATGTCCACGGGTTGTATGTTGTAGAGAAATGAAGGATGAAAAATGGAAATTCAAGAAAGTTGAGGTTATCTCCGCATTCGGGCACGTGCCATATGACATGAAGTCTGATCATCTCGCCACATGACTTGACCAAAAAAAAAAAAAAAGTCCGATGTTTCTTTTGCTTTTTGCTTTTGTATTTTGTATTTCCCCAATTTTGCATCTTTTTATTCGAAGAAGTGCGTGGGAAACCCTTCGGGCAAGAAAACCTTGCTTCAAAGCCCCCCACTTTCTCACCCGAACAACTTCCCCCCACATCCACAGATCGCGAAAATGATGGCCACAGGGTCTCGGGATACCTCAGTTCGTGAGGCCAAAGTCTTCATCAAGGAAGTCGTACGAAATGACTGGGATTTCGATGCCGGCGTTCCCTCCCCGTGTTCCGCCGATGGCACCCTTTGCTATAACCGTGAAGTTTGCGAATGGCGAGTCCGAGAATTCGATACCCCATCCTCGGAACTCGAACCCCAGAGCTCAGATAGCGAGCAAGAATATGATCCGTCAGCTGTGCTGAAGCTCGCCCCGGGAGATGCGGGCATCGAGCGCCGCCGCAAACGCCGTCGACAAATGGATGACGAAATGGCATGGAACGAAGGGCTACGCTTATGGATGGCCAGACGCGATGCGTGGTGTGGTGCGAAGACTCGGCGGCAAATTCGGACGGAAGAGGAAAAGCGCAAGGTGACTGGTGCACAGATGGACACAACAGATCAGTCCGATGGCGTGGAGCTGGGAGACAATGACGCGACTTCGTCTGGGTCATCCCAATCTGCGATGCTGGGTGCTCGGGGTAGTGAGGGTATTGGCTCTTCTGATCTGGCGGTCCGGACCGAGACTTCGCTTTCCATCGCGGATCGGGAGAAGGGCGAGGAGCTCCAGCAACGAGTGGATATGACTTCGGGACAACAAGAGGATCAGGAGGAAGGATTGTCTACCGCGCCGGACGAAGGAGCTAAACGGAAGGCTTCGTCAGAGACCAACATCACAGAGCCGGATCAGAAAGTTGCCGCAAACGTGTCTACGTCCTTCCCGGCTGTCGAAGACCAGACAGAAGAGGAGAAGGTGGAAGAAGAGCTGGATGAACCACTTTGTCCTGTTGCCCCACCTTTTATTTCAGACGAGAACCCAGTTCGCGCAACCATCAATCCCGCAATTTACCCTTCAATCTACACCAAGGTTGTCGTGCAAGGCATGACCCCCACCGTGCCAGTCAACCTCGCCCATTTGACTAAAGCCATGGTTCAAGGGTGGAAAGCAGATGGGCAGTGGCCGCCAAAGCCAGCCGTGACATCGATTGTCCTTGCTGATGATGCCTCTGTGCCTAAGAAAAATCCAGATCGCTCTGCCGAGGAGGCGCCGCAGGGCAGGAGGAAGAATAGCATTACCAATGCTGTGAAGAAAGTGTTCCATTTTGGATCGCATCCCTTCCACCGCCGCGGCAGCCAGGATACCGGGAATGGAGCCGGGGGCCCGACGGCTTAAGTGGATTCTGCTATCTATCTTGTCGATTATAAGTTAATTGCATGGCCATCAACCCAAGGGTCGGAATGACTTCAACTGGGTTGCTCTGGCTTCATCGGGCGTCTACTCTGGGAGGTTTTATTTATGTTTTCTTGCGTGTTCATAATCTGAACATGCTGGTGTTTGATTTACTTTCTAGCTCTGCACAATGACGAAATGACATCTGATGTGTAATTTGGTTCAATCTTATACAGTCCCAAGTTTTGCATCTGGGTGCTTCCCGAGGTCTCTCCTTTAGATCTCATGAAGTACTGGTATCTTTTTCTTTTGTATGATTTGTGACCAATGTTATAGCTTCTTTTACCCTGTTTTGAAACGACCCGTTTTGTGTCTAGACTGACTATTTAATGCAGTTTTGACGAAGGAACAGGTATATTTCAACCTCATGCCAATATGTATACGGACCAGTCTACCCATAAGGTGTATTCATGCGCGCCTAAACCAGCTAAAACAGCCGAACAAAGAACTCACTCCTGATCTAGATATCCAAGACTTCCAAGACCAGAATTTTGATTGAGATAACGGCAGAGCCGTTGCAAATTCTCTGGTCTATTATATCTAGCGCCCCGATCTACAACCCGCCTCACTTTCAATTTGTCCCCCTGTACAATCTCCTCCCTCGTTCGGACATACAGCGGACGGAGTCCGAACAGTCTCTTGAGATAGAACCCTTATATAATTGGGGATATGAAATATTGTGTTAATCTTTTTAGACATAGAAAATGCTTGTTATTAAAGTACTTGATAGATCAGAATATCGGAACCTTGTAGTTGTTGGATACAAGTATCAGCCACCAAAAAAAGACGCCGCATAAGTGGCGTCTACCTTATAAAGATTCACCCACCTCCACTCATTTTTACTAGTGCAGATCCCTATACTTTCTCTTAATATAATCCTTTATCTGTCTGAAGTGAATCTGAAGACAATTGGCATATCTCTTGGCCGCTAGTTTAGGGGTCGGTGTTTATAGGGTAGACTGTTGTAGTACCTAAGAGCATATCCCGGGCAGAATTAGGGCTATCACTACCCTCCCTCAAAATAGTAAGACTACCTTCTCTATTTAATCAGGGAACATAGCTAACTCTTTGAGGGCTTTGAGTGATTTATAGAAAATACAACATAGGTGAACCATATCCAATGTAGTTTAGTTTATGTACTCGTAGTCCTGTGAAGCAATGCCCAAGACATACTCTCCATCACATCGGATCTGTTACTAGCTATGACCCCCAGTGATCGACCCAACGTAAACATTGAAGTTATAATGAACACAGCTATCCTTAACATTCAACCCTCCCTGACCACTCAGAATCGTCTGTCCATCGCGAGTCACCGCGAAAGACTGGGCCCCAACCCCCATACTCACATTCGAAGTGACAATCCCCGCCGGAACATCAATGCTAACAGGAGCATTATCCCCACTCTGCACAGTCAATGTGGCCGGACTCGTTAACATAGTCGCGACAAAAATGCTATCGCTTAGCATGTCGGCACCATTTGGTGCTGAGAGGTTATCACCACTGCACACGACGCCTTTGGGCGTAGGTCGGTACCAGTATACGACTTCGTCTGCTTCCACGGTAGGGGTTTTTGCTCCGGATTTATAGGCTGCAATATAAGGCTTGAATAGATTGCGCCAGGCGTCGTGTGGCATGTTTTCTGCCCACTGGGCTGATCCGTCGTCACTGTGGTGGGCTGAGTAGGGGCCGATGTAGTGAGATTCGCCGTAGTCTGTATACATAACTGCGGTTAGGAGGGAGTTTTTCTGGAGGATTTCCGGGGAATATATAAGGTTAACGTACCATTCCATGAGACAATCTCGATCAAGTCCGGCTGAAGGGAAAGCATTTGCTCCCAACGTAGTGTTGGCAGATTCTCGCAAATGAAAACCCAGTTTTTGGTGTTGAAATGGGTTGAGAACCAGGGTGAGACGGCTATATCTCATCGAGTCAGTTTACTATTCAACTTAGAAACAAGGTTACTAACGAGCCATATAGGTTTTCCCCGCGAGGAAATGAACAAATCTATCATCCCAGACGGTAGTCATCGGTCCTGGGATGATACTATTTCCCCATCGGTTGGCCAAGCCAGCCACGAGAACGCACCATCAGTGCTTTTAGCAGGGCCAGTGGAAGCCTCAGCCGGGTCTTGGAGATTTGGCAATGCGTAAATGGGATGTGGTGTACCCTGCTTCACTGCATCCCAATTGAAACTGTCTCCGACAAAAGTACTTACCACCGCGCCTCCCTTGTATTGCATCTGCGCTGGGTGACCTGCATATAGTTTCATATACTCTGTGATCTTTGCGGTGTCCCCATTGGTCCAATAGGAAAAGTCGAAGGAGATGAATACTTTGAAGTTGACTTGCTGGGCTGCTTCGTAGGCTAGGGCTAGTTGAGTTGGGGTATAGCTGTCTATGCTTGCGCAGTTTAGGGCGAATGCGTCGATTCCGATGGATTGGGCTGCGGTCATGTCTTCTTTCCAGTCTGACAACTGGTAGTCTTTTACTATACCGACCTAGGTCCATGGAAGCTATGTCAATGATAGGGAATGGTAATCAGGTTGTTAGAGTGCTAACCATGAAGTGGGCGAAGACATATTTGTCTGACGCCTGAGTAGTCAACTCCAAGTCCAGAGCTGGGGCAGCTAAAGATGGGAGGATATGTGCCAATATGACCACAGCGTTGAAGAGAGATTTCCAAATCATAGTCGCTAAGTTTATAAGTTAATTTTCTCAATGATGTGGATTTCCAAGGTCTCCTAACAGATTATATAGTTCCAATATCATACTTCCCAAAACGTACTAAACCCGAAACAAATAAAGCGAGACAAGTGGAATACCAATATAAGCCTTGGATAATAACTTCAACGGCGAGTATAAATCTTGTTTCCTTCTACCCGCAGAATACTGTAACACCCGACATTCCATCACATCCACGTGAGATTGTGTAGTATTCGCAGATTTCCCGTGTGATTCCACTTTTTGCTTTTTGCTTTTTACTTCTACAGCATATGGCATTGCCGGACTACCCAGTGCCCGTCTATCACGCTCCAGAAAAAGGGATTCAATGGGGACTTGAAATGCTACAGTAGTGCCGAGTATCACAGGTCCTATGCTTCAAATCGGGCTTTATACACCAGCTGATTGAGAAAAATGAATGTGCTGGGCATATGAAAGTGTTGGGTACAACTCGAATCGAGGATTAACACCGATATCGCTGTTCAAGGTACTTCTGACGGAAGACGGACCCCCTTACCTGAGGTCTTCTGCTCGTGGCCCATCCACATTGAATTCCGAAATGACGAAATAAGCAATCACGGGGGAAGTCGTCTTCCCCGGTGTGTTATTCAACTCGCCATATTATCAGAACATGAACAACTTACTTCGTCATTGTGCTTCAAGAGGGTAGCATCTGGGTTCATTGGGGTTGAAAGGCTAGGCCAATCACCATGTTTCGGCAAGTTCGTTACCAGTGGACAAGATACGATTCTCAATTTCCCAGAGGGTGAATGCCCTATAGCTTCTGACAGAGGAAAAGGTGTGATGAGGATGTTCATGTTGCATATCTCTGACGGATGTTAACAGGTAGGAGTAAAAAAGGATAGTGCAAGATCTCTGACATTGAAATTATGGAGTCAGAGAGAATAATATACAAGTTGGATCTGAAACACAGGCAAATCAAGGAGGGTTCTAGATCATGGCAGTCAACAGAGATTCATCGTTCATCGGAGATTACACTCCACGGAGATTGCATTCCATGGTGAACTGCATATCCAGGCTTGTCTGGGTATGCAGCCCTAATTGATTCGGGGCTGTTTGCACTAGACACGTTGGCATAGATAGCCCTTGCTTAACATTCTCACCTAAGTCACTAAGGGTGCATAGTCATTATTATTATATCTATTAGAGATACAGTAAGACGTACAGATACATTGAAACCCGAAGACTAACTATAGCCTCCATTATAGCAATAAAACTGTCAGTATGGCATAACATGACATTATTAATTCTTTTCTAACATTCGTAACACGTTAATGTTTCCTCCAAGAACACCGTGTATATAAAGGACCGAAAGAAAAACCACCACACGGTCAAGACAGTAACTCCAGAGCCTTCGCACGATCAATGAATCCCACCGCCGCATCTTCAAAGGTCTTTTGCGCTTCACTGTGACTCGCAGCCAGAACAGCAAGCTCAGGCTCGATTGTGATTTCCAGTGACTCATGACCGGGACGAATAAAGTAGTACTTGTCCTGATGATAAGACCATTTTCTGAGATAGATCTGGAGATCATTCGAGGCGATGCTATTAGCTGTGCTAAATAGCTCAGTTTTCCTGCTATCAGAGGGCGGTGGGATCGCAGGGAATGCGATATGGGCACTACTCGAGGACAAGTCTGCATCTGAATTTATGTCGTGTAGACATTTACTCACGGCTTTGGCGAAATCGCGGATCCACTCGATGTGCATGAGAATACCCTCCCCAGCACCGGTAGTTCGATCGATGTAATCTACCACTGGTAATGCCGAGGAGATCATATCAAGGAAGGCGGCAAGCATGAGTAAAGTTGGAGGACTTTGCAGACGATGGCGACGGGAGGCAACCGCAGCCAGTGATTGACAGGAGACTCGGCATACAACATCGATGATATCGATGACAGAAGACACGCAGGCTGGATCCAGAGTGTCTATGTTACATATAAGGTTCTTGAACTCCAGCGTGATGGTCTGGATGATGGGACGGCTGAGGATCCAGGCAGCGTGGTTGAGAAGCATCGCTTCGAGATATGCTGGAAATACACATTGCAAGAGCACGGCGCGGAGAGTGGGTTTGTCCTTGTCCCCAGCTTCGTAGGTATTTTTCATCGATGTGTGCAACTGGTCAACCAGGTAGCTCTGCTGGCCGTCAATGGCAGCGCGCTCGGAAATGCTCTGAACAAACCCAGTCAAGGTCTGGATCTCTTTGCTGGACGACAACTTTGACTCGTAACGTTTGAGCTTCGCAACAATGTAGCGCGGGTCGCTAGATGGCAAAGGGAACGAAGCAGGGTCCGTGAAGAAGGGGTCGATGGGTTTGATGTCGCTAGTATGCTGCTGAAGGAAACCGATGACGCGTTGCACGAACTCGACGTATTCTCCTTGAGCAGCCTGCGCTGTTCCGTTACCTAGCTCTTGGTAGTTGTCTTTCATAGACGTCATCACCCGCTGAAGCATCTCGGAGTACTCTTGTTTGGTCACAGAGAAGTTCCGACTGCCAGAAAGTTCCATGTCCTGGAGCTGCTCACGCATATTAGACGATAGGCTCGAGAGGAGAGATAATCGCCGAGAGCCAATTTCCTCCAATGTGATTGTATACCGGCCAACCCTCTTATCCTTGGAGAACGGAAGATTGGCAAGCAAGGGATCTGTGGGACTTCCGTTCAAAAGCGCCTCCGTGAGACGATGTTGAAACTTCAACATCGAGGAGCGCTCGACCAGCGATGACACCCACATACTCATAACTTGGATTCGGCAATCAGAAACAATCTGCGCGTCCTTTTCGATGCATGCCGCAAGGAACAGCGGTGCAAACTTTCTTGTCTGAACTGTCTGTCGAAGCCGCGTCCATGAATCATCGCCGAACTCGCTCAAATAATTGTCCCAATTTCGGAGGCCATGGCGAATGAGAACCTGCGCGATTGATGTCCAGCATTCTACCACGTTGAGAAGAATGGCATCCTCTGGACAGTGGTCCTCACCAAAGCAGTTCGAAACGAGACGAGATACAATCGGATGGAAAGCCCTCTCCACATGTTCAATACCTTCACTAGGGGAAGTTTGCTGATCCCAAACGGCCTGAATGGCATCCCAGTCACCGAACTCCTGACTGTCCTCATCAGTATTCACTGCCGCAGAAGCATCTAGTGTGGATGCAGCTGGAACGTCTTTCTGGGTGTAAGCAACCAGGACCTGCAGCGCCTCAGATACAACGACATTCACGCGCGGGAGCTTGGGGTTAAAAAGTGCAAGGATAGACTCAAAAGGAGTTCTGCGAACAAGTCTGTGTGCATGCTCCAGTTTCGGGGCCAGTTGCACAGCAATTCGCAGCCCGCTAAGCGCATTGCTCAACAAGGTCTCGATCTGCCGCTGGTTCTGGGAGATAGTGCGTTCAACAAGCTGTTGAGAAACCCGATTGTCGTCTGTGTTTTGAGCCTCAATCTCTTTGCGAGCATATGAATGCTGTTGCTGCAGTTCCGTGACAAAATAGCCGTACCAGTCTCCAAACGGATCGAGCCCCGAAACTTCTTCATCCGTAGAAAGCTTGAATCGAACAAGCCTTGACCATGAGCGCAAATTGATACTGCACGCTTCGCGATGTGAAGTGGCAGGATGGACCAGATTGCGTATCGTCTCTAGTCGAGGGCGACACCCATCAGGAACAGCCCAGTACAAGGTGCTAAGAAGATCGTGGTGATTTCTTAGTGCATCGAGGTCCTCGTGCTGTAGGGGCTGCTCTTTCGGGTATACACGGCCATGGTTTGGCAGAAGACGCCAGGCAAAGTTTCGAATCTTTTTCTTGTCATATCTCTTCGTCAAGAAGCGGAGGCCACTTGCTACAATCTTCAGAAATGTGTGGAAACAAGGTTCCCCCACTCGGGCATCCAGAGAAGGATTGCTATCAAGTTCGTCAAGAAACGAAGGTGAGCCACGAGCTTCCTCGAGTTTCAGGTTGTGCAGGGTATTCTTGGCGAAGAAGTCGAATAGCGTGTCCAAGATAGGTTTGCATTCTCTCCACCCCCTGGAATTGATAAGGCGGTGACATCTGAGAAACAGGGTTCGACAGTAGCTATTGTATGAGATAGGTTGCGCCTTGGAGTTGGACTCGAAATGGTCCAGAGCTGGGGCGAGAAGCCGTTTGGCCAATTTCCAATTGTCATTAGCGGCTGTCAGCTGATAACCAGGGCGCGCAATCCCGAGCAGATCTATTTCGTTGAGGGGCAAGACTGTAAAAATGGCACGCCATCCATCCTCTAAGCTGCCCACGTCCCTTTCATTGCGAATAAGTCCATTGTTGAAGGTCTCGAGCTGAAGATCTTCAAAGCAGCCCTTGTAGTTGTCTGAGCTGCGTAGAAGATGTTTGGTGACAACGTAAGCCTCTGCCGATGGATACTCATCGCGAATCCCCGACTCGTGGCGTTCAGGCTCGTTGTTTTCCTTGAACAATGCTTTGAACTCAGAAGAACCGACTTTGAACGTGATCAAGCCTGCGACGTCTTTAGCGGATATTTTGACAAGATCAAAAGCTTCAGCCGCAAGGGCAGGGCTGACGAGCCGATGAGAAGCAACTTGATATATTTGGTTCGAGAAAACCATGTTGAAGAAAGCAATCTTGACGAGCCCACTCTTGTTGTATTCGTCGCTAATCAGAAAGGCGGCCAACGGATCTCTCGCCTGGGAGACCAACCCCATGGCTCTAGTGACGAAGCCCGTACGGTCAACCGGGTCAATGAAAACCAGGTTTCCCGTGATGTACTTGATCAATAACCTGTATAATCGCCATGCCACCCCTAGAGCAGCCGTAATGCCAGTATCTGGGGTGGTAACAGCACTTCGCTCAACATTATCGATTATGACATCAAAGACTTGCCCCATCTCCGATGATACTGTATCGTTCCAGCGACTCCATTTGAAAGTCTCGTTTCTGAGCTCGATGGAGAATGGAGGGGCATCCCCATCAAAGTCCCGCTCGGCGATTCGCAACGAACGAGAAAATTCCCCGCTTCCTATGAATGTACTCTCATGGAAGAATGTATTGTCACGTAGGGATGGTACTCCGAAGTCGACCGGATAGAAGCGTTGCCAGTTGAAAAGCCCACCGACGCTGAAAGTCGAAGGACGTGCATGTCCGACGTCAGTTATGGTCAGAGTTTCCGAGTCATCAGAGACTATGGTAGCAGGATCTGGATTTTGACGGAATTCGTCGGCATCGAGATTGATTCGGGTGGGTTGGTGCTTCTTCAGCCGCCGTCGAGATACGGGGGGTTTTTGGGATTGTGCTTGAGTTCGTGCTTTGGCTGAGGCGGCAGCAGCGGCAACAGAAGCATTCATGGGGGAAGAGTTGCCTGCAATACTCAATGATCCACTGTCGGAGACATATCGATCCAAGGTCAAGCTGGGCTTGTAAGGTTTAGATGTGCGCTGGTTTTTATAGTGCCGATTGAGAATAGACAATGACTGGTTGAACATAGCCGGAAGCACAGTTTGGCTTTTACCAGGACCAGCCAAACTAGTTGCTGCAGGCCTAATGTTGTTCCTCTTCAAAGATGTTATGGCAACATTCCTAGGAATAACCCATGTGTGACCGTGCTGCTCTGGTTTTCGGCGGGACGAGGACTCAGCCACTGGGGCTTGGTTTGGTGGGACTGATACTGCACCAGATTCAGGCGGTGCTTGTGTCCGTTCCAGTTCCACTGCGTTGGTGTTTGAAACGTCGGTATCTGCCTCTGCGTTAAGGAATTGGTTCGGTATCCGGCCGATTTTGGAATTTGATTTGGCTCGAGCATTGAGAATCGAAAGATTTGTTGCCCAATGCCGGTGTTGGGGAGCTCTGGGACGAGGTGGGCTAATCTTGGCCTGCCGAATAGCTCCTCTTTTCCAATCTCGCAAGGACTCATTTGCATCCACTGTGTCCTCCCTTGAGGCCAGTTTCACGAACTTCTGAGTAGGGCTCTGTCTGCCTCCGTCTTTACGCGAGCGTGGTCGTCTTGTTGCTACCCTAAGAAGTCTCGATTGCTCTGTTCGAGGCTTCGTGGCAACATCTGGCGCATCCAAGATTCCTATCCTTGGTCGCTGGGCGGTTGAGGGTTTCTTGGTCCTTCGTGCTCCATACGAGGCGTCGGTCATTCGGGTTTGTCGAGGTCTCTTCGGTTGTCTCTCCCCATTGAGCAAACTTTGTTTCGATTTCGGCCTTTTCAAACTGTTTGTTTTGGGCCGAGAACGCGTTGAGTTGCGCGAAACAGGCCCGAACATGTAGTCGATGCGATTATCCTCAGAGATATCACCCCCTTCCAGCGCGAAGGGGTCTTCGACGTCAAGGGTGCCAGTTAACCTCTGGCTGGAGTCATCGGCTATGGAAGCATACCCTGTGGTGTCATTGCGGTTGTTCTCATCGTCCGAGTCAGAATCTCCAAGATCAAACAAGCCCCTTGGTTGTTGCGTTGCTGGTTGCCTTGATCGATCACCCTTTCGAATGAGCTTCCGTGCAACACCCTTTCCATCCGGCCGTTGCGAGGAAGCATGACGATCTAGTTGCGAGGCTTTTTCTTTGTCTGCTTTTTTCTTCTGATTCAGCCGAGCATGTGAGGCAGGGAGCGCTCCTCGAATCATTCGTTGGAATCGTCGAATTTCACGCTCTTCGGCAGCTGACTTGGTTTCTTCTTGGTCACTCTGGCCGTTGGACGAGATTGACTGTACTTCCTCATCATCATCTGTACCTGCACCAGGTGATTGGACCTGGCCGGGTTCTTCTGTTTCCTGTGCCCCAGATTTCGCGACTTCCCCGGCGGTGACCACCCACGAGGAAACCGGAACCCTCCTTCTGATGCACGAGGGGTCCTGGAGGTCGAAGACAAACGGCCTGCGTGTGGAGGGCTAGATGATAGATCATATATGGAGAGACCGTTTTGATCCCCAGTAGCTGTAGCTGTATTGTTGTCTCTGATGCCACGAGGTTTGGACGGTTTGTGTAAATTTCGACGTTCTTTTGGAGTTTCAGAATGAGAAGTCTTCTGCCGCTTTGCCAAATGAGCTTGCGATGGCCGAGGATGCTCTGAGTCGTTGCGTTCCGCATCAGATTGTGGGCCACGATGTCGCTCATGTCTTATCGGTGGAAGATACTCTTCAAGAGGGGGACTTGACGGAGGTGCATTGGGGTCATATGAATCCTGCCCTTGGCTTTCATCAGTAATCTGCTGTCTTTGCTGCGCAGGTCGACCAAAAGGCTTGACGCCCCGCGCTACCAGTTGCTGGTTAAACTTCATATATTCCAGATGGTACGGGTGCAGTTGGATGGCGTTGCGCTTCCGGAATGTTCTTTGCGCAGCATGCGGTAATTCTCGCAACACTTCTTCGGGGATATCAAGATGGGGTAATGCATCGTTCGGATTGGCATCTAGTTCAACGAGCACTGCCTGTCGAAGATCTGCCTCCCTATCTGCCGGTCTTTCTGGTTCTGCCCCCATCCCACCATCTGCCTGTGTTTTTGTAGAATCGTTGGCCGGTGGAGAACTCAAGGATGACGGTACAGAAGATAACGGAGAATCATCATCCGAAACATCCTGTAGTGGTGGTGGTGGTAATTGTGGCGCCTCTATTGGCTGGACATGCTGGGCCACGGGCTTTTTCTTCCGAGTTGGCTGAGGTATCAACATCAGCTCGTCAGGAGAGGAGCTCCGGGTGCTTGAGGTTTCATCCTGTGTGTTTGCCCTCGAGTTGTGCGGCTCTACTATAACTTGTGGTTGCGAGAGTCCTGTGGTCTTCAAGGGTTTCGGTGTAGACTCGCGGCTCGAGGGCTTCGATTTAGGGCTGTCATGTTCCTGCGATGACGTTGGGAAATCGTATATGCTGGCTGTATTCTTTGCGGGGGAATTGGTATGATGCAGCTCGATCCTGCGGCGATTCGTTGATTTCGTAGCCGACGATCGAAGTCCGTAGGTCTTGCGTCCTCTCCGTTGTTTTGGTGTCGTTTCGTCATGCGCGGCTTTTGTCAGGTGAGGACTTGGTCCATTCGTGTGCCGACGAACCACCTCCTCTGTATCTGAGAGCGTGATGGAGCCATTCTCAGCCCGAACATGCTCTTGCTGCTCCTTCGTTACACTCGTCCCTTCCTTCGGCGAAGATGAAGGGTTGTTGATATATTCGAGATTTTCGATGACAGGGCTATTTTCGACATTATCGTTCTTCGCATCTAGAGAATCGAATCCATCTTCCTCGTCCGAGTCGGGGACATATCCTCGTTGTCGCCATGATTCCATTTGCATCCTTGGCGGGGATCCCCCATGTCTCTAAACAGTCATTGAGTGAGTGGTTTTAGGGCGACAAAAACGTGAGCGAAATAATTCTCAGATTGAAATTCGCGAAACACAAGAAAATCAAACGTCGAACAACTATTCAAACAGTCTGAATGCAAGGAATTTGATTCTGACGCGTGCTAACGGGGCAATTTAGCAGACGCGCCGGCTGCTAATCAGCCAACTGATAACCGATTTCCCGCATCACCTCCGCAACCTCCAACTGCAAATCTCGCTGTCTACCCCCAATTCCTCCGAAATGAGTCGCAATTTGTTCCCTGCCATTTTTGCTATTGGCGTGGGTATCTTCACAGGTAAGTCTACTCTACAACAAGAATAACCATATCTGGTGTCAGTCCCTAACGTCGAGTTTTTCTATCTGCTGCAGGCTACTATACCTTCCAGCCAACATTCCAGCAACTTCAATATGAGAGACAGCATGCTCAGAAGACCTCACCTCCATCTGATCCTGTTAGTTTGAAGCAGGACACCAATTCTCCCACAAAAGCGGACTTTCAGCAAGATCCCAAGTCGACGACTCAATGACGATAACCAGCCTTCCTGAAGTGGCATTCTGAACACTGAATTGGCCTGAGTACCACCAAGCATGATTGTGCTAGTGGCCTGTTCTCTGCACACTATGCTCTTGGAATCTGTGCTCTTCCCCAGCACTCTGAAGCTCTAGCGCACACGGCACCATACGCCTCGCTGTGCCACACTTGTCAGGTCTTGTGGCCGTTGTATATATAGAATTGGCGCGACCAGTTCCGAAGTAGTTGTGGGTAGAAGTACTGAATGGTGACCTAGAACAGGCTAGCCCCGCGTACTACTAGTGAGGGTTGCCGACTAATTGAATATAAAACTCAGTTTTATCGGCATATCTATGTGTACCTGGAAAGCATTTGAAACAGTCGATGTATTGCATGACATTTAAACCTTGACATTTGTTAGAGCCATGTTTGAACGCCGTTCGCAGCACACGCAGAAAGTCAACCCTAGTCCCTTGCAAATGATGTAGTCCGTTTCCCGATTACCTTAGTCGAAAATCCTTCCATAAGCGCCAATCCGTTGTAGTTTCCGCATGTAACATCAAACTTCTTCAACCATTTTTCCCGCGGGAACGGTAGGTGCGCCGAAGACACGTCCAGTAGGTGTACCCAGCCATTCTTCTGGTGCAGCGACTCTACAGCCATTTTGACCGCTGATCCACCGCGCCATGGTAGGGTTGGCCTTCTCAGCCTCCGCGCCTTCTTGGCCCGGGGTGCCATCAGTGCCCTCTGCCGCAGCTCGACCACGCCGCTTGGGCGCCTGCTTCTTCAGCAGTCGATTAATTGTGTCCATCTGTTGTTCACGTTAGCGGTCGTTCTCCAATGAATGTTGAAGGTGTTTGTGTGTACCTTTTCCTCTTCATTGCGCTTCTCACTCAGGTTCTTCCTTCGCCGCGCCATCTCTGCACGACGCATCTGACGCTCCTCGGCGGTCAAGTGCTTCTTGACTTGAGGCTCTATTTCTTAGTTAGCTTCGGTTTCTAGAAATTGTTGATATGTGGTTTCTCACCCATGGGAAGTTGCAGGAAATCATTTCCCAGATTTCCTCGCTGGCGCTTGGTGGTTTTGCCACTTTGCATAGCGAGGGCATCACTATCCATGTCGTCGTCTATTTCGTCCTCTTCGTCAAGTTCATCAAGATCATCAACGTTAACGTCTGGGACTGCAATTTCATCCTGGTCTTCACCCTCGGCTTCGGCATCTTCATCCGTATCGGAGATAGGCTCTTCATCTTCATCTTCTTCCTCTTCCTCTTCTTCCATTTCCATCTCCTTAGCCTCCACGCTCTTGGGCGGCTTAGCGCTGGACGGAGGAGTGATCTTACCGCGCCTGGTAGGCGCCTGAGGCTGGATGTCGTCCATATCGATGTCGCCATCAGCATCAGCGTCAGCGTCAGCTTCGGCATCTTCGTCATCATCGTCATCACCAGGCGCATCTTCATCGTCGACCTCATCCTCTTCTTGGTCGTCTATTTCCTCTTCGTCGCTTGTAGCAACTTCTACAATCTTCTTTCGGTTCCGACTGGAGCGGGGTCCCGAGACAATGGGATCTTCCCGGAACACGTTGACTGAGCGCCGTCCAGCAGAACGACCAGCACCTGTAGCTTCCCGCAATTTGCTGGAGGCCATTTTGACAGTAAGACGGAGAGATCTCTTTCGATCTCCTGAATTCAATGAAGATCGAGAGACTGACACTAAAGCAGATGCAGCAGTGGAGGAACGAGTTTGTCTCGTAGACCTTGTGGCCATGTTAGCTTCTGGTTCTGGGGTATTATCTTGTGTCTTTCGCGATCGAAGGGATCGACGGAGAGACATGGTGGCGGCTTTATCGAGTGTAACAGAAGTCTTGGGGAAAATGAAAATGCAAAAGCCAGAACAGTAAAAAGAAGCGGGACAGAGAAAGACAATAGGCAAGTGTGTGGCAGTATGAACTAAGTCATTAAGGCTTTTGGGGAGGGGGTAGGCTGGAGAGAGATAGAGAAAGGGAAGAAAGGAAGGACATCCAATCGCTTCATCCACGGAGTAGCGAGGCGGAGTTGCAAACCGGGAAGATACAGATTGCTTTTCTATACGGGAATTTTCCAATGCGAACAAAGCGCACACTGTTACAGGGGATCAGGCTTGGGGGCGATTGTTTCTCCTGGCTTTTTCTCTTGGGGGGTCTTCGGAGGGTCCAACCCCAGGGGCTTAGGCAGATAGGAAGGAACACAAAAACAACAAGATCAACGGGGGAAACTCCATACTCACAAGTACTTTTCTCTAAGGTTTCAGATTCTCCCCAGATGTCCAGTCGCTGACGCTGGATGAACGAATGAAGTACTGCACGGTCCATTCTGCCGGGCGGTATCGAGTATATACGGATGCCATTTGAACTATGTTGTATATGGTGATGATCATTCAATATTCAATTGATCTATTCAAATAGAAATATTAGAAGTAATTGGTGTATAGGGCTCTATAGCCTTCAATGGGACCCTAGAGTCAGGTGGTATGGCTTCGTCTCACATACAGGCTATTTTGGGTGAACGATGCAGGGTACCTTCTGTTTCCTACCTGGAAGATCTGATATAGATACATAAATACATAAATACAAGTCAAAATGGAATGTACACAATTTGTACTTGGATTATTCTTAAACAATATCATTTATAAGTACGGAGTACAGAATATACAATGTGAACACATATTGAATGTTAGTTAACTATGGCAAAATGTACGGCAAAATTGATGCCTCAGGTGTACACCCGCGTTGGAACAGCCGAGGTCGGGCTCACATGGCCCCAAGTCCGGGGAAAGGTTCCCTCTCCTCTTTACAACACCCCCCAACGCCTTTGTTTTCTCATATCTCTGGTGAATGTGTCAGATACCTCATTATGCCTGACGATACATCTAAATCAGCATCTATTCCTTCATGGCAGACGGCCAATAAAACGACCGAAGAGTCGCCATCGCCGACCTCCGACAATGCGCTCGCAACTACAGCCTCCACATCCCGACAAGCTCTCCTAGACCAAGCATCCAAATTCCTAGAAGACGAGTCAATCCGCGATGCACCCACAGAGCGCAAAGTCTCATTCCTTGAATCAAAAGGCCTAAGCTCAGACGATATCGAGCAGGTCCTCGGCATCTCTCGTAACGCAGAGCCGAGTAGCAGCTCAACCGCAGCCGAGGACAAGACACAGGAAGAGGAGCCATCTACCTCACCCATTCAATCCGAAGCAACCCCTTCCCCTCCTACCACCACCACTTCATCACCACCCTCCAACACCATGCCTCAATCACACCCAGCACCAGCACCAACCACGGCCCCCCGCGACGTTCCCCCAATAATCACCTACCCCGAATTCCTCTTCGAGTCATCCAAGCCGCCCCCCTCGTGACAATGCGCAGTCTCCTGTACACACTATACGGCGCCGCAGGCCTAGGAGCAAGTCTCTACGGCGCAAGCGAGTACCTCGTGAAACCCATGCTAGCGAACCTAACAAGCGCACGACACGAGCTCGCCAACACAGCAGAAACAAACCTGCAAAAGCTCAACGAGAAGCTGGAGAAGACAGTATCCGTGATCCCGGCTGAGTTAACAGCACGCAAGAGCAAGTCCTACAACGACGAAGAAGACGACGACGCTTCGTCGATCACCTCGGACCCAACCGAGCTGTTTCACCGAGACGTCGCAACACAGACAAGTCCAGAGCCCACACCTGTGGTCGGCGCTACCGGCGCCGTTAACTCGGCGGACTCGGCGGCTGTCTCTCCATTGGCTGCGGTTGATAACCACATCAGCCGTGTTGAGTCTATTACCTCGAAACTGCGGGAGATCGTTGACTCGGAGAAGGATGCGAGTACGTTGGATGACTCGACGCGGACGCGTCTTACGGAGTTGCATCATTACTGTGATGGGTTGATCTATAGTGGTCCTACGTACTCTACTGGGTCGTATGGGGTCTGGAATTCCAATACCTCGGGCTCAAATGATAACTCTAGTATGCGGAAGGCGGAGGATGAGGCTATTGCTGGATTTAGGGCTGATATTCGTGGTGTGAAGGGTGCGCTGTTGAGTGCGCGTAACTTCCCTGCTAGTCGTGGTGGACGGCTTGGTGGTCTTCCCGTCGGTGGACGGTGATGAGGTTAGATCGTGGAGATATGGTGCGATTGTATGAATGTATATAGATTGCAGCGGATTCTCTAGGTGGTTCTCCTAGCTGTATATGGACTTATATATTCATTTGTTCGGTTGCATCTGCTAAATTATAGCCTAGACCCTGGTATATGGCCTGTAAAGAAATCCATATCCTCATTTGATTCGTGTCCATCTAGCAATCTAAATAAGAAGACATCATGCAGTAGACACTATCAACGACACTAAGAACGTTGGGGGATTTTCGCTTTGCTCCTGATCAGACTTATACCCCCAGGAGAGAAGAGGAACGGAAGAAAATACGCAAGACATTAATTATAAAAAATGGACAAGGAAGATGAGAAAATTTAGAGCAACGCTGAAGTATAGAGAAAACAAGGCCAGAAATACATAAGTTATACCAAGCCTTTAGCATTCCCTCCACTTGACAAAGTACAAGGGTGTCATTTACGGGGTGGCGCGGCTCATGCTGATCAGTCGCTTCACACCGACCTGTAGTTATACTTGTTAGCAACCATTCAAAATTATAGGACCGATGTTCACTCACCATCCAGTTGCCACATTCGTCAGTCCGGTTGGTCATGATATCAACATGAATAGCGAGGGCGGCATTGTAGTCACGTTGCTGGAGAGCGCGGGCCAGGTTCGCCATGTCCTCGATGGTGTTGGGCTTGAGCAAGTCCTCGTTGTTGAGGTGATCAAAGAGGATGTTCAAACGGCGCTCGGCATCATCAACCTGTGCCTTGAATGCCGCAGGGGCCCGGGTCTTGACGCGCTGCATGTCTGCCGATAGAATCTCGAAGACAGGCTGTGCGTTTGCAGGAATGTGTGAACGGTCACCGGGGGCTGTAGTAAAGGTTAATTGGCTGGAACCTATTATTGCTAAATGGAATTACTCACGATACTTGGGAGCCGGAGGAGTTGGCCGCTGCGACTGGGCCGTGGGAGGTCGAGATCCTTGAGGCGGCGGCGGGATGCCCTGGGCCATAGGCGGAGGCTGTGTCGCAATAGGCGTGGTGGGCCCATATGGGTTTGCCGCAGGAGGTTGCGACACTGCTTGTGGGGCGTATGGTGAGGCAGCCGGGGGAGGCGGAGCCACAGGGCCACGAGTCTGCAGTTGCGGGTTTGCAGCCTGGGCAGCCGGGCTTGGTGCATACCGGTTGGTTGGGGGTGGCATGCTAGGAGGAGCATTGTAGGGCGATGCTCCGCGGGGGATTGATGCCGGGGGAGCCATGGTTGACCCCTGAGTCAACGGCGGTGACTGAGGGAGAGAAGCGTATGGGTTGGCAGGGGGCGGTGGGGAAGGCCCAGGGATGTTAGATCCAGCCTGGCCACCAGATAGCGGCGACATCATGCGCGGCGGAGGAGGCACCGAGCCCACCTTTGGTGGGGGAGGCACGGATGGTGCGCGCGGAGCACCAACGGGAGGAGGCCCCTGGGTCAGATTGGGTGACTGGTTGGGGAAAGGAGAGGGGATGGGTGCAGAGGCTGCGGCAGGAGTTCCACGGCGGGGCGTAGGAGCCTTAGCAAAGCCTTCTGGCAAATCATTCCACGCAGGGAGGCCAGTGGCCGTGGTGTATGTTGTGATTGTGTTGGCCGGCGACTGGTTAGATGACGCACGAGGAGGGGGAGGGACACCAGCACCTGTGGGCTGTTGTCCGCCGAATGCAGACGGTGGAGTATAACTGGTAGGTCTCATTCCCTGAGTTGGCTGATACCCAGCTGCCTGTCCGTAGGCAGCGTAGGGGTTGGGCTGAGCTGGCGGTGAGGTCATCTGAGGGCCATATGGGTTAACCTGCTGGGAAACAGCAGGCGCAGGAGGCGCATAAATGTTAGGAGTAGCAGCCGGTGGTGGAATAGCGGCAGCGTTGTAAGCTTTCGTCGGCTGGTACAGATTGGGCTGTTGCGGGAGGGGCTTGAAGGCAGATTTGGCTGCGACAGCGGGCTGGGCCTTTTGAGGTACCTGCCTGGTAGCAAGCTTGATGCGGTTGCGCGCCACCTCAGCTTCAGGGTGCTTTTCAGGGACAAGGTCGAGGTACTTCTGCGCAATTTGAAGGCGTCCATGGGTAGCGACAACATCGGCGTATTCAATGTACTTGTCATACAAGACGCTCAAGCGCCAATCCGAATCCTTGCTCCGCTCCGTATCCTGGAACTTGGTGACTTGCCGGAAGATGGTAACCTTCTCGATCAGGCCCTGCAGAGCACGGACGTGGATAGAGAAGGAAGAGTTGTCAGTGTTGCTCTCAATTCCTTTCTGCTCATTCTCACGGAGCTCCTCAACCCAAATAGCAACAACCTTCTCAAGCTTCGAGCCTGCCAAGAAGCAGAAAGAAGCATCCTTGCGAGCGCTCTTATCGTCGCTGTTCTGAATCTGCTCCTCTAGGCGGTCACCGAGAGCATCGCAGAGATCAGGGAATTCCTTCTCGTCGGCAAAGGTACACAAGGTAGCCATAACTTCCTTCCAGTTGGACAAGTCGGCATTGTGGACCACATCCCACAGGTTCTTGCCTACAATAGACGCGAGCAAGCGCATGTAGTTCGGACCGTCAGCCTGCTTGGAGAAGTAGTACTCCTGCGCCTTTTGGACGCACTTCGGGCCACCACAAATAGCAATCATGAAAGCGTCGGACATCTTATCCTCCCGGAGGGCAACATCCAGAGCTTTCTCGAACTCTCCAAGGAGCAAAGCCCGAGTAATTTGTTGCTCTGCCTGGCTTTCCGAGCCATTGAAAATTTGGAATGGGTTGTTGGTTTGAGCACCTTTAGAAGCAGCAAGCTCGGAAAGGAAGCTGTCACCTTCGGGGTTGGCATCGAACATGGATTGCAAACGCTTGTGCCTCTTAACCCCAGCGGGTTTGGCAGCAGCGCCATTGGTGCTCTCGCCTTCCTTCTTATCCAACCCAAGCTGCGCGAGACTATCGGCGGCTTCATCAACCTGATCCTGGAATCCTAGATACTCCACCAAGCCCTTACGTGGGTTCTCGGAGATCAGAGCCTGCATCACCTTCCAGTCGGCCTTTTCTGCTTCATTGGAAGCACTTGAAGCGCGTGACTCACAGAGAGTACTGATATCACCCTCTTTCAATGCAGTCTCAAAGCTCTCGGTGGCATTGCCAACACTCTCATCAACCTCGAACTGCGTGATTTTGATACTGGACGTACGAGAGCCCTTCTCGGTCAGACCGAAGGAAACCACCCTACCTCCGAAACCAAAAGTAGCACCACAGGGCCGCTCAAGCCAGCGAGGGGCCTTCGGGAGGGAGAACTTGGAGACCTGGGGCTGCGTTTGCGCCTTGTTGAAGAAGTCTTCGCCATCCAGAGCTTGGTTGTGATCGGCGATGGCCTGGGCGTTATCGGTCTTCGTGTTCTGAAGGGTCTGGACACAGATCTTTCCATCAAACGACGCGGTTGCGAAGAAGTTCGGGTTGTGGGGGTTCCAGCGGGTCTGGAAGGTCCAGTTCGTCACAACGGGGAACTCTCCGTATGCTTGGCCGGTTTGCGGGTTCCAGCAGATGTTACGGTTATCTTTACCGGAAGACAGGAGGAGATCTGGGTCATGCTCGCACCAAGAAAGTGAGAGCACACCGGACTCGTGGCCGGTGAGTGTCTATAGAAATCACATCAGTATTATAAGCACACCAGGGCTCTGGAATCGTAACCTACCCGCTCCGGGGCGTGGGAGTTGCGCAGGTCCCAGACATATAGCACTGGGTCTGAGTCGAGGGGAGAGGATGTAATAAGCTTTGTGGGCTAGACGTGAAAAGGGTCAGCGATCCTGAAATAACCATGTAGGAGATGCCAACATACCCTCTCGGGGTCCCATGCGACTGCGCTGACAGCCTTCCGGGCCTTGTTGTTCAATGTCAGACTCTCCTTTTTCGTTTTGACATCCCAAACCGTCACAAAGCCGGAGCTGCTACCGGTGACCAGAATGTGAGGAACCTTCCTGTTCCAATCCAAGCAGTCGATATCATCTGTCCGGGCCGCATTGTTGCCCAACCGGAATGGGTTCTCGATGTTGTTTAGATCCCAGATGAACAGCTATCCAGTAATTAGCCACATATTCAATCCGTAATCCGCGAATGGCAGCCTACCTCTCCCTTTGCGCCACCGGTTGCCAGAAGGTTCGGGTGTTTCGGGTTGAACTGAAGGGTCTTGATGGCACCGCTGTGCTTAGTGGTTCTTGAGATCAATGCATCACTGAAATCGAACGATCAGCAAGGTATTCCAGAAACGTGGTTCATATGTAGAGTTCAACCAACCTAGATCCAGCAAGTAGCTTATCAGCATCCCACAACTCCAGCGAGCCATTCTCCAAGCCACCCGCAATCACACCCCGTTTGTTGTCTTCGGATGTTGTCCAGGCCACATCATTGAAGCTAGTTGAATTATTCAGTCAGAATGCTTGTCTTCACCCGATTTCCCAAAAGATCAACTTACCCAGAGTCGGTATCGACCTTAGCTAGCGGCTGCAGCTCCTCGCTCGCATCTTCGCGGTCAAGGCCCAGATCCCACAGCTCGAGGCATGTCTTGTTGGAGAAGTCGGCATCGACAGCGCCGGCGCGAGTTCCAGTTGCAATCAATGGCGACGCAGCGCCAGGCGACCAGGCGAACGTGGCCGTCCTTGGGATTTCCCTCAGACGCACCATGATGATGGCAGGGGAGGTATGGTTTGGTGAGGATCGAGACCAATAGTTTGTGTGAAAGGTAGCATCCAACGAACAATGAAACTCAAGCAATAGGGAAGGAGAGGAATCAAGAACCACCCCCTATGAATAATTGACAATGGGGTGATACTCTAGATGTTCCAAGTATAGCAGTAACCAAGTGGCCTCCTGGACTTGGAGGGACCGGGGAACGCGCGCTAGACCGCTTTGAGACTCGCCAAAACACTCCGAGGTGAGCTGCACGTGATATCAATCTTCCGTTCTGAGCTGATAGCAAGATACAGCTTGGATTCAGAGGCTCGAACGCAAAAGGCTTTCTTTCTTGCTACTCACACTTTTATCCTCACTTATTCTACTATTCTGTGCGATCTCGCCACATCGCCACCCGACTTAGAAGACCTAGCGAATTTGACCCGAAGCGCAACTACACATCATGAGCGAAACCACTCGGCTTAAGAGCACCATCTACGTGGGTGGTCTTGACCAGGGAGTGACCGCGCACACACTTGCGGAAGCTTTCGTTCCATTCGGCGAGGTCGTTGATATCTCGCTGCCCAAACCGGACCAACCCAACTCGACTGAAGTTCACCGCGGATTTGGATATGTGGAATTTGATCTGCCGCAAGACGCCAAAGAGGCTATCGACAATATGGATGGTAGCGAGATCTACGGGCGCACCATTAAAGTCGCGGCTGCAAAGCCACAGAAGGATGCCAACGAGGGACTAGGCAGCAAGATTGCGCTCTGGGAACAGGTTCGTTGGGTTCAATTTTATATCTGATCGCAATCTATACTAACCGCTATATTCTATAGGAGGGTTATTTGGCCAAGCATGCCGTCAGCGAGGAGGATCGGGAAGCAGCGGGGGCAGCTCAGGCTGCAAGCAGTCGTCCCCAAGATCCTATGCAGGGATTGGAGCAATTAGATGTTGCTGGGCCGAAGCCCGAGTGAAGCATGCTACACTTTACGATAGCTACGACGCAGATGACAAACAAAAGCATAAATTTTCACACGACAGTACAATTTCCCAATTACACCACAGGATTCAGGCTCGGGAAGCCGGAATATGTACACGGGCGCAATCTCGAACCCGTTCCTTTTTTGCTCCACTGGTTTTTCTCATTTCATGCCCATCGGCTTCAAATTCTCCTAATCAACAATACAAGCGGCAAGAATCCAAAAACTGCAGATCACATTCTGAGAGCTTAAAGAAACATGGTGGTAGATTTAGTGCTCACGGCTCTCGGGGCTGTTGCGGTAGAGACGCAGGGTCTTGTCGGTCATCAGCTTCTTGCTGGAAGAGTAGACAGCGGCGCCAATGGCAACACTGAAATTATAGGTTAGCATCAGGGAAATATACGAGCTTGACTGCCAGTGAAGGGAGATAGGGGATGAAATTCCGGCATGTGTCGGACATGTGTTCCCGGAATCAAGCGGCAGATAGTATCCAACAGGGTAGAAACGTACGCAAGGACGAAGCCTGAATATCAAACAGAACGTTAGCTCAATTTCCGATCGCGAAGTCATGACTATAGCACATACCGATAGGGAGCAACTCGGGGGGGCACACGCTTGAGCTGGCGCAGGCGCTGGGAGATGGTGTGAGCTGTAGGCGCATGGTTAGTTCAATGGCAGTCCCCATAAAAGTAGAGCCAATTCGACATGACTCTTTTGATCCACCGGATCTAGTGATCTCAGAGGCTCGTACCACTTTGTTGCTCCTTCTACAGACATGAGTTAGTAACCGAGGGATCATATGATCACAATACCACTGCTAAAGGAAAGAACATACAGGAGTAGGGAAAGCAAAGGCCCGAGTGGGCTGCATCCGCAGCATGCGAGTGGGATACATGTTGAGTTATGTGGTTCAACCCTGGAGAAGCAGAAGAAGAGTGGGATAGAGGACGAGGTTGGAACACCAGCTTTCCGAGAACGTGACTGGCTCGGGTGTAAAAGCGAGACGCTCAGTGGCTCTCGCTTGACCGCCTGCGGTCATATCCGGCACTTCGCAGCTTCAATCACCCAACGTCGCTCTTCCCGGCTCACTTTCTCCCCTCCTCTCTTTCCACTCCACTCCAATTCTTCCTCTCGTGTGTTGTTTCTCTCGAAGCTACACATTGCAAATATGGGTGCCATTCCGGAAGCAGACCCCGATGAGGTCCTCGAGACAAAGCCCTTCAAGTTCGTCACTGGTAAGTCCACTAACCCCCTCCCGAGAAAACCGGGGCTAGGAACCCTATAGAGAGTCAATGGCTAATTTGAGCTAATTTATTCACAGCTGGTACGTGAACCTTGATATTTTCCCGCTTGTTTCGCCCGTCGCATGCGCGTGGACCGATAATTCCCGATCGGCTGATGTATGGTGTAATTGACAATTTTCGACTGGATCGCAGGCTACGATGCCCGTTTCCCCCAGCAGAACCAGTACGTGATAAGCTGTTATATTGGTGTCCTTTTTATATGTATCTAACGTTCATTTCCTCCACAGGACCAAGCACTGCTGGCAGAACTATGTCGACTACTACAAGTGTACCACTGCCAAGGGCGAGGACTTCCGTCCCTGCAAGCAGGTAATTGCGACGCCCGACAACACTCTCAAATCCCGGCAGTTTCTAATGTCTTCTCGCGCAGTTCTACCACTCCTTCCGCTCTCTTTGCCCCAAGGCCTGGACCGATCGTTGGGACGGTCAGCGCGGTACGCATCTACAAGTCTCTAGATATGTGTTTACTTATACTAACTTGTGCTCACAGAGGCTGGCAACTTCCCTGTCCACCTTGACAAGTAGATAACCAGCAGCGTCTTTTTGGTTGGTCAATTGAGCCGTGTCAAATTTTTATGTATCGACAAGTTCCAATGTACTCTACTGGGTCACGCGAGGACACAACCCCTTCATTTCCTAGATCGTTCCGTCCGTATAAGGCAAGAAGGGGTGTTTATAGATTCGTCGTATTGTAAAGAGAAATGTATTGTTAGCTGGTGCTGGTTCTGACTCTTTTGAAGCATGGGTACCCAGGTAGTCCCTACATCCTTCATCGGTAGACGCTTGCAATAATTGCGAATCATGCCTTAGAAAGACAATTTATAATGTCGAGTACACATGTAGGAACCATGTCGTCCTTGCGGAAATGCTCTGAATGCGATTCAGTGTGTATGTATCTAATTCTATGTAATCCCAGCTCTAACAAGAAAAATACATAATCCAGCACACTGTACAAGGCAACAGAGCCATGTTCTAGATATGCTCCAAGGCCGTCTCCGGCCATCCTTCGAATCTCTAATGAAAGAAACATATGAAAGTATGCAAGCTATATACAAGCCAAAATGAAAATGGTGCGCGTGAGTGTGAAAGTGCACAGCCCAAGTAAAAAAGAGAAAATGACAAGAAATCGTATATACCGAGAATATGTCGGACAGAAGGCGTAAATGTTGTTGTAAGATTGGGAGTCGGTTGTAAAAAAAAAAAAGTCACAAGGAATAATCACTCTTTGTGGCTTTAGATGCCCTTCAGCCTGCGGTATAGCTTTTTGTGCTCCTCAAGGAAGAGGAAAGTGGCAATGGTATGAGGACCAAGACGGATGAAGCTAGGCACCCAGCCACGGAAAGTCCATCCAAGGCCTTCCTTGCGGCAGATATCACGCAGAAGACCAACGATAGTATGGCCACCACCCTCGGCATGCGAAGCCGTCATAATACGAGTCTTGATGACATCCACAGGACTGCAGACAGTGGTAGCAACGAAACCGGCCATGAACGAGGCCGTGAAATGTGTGCCCAGATTATCAGCCATGCCGGCCTTCTCAATGCACATGCGCTTGAAGGTATCGTAGGAAGCGAGCTGCGAGGCAGTCATGAGTATTGCGCGGGTGGAGTTAGGCCACACTCCGCGGAAGAGAGAACTGAATCCCTCTGTCCGGGTCATCTGGACGAGTCCGTGGATTGCGTTTCGGTAGTTACGGCGCTGGGCGGGAGGGAGGGATGCGTCGTGTTGCATGCGCACGTTCATCACGTCAGCTGGGTTGCCTGCTATGCCACCGATGAATCCAGAGGCAGAGGCAATGCCGATGAGAGTGACCATGCTTGGTGCGCGGGCGGGGTCTGAGGTGGGAGAGGCAATGCGCGACTTCAATTCTTCGTAGATACCAAAGCGCGTTGTGGAGTATGTGATTTGACGTAACATTGCGGCTGACAACTACACCATATCCAATCCGTCCTTTATTAGCCAACTTATGCCGGTTTACTGATAGCCATGGGGTATGCGCTATCAACTGGATTTCGGGGATTGCACATACACCACTGTATAGCCCGGTGACACCATTATTCTTCAGGATGTGTACAAACGTTCCGACCATAGTCTTCGGCGCATCGGGCGCACGAGTCTGTAACCGGACCTATTATACGACAAACGGATATCAGCGTCGGGGGTTCGGTATCATGGCCATAAGCCATAGTCTCGGACGGCTAGGAGCTTGCAATTAATTACCTTAACTGTAGGCGCAAAGTCAGCATATATAGTATATAATTGGGGGAAGATATAAACAACATACCTAAATCTAATGGGTGCGTCACTGACGCAGCAAAGCATGAGGCCGAACCTCCAAACCAAAACGGGTAATGCACCTGCTTCGGCTTTGACTGCGATGTCTGAACGGGCACGACTCGGGAGCGAGGAGAAACCTCCAACATCTTGCCGCTGTCTGCCATCTTGTTGGATAACAAGAACCCCTCAAATATACACAGTTAAAAATAATAAAAAAGAAAGGCGGGGAGAATCACAAATTCCTTTTTTTTTTTTTTTTCTGGACTTTTCTCGGCTTTTACGAACGTGACTTGACGTAATTTTGGGGTCCTTCCAATACCGACGGGGACAAATCAGATCTCCGAAATCACCGAAACGGAGAGGATCAACCAATCAGATCAATTGCCGAGATAGGAAGTTAGCACTTTCATCCAATCAGATTCTCGGTTTGGCGTTCTTTCTTTTTGCGGAGATAAATCTCTTGTATGGAACATACAGACTTGGCCAAGAAACCCCTCCGGAAGCCTGAATAACGACCTGCTTCGGTCATAGAAATGGATGCCGAGGGTATCTTTACCCTTTGTGCATACAGTCATCCTAATAATTACTTCAATAGAGCTGATATGATAAGATCGGCTATGCAGATCTTCGGAGTTTTTACGGATATTGGACGGTTGGCGTCGGAGGGGTTCTGCACGAGGGGCAGGGTATTATATGCATAAAGGATTAGGTATAGTTAGGAGGGATGTAATCGCAATATAAAGGTATAAAATATCTTAATGGCTGCAATTAGGGCTACTCGGATTTTAGTATATTGTTCCGTATGTGTTTTCTCAGGGGGAAAATAAATAGGATATAAAATCAGCCCAAACCACTGGATTATATCTTTAGGGAAGTATATATATGTTCAAAGAGATCTAATTTTTATAAACTCATGAAAACTGACCCTTCAATTTATACATGTGAAAGTTGAAATGGCTAGAGCTACCAGCTTAGCAACTATAGAGAAAACGAAACAAATTTAAATCATAAGTCTCTCATCTAGAAAGAGGTAAATGCTAAAGCTTTTACCATAACTATGTTTCGTTGTGCAGACAAATGTACTTCGGGGACTAATTTCGCCGATCCGAACATGTGTTGATAGCCTCGATAGACAACATTGAATTCTCACAATGTCCAACCCAACAATGAGGCTATTCGCTACCGGTCGAGCCCTGCGTGCAAGCAGTGGCCGTTGGTCAATTGCCTCAATCCGACCCCAAACTGCCATTCCGCGCTCCCTCCAACTGACTCCCATCTTCTCCCGCAACCGCGAATGGAGCTCAACCCCAGCTCGCCGGAGTACTACCCCCAAACACCCCCAGCAACAATCGACCCTCAAACTCGAAGGAGACACCTACCCAACCGATGAATGGACCAACACCCCCGATACAATCCTCTCCCATATCGGACGACGACTCTACCTCGACGACAACCACCCTCTTGCCATTACACGCAAACTCATCGAAAGCCAATTCACATCCCCAAGCTTTGGAAACTACTCAGAGAAGAACCCCGTCGTCTCAACAAGACACAATTTCGATATCCTCGGCTTCCCCGCGGATCACCCGGGCCGCAGCCGCACAGATACCTACTACGTGAACGACAAGACAGTGCTGCGCACGCACACAAGCGCGCACCAGCAAGCGTATTTCCAGCAAATCGCACGCAACGAGCAAACCCGTCCAGAGGAGGTCGGATACACCGTGGTCGCTGACGTCTACCGTCGCGACGCAATCGACCGCAGCCACTACCCCGTCTTTCACCAGATGGAGGGTGCGATGCTATGGAAGCGACCCGCGACGAACCCACTCGCCGCCTCGACAGAGACAGCAGCGAGGATCATGGCTGATGTGGAGAAGATCCCGCGCCACGATGTCGTAGTCGAGGACCCGAACCCGACTATCCATGCCCTGCGGAACCCGCTGCAGGATAAGCACCACAGTGTCGAGGAGGTGGAGGCTGTGGCCACGCATCTGAAGCGTTCGCTTGAGCGGATGGTTATCAAGATCTTCACGGAAGCGAGCAAGGCCGCGGCGGCCAGTAGCGGTGCCGAGGAGCAGGAACCTCTCAAAGTTCGCTGGATCGAGGGGTCCTTCCCGTTCACTAGCCCTGGCTGGGAACTGGAGGTGTTCTGGCAAGATGAATGGTTGGAGATCCTGGGGTGCGGAATCATCAAGCAGGATCTATTGATCAACTCTGACGTGCCAGACCGGATTGGCTGGGCGTTTGGACTGGGTCTTGAGCGCATTGCTATGCTTCTTTTCAATATCCCCGATATCCGACTGTTCTGGTCGCGGGATGAGCGGTTCTTGTCGCAGTTCCGGGCTGGCCATATTGCTCGCTTCGAGCCTTTCTCGAAACACCCGGCTTGCTATAAGGATGTTGCTTTCTGGTTGCCTCCCTCGGCTGTGACGGGTGGTAACAGTGCTGCTGGTGGGGGTGTGCCTTTCCATGAGAATGATGTTATGGAGATTGTTCGTGGAATTGGTGGGGATCTTGTTGAGGATGTTACTCTCATTGATGAGTTCACGCACCCGAAGTCTTCGCGGAAGAGTATGTGCTACCGTATTAACTACCGGAGCTTGGAGCGGACTTTGACGAATGAGGAGAGTAATGAGTTGCATCTGAAAGTCCGGGAGAAGCTGGTTGGAGAGCTTGGTGTTGAGCTGAGGTGAGTTTGGAGATTGTTGGGTTATATTTTGTACTATACTGTTATTATTATGGAGAATATGTAAGATATAGCATTCCTCTTATTAAGCCATGGTCGATATATATATTTCATTAAGCTAAATTTCCAATAGATGTAGACTATAGCAAGCTTTATCTTTGATTAGAGTCATAAGTTAGGGGTTACCCAAGGCGGAAGGAGAATGAAGACACCAGAGGCTATGGCGGTGCCCCGAAGAAAAGTGTATTATACAGTGAGGAGGAGAGAGTTATCAGGGGACATAAGAGGTACAGACGTCACAAAACAAGTGAAAACACACCACCAACATGAGACAATCCGTACGCCTCCAGATACATGCAACAAGGGTGTATATTATACAGCCGAATCCAAGAGACAAGCAGAAAGATAGCAAGGAAGAGTAATTTTCCGGTGTCCAAAAGTCAGCCGTATCCGAGTATAAAACCCTATCGTGATCATGATGTATGACATATGGTACAGAAGAAAATAAAAGTGAAAATGCGGAAAGAATCCAAGAAGGTCGAAGGTCGAAGGGTTAAGAATCGAAGTTATTGTCGACGATTTAAGCGTTCCTGACGACACCGACCTTAGCAGCCTATAAGAGAGAAGAAAACAGTTAGTCATAATACTCTAGAATCTGTGGCTTTAGTAGGTAGAACTCACCCGGAGAACGCGGCCGTTAAGACGGAAGCCCTTGCTCTGGACGTGCATAACATCACCGTCCTCGAGACCAGCAGCTGGGGCCATGAAGGTAGCCTCGTGCAAGTTAGCATCGAACTTTTGGGCCTTGCCGTCGACCTTCTCGGCGGGATCGAAGCGCTCGAGGCCGTGCTTCTGGAGGGTGGTGAGGAGGATCTGCTGGGTCATGTCGAGACCAGCGACGAGATCGAGGAGGTCCTTGTTCTCCTCGGTCTTAGCAGCGGCGAGCTTCTCCGCGGGCACGGCCAGCAGCGCGCGGTCGAAGTTGTCGATGCTGTCGAGGAGGTCCTTGGCGAAACCCTGGATAGCGAACTTGCGGGCGGCGTCCATGTCGCGCTTGTTGCGCTCAACAAGGTTGCGGGATTCGGCGACAGAGCGTAGCCATTTGTCCTGATAGAGAATTTAGGTTAGTATTTGCATGCAAGACAGCTGCGGAGCTATCCGTAGTGAGTATAGAGAAATAGCTTACCTTGAACTCAATGGATTCCTTAGTCTTCTGTTCGAGCTCCTTCTTCACGGGGTCCTCGGCCTCTGCATTCTCTGCGTTTTCGGCTTCGGTGGCTTCCTTGTTCTCCGTTGAGTAGAAACGGGTAGACCGGGGAGCGAATGGCCGGATAGCAGGGAGACGAGCTTGTTGTGTAGTCCGTCGCAGCGCCAGCGATGCGGTGGAGGGGGAGGAGGTGGAGAGGATGGAGCGGGCGGCCTGAGCCTGTCTGAGGATGGTTCGTTGGAACATTATGAATAGTGTGATATGTGGAATTGAGAATGGAGACTCAGTGAACTGGGGGACTCACTTGTCCTCGGACAAATTTAATCGGGAATCACCTGACCGCCTTGGCAAGGAAAAACGCTGGGCCGAGGGGGTCCCTTGGCTACTCCAACGTTATTACGTACTACGTCTGGGCATGGATGCTGGGCATGGATGCATGCCCAGGTGGTTTGAATCATTTCAAGATCAGTCACACACAACAATTGTATGAACTAGCACCTTGTTGGCCTGTGACTTTTGCAACGATTGCCCAATTGGCCGTTTGTAACCATCCTGGGTGTACAAAGGATGGGATTCTGACACCAATGTATACAAACTGAAGTCTATTGCTCAAGGTCTTACATACGTTGCTTCAGCATAAGCACCTGGCATCACAAAACATTGAAGCAGGAGAATATAAGCTGCCTATACCATTTATTCCTCGCCGGGATACATTGATTTACTCCTTCGAGGAACCATACAAGGCGTATCCAGCTTACTCTTTTCGGGTTAGCGCCGTAGGTAATTTTAACGCAGAAGGCATTTCTTCTTCAAAGATGAAGTTGGTTTATTTATGAGTGAAGTGTACTCTATGATAATGTCAGACTATGTATGAAGGAAGTAGGGTCATTGTAATGTGTCGCTTACTTGGGGTATTTCGAAAACATCTGAAGTTAACTATGGGAGTTTGGACGACGTCCTCACCCATACCCGGAAAATCATCATCCAGATGCAGTAGATATTGCTTCCTCTCAGTAGTCAAGGGTAATCGGCATGTTCGGCGTGTTCGGCGTGTTCTCCTGGGATAAAAAATCCGGTTCATTTTGAGCTTGGGACTTGAGAATTCGCATGATGGCGCGGGCTTCCTCTCGATGCTCCTTCCTGTTGTAGTCCAACCCGTAGGCAAATGTAATTCCCTTTTCAGACATGCATTGCTTCCCAAACCACCGTTTTTCGATCGGTGTCAGCTCCTCTACGCCTGAGGCTCGAGTCAGACCGGAGTCTTTGAAGATTTCCATTCTGCGCCGCTCACGCTGGGACCAGAATGCGTGAATCAGGTAGTTCCCGTTAGAACAGAGAGGTGAGATCCCGAGCTCATGCCCTAATGGAGCCTGGTGAATCTGAACTTGGTATAACATGGGGCCTTGACCCATGTGCTTGAAGTAGGCCTGACTAGAACCATTATAGTTCGCCACAATAACACCGGAGATATCTGGGGAACTGGGGGTGGGTATAACAGTGTAGTCGTCCAGAATGGTATTTCCGATGATGTTGCAAAGCATTGCGGGGGTATGCAACACGTTCTTCAAGCGGAGGGAGTTGTTCAGATGTGAACCGGTCTGAAATGGCGAGCCCCTGGTGGGGAGAATGATAGTTCCCATCCCAATGACTTCGACCCAGCCTCCAGCGATATCCGTGACATACGACTTGAATGGGATGTAGTCGTCACCGAACCAACATCGATCTTTGGCGGCACTGGCTTAGTTAGATGAATGTATTCAGCACTGCGAAGGGGAATACTTACTGCGTGTCGGAGGCGCTGGACCAGACCCAGGAGGGACATGGGGGAGGCAGCCTCCTGGGATTTCCCGGCCTCGATGTCATGGTAAAGCGATAGTGTATTCAAAACCAACCCCGAGGAACTAGGGAAAGTGTGTTGCGAAGTTCAGTTGTGATTCTAGTAAATACAGATACTGAGGGAGATTCGTATGCTGTATTTGCTGAGGGAAGAAGTTGAATGGAGGAGGAAAGAGAGAAGGAAGACAGGAAGAGAGGAAGGAAGCAGCATGAACGGATTGTTTGACGTGGGAAACCACTGCCCTCAGACCTCAACCACTTTCTACGAATTGCAAGTGGACAACTTGTGGAAATCATCCATCACCTATATTATCTTAGGGACTAGGGATTTCTCCCTTATAGACAGACTCGGTATTATATGAACCAACACTGTCTCTCAGACATGAACATGAAGGCAACGACCAATCTCATGAAGCCATTATGGTATGCGTCAACACTATCACTTATCATATGAATGAACGAGCTTGATGATGCTCGTCCCGTCGGATAGAATTTCTTTCTCTTCCTCGAGCCGGTAATCTCCCCACCGTGGGAGTAAGACTGTCCATACATACCAGTAGAGAACACCCGAGAGCACACTGTATTTGTTAGCGAGGTAACTCTCACATGGAAATATCGTTACTCACATTCCAATCCCGACAAGTGGATAGGTGGCATAAAATAAATTGAGGTCCCGCCAATTCGATGGCGGGATGAAAGGTGCTACTAGCAGAACTAAACACACCGCGACCCGTAACCAGACAGACGGCAACCACGCTTTGAAGGGCCGTGGAAGATGAGGCTCCCGGTATCTTACTACCAGCAGACCGACAGTGATTGCCAAGGCAAATATCTGTCCAGGGTATCCCTCCAAGTCGAGGATAAAGTTATAGATGTCCCCTTTTGGTGGTAGGGCGAGGACCAACATGGAAGGGATATAGTGTACAATAAGTCCACCCAGTGGAGTCCCAAATGGTCGTGAAGACCCCATAACCTCTGGCCATGGAAGAAAGCCTTGTCGGGCTATCTCTTGACACACACGTGCCTACCAAATGTTTAGTATTTATTAGCTTTCACTTCCATATATCCAAAGACTTACCAGGCCAAAGGTTACCACCATCACATTCCCAGCAGCTGAAATGGCAATTGCCAGTGGAAAGAATATTCTTCCAACATGAGCTCCAAATAATCTTTCGAATAGCAGTGCGCCCACGAGTTCGCCGCTATTTTTGATCTCTTCGAGTGGAATGACCAAGAAGTATGAAAGATTCGCAAGGAAGTATAGACCACCGGCTGTGACAAGTGCAGTAGGACACACGGTTTTCACTATTCTCACAGGATCATGAACCTCACTGAGGACATTGTTCACATTGCTCAACCCAGCGTAGGAATAGTAGACCTTGAACAAAGCCGACGAAAGCAGACTCCAACTCCAGTTCGATCCTTCCCACATGGAATCCCAAGAAAACGAACTGACACCTCCTGACACCGGAGATATATGATCAGTATCTCCATACAAACCAAGAAAAACCACCCAAACTCCCGTCAAGGACATCGCGGCAATGAGGAAGATCTTCACCCAGCCAAGGACATTCTGAACAAAAATGCCAGTTTTGAAGAAACAGCCGTGGACAATAGTAATGGCAGTCAAGAGGCCAACAGCGAGCACCTTATGCTGAATCCCGGTGGGCTCAATACCAAGCGCGAAATAGGTATATTTCGAAAAGATAATGCAGTTGCTCGCAGTAAAACCCAGGAGCACTACCTGGGCAGTTATAAGGCTTGATGCGAGAAACCGCGGTCGGGGGTAGGTATACTCGAGGTACACCTGTATACAAAAAGGAAATGAAATTTAGCCGAGGTATTTCTAGAATCCTGCAGCAATGCGCTTTACCTTTTGTCCTCCTGAGCGAGGTAGCATGCATCCGAATTCCATGAAGACGGCTAGCCCGCAAGCTGATAATACTGTCCCCATCAGCCATACTAGCAGAGTCAATCCGATGCTTCCGGCGGATCTGACGATTGAGCCTGGTGTTGCGAAGATGCCGCTCCCAATCACTTGCGAAACGACTAATATGTATGCGCTTGACCAGTTGATGTTCTTTCTGTAGGGGGTCCCTGGTAGGGTGTCGACGTACGGCGCGGGGAACTCATCAGATGAGAGGCTTGTTGGTTCTTGAGCGCTGTGAGATAGATTGTTGGGGTGAGCTGATGAAGCTAGGAGAGGCTCTCTCTCCTGGGTGTCCATATTGAGCCGTTGTAGACGGTTGTATAGTTTGAACAACTATTTATCTGTATCAGATTGGTGAAAATCATTCTATTATTCAAAAGAATGCATTCAGAGAGGATAATCGAGGAGATAAGGTGCTTTTACACGGTGCTTGGAAATCATAACAGGTTGGCTGGCACGTCATTCAGGCCGACTGTTGTGTATCGGATCCTTGCAGCTGGGTGGTTTATGCCATGGGAATGTGATCGCACAACTCGCACTAGATCGAAATAAGGGCCTATTATGCCTTTGGCTTTAAAATCAATGTGAACTTACGACTGAATACCCCATCCGAGGCAGATATAATAATCCGTACCTAATACTACCTAGGTATATATAGCACAACATGATGACTATTTGGACAAGAAAGAAATACCAAAAACGGAGCACAGTAATATCCCGCCTAATATAAAGTGCAGCTGTTTAAATTCTAAAAACCTAAGCTTCTAAAAGCCTAGGTTGTATAAAGCGAGTCTCCAACTATACAACTCCATCAGAGTACATATCGGCTGTTTTCAAATTAGTATCAGATCCCAAGACCAAGCCAGTGAAAACTTACAAAGTCAGATTCTCCTTGTCAGTCAAATCCAGTTGACTATTATCCACGACACGAGCGACTTTGCCTCCATCCGAATCAACCGTCTCGATAACTCCATTGCTAGTGACCTGATTAGCTTCCGCGAGCTTGTCGCGACGCTTGTTTTCTCGGCTCAGGTAGACCCGGAGCACGACAATAATAATTGAAGGAAGGATTGCAGCGACCTTAAGAGTTATAAGCTAAGTGTTCCGCACGTAGATCTATCAAAACAGAGACTTACCACAAGCAAAATAATCCAAGTTGGTCTGTACCGAGGCTTGAATCACTGTTAGTATGACAACCCAAGCTAACTGAAATGAAGCACTCACCTTCCATCCCGGCCGGAACAATTGCGGAGAGATAATATTTCCCAGTCCGTATCCAATATGATACAGTGCAATGACAGTAGTTTTCTTCGTATGACCCGCCGACGCATTGGCAGCCCAGATCATCACAATGGCATATGGGACACCGGTTGTCGATCGAATCCAGATTCCAGCGATGAGACCCCATCGATTAGACCAGGGCAAGGCTGTCGGGCAATTAGTAGTGGATCGCATTTCTTTTTTTGAAAAGAAGACAATTACTAACCTAGTAGAAGTATACTTGAAAGAGCACCTGGAATGTATGCAATGAGTGATATCCATGCTCGGCAGTTCTGCAAGTCTCAGTCCATGTTCAAATTGAATGTCCGGGCCTGGCTTACCTTGGTGTTATACAATGTGATTGCAGCTGTGATGAGAGAAACGAATGATACAGCCCCCGACACGGTTCCCAATAGTGTTGTTTGAAGCACGGTGAAACCAAATGACTTGATGATTAGTGAATATTGATTTGTTACTCCGTTTGCCATTTCCTGGGACCAGGCGTGTAGGAAGAAGAGCCATGTTTTGGGGTCTTGAATTGCTTCCGTGAACCTAAGAGCTATAGTTAGTTATTGTAATAACAATCATGGATTTCCTCTAGACAAGAAGTCTCACTGATATCTTTTGAAAACCTTTTGCTCGATCCCGGAATGGTTCTCTTTGATCCGTAAAATGGCCTTTGCACGTTCCTCGGGTGTCAGGAACTTGGCGTGGATAGGGCTATCAGGAAAGAGGAGATAGACAAAGAAACCGAAAATGACCGTGAGAACACCAGTGATAACTGGAATACGGGTTAGCAAGCTGAAGGATATACTTGGGGAACAAACCATACCCATGAACCATTTCCATGGAGAAAAGCTGCCCGTATCAATCCAAAGAACACCATAGGACAGCAAACCCGACGTGATAGGGCTTGCATTCCCAATTGACCACATAACCGGCATCATGACGGCCTGCTCGCCATAAGTAAATAACATGGACATGGAAAGTAGGAATGCTGGAACGATAGATGCTTCTGCTACCCCAAGGAAAAAGCGAACAACAAAAAGAGACGCAAAGCTGTTACAAGGGATGTGCAAGAGGGTGATTCCACCCCTTTAGCCAGTTAGTGACTGATAGACCGTTATTTGTGTACAAGTAAAGAACATAAGAACATACCATACTATCAAATTGCCAGCCAGCCACTTCCCAATAGGAAACCGCTGCAAAGCCCAATTCTGTGGCCATTCGGCCAAAAGATACCCGAAATAGAAAATGGAAGAGAGCCAGTTATATTGATTCGAGTTTAGATGCGCATCTTCCATAATCCCCAAGATCGCAGAACTTCCAAGCTGCTAGGATGTTATGACTGGACTCTCGTAAGTATTCGGAGAATTGAATCAACATACCGTTTGCTTGTCGATATACATCAAATGATATCCAATGCAAAGAAAGGGTAAAATCCGCCACAAGCACTTTTTGCGAATCTCTGTTGCTTCTTCGGGTGTTGGGTCTGTGACTTGAATTCTTGAGAAGAGCTTAAAGCTCTCATCTGCAAATTGACCAGGGAGCTTTGGCGCGGTATTAAAATCATTATCACTTTCTTCACTGGCTTGTCTTTCCGCCACGAAGCCTGACTTGTGGTTTTCTACTGCCATCGTATGAGATATAAGCAATGAAGAATATAAGCAACACACGTACAAGGCTTAATCAAGTACAGATAATAGCAGCCCTACACAGATACTTATGATGCTCAACGGCCTACATATAAAATTGCGCAATGTCCCCATCCTCTATCGCCTTCATACTACGGAGCAATTTGCCTACAGATAAGAGGGATTAGACGTGGGGTTCACAACATTCTTCTCCTAATATGGAAGGTCGTGCACTAGTATCTTGCTTGGCGGAAGACTGCTTGATTATTAGAACGCTATCTTGACGTATACAAACGTGAGACTGGCTCCAAAGCACGCCAGATATCGCCATAGCAGGGTTGCGTCAGCGCTATATTTGTTGGCGTGCTTAAATACCCCGAGGCCCGAGGTCATCGCTGCGATAGAACCGAACTATAAAAAAAGATTGTTTTTGCCGGAAGTAAATTTTTGTCACAGGTGATCCTTGCTCAATCGACGGAGATCCAATTATATCAACATGACAGAAAAAGGCAAATCAATTCGCGTCTTGATTGCCGGCGCAGGCATCGCAGGTCTTGCAACGGCTATATCGCTAACACGCATATCAACTGTTCCAAACTTGGATATCCAGCTATATGAACAAGCTCCAGAGCTCTTGGAAATAGGAGCTAGCATTGGGTTCAGTCCAAATGTAGGTATCTCGCGCATTATTTTGAAATGATTAATTATCTAACCGTGGATGTGAAATATCAGGGCATGCGCACACTGGAGAAACTTGGCGTACACAATGCCCTAAGCGATGAAGTCGGCTTTAGAGGCCCGAGTGGAATCCCGCAGATCTTCCGGTATGAATCCACCGCATATACTCGAGTTGTGCTGCTAAGTATGCTGACTGATAGACAAACAGCCACTGGAAAACGAACCAAGTAGTGTCCACAGACACTCATAGCAACGTCTCTGATCCCCGACACAATACTACCCGCTTCCACCGCGGCCATGTGCACTCTGCTCTGCTAGAGCATGTCCCCAAAGAGTCGATCCACTTGAGCAAGAAGATTGCGCGCGTGGAAGCTGACGAAGCTGGTGTTTCGTTGTATTTCGAGGATGGGACTAGTGCTCACGGAGATATCCTCATTGGGGCAGATGGGCTTCGATCGGTTGGTGTTAATAACCTTGCTTAATATTGCGGTTCTGTTAACTCAAGTTCAGAGTGTTAGACAATCGTTCGTCCCGGATTATAAGCTACGGTTTAGTGGGAAGGTATTCATGAGGGCGACGTTTGATGCCTCGTTGGTGGAGGGCAAGATCCCTAATTTGCCAGCTGATTCGATTCACTGGGTATATGATCATCGTGCTCAGGTGTGTGTCAGAATGATTGCTAACAATAATTATAGTGGGGACCTAGAGACGACTTCTTTGCGTCTCGGCTTGGTAAGTGGGAAAATAATGAGCATTTCATGGCTGCATAGATCTGACAAAACTCAGGCAAGAACCAATACACCACTGTTGGTGCATACGACGACCCACGCTCGACAGAGGAAGTGGAGAAAAGTATTGCGTGGGATCAAGATGGCAACGTGGAGTTTTTGAGAGACAGATACAAGGTACGTTCCCAATTGACATGTCCGAACCCACTTGACTCACAGCTCTTAGGACTGGAACCCCACGGTCAAAGCTCTGGCAGAGCTCACGCCATCCACAAATCTCTATCCCAATTTTGCAGGAGATGCTCTTCCGAACTGGATCTTTGGGTCACGAGTGACTCTAATTGGAGACGCAGCCCACGCTCACGGCGGTGCCTTCGCAGCTGGAGGCTCGCTGGCGCTAGACGACTCACTCGCCCTTGGCCTTGCATTCAAAGAAGTGTTCTCTTCGAAGAATGCCCCGTTCTCAACTAGAAATATCAACAAGGCACTGCGGCTGTACAGTCAAACTAGGCAGCCGCATACAGCTCGGTTGCTGGGTATTGTGCACAGTCAGATCGACAAGAAGGGTACTATTCTTGCGACACCCGATGAAGAGGATGCTGTGCTTGTTGCCCGACTGGCGGGCAGGCCAAATACGGAGTGGCTATCGGAACACGATGTTGAAGCTGCGTTCAACGCCGTTGTTAATCGAGAAGGGGCGCAGCGACAGGTACACCTTGCTGAGTCGGAAACCAAGATAGGAGAGATTCAGCTCCAGAGCAGCAAGTTATAGATTAGATTCATTGGTTGCCTCATGGTTAATTTAGCATATAGGTTAAGCTCATAGAGGGATCGTGTTTATGCTATGGAGTCTTTTTCTTCTTTTTCTTACTTGGCACTTCCAACTGGTAAGACACCCCGAGACATCTTTCTAGGAATCCATATATGTGAGTGGATTATTGCGACACCTGTCCCAAACAAGGCTGGGGTCTGGTGTTCTGTACAACTGATAGGAATAACTGATCTAAATTTTCGATCGCACGAGGCTTGTGGGCCAGGATGTGTCACGAAGATCTGTGCCAGTGCCATAGCCTGCATTGATTTTGCCATATCTCGGGAAGCGATAAGGTATATACTCCATAAATAATCAATTGAGTAGCCTTGCTAAAGCAAACGCGTGTAGCCCTAGGCTTAGGCTTACTATTGTAAAGTTCGTTATCCAAGGCTTGGGGTAGAAACTGCGGGTGGCACTGCTTGATAGTGGAGGCCCTAATGATGTAGGCAGAATGATAAAAGTACAGGGCCAATGGGGCTTAGGCAAGGCTAAGGATGCTAAGGATGATGCTAAGGATGAGTGAATGAGGAAAGCCTCCCTGGCTTGTAACTACAAGGAGCTCGGAGTACTCACTCCCCGTCTTCGGATGTTCCGGCAGAAAAGGGGCGGAGTTTCTGTTGAGAGAGGTCACGGGGTTGTGGCTGGTGCAAGTCAAAAGGGGAGATCGACTGAATGCAATATGTGGCGTATGTGGCGCATGCACCGCATTCTGACTGAGAACGTTAATAGTTTAATCCATTTAATGCGGTAAATTCCTGTAAAATAAAGACAAAATAATAATAAATAGTAATACTAAATACAGTAAATAAAGTAGATCACAACCCTTTCAAGTCCTTTGATCTGAAAGAGTAAGCCGGGAACAGGTGGATCACCAGGAACATGGAGGGCGTGGAATGTACCGTAGAGGCAGTGCAGATGGCAATAGCTGCGCCTCACGACTTTCAGGAAAATCTTCTGCTATTCTGCTATTCTGCTAAGAGTATTAAAGAGAGGCAAATCCAGACAGTCTTTCATCTTTCAAGTTCAATCATTCTGAATCATTGGAAATTCTAGAACCATTTTCTCTTAAAATAGTTCTTTATCTGGTGGCAACCTCCTTTATCTTCTCTTTATCCAATTTCCTACCAACATTCAACCCCAAATACATACACAACACACACACACACACACATACAAAATGACTACTTCTGCTTCATCTCCATGCTCATTGCCTTCATCACGCACACTTACTGGCACATCCCACAAACCGCGACCATCCCTATCTCTTGATATCGCCAACATGCCCGCACTCTCCCAGCCAACACCACCCTCCAACACCCTCCTAATCACCGATCTCCACGATCTACTCGTCTTCCAACCCCCAGCCCTAGAAGAAATCCGCAACCAAATCACAACAGTGGCACCCCTGAACTCCTTCTCCCCACTCCCCTCAATGCGCCGCATCGTATGCTCCTTCCACAACGACTCCGACGCCACAGCAGTGCGCAAACTACTCGACGGCAAGCGTCTCCTGAACCGAGACGTGCACCCGCGGATCTACTTCGGCGAGCCAACAGCACTCCTAGACGGAGGCCGCCCAAAACTCCTCGAAGCCCCGCAAGTCTCCAAGATGTTCTTCATCTCGCCGCCACCCAGCCCCCCACACGGATGGGTCGTGCGTAACGAGGACCCGCCCAACAAAGAAGTCCACGCAACGGACCTGGCACATGCCCTGTCCATGCTGAAGACGGACCAGATGCAGCCGGAGACTTCTGCTATCGACCCCGCAACACCGGTGTCTATCTCCTCCGACAAGCGCACGTCTAGCTGGCCGCTTGCTGGATCCCAGCAGCGTAGCAGGAGCAGCACTATCATCTACAACCCGGAGGACCATGGCGGTAGTCCCAATCTTCCGGCTGTTATGGTTGAAGATATGACGCTGGATGTTGAGGATGAGGATGTCGATATGGATGCCATGAGCCCGATTGAAATGTCCGTTAACCAAATGCCTCCTAAGACTTCTCGTCCGCCGGTTGAGTTGATGGAGTAGATTGTTCTCCGGGGATGTTGCTCTTTTGTGTTTTGTGTTCTACATTGTGCATTTTTAGCGAGGCATGGTTGTGTTTTGTGTATAGTCATCGCATCTGTGGCATGTCAGGCGTTGGGAACAGATGGGCATTTTAGCAGCTTTTTCGAATTTGCTTAATGTTTTTTTTATTATTATTATTACTTTTGTAGGACAATGGTTAATAAGATGTCAAAATGAACACGTCTGTATATCTGATCTCTTCGACTAGTAGTCAACGGGTTGCATCTGATAATGTATACTAACAACCCTAATCCTAGACTGAGCATGTAGTTATAGAAGCTAAGGCAAGAAGGATTTGAAGGATTGTGCGGCTGTTCGGGTCCGGAGTTGATTATGAAGTCTAAGACCCTTTGCTAAGAAAGAGACATGCGGGTTTCCTGCTTGGCTAGTAGCCTACGGCATTGACTGGGGTTTATATTGTTGTTTCCACTCGCATGAGTGCCCCTTCTATAGGAAGATATCTGGCAGTCTTATCAAACGTTCCATGATATTTAGTATTTTCAGGTTACCTGAACCAACGAGTAGATATTTGAGATCCAGAGGCTAGTCATTCCCTAGGACCAGGAAGACTGTCCACAAGAGCAAAAGATACAAAGAAACGGAAAACTCCAGAGTGCGCCCCCAATTCACCAAATCAAAACTCCATTGCGCATGCTCGAGCTCTATTTTTCTTGGGTTATGCATGTTCAGAACCCGTAGCTGCTCTGTCCATAAGGCGTAGCACCGTACGGTGTCTGTGCACTAGCGCCCCAAGCACTGGCCGCACCGTTTCCGTAGGCAGTCATGTTTCCGTCAATGCCCTCAGGAGGCTCATAAGCATCGGGGTCGTTGGCACCCATCATCTCGGCATCTTCAGCGACTCCGCCATGTCCATCCTCGCCTTCACCCAGGAGGACAGAGACGGTGGTTGCGAGCTTCCGCTGGAGAGACACAATACCCTGCTGGATGATCATGTCTGGCTCAAGGTTTCCAATGCTCTCCACGTCGAAGTAAAAGCAGTTAGGCTCGGCATCATAGTCAAAGGGCTGATCGGGGTTGGCAGCGGGTTCCCAGCCAGCGTTTTCAGAAATAGGCCTTTTAAAAAAAAGTCGTTGTCAGCACATGGGTCGACATAACCTCGTGGGTGTGAAATCAATGTTCAAAATACATACCATTCCTTCGCCGCATCTTGCTCATACCAGTAGTCCACATGGCGCAGGTTGTTGTTAGGATCATATTCAAAGCCAACAGCAGCAGTAGGAGCCCACTTCGCATGCTCCTTAGCAGTTCCCTTCTTCGCCAGACAAGTCATCTTAATCTCCTGTCCTTTGCGCAGCTTGCAGATCAAGGGACCCTTGTTCTCCGGGTCAGTGGTAACAGGATCACCAATCTTCTCGTTGATCCGCTCGCCGACGACAATCAAATCCCGCGCGTAGACAGACATGATGCCGTTACCGCAGCGCGCGTGTAGAGACAGTGTCACGCTGCAGCGCACACAGTGGTCTTCACAGTCGCAGTCTCGTGTGTAGTCAAGGTCTTGGTCGCAGTTGTACGAGTTCAAGGGGATCATTCCGAGACGGTGGGCGAGGAACTCATCGGGGAGGACTGAGGTGTTGCTTTCAATTTCGATCAGGTCCAGTGCCAGAGTGGGCACTTCGGCAAGGATGGTTCGTCGGAGGGAGTTAGCGAATGCGAGGTCGACTGCGGTCAATCTGAAGTCGACGCGGTAGGGCTCCGCCTGTGGGATCTGTGAGTTCTCTATCCTGCTGATCTGGGGATGTCTCGACTTACTTCGCGGACGGTCACTTGGGGCCCTGTGGGCTCGAGATCCATTTCGTAATCCATGTTGGTATGTATGCGGCAGCGCTGCTCGCCGCCACCCTTGTCTGGAGCTGGAGGTGTTTATCCGTGGGTCATAAAAGTAAGACGGTAGGTTGAAGAGTGCGTGGTTCAGAGAACTGTTGTGGTAGATGATTCGGGCGCGAAGTTGTTGGCTTGAGGGCACGCGGATTTGCTCCCTCCAGGGCTCGGAGGCAGCTTTTTGCGCTTTGCCTAATCGGGTCACGTAGTGAAAAGCCAATATCAAGTCGTTCAAATTTTTTTTTTCTTACATTTACATTTACATTTACAGTTATAATCAAATGGGATTGCTTCTCTTCTGCTTTATTCCCTTCTTCTCTTTCTCAGATTCGAGAGTGGAGGAAGTGGTTCAGATTTTTGATTCAGTTAGGTATAGACACTGGATCTATCCAAAAGACTGGTATCTAGAACTAAGGAAAGCGCTCAGGTCAAATCAGGCAATTGAAACAGTGCAAGCAATGGATTCAGATAAAATAGTCCGATATCACAGCTGTCAAAGGTATCCTCCAGTATCAATGCAAAAACCTCCCAAAGCCTTCCTGTTTGCAAAAGGCGTCTATCAGAGGGAGAAAAAGCAAAACACAGGCTCAGACGGGTCATTCGCAAATGAAACAACGGACGGGTAGCAGCAGCCCGTCAAAGATGCAAAAAAAAAAAGGGGTAAAAAGGGTAAAAAGGTAAAAGGTGAAAGGTGAAAGGTAGACAAAGCCAATAGTAGAAGCGACGAAGCCACCGTTTTTTTTGGAGTTCATGTCGAGTCATTATCAGGGAGTAGCTCTCTTGAAATAGTGATGCACTAGGAGGGATAAGAATGAGGAGGGGAGAGTGTTGGATGTGCAAGAGAACCGGATGTGCACGCGATAGGGTTACCGCTTCAACGAGCTGCGATTCAACGCTTCAAGCAGCTCGGGTCGATTGGCGAGGGCGGTGGCAGCCTGTGCATAAGAGACCCATTGGCGTTTCCGCTTGTGCATTTCGGGCCACTCGGTTTCCTCTCGCTCGACGGTGACTTCAAAGAACTGGTACGACGCTTTCGGCGCTTGCGCGGTGAGAAGGGCGGAGGGTCTCATGTCCGGGATGAGTCCCAGATCTCTGATCACGATGCAGATGACACCAGCTTCTTCCCAAGCCTCACGACACGCAGCCTGCTCGGCGGTTTTTTCATCCAACTCCCATCCACCCTTGGGGAGCACCCAGCCTCCGGGTCCTGCGGACTGAATCATGAGGACTTTGGTCTTGTCGGCGGAAATAGGGACAACGCCGGCTACCAGTCGCTCGCCTTTTGAACCGTACCCTATGACAAGCCGTTAGAGTCAGGGAACACAGGGACAGTGTAGACGTAAGGGGGACGGGTTCCCCCCACGTGCGCAGCCGCAAAGCGACATCAGCAAGAACTCACGTTGGTTTTTCCGCCCAACGCGGGCTTCCATCGACCGTATTTGAGCCATTGTAATAGACAATCGAATATCTTTGAAATTACTCCAGGATTGAGGAATGGAAAGTTCCCGGAGAAGTGAAGAAAGAGAGAAAAAGGATGGGAAGGCCAAGGAAATCAGAAAGGTCAAGGAAAACCCAATAGATGATGCTTTCGCAAGCTCCCTCGGAGCCTGTTAGGTCTCTGAGGTGAGAAAAGAAGAAGCTCCAGGTGTCTTGTGGTGTAGAGAGCGGGAGTACAGCACGAAAGCGGTCGGGGGAAATTTTTTTTTCTTTGGATATTGCGGAGATGGGCAATGGATATCAGGTCTTCCCGTTCATGCCTAACGGGGGATTGGAAAGGTAGGTGGAAATAGGCATGGTTTTCAAAAGAAGATCTAAGAAATGGGAGGTTATTGAGGAATGGAGAAAAGAAGAGAAGTGGGAATGGAGGGGCACGGCGGCGGCGCAGTCCGGGAGAAGAGTCAAGGTACGGGGGGGGGTGTTTTTTTTTTTTTTTTTTGGTTTTTTTTTTTCTGTTTCTTTCTTTCATTCTCTTATTATTTTTTCTTTCTTCATTGCATATTTACATTAGTTGTCTTTGTTATACATACACTAGAGTCAATATAGCTACTATAGTCACTATAGAGAAGTAGTGTAGTCAGTTCAATGAGCTGTTTCTCTCCTTTTTTTGACTCTATATATGGTCATGTGACTCACCATATCGAAGCACTAGATGAAATGTGGTTTCTATATTTACTATTGACTATATTTAGCTATATCTTGCCATAATTTACTATATAATCTATACCTATGAAATTAACACTTTTGATAATTTAACCTCATACACCTCTAAATGTGCGTCGGGTAATGAGCCTCTTAAAAAAACCTACGGGATTTTCTGGTACCGAGAGATGGAGAGATGGAAGAAACTCGGCCGATTTGACCAGAAACTATGAGATCGGCCCTGTGGCTTAAGATACAATGAGATAGTTACATATACAGTTAAAAAAGAAACCTATAGACCTCAATAACTAATAAGTATATACATATATACTACATAAATTCAAGACCCCCCTTGCTGTATAGAACGTGCGATTTACAATCTCCCGCCGACTTCGCTAACCTCATCTTTTACTTCTTCCCTCTCTCTCTCTCCCCCCATAACTACAACTCACATCCACTCCCTGCTGCACGCCAACACATATATTACATTTTAATCTCACGATGCAATGGGTTGACGCTGAACGCGCGCAAGAACTGTCGTTGTTCCGCCCACTAGGTATGTCCCACTCTCCCGCAGCGAACCACTGAGATAGACATCTGTTACCCCGTGGCGCTACCACTGGCCCAGGCCACTACCACTTCAGGGAAATTGGCGGGGGTGTCTGAACACCAATGACCTGCAGGTCTTTGATCGTCAAACCCCCTCTTATGCAAAAAGATTAATGTGATGTGATTCTCTTAGGTTACCAAAAGAACTCGTGTGGTTACTGCAAGTCCAGAGACGGAAGTTTGTTGCCCCCTTTACCCCTGTTCTGTTTCTTTTATTTTTTATTTCTTTCCCTAAAATGGTTGAAATGGTTAGGCAGGGATGCTGACATGTTAAAAGGTGCATCGTACTACGCTCGCTCCAATTCCGTACTCCCGGGACATTATGAAGAGCTGATCAATGGCGGTTGGCGACGGTAAGATCCCTTCGTTTTGAGTTTCCTTGTAACCCATCAGACCATATTGATATTTTCAGATCGGGAAATCTTTACTACAAACAAAACCTACTTCGGTCTTGTTGTCCTCATTATACTCTGAGACTGGAGGCATCTGCTTATCGGCCCCGCCGTGATCAGCGTAAGGCCATCAACAAGTGGAACAAATTTATCCTAGGTCCGGAGTATATGCGAAAGGTAGCCCGGCTTTGTCCGCAAACTCGCGAGTATGCAATCTTATATTTCTCAATTTACTATCAGATTATTTTACTAATCAATACATAGAGAGAAAAAGCATCGCAAGTGCAACTTCGATCTTCTGTCAGCTGTCCATCAAAGCGAGTATGGCCACATCAAACGGCCCATTGACCCTGCTACCAAGCAGCCCATTGAACCAGCCCACCGCTTCGAAGTCACCATTGAAGGGGACTCTGTGTCTCAGGCAAAGTTTGAGCTGTTCCGCAAATACCAAACCGTCATCCACAAAGACGATTTCTCTGAGTTGACCCCCAGGTCCTTTCAACGCTTCTTATGCTCAGGTATCAAGCGAACTCCGAATCCACTGAAAGCCACCAATGCCTCTGCGAAGAAACTCGGCTCATGGCATCAATGCTATCGTCTTGATGGCGAGCTCATTGCTGTTGCAGTATTGGACCTGACCCCCAACGGCGTTAGCTCCGTCTATGTTTTGTAAGCTGATGACTGACGGTACCCCCGAAATACCGAAGTATGTGATAAGCTAATATTAGGCACACAGCTACGATCCCGCCTACGAACAATGGGAAATTGGCAAGCTGAGCGCCATGCGTGAAATTGCTTTCTCGATCGAGAAGCAGTATCAGTACTACTACATGGGTAGGTCGCAATTGTGGAACTAACGCCCTGTTTACGCACCTCTAATATTCAAATATAGGGTACTACATCCACTCCTGCCAGAAGATGCGTTACAAAGCCAATTTCCGTCCCCAGTACATCCTTGGTATGTTCCACTCGTGTCTTTGTCTTAATACATATTTTCTTTCTGTACTACGTGAAAATCGTGCACGACATCTGACCCTTTTCTCTGTTACTCAGATCCTGAATCTGGCGATTGGGATCCGCTCGCTGGCGAAATGACGGAGAAGCTCAATTCCCGTTCCTATGTCTCTTTGTCTCGGGACCGAAGATCCTCCCCTGAGCCTGTGGTCCCGGAAATTGACGGGGATGTAGAGGAGATTTCCCTCTTTGACATCGGTATGCCCGGTATTCTTACTACCTCTCAGGTGGAAGCACTGGACCTGGATCATTGGCTGCTGTGCTTTGACAACGGCTTTGTTCATATGAAGGTAAGCATTCTTTTTTTTCTCCTCTGAGCCGCCTTGAGCAAGAGGAACATCTTTACTAATTCCAACTAGAATCTAGTCGATTGGGAAACCATGTCAATGACTGAGCCAATGTCCATCAAGAGAATCGTCGCCGAGTTGGCCGCAGTCCTGGGCCCTAAAATTGTCCAAAACAGCGCGGTGGAGTTGATCGGTTAATCGAAGACGATGTTCATGAGCAAGCTTTGAGCTTAAGTTTACTACCACCAAGACCGATTAAGGCTTTTAACAACCCGGAAAGGAGATGTGACATAAATAGATTAATTGTGTAGAGTAGTTGATTCGCATGCAATTCAGTCAAGTCCGCAAATCAAGATAGTCTCTTCTGGTTTCCTTAAATTTTGAATCCAACGATGCAATCCTTAGCAGTTGAGTAAGTCTATAAGAGTCTTGCTAGAATTCCTCGGTTTTGATATGTGAGGTGTATACCGGCCAAAACTCCAATATCACCAAACGCGCCTTCCTCTTCACATGTACCTAATTAGGAACCTCTGGTTTACTATTTAACCCACTCTCCTCGGCAGTAAAATATTTTCTCTCTTCTCTCTTCTCTCGCCATCCTAATACCCATACCCTTTCACCCGGACCTTTGGCACTATACGCTGGCCCTGAAACGGGACAAAGTACAACAGCATAATCTAACGTATCCCAAGCGGAATTTAGACCGGGATGTTGCCGTTGACACAAGCCTTGAGGGGGTGCTTATAAGCAGCAACCAATCCTACCAGATCCTAGATTTCGTGATGGAGTGGTACACTATCTCTCAATACAACGCCGCAAAGTTATACCTGAGGGGAGAATGGGGTAGCACTAGTGACACCGTAGTGATTTGTTGTTATTGTATTGGGCTTTTGTTGTATCTTCCTAGATACACATGTATGTACCTAGGTAGGTAGTTAATCCCAAAGGTTGACATGGATTTAGTTTCTAGGACAATTTTAGGCTCAAAGACTCGAAGAATTTAGAAAAATAAACGGCCTGTTTCTGGATAACCTATGTAGCACCCTAGAAGTCCGATTGAGATACCCAATGAGCCAAAGTATAATGCATGCTCTTGATAACATGGGCACATGTATACAAGTAATAAATAACAGTAATGTAGACATGATCGCGTATTAGAAGTCTACGATTGCGGAGTCAATGATATATCCCCCCACGCCTTCAGTCTTGAAAACTTCAACAGACCTAAAGAGCAGGGGTCGATGTTCTTATGAGGTTGCTAGAAGGGACACTTGGAGAGATCGATGAGAATGACCCATTGGTGAAGAAACACAATCTTAGAATACGGGTATTGGGTCGCTTGGAATTGCTAGAAGACCGCGCTTTAACATGTTTCTTCGAAAAGCCATACTCGGGCCTAGGACTTCTGTTCAAACCCGTCAACATCACATACTTATAAAGGAACGCGATATTGACGTAATGTCTCCAGCGTCGAAGCTCCATGCAATATATTTTGCAACAGTGTAGGATAATCCCACTCACACCCAGCCGCTGCCATGGCAGTCAGACTAGCCTGATCCTCGCGACCTGGTCGACCAGGACCAGTCATGTTCTAGCAGTCGAGATCAGCATAAGCATCGCAGTCACTATCCAAATAAAAGACACATACAGGTTTCACATTGACGTCAAAAATAGCAAACTCGGACCCGTGTCGGAATCGTCGGACATCAATGCGGATGGCAGCCGTTGCCTTGATGAGACTTGCCACCTCTTCGCACTGACGCATCACCACTTCATAAGCTTGATCCTGCATCTCTTCCTTGGTGACAACGCGAGAATTGGCAGTAACAGCTACTGTACCATTGTACGGCGCGATACCTTGGTCGTGGTTGAATCGGGCCACAGGAGGCATGCTCCAATATCCCGCTCGGTCGAGGGATGGGGGCATCACGGTGATTGTGGCTTCCTCGCCGGATAAAAATTCCTCTAGCAGGACAACGGGTGATTCTCTGAACAGGGATTCAATATGACTTTTCAGCTCAGAAGGAGTATGGCAGACTTGTACTCCATGGCTCCCGCGACCACGGACCGGTTTCCCGACAACGGGGTAGTTAGGGATTGACTGAAGCAGATCATCTAAATCATCTCCTTCATTCACAACCCACGATTGAGGTAAGGTAAACCTCCCTTGCTGGCGCAGTTTATCGTTCAGATACATCTTGTCATCGAATTTCTCCACTAGACCCGGCGGTTGGCCTACGACCCGTAGAGCTAGAGCATAACTATCCAGACAGGATGCTGTTTGGAGAGGATGGGAAGAAAACACGATCGTGTTCGCCCACAGGTGTGTAGCGCCCTGGGCTACTGCGGAATATATCCCTTCTTCCGAATCTGGGAAACACCAACCCTCATGCTGAGCAGTGGAAGGGGAGGGTTGGGGCGTGATGACCTCGATTCCCTTGGAACGTAATGTGTATGCAATATCTGCGCCTGAATCCTGATATCCTATGATAATTCAGCACTAGCAATTATCGTCCAGGGAAATGTTTTGGAGTATCTTACCACCTGGCTTGCGTGGTTTGCGGACTCCATGGATCATAGGTGCGTCAATTGCTTGGAATAATACTGCGACTATAGGTCTACTAGAAGAGGTATTCCATTGCGATTCCTGGATGCCCCCTTTGGACGATGAGGATTTCAACATGACGAGATAATTGAAAGAGTTGTAGAGTTGGAGTGAAGCTATCAATTGGCGTAACTCGCGCCCCCACGCTGGATGTCTCCGAGTGCGGGGAACCAATCGATCCACTTTATATCAAGTACCTAGGTAGATGTAGTCAACCCATAGCGTTTCAAGCTGTGTTTGGAATCATATCAAATTCCAATAGTTCTCCCAATTTTATCTTGTTCTTGAAAAAAAAGCCAAGGATGCCAAGGATAGTAATACAGATACCTTACTAGGCTATCTTTGTGTAGAACACCTTGACAGGAATCTGGGTGTATTGGGGCACTTTCTGCATGGAAATATTGACGACTAGTAAACCGAAACTTCCAGATCTTTCAAGCACGATGGACACACTCTATCACCCCTTGTCCGGTCTTTTTGTTGGTCTTTTTAGACGTTCTTTAGATGCCCTTTCGGAAGTCTCTTTGATATGTCGTTTGTTAGTGAGAAATTTGCACCTATGTCTTTGAAGTGCTGTGATCACGTAGTTTTCTTCAGGTCTGTGTTTGCCATGTCGCTGCCATAAAGCCTATATATACATCCTTCTCTCCCTCTTTATCGCTCGTTCTTCTCTTCTTCATATAAAAAGTCAGCACAACAGCGATGGAATAGACTACGCTCAACACATCCTTACAAAGGCCTAGTATGCCTCACTATATGTATATATATGTGTGTGTATGGCCATGGATATCGTTTCTCCTGTGCCCCTTCGCCTATTGCCTCGGATCCACGTTATTGCTGAGCGTTACATACAACATAAGGGGGCCCGTGTCATGTGACCTTATCATTGCCCCAGAAAATAAACAAGGCGGTGAGTCCCCAAATTTCAATGTTATGTGATCTATTTGCGGCAGAATCTCACCTCACCAGTTAGATCCCTACGATCTATATGTAACTATATATCTATCTCTGTGATTATATAGCAAGAACGGGGTATATCAGGATTCCTTTACCGAGTGATCACGATTATGATTCTCAATCCGAGGGCCCTCTTGCCACGCTGGTTCGCCGGGTCCAGACCCATAACTACAATAACACATACTGCATGCGGAAGAGTAAGGTGACAGGAGAGACAGTATGCCGTTTCCACTTTCCCATAGAGTGTCGGGAGTTTTCAATCCTAGCCAAGCATCCAGGTTCAAGATACTTTACTTTGTTCCCGGCCCCTAACAATCCCATGTTAAATGCCTATAAGCACTCCATCAACAATCATTATATGGGAGGACTCAAAATACTGCAAAAAGCACTTCCTTACCTGGACGTCAGGCCTCCCGGCGAAGAAGAAAGGAAAGAGATCAAGAACCTGTTCGACAGAGCGACTTTGGTACAATGGCACACCAAGACAGATGCAATGGCGGAAATCCTGAGAAAGATGGAATCCGAGGTCGTCAATATCGACCTAGAATGTACTTTCTTTTTCTTTCCCAGGGAGGTGCTCCAAATCGGCCTCGCTGATATCATGAAGCTTTGCCTAGAGAGACCGAGCATGAATCTTTATCTGGCTAATGCGATACCGTCTGGGCTGGCTCAAACAGTGAGAAGGGCCTATCTATTTCTGGATTCGTGGCTGGCGGAGCTATTTCATTGACTTCCAAGAAGCAACATTGTGTCACATTGTCGATAACAATGGCGCCATTGCTTTGGCTTCAAATTATGAATTCCACGTCAATACGAAACACATTGACATCGGATTTCATCGCTTACGTGAAGAAGTAGCTGCTGGTACAGTCAAACTTGTTAAGATCCCGACTGCCGAGATGGCAGCAGATGGATTGACGAAGCCCCTTGCAAAGATAATGTTCAAAGATTTGTTGCACAGATAGGCCTTGGGGTCTATAAAGGTGCTCTGTGAAGTTGAAGTTGAACTTTGACCTACTACATACAAAGAATGGGGGGTTATGACAAGTTACAAACTGGTTTTTTATATGAAGGATGGAAGCTTAGAGCTATGGTGTTGACTATGCTATTCTCTCAGTATAGTCTCTACTCTGTATCCAGTACCACCTATTGCATATCTCTAAGAAACATAGGAAGTATAAACGGTACAGAAGACCTGTCTATGTATAATCATGGACTTATATATGAAAGTTGCATAAGAACAATGACTATGAACAGCAAAAAGATTCATTCATACATCCACAAAAGAGCCCCATAACTGCACGGCGCCATGAAGTGAAAGCAGACCAGCTGGCGCCACACATTTCTATCCCTTTTCCTCGCAAAACCTATTCGCCACAAAAATCAAGCACAAAAAAAAAAGTCATTCAAAGAGGCACAGCAGGTAAACCACCAATTCCAAAAAGCTCGCAGTCGCGGATGCCCTGCCACATATGCCCCAGTATGCCCTAGAACGCCAGAGAGGAGAGACCAAAAGAGAGACCAAAAGAGAGACCAAAGGACCCAACTGAAACCAGCATGCAATGCCAAGACAAGAAATGAGGCCAAAAGGAAGAACCAAGACAATAAGATCAGGACTCCCAACCCAGACCTTCACTCATCTTCATCACTCCCTTCCAACCCATCAATCATAGCCCGACTGGGCTTCCTCCCTGCCCCATAAACAAGCTCCATAAGTTTCGCTTTCTGTCTCTCCCGAACAGTCCGCAAGTAATCATACGTCCCCTCCAACCCACGGATCTGTCCATCGATAACAGCTTCAACGGGTCCAAGCATTCGGCCCGCAGAGCCGGAATTCCCATTCCCACTCCCCCCGCCCCCGTCAACAGACCCGACAAAGCTGACAGAGTCATTTCGACGTACAAGTGGGCTGACTAACTTCCTGCGCAGTGTCTCGAGGTTAACCTTCAACGTGAGGAGTCGGCCGCGGTGGTCAACGAGGAGGTGTTTGTTGGCAACTGTGCGACTTCGCACATTCGCAAGCAGTTTCTTGTTCTTCTCATATTTGCGAACGGCCGCGGCGTCCGGGCCCAGGACGCGTGTCCACAGGGAAGAGAGCATTTCGCCCTCTGCGCGTTCCTGGGCGTCTGATTCGCGGACGACCGTGCGCTGGAGATTGAGGAATTGGCGGTCGATGGACTCGAAGAGCGCGAAGAGCGCCGTTGAATGGGTGAGTTCACTGTTTATTGATTCTTCCAGTACAGAAAGGAACTCCGTGAATGTCCGGGTTAGGGTTGTGCGTGTGCGCTGCGCGGAGGTTGGCCCGAAGACAGCCATTACGAGGTGACCCAGGGGCGTTGTTGTTGTTGAGGTTGCGGAGACGCCGTTGTCGGAAACTTGGGCGGAGCGTTCGAGCGCGCCGAGTCGCGAGAGCATGTTGTGCATGTTATCGAAGACTATTGTGGGGAGGGTGCTTGGGGGCTGGGCGGAGAGGGTTTCGAGCTCGCGCTTGGCCCAGTCCATTACTATTAGGATGGAGTCGATATCTGAGTCGACGTTTGCGAAGAAGCGGGTTAGCTCGAGGGAGAGGGACTTGAGGGAGTCAGAGAGCTCGTCTAGTTGGCGCACAATTATAGGGGCACTGGTCATGTTGGTGCCGCGGACAGACTCGCTCAGGTCCCAGACTGCGACGCCGGTTTCTTGCAGGGTGCCGATTTGCTGAACGCCGTTCTCTGAATAATATATCAGTGGTTCGAAGGAGCGCGCGAAGCCGGATAGCTTTACTAAATCGGGGATCGATTGTGGGAGACCTGGGAGGACTAGGGCGCGCATGAACGCGACTGAAAGGAGGAGGATTATGATAGATAAGGTGGTGTTAGACTTGGAGCTGGTCATACGCTCGAATTTTGAGCGCAGATAGCCAAACAACGCGGCAATAGGTTCTCGGTGCTGGACTTCTGCACGCACTGCAAAGCGAATGTCTTTATTCATTCACAACAATCGTTAGTATACCCGCGCCTGCAACTGAAACCAGATCAGACAGGGCCTACAGTTGCTCAGATTATCCGCGCCAAAGCCCACCCCGTCGTCCTCGGGACTGTGGCGTGGTGTGCGCCCTGTACTTGGAGCCGGAGGCGGACTTGGGGATCGTCCGTGGAGGGGGGTATCTGCACCCGCCGGTAGAGGCACATTAGCCGCGACAGAGATGTCGCCCGGGGTGGCGCGATCGACCTGTCTACTCTTCATGGGACCCTCGAGCGCATCCTCATACTGTGGACTTGGCTCACGCGACTGGGACGGAGAGACGCTGAGCCCGATTGTGGGCTTGAGCTGCAAGCGATCCGTAGTGGGGTTATCCTTGCGCAGATAGGGCTGGTGGCGGTACCATCCACTGCCCTGGACGTATTCGGGTTGATGGAAGCCTGGGGGCGACCAGCGTTCCTGGGCCGGGTCCTCGATCTCTCCATCTTCGCCATCCGAGTCTTCAGATCGGAATCCGGAGTGTTGAGATGGCAGTGCGAACATTGGGGACCTGTGGGGATTGGTATTGTTCTCGAAGTCTTCGAGCGACGCGTCCAGGGAGGGATGGTCGTCGAAGACGTTGTCTAACTCGTCCAGCATCCCGGACGGCGTATCGCGATAGTCGCGCCTCGGAAGAAGAGGCACTGCAGTTCTCAGCGACGAAGCGCAGATCAATGCCTATGAGTGGCGATCACTTGCGGATGAACCAGTTTGACGCCTTAGGTAAAACTAGGGTGGTTAGTATAATGCGCGGGGACGGTGTCTCCCTGCGCTAGCCGTTACAGAAGATATCTGAGCAATCAACCCCACACCAAAGATGCGATAAGGTATGATGCGATGCGATGCGACAAGGCAGGTATTGGATTCTAAAGTGCAACACAGGATATGTCTGAGATAAGCACATTCGATAGTTGATGTTGGACAAGATTGCGATCAGGAAACACGCTGGAGATTAATACGGAACTGGGATCGAAACGCCTCGTTGAACAATGGAGGAATCAGGAATGAGAGGATGAGAAGGTATGCGTCCCCTCACTTGTTTCCAAGTCGAGGAGGTTGGGCCAATCAGTCTGACCCCTGCTGGTCATGTGCTGAGACTCGAAGCCAACACGGCGTGTACGCATCAGATACCGGAAAATGTACAAAGGTGGTACGGCATGAGTACTTTTTGTTTGTATAGTCCCAGCAGTGGACCACCAAGGTCCTCATCAAGTACAAGTCAAGTATCACCGTGCCTGACCGCCCCATGTTTGCCCAATCGATACAACTAGGGCCATCAACCAATCATAAGACAGACCTCCATGATCATCCGAACAATCTCAAACAGTTTGGAATAAGCGTGCATAACCCCCCCGTTTGCAGTGCGTTTGTTCTATCAAACATCAAAATATCAAACCAAAATGAAGAAGAGAAGAGAACAAGAGAAGAGGAGAAGATCAAATCTATTTTGGGTCATGGAAATTGTAATAAAAATACAGGCCCGGTCCTTTGGGAGACTCGGCAATCAGCCCATGGCGCCATAATCCCAGACTTCTATGGGGAGAAACAGAAAAAAAGCCGGGGAATTAAAAAGAACATCAGGTCGTTTATGCGGTGCTATCCTTGAGGAAGCTATTCAGAGTTGTTAGTTGAGTGGTCAGGGGAGTGTGGGTTCGCGGGTAACGTACGTAATGAGATCGTTGCGCTCCTTGGTCTTCTTGAGACCACCGAAGGCCATCTTGGTACCGGGGATGAACTTCTTGGGGTTCTCGAGGTAGGAGAACTATGGAGAGATCGTTAGCAGTCGATCGGAGTGAGCTGAAAATGGCAGTTGGCACTTACCAGAGTGTTCTCGTTCCACTCAACACCGGCCTGCTTGTTGGCGTCGGTGTAGGCGTAGCCCTCGGAGGAGCCAGTCTTACGGCCGAAGAGACCGTTGAGGTTGGGGCCGACCTTGTGGGGACCGCCGGCCTCGGTGGTGTGGCACTGGGCGCAACGGGTCTGAAAGAAAGAGAAAAAAAGCTGTTAGTTTCATGTTCCCTTTGTATGCGCGCAAAGTAATAAAGAACTCACCTGGAAGAGCTTAGCACCCTTGGCGGCGTCACCTGAAGAGAAGCTGAGATTAGCGATCCTGTCGGCTTCTTTTTTGGCTTCTTCGACCAAGGCAGCTTCTGCACGCTCGGCCTCGCGTATGTCGATGATCATCAACGTGCAGAACACATCGAAAGTAGTCATGTTGAATGATTGAAGGGTGGTATTTTGGTGAAAGGTTGCGGTGATACGCAATTGAGAGGTAGTTAGGTTGATGAGGCGCCAATGGTGATAAAGATGAGGAAGTGTTGTCAATCGTCGTCCTAAGCAGGTAACAAACAGTGTTGCCATTGTGTTGCCATTTTAGGAGTTGGGATACCCTTCCTTCCTTTCAACCTCCATGGCACCTCCCCAACCTTTCCTTTTCAGCTCAATGGAGGGAAGGTAGATAGCTTACCAGGAGCGAAAGATTCTTGCTTCTTAGGAGGCATTGTGAAGTATTATGATAGAATAATAAAAAGAGGTTATTATGACACTGTACTGTACAGAAAAAAAAACTGGGAAGGGGAAAAAAAGAAAATCTGGTTATTTGTACTTGGCCCCGACACGCTCTCGTAATCTGCCACTCCGCCCAATCAGAAGTCAGATGATTCAGGTTGAACGGGCGCAACCGGGAACTTCGGTGTGTGGCTGTTGTACACTGACGACTTACACTTCTGTTTTTTTTGTCTTTGAAACTGATTTTCAATTGAGATATTGCTGGGGATAACTTACTGACTTTCCTAGTGGCAAAAGAAGTCCAACGTATACACTCTACCCTTCTATCTTCCGCCTCCATGACCTCATAAACTCATCATCATCTGGATATTTGGTGCATATGCAAGCTTCATAGAGCTTTACAAATTTAAACATTCAATTCCTATCTGGATACCCATGGCGACGGAGCTCATATCTCACACGCGTTTACCCCCTTCCTTACCCCCTGGAGAAACTGGAGCAACTTCCTCGATCCACCGTGGCTTCGAAATGGCAGGGTTCTTATTCGCCCGAGCTGATCTGCCCCGGTGGTCCGATATGTGGATCCTGAGGCAGAAACGGTTTATTTTCGATTCATTCTCGGTGATTGTACGGAGTACAATTTAGCCTGTTGCCGAGGTTGCAGTAGATTGGAACAATGACCTTTCAGTAGGTTGGTTTATGTAGTAAGAAACGACTTTGAGTATGGAGTACAGCTTCAAGCTATTCTCAGACCATTCAATTGGTGGGAAACAAGGGATATAATGGATACTAAAACACGTGAATATTTCCCAAGGTCAAGTGGTCTGATTAAATTTTTTTTGTTTCTCCCCGAAATCGTTAGGGAAATGCGGTTAAACCGAGCATCTCGACTCAATCGGCATCCGATGTCCCGATATAGTCACGTGATATAAAACCTTCTCCAAAAATTGGCATCTACGGTTCCACCTCTGGGCCAAAGTCAACAAGACTATCCAACCCCTCCACACGGGCAAAAGGGCAGGAAAAGAAATCCCTAAAAATGCCAACTCCAATCCCCGGTTTCCTCCTCCCACGAGGCCCACCTTCAGCATTGACCGTGCGCGCCCTCCAACGCCAAAGCGCGCGACGCAGCTTCACCTCAACCAGCGCGGCGTTGAGGAAAGCTAGCAAGAGCAACACCAATGCCAATTCCAAACCCCGCGTTCTTGCAAAGCCCGACAGATTCCGCCCGCCTTCTCACCCCCAACGTCTCACGACTCCATCGCCGAAGAACGCACCCCCAGGCCAACCATTCGAGTATGGCCCGCGCACGACGGAAAAAGAACGTGTGCAGCAGAGCAAGACGCAGTACCCGGGAATGTTCCCACCGGAGGGGACGGTGATGTTTAAGTTCCTAACGAGCAAGTGGATCCACATTTGGATTGCGATGGTGAGTTCCCAAGATCTACCAAGATCTCCCAAGAAAACCCAGTAAACAACTAACTAACCAATACACAGAGCGTTCTAATTTCCTGTGCGGGATTCACCTTCACAACAAACTTCAAAGCAACCTCGCCATTCGCACACCTGCTACCATCCTGGTCGAGTCTGCTGACCTCGCCCGTCGGCACGATCTCACAGGTATTCTCTGTGTGGCGCATGCATGTGGAACACAACTCGATGCGCGTGCGGGAGCAACGACACCGTCGGGTTGAGGATGCCGAGAAGAGAAAGCAGTATCGTGTTGCGCATGGGCTTGAGGAGCCGGAGCCTGAGAAGAAGAACGAAGATAGTAAGGAGGTTGATTTACAGTCGCCTGTTGCTGCTGTTGAGGGGGCGGAGGATAAGGAGTTTGTTGATTGGGAGGGGAATAAGAGACCTGTTAAGAAGTGGTTGGGGATTTGGTGATTTATAGGCTCTAGGGCTGGTGGATTCATATCTACAGGTGATATACCTACATATGCTGTCTATGTGGTCGGTTGTGGGTATCGATGGGTCCTATCTTACATGGGGACACCCATTGTGTACATTAGTGGACTTTCAGTCCAGCTACAATAACTAGGAGGATTCTCTCAACTTCAATCAAATCAACGATGAATAGAAACGATTTAATCAAAAGACAACGCTTTTCTCCAAACTCCAAAGGTAGCGACCTATCAACTCAGATATCAAAGTCGCAACCTAAAGTAATGCTGTACTTTATTACTCTTACATGGCCATGGGAAATGGGTCAAAATAGGACAATCATTGCACCTCAACTCCCTCAAGTCCCTCAAGGACCTCCTCGCCAACACCGCCCTTACCAAGGACAGTCTTAACCATGCGTGAAATGACACTGCGCTTGACACCACCCCTTCGTGGACGCCAGACACCCTCGACCTCCTCCTGGCCACCGGTCTCCTCGCCAGGCGCCGCAGTAGCACCGAGCATGTTCACATTTTCGGAATTGGGGATACCAGGTTGAGTGAGGCGGGATGGGGGATCGATCGAGCGGATCGAGAGCAATTTCAAAGCCTCAGAGTCACTACTGCGCGTAACGGAGATGGCCAGGACGGCATCTGCGACTGCGATCTCTTCACGGTTGGGGTCAAAGATGACGTTGTCACCGACGGAGATCACGAGCAGCGTCACAGGTGGGCGGACAGGGTATGATGGAGCGGCGGAGAGAGAAGATTTGGAAGTATTGGAGCGGGGGTAGAGATACTCCGCAGCAGCCCAGTCATCGTCGAAGAAGGGATCTTCTTCACCCGTAGACTTGAGTTTCGGTAGCTTAGTGCTGAGGAGGGCGAGGTGGGTTGTGAGCGAGAGGAGGGGGAGGGGGTATGCGAGAGGTTGGGAGAGGAGCAGGACCTATAGAATAACATGTTAGCTGTGATAATTTCACACCCGTAGAGCCCCCCTCAAAAATAGAAACCATAACGCCAAAAATCAGAAACCGATCTTCAAAACTTACATCAATATACAAGCGCCAATGCCACCGCTTGTTAATAACAAGTCTCCCCTTCAACCCACCAGCCATCTCCTTTGCCGCATCCCCATTCCCACCAGCAACAGAACCAACCAGACTCTCCCGCATCATCTCACTCAAAAACACAGGCAGGGCATCATCATCCCTAAAACCGGGGATCTCAATCGACATCTGCACCCACTCGCCCTGTCCCGAGACAGCAGCCGAGCCCTGCTCGCCCTCGCGATTCAATGCGTCGCCATGCTGCGCCAGACTGCGCGAGTCGAGTGTGTCAGCGGCGAGAACGGTCTTCTCGACTTCTGCCTTCACGCCGACGATTGCTTGTGTGCCATCTGCGAACCCGATGCGCGCGCTGCCGTTCGTGCCGGGTAGAATAGTAGTCTCGGCGGATAGAGGGCGAAATTGTGTGGGTGAGCGGCCATCTGGTCGGATTGGGTTCTTGGGAAGGCTGAGGGAGGTGTAGAGGTAAGAGAGTTCGGCGGGCGAGAGGTGGGGGACTTGAGAGGCGGAAGAGGCTTGTCTTTGATTTGACATTTTGGCGGGTTTTATGTTGGTATGTGACGGAGAAATAGATCGCTTTGTGTTACAAGATAGAGCTGAACTTCGGTTGCGCGTGGTTAAGCTCGTAGCTGTTGGCGGGCGGTTTGATTTTGTGGTTATCGGCCCGCGATTTGTGAAAAGTGCTTGCCGGGGCGCGAGCTGGATGTGCTAAGGTATTGGTAACCCGAATTTCAAGCTAAGGCCAGTCTAGTATCGACTGGTTAGGTTGTGCCGAGGAGCAATTGAGGGGAAGAAAAAAAGTTGGTAGAGTCGGGCAGAGCAGTCTCAATCAGGAAATCTTGATGGCCCACGGATGATCATTGTTCCGTTGATATCGATCCATGGACGGAGCACGAGAAGTATAGATGCAATGGATTTTTCTACATTCATTATAGAATCTCGATATAGAGCCCTGGAGTAACCTGTCTACTAATGTACAATCCATTATCTGCAAAGGTTAAAGCGACAAGCACTCTGGTCTAACAGTCCTACCTGGCCGCACTGTAAATCACTTCCCACGACGAGCTCCTATACTAACTAGTTCGATAACTAGTTAACTAGTTACAAATCTTAAAGTAGTAAACTTTACGAAGAACAAGTCTGAGGTCTTAGCATAAGGTCTTGAGTATATTCAATGCGTATGTAGTAAGATGTATGTATGAGCATGGCACAACGGCCAAAGGCGGAGGTATATTACAAGAGTATAAAACAGACTGGATCCAAGCCAGAATGCCGAGGTAGGGGGGAAATAATACAAGAAATCAAAGCAGGAGAAATTGCTATGACAGGAATATGTAAATGCAGGGATAAATAAGTGAGAAAATGATAGACAAGAAGAATAAAGATGGGAATGGCTGTAGCCAACAATGTACAACGGGGGGAGGTGAGGGGGGGAAGAGGGGAAATTATATGGACAAAGGAAAAAGAGTGCAATATTCATCGAGAATGATGTTCAAATGTGCAGATTCGATATCAGAAATATCGGGTGAAGAGAGGGTGAGAAATACCTGAGAAGGTAGAGGGAAATGCCGTGTATGATGCAACTCGCGCATGTGGTATCAAAAGTCAAGGAAAGAAATCACGCCCCTGCCTGGTAAATGATGTAACGAAAGGACTCCAAAAGGAAAATGAAACGAGGCCCGGATCCATCTATAAAAAGGGCTGCAGGGGTATGAATGTAGGGGAAAACGAGAAACTTGCAAAAACGGCGGAAGCCCAATGCCCATATGTGAAAAAAAAAAAAAAAAAAAGATATAAAACACCCTCCAAATGGCCAGACCTTGTGAAAATGAAAATGAAAAAAAAAAAAAAAAGAAACCATACGCCATGAGCTATGTAGGTTGCTCGGTGTTTCTTCCGTTATTGCGCAATTTTGCCAAATTTTTTGTGCTTTCCGCAACTCAAAAGGATGTGATGTTGAATTGGTGGTGGTTGGGACACTTAAATATAGTTCGAGCCACGGGCGAAGTAGTCGGATTTCTTGTTGTGAAGCTCGGCCTCCTCGTAAGGAGGAGTGGGCCAATGACGGTTTGTGGCCGCGGGATCAATCTTGTGAATGTTCAGCTTGCTAGGTGTCGACTGTTGACCAAACGTAGCACTGTCCTTGGCCGTGGGTGACGGTGTAGGATAGGGGTTTTGTGGTACACGCGAGTTGTCTGACCGGCGAATACCACTGTGCGATTCGACTGCCATTGACTGAGTCTGAGCCAGGCGTCTAGCCGCCTTGTTGGCGGAGTGCAATACCTCGTCAAGCAACTCATCTTCCTCTTCAGGGGTCTCGTACCGGTGAACCGGGTGGCTAGACATCTGCATGGCACGACGAGTCCTGCTAGAGATAGGAGCGGCATTACTGCCGGTGGCCTGAGGCATGGACTGACGCTTGGTCTGGCTGTCAGCGGAATTGTTCAAGTGCACCGGAACGTTGCTGAGTGTGGACGAGTCCAATGAGTACTTGACACATTGAAGAGCCTTGTCCAGCTCGGTCAAGTCGGAACCTTGCTTTGGTTCACTAGTAGGCCCATCGAGGGCCACTGATGAACGGTTCGACCAAGGGATGCAACCCGCGTTAGCCTCGACGTCATCAGCAGGCGCTGCTTGGTTACGTCCAGACAGTCTGCGGGCACGCTTGCGGAGATGCGAGAAGAAACTCTCCTTTGTGGTTGGAGTGTTGGTCCCGGAACCATTGAGCATCCTTTCAGCCTCTTGACGATTCTGGTCCGAGTAGTGATTGCCATGGGAGTTGAGGGACAATTGACGGCCGATCTTTGAGGTAGCTGAGGTCTCGGAAGACTTGGAAGCCTCGCTGTGTGCCACAGTGGCGTTTGCCTGGGCTGTAACGGAGTTGGAGAGAGGGGAGACAGGGCGAATAGAAGGAAGGATTGGCATCGGCGCACCGTTGGCCCAGGTAGCCCGCTTGGTGTTCACGGGACGCGCCTTCACGGGCTGGATCTCAGGCACAGTGACTTGAGAAACAACTGGTGGCCGGGCGGGGATGTCTTCTGCAGTGTGTACAGGGCTGTCCGACCGAACGACCAATGATCTCCGGAACCAGGAAGGTTTGGAAGACAATGTAGGAGAGTCACCAGGGGTAAGATTCGGTGACCTGAAGCTCTTCTCGGACTGTTTGCGGCCAAGCAGTCTCGACGAGGTAGAGGACTTGGGCCGTACCGGATCAACCGCATCGGCGAAGTACTCGTGGTTAAGCGCCTGGGTAGACGTTGGGCGGTTCTTAGGGTCCCACATGAGACACCATGTGACGAACTCACTAAATGCCGCAGGCCACATCGGGGGCTGGAGCACGGATTCCATCGCATGTGGTGCCATCTTGGGGAATGTGAAACCGAGCTTATGAGCCAGGCGTGATCCTTCGCGCCATTCACCACCACCAATCTTAGCGCCCGACTTGCTGTACCAGTTCCCTGGGCTACCCATAATCTCACACACACGCCAAACTTGGTCTACCTCGTTGCCTCCTGGGAATAGGGGCTTCAATGTCGCAATTTCAACTGCCATGGCGCCCATTGCCCACATATCGACCGGGGCCGAATACTCTCCTGCTCGTAGAAGCACTTCAGGTGCGCGGTACCAACGCGTGGAGACGTATGTGGTGTATGGTTGTTTGGAGTGGGTCTCACGAGCAAGACCGAAGTCGGCGATCTTCACAGTGTAGACGGGAGGAGTAGAGGGAGGGGTGACGAGGTTAGAGTAGCGACTGAAAGCGGAATCATTGGGGGCGGAGGTTGAGACGAGAATATTCTCGGGCTTAATATCACGGTGGAAGAAGTGGTGTGCGTGGATGTGGTCCAGACCGGACAAGATCTGGTAAAGAATACTCTTGACGTGCTTCCCTTCAAAGTATTTGTGATCACGGGCCTTCATCAACTGATACAAATTGCCATCC